TGTGTGTGTGTGTGTATGTGTGTGTGTGTGTATGTGTGTGTGTGTGTATGTGTGTGTGTGTGTATGTGTGTGTGTGTGTGTATGTGTGTGTGTGTGTATGTGTGTATATGTGTGTGTGTATGTATGTGTATATATATTTGTGTGTGTTTGTGTGTTAAGAGAGGGGAGGGAATATGATAAGAGTACATGCATAATACACTAAAGCAGTATTTACTTACACGATTGTTTCCTGTATTACTATTTTATAATACAGGATCCAGATATCGGGAGACAGGTTGCGTATAACAAGATGTTCGTATTAGGTCTAGCGCAAGCGCTTCGACTCAGATTCTTGGCTCCTGCATTCAGCATTTTGGCACCTTTTGTTGTCCGTCCGAGTCACACACACAACGGGTTCATGCCCGGATGGTCAAATCCCAAAGACTGGATCCGGTATGTTTACTCATGTTTTCTGAATTCGGTTTTATTAGTACTGATTCGTCAAATGTAGTTACCTGCTTCCCAGATTCTGAGAATGGAGTTGCTGGGCGTTTAGAAAAGGGGGAATTGTAAAGCAGCGTGCGGGGAGGCGAGCAAGAAGAGCTGGATGCCCAGGCGGTTGCCTAGTCACATCACCCCCACCTTACCGTCGATGTGGCACAGGCATCGGCACACATGCCGAGAGCAGGGCAGGTGACCGATGGCATCGCTAGGAGGAAGAGAAGAGATGGCCATCGCTTACCAGAAGGTTACCGGTCCACATATACGCTCGCAAGCGATGAGATTGCCGTGAGAGAGAAGAGAAGAGAAGAGAAGAGTTACCAGTCCGCACAGCAGTGAGGTGTGCGGCCGAGAGAGAGAGATAAAGATGACAAGTAATGAAAGCTTCTATTTGTTGAGTGAACAATAATAAACTATTACGAATGAAAGCGTCTCATCTTGCGAGGGCGTTGCACCCTACGAAAGTCTCCGTCTCTGCCCTCGTCCTTACGGTCGGCTGTTTCTGGGTATTCTTCAATACAACTCCATAAATCGACTTTACTCCGCAGCATCTCTAAAGTCTGTCCAAACGTAGAAGGCGTAGCTTGGCCAAATATCGCTGACCTCTTGACCTGGGACATAGTTTCGCACAAAATTTGCCAGTCTTCGTAGAGCTTGTAAGCATGTCTGGCTGAAATTTGGCCCTTTTCCTGGGTCACTGTGTCCGACATTGCTTTCTTGAACTCTTTGAGTGTAGCTTGAAAGTGGCTGATTACTTCAAAAGACTCAGAGATACCTAGCCATTCTTCTTGAACTAATGTCCACGCGTGTGATACGTCGTCGAGCGTGTTCTTCTCGTATGTCGGGTCTGCCCACTGAATACTAGGTACTTTCTGTGTTCTTTGGTGCCGCTTGCGCTTCGGTCTTTGATTTCTGGGGTTCGTTTGATCTTGAAGATGCTCGGAATAGCCGATCGAGAGGTCCTCGTTCAGATCAATGATGATTGGATTACCTATATCGATCAGTAACATGTAATTGATAAAGGATAAGGACCTACCTTTGGACCCTGTATTCCCAGTCATGTTCTCTCTTCGACCCTGCGATCTCTGCCCGGAACTCTCAGCAAGCTTGCTAGAGGTATCCTCAGCTTCATCATCAATGATAATGACTCCGGTAGGCTCAAGCTTAATCACATCATCCGGTTTTGAAATTCCTTCGACCTCTGTATCTTGAATAGTTTTAGGAGCAACCACCTCGATAGCTTCGCAGCTATGAATGGGTTCAGTGTCCTGAACGCTTCCTAAGGTATCAACAGCTCCACGAGTTGGAATATTTTCAACTCCGACTTCGACCACTTCGTCAAGGTCGTTGGGTGAAGAATTGGAATGAGTGAGCTCAATATCTTCAGGCGCCTCGGGGATGTTGGTGGCATCGGAACTGTATGGGATACCACTAAGCTGCGCGTCTGTGATGTTGGCCGTGTCGAAGACAAGATCGTTAGGTTTGCTATTGGTAACAGCAACTCCCATGCCATAGACATCGCGGTGACCTTCCGCCGATATGATTTGCCTTATCTTCCTCATTGTGTTTGGAGCAGTGTGCAGATAACCGGGATCTTGTCGCAAGATTTCCAAAATAGGGCCACATTCAACAGAATCCGGGTGTGACGGAACGGTTGATCCAACACTTTCTTGTCTCAAAGTTTCATGAGTATACGAAGGATCTTGTGGTGGTATATCTATGAGGATGTTGACGCATATAGTAAGAGGTTCCTATGGACGGTTATTGTTTGGACTCCTGAACAGCGTCAACTACTCACCTGAGCGATAGTATCATCAGCCCAAATATTAAAAGGTGGCAATGCACCTCCCCATAAACCGTCACAAATGTTTGTGTCCATGGCACTGTATGCGTGGAAATTCATAGTTTTGGGAAGAAGGAAGTTTGCCACGCCTTCGCAGCGGACACATGGGCATCTCTGTTTATATAGCTGCCTTATTACGTCAGGATCTTTGACACTGCCGATGTAGTAACACACTTCTTGTCTTACCTCTGGGGCGAAGCATTATGCACAACTGTAGTTACTTGAACTGATTGGGTCTGGGAGATCGGATTCAAGTTCGCATGAAGCCGCCGGTGGGCGGGAAGCCTTCGTGACAGGCAAGCTGCTATGAACTAAACATAGATTCGATTCTGCCTTGTCCAAAAGTCTCAAGCTACTCGACCACACTTGTGCAAGACTTGCTACTGGACATTTCATTCCGTTCAGCGGTTAGCAGCCCAAGACAGATCTCATATGAGGTAGAACGGTCTAGCGCTCGGAAAACGCAGCTACATCACTGCCAGGTGACATCAGTATTACAGCACAACGGTGGCGGTGCCCGATAGGCGGACATGAGCAAGAAGTTGTGATTGCTAATCGAAGTATGGATTGATACCTATCTACACGTACGGTTGATTACATGATACCCAGAGCTACCATCATAGCTACGTTGACTATCCCACATGCAATTGCCAGCTTAACGACATTAGGTGTTAAATGCACCGCGAGATCAGCTATCGGAATAGAAGATACATTACCAGTCGGGGAAGTAGACTCGGAAGATGGAGGTCTAGTTGTTGTAGTTCTGATGATTGTTGTAGTGTTGTTTGTTGTAGTCGTCGCAAGTGCCCTGCTGGATGGAGCAAGCTGAGATTTTGGACAAGACCCATTCTGAACGGCTTGACTAGACGTCGTGACTGCCTCGAGAGCATTCTGGACAAAGGATTCGTGAGCTGTCTTTTCAGTATTCAAGCTAAAGACCATTCCAGCTCGGCAGTGGGACCGTAAAGTGTTTTGGGCACAGAAAAAGAACTGCGGATTCTTTGTTGTAACTTCATATTCTACGAGATATTTTCCGCTGATGTTTTTGGGGTTGAATTGTGCAAATCCAGTATTAAAGCCATCGGGAAGCGGGGAACAAGGATCCCAGAGGCTGCTTTGAGTCAAGGTATGGTTGAGAGCGAGAAAGTCAAATTGAACAATAGTACCGATAGGCGCTTCAAGTGTGGGCGGAGAAAATTCCAGCCTTCCACCAGCTCCAACGGTGATCGTCGCCTTAGGCCGAGAAGGTTCGGTTTGGTTGGGCCAGTAAGTAGTGGTATTGTGGAACTCTGGCCAGCGGAGCGTTACAGAACTTGAGCTTGTCCAAGAGGACAGAGCAGTGGAATAACTGATTGGAGAAGTGAGAGATAGCATTGTGTATGCTGATGATCTGGAAGAAGAAAACCAGGCTTGGATGATATTTACTGTCTATAAGGATTATATTTTAGGCGTGAGCTTATCAGAGAACAGTTTCCTGTAATTTGTTTCTCGGAATCTGTATCTAGAGAATGCGATCTTGAGAACTGTTTTCACGATCGGATCTAACTTAATTTCTATAAGAAGTGCGAAAAGAACGTTGCAATACACCAGAATATCAATCCCCAATCCATCAGAAACCTCAAATCCATCTATTATAAAGCCTATAATTTCGGAATTCTTCTCGAAATCTGTTGTTCAAAATGAGCTCATCAAAGCAAATTACTCTTAAGACACCGGCCTACAATACTACGACTCCTAAGACTCCTAAGACCGCTACCTATAAAACTAAGCTTACTCCTCAAAAAATCAACACAGAGTCTGAAGATGATGAGAACTACTATATTGAATCAGGTGATGAAGAAGATGAAGCTGCCAAGGAGAAAGATAAAGCCGAAAGAAAGAAACTCGAAGAAGAAGGCATGAGAGAAGCGTTACAGCCTCGAACGCTAGATTACCAGCAGGTACCTATGAAAATTCGGAAATTATACAACCCATGTTACGAGGTGATCTATGAGGTTTGGAAGAATGAGCGCGGTACAATTACTGAAGAACAAAAGAAGACAGTGGAAGACATGAACAACCAGATCAAGAAAATGAACGAAGAACCATTTCGGCAGAGGATGAAAGAAGAATGGCCCGTCGAACTCAAGAGATTACAAGACTCACAGCCAGGAAAAGAAGCTGAATTGAGTGAAGAAGAGATCAAGAAGAAGAAACAGGAATTCTGGACCACGAAGATTGCAGTTGGACCGGATTTTAATCGCGCCAGAACTCGCCATCTCTTCCCGCTCGGCCTTCTAAAAGATCATGTCGCTATTTTCATGACAAAGATGAAAGAGATAGAGACATCGAAGGACAAAGAGAAGTCAAAGAAGCTAAAGAAGGCTTTGGTACAGCATTCAGTAATATTTAAAAAACTGTCAGAACAGCACGACCTTGAGGTACAGCGTCTAGTACCCAAGGACATTCAAAGGCGATTGGCGATGATGATGGGCGACGAAGAGTCTCTACGCGAACTCCAAGACTTCCTTAATATTCTGAAATCGAGCACCGTTGAACAAGAACTTATTTTGAACGTAGTCGTACCGAAACTGAAACTGCTGTTAGAAGCGACAAATCCCAATAAAATGGATGAGCAGAGTATCTCTCAACCAGAACTGGATCTGGTGCTAGAAAGTACAAAGACCCAGGCTGTAGCTCTTCAAAACTTGGGTCCTACCTATCCCAAAATCGACATACCAATTAAAGCAGTTAAAACATTATGTGCCAATACTCTCGCGGGTCCGGAAACACGCAAAGCAATCCGGCAGTTCGTCTGTATGATCGATGAAGGGTACGAGACTGACGAGGAAAGAGAAAATGGATCAGCTACGGAGAGTACAGCAGTCGAATCGAATGGGACGGACACAGTTTCGGAATCTACAGACGAGACGATGGAGGCGGATCCGCCGCAACCATCTACTGTCTCTGTCTCGGTACCAGCAGTGGATGTCGGCGAATCGAACACAATTTCGGAATCTACGGACGAGACGATGCAGACGGATCCGCCTCAACCATCTACTGTCTTAGTACCAGCAGCGGACCTCGGCGAGCCGCTTGGCTATGTCGACGACTGTAGTAGAGATGTATTGTCAGGCGAAGACGGTATTACGGACTACGGACTTATTGCATGTGTACGTCCTGCAAAGTCTGATAATGCCAATCTGAGTCGGTTCATTTTATCTGTTGGGACCGAGGAGATGCCATTCTATAGAGTGATGCGAGGGTTAGACCTTGATCCAGGAGCCGCAGAGAATTTACTCAAAATGACCGATTATCATACGGACTTTGACCTCAGAGCGAGAAAGAAGGTAAAACAGTCGATAAAACATGTTGGGCCTATGGTGATTATGCCGCAAGAGGAGAGTGCTGCGAGAACTAAAAGTGGTAAGGCTTATAGGTCACCTACATACTTCATGGTTGAGTATCACTCAGACAAAAGGAGGAACCCTCTGTGCAAGTCTCATCCACTTGTAGAATGGCTAACTCGAACCGAGCTCAGTCAGTTCCATTCTGTAAAGTGGGTGGAAAAGAGGTTCCAGGAGATGCTGCCAAGTTACAATAAAAATAAGGCTTTCTTTGAGAAATGTAGGGAGGATGGGAAGCATCCCGGTACTAAACAACCCTTGCAAGAGGGTGATAGATGTAACGATAGGTAACTTACTACACAAGGTAAGAGGGGTATATCGCAGAGGTTTGTATAGGGTAAAGCGAGTATCAAGACAGGGTAATAACTCTGACTTATCCAGGGGGATAAGCTACTGTTGTACTGGTAAGGGGATTCCAAAAGATCAGATACAATTTGTTATTGACTACGAAGAACTCCTACATATGAAATCTGGCAATCTTATATATCCGTCCTTCCTAGTCCTTGATCAAGCTGCTCAACCTCTTGGCCCATGCCGAGACCTTGATCACCTTGATCACTTTGTTCACGTGGTGCTGGATCACGTGACTGGTCCTTGGGTGTCATCGAGCCCTCTGGCCACGATCTCCGACTTCCGTCCCAAGTACTTGATGCCTTCTCTGCCTTCATAGGTTCTGGTATCGTAACACTAGCCTAATGCACCTACCCTCTGTATCATGTTAAGATCCTCTATGCTCGATCTTAGTGTAGATTAGTGAACGCATGCGGCCTAGATCCAGATCGCGTCATCTAGGGTCCATTATGCATCAGGCAGCCTCGTGCTTAGTGGATTCGTTCCTGGCATCGGAAAGGAATACGGGAAACTCTTGAGTCTGGAGTCTCTTATCGTACCTTGCATTCCTCAGCAACATATATTACAGAATACACGTAGCAATACTCTGTACCAACTAGTAGTCAAGGTAGACGACACTCACGACGTATTGCGTTGTGTACAAGATTCGAGACCAAGATCAGTAGGCGATAGCAGAGATACCTCAGGCAGCGCACACTGTACAGTACATATTGTAACTCCTCGTACCGCGTACACAGTAATAGTTACTATGCAGTAGCTCATGCAGGCTCCTTAAGTGCCTTTGTACCTCGTACAATTCCCATGTAGGCACCCCGTACCCCTACCTCGTAGGTACTCATTCATCGTACTCGTACATCTAACGACAGACTAATACCTAGCCGGTACATATGTACAAGGAGTTATCCCATATCCATCACTAATTCATGACGCGGATATTCACACTCCCTTGCTTACCTCATTGCCCCCCTCCCCCTCCTACGAGTAATAAAGTCGTTCCGTAGGACGCATTGATGGTGATGGTGACGACTTGATTACCTTAACGGTCCGGTATACTGCTTCACATTGATCGAGGCATAGATATATCGGTCGCCGTAACGCCACCATCACAGAGCCTTATCCATCCGATATTCATTGCCATACCATTTCCTTTTCTTTATTATATTATTATATTAGGTACATATACATACCTATAGATATCTCTCATGAGAACGTTTATCTCCTTCGCGCCCCGCACCTAATCTATACTCTCTCAAACGAAGATTATATCTTTCCATGCGGCACAACCCTCCGCCAACAACCAAAGAAAGCACAATAGGTAGAATTTTCTCAGCGCTATCGGAATAGGAACTGGCAACTCGCAAGACCAAGCGGCTCGATCGCAATCATGGCATCAACACCAATTGAACACCCCACCACGACGCAAACCTTGCCCTCGAAACAGCACCCCATTCCCTTCTCCATCGCCCCGAACGGCACACGCACTCAACTCTCCTCCATCCTCCCGCCTCTGATCTTCGGCACCGCAACCTTCAACCACCAATACAACACCGACCCCTTCGCCCTCGACACCACAGGCCTTACCACATCCGCCCTTACCCACGGCATCCGCGCCTTCGATACATCTCCCTACTACGGCCCTTCTGAACAACTCCTCGGCACTGCCCTTTCAACTCCCTTTGTGCGCGAAACTTTTCCCCGAGAATCCTACCTCCTCCTCACGAAAGTCGGCCGCATCGCCTCCTCCACCTTCGACTACTCCGCCCCATGGGTCCGCCAGTCCATATCTAACTCTCTCTCCCGTCTCCAGACATCCTACCTTGACCTCGTATATTGCCACGACGTCGAATTTGTATCTCCCGCTGAGGTCCTGACCGCCGTCCGCGAATTGCGTCGGATCCGCGATGAGGAGGGCACGATTAGATATGTCGGCATCTCAGGCTATCCTCTCGACGTTCTGTGCGAGGTAGCGGAACTCGTACACCGCGAGACGGGCGAGCCGCTAGATGCAGTTCAGTCGTACGCGAACTTCACGCTGCAAAACCAGCGGCTGGCGGGGGAGAAGGGCATACAGAGGTTGAAGGCTGCCGGGGTTGACGTGGTGCCCAATGCGTCGCCGTTAGGGATGGGACTGCTAAGAAGGCAGGGTGTGCCCGTGGGGTCTTTGGGGGATTTTCATCCCGCGGGGAGGGAGTTGCGCGCGAGGGTGAGGCAAGCGAGCGATTTTTGCGACAGGCATGGTGAAAAACTGGAGGTCATCGCCATACGCTGGGCGTTGGAATCGTGGATCTCAACCGGAGCCTTGTGCGGCTCACATGGCGACCCTGCGTCCGGTGTTCCATGGATGCGAGAGTCGAATGACGATGTTGGCGGCGCGAAGCTAGGCGTCAGCGTCATCGGCGTGTCGAAGCCTGAGGAGTTAGAGAAGACCATGTTAGTCTGGAGGAGCATACTGGATGGGCTTGAGGGTGGGGAGGACACGGCAGTGAGGGCAGGACGGTGGTATCGTGCGTGGGAGTGGAGTCGGAACCGAAGGGTTGCTGTACAGATTCTCGCGGAAGGGGTACAGGAGATCCTGGGCGAGTGGTTCGATTACGCTTGGGAGAGCCCTGGGGAGGGGTTTGTAAACGATAAGAGGACCCAGTCCATTACCACACCCGCCGCTACCATCATAGAGAAGGTCAACAAAGATGGCGCAGAGAATCCGTGGTTAACTCCTGCAGCGAGTCCTGCCGCCACACCTGTCGAGGGCGATGAGGTTGTCGAGAAGAGCTTGCCTCTACGATGACCCATGCCTTTTCACACTTCGTATTTCCTTGATTCTTCCTCCTTCCTGTCTTCCCCTTCCCTTTCCCAATTCACATGATGCGTTCATTTAAGGTCTGGTTTGGCCTGGTTTGGCCTGGTTTGGCGGATGTCTGCTATATAGAATAGGGTCTGATACACGGTTGGTAGGATATGCACGTAACTATGTGAGCAACTACAAGACGAAGAAACGTGGAACATTGTATATCGAGTCTGTGGGGGCACATATTTACTCCCTCAACCCTCGGCCTCCTATCTTTTCGTTATCACCACCTGGAGAAAGAGAGGGAGATAATGTATATGTGCGTTTGTGATTTGTAGACTCGTTAAATAATACCGATGTACGATGTTGCGCCATGCAACATCTAGATGCCTTTTAGTAAAATAACACAAGGTGAAAAAGTGTACAACATAAGCCTAGAGTAAAAAGGTATGCTTATTTCCATAGATTCATAGCACGAATTTTTATCGCGTCTTTACAACTTTGCAAAGACAGTAGGAACCTCACCAGCCATATCAACAAGCGTGCTCTTATTCCTGACCCAAGCCTCGATGCCCTTCTTCCCATTCTCGACCCCAACCCCGCTCATCTTCCACCCTCCGACGCTCATTTCCGCTGGCGACTCGCCCCACGTGTTAACCCATGTAATGCCTGCCTCGAGGCGGGCGATGACGCTGTGCGCGAGGTTGAGGTCCCGGGTGAAGACGCCAGCGGCGAGGCCCAGATGTGTGTCATTAGCGCGAGCTACCACCTCGTCGATGTTCTTGTAAGACAGAATGGTCATTACTGGGCCGAAGATTTCTTCTTGGACGATCTTCATGTTGTCGGTGCAGTCTGTGAAGATTGTGGGATGGATCCAGAAGCCTTGTTTGTAGGTCTCCGGGACTGAATGGGCAGAGGAGAAGCTGGGGAATTTCGCACCACCGTAGAGGAGGGTTGCTTTGTCGACTTCAGCGCCATGGCGGATGTAGCTCTGGACCTTCTCCCAGTGCACTTTACTGACTAGGGGGCCGAAGTTGGTGCTAGGGTTCAGGACATCGCCGGCCCGGATGTGTTGCATCTTCTCGAGCAGTCGAGACTCGAATTTGGATTTGAGAGAGTCAGGCACGAAGACTCGGGTGCCGTTCGTGCAGACCTGGCCCGTGGAGAAGAAGTTGGCCATCATAGCTCCGTCAACGGCCGACTCGATGTCGGCATCAGGTAAGATCACGCAAGCGGACTTACCGCCGAGCTCCATAGTCACGTATTTCATGCCCCCCGAGGCGCTGCCTGCGACCTTCTGCCCCGTACTCACCTGGCCAGTGAAGCTGACTTTGGCGATGGAAGGGTGAGTGGTCAGGTATGCGCCCACTTCGCCGGAGCCCTGGACGACGTTGAAGACGCCTGGGGGTACGCCTGCTTCGGCATAGATCTCGGCAAGGAGGGTCGAGTGGAGGGGCGTGAACTCGGACGGCTTGTAGACCATGGTGTTGCCCGCTGCTAGGCAGGGTGCGCTCTTCCACAGAGCGATCTGGATGGGGTAGTTCCACGCGCCGATGCCTGCGCACACGCCGAGAGGGTTGTTGGTGCTATAGACCCAGGCATTGGGTCGCAACTGGATGGTCTCGCCATTGAGACCGCCGCTGCCGACGAGGTTGGCAAAGTATTCGAGGACGTCGGCGCCCGTCACGATGTCGACTGTGGAGGTCTCGGAGAAAGGTTTGCCGGTGTCTGAGGTCTCGACCCTGGCCAGCTCGTCGTTGCGGGCTCGAAGGATGGAGGCGGCTTTCTGTAGGATGCGGGCTCGCTCAATGGCGGGTGTTGCAGACCATGCAGGAAAAGCCCTTTGGGCGGAAGTTATGGCAGAATCGATTGCGGAGCGGGTAGTGGTGTGGATGTGTGCGAGCGGTTGAGAGGTTGCTGGATCGACTGAATGGAATGATGATGTGGAGGAGGCGGCTTGGAGTTTCCCGTCGTAGTAAGCGAACCGTGGAGGATACGGGAGAGACATGGTGTGAGTGGTGAGGGGTGAGGTGTCGCAGGGTGGAGGAAGTGTTGAAGAGGTTTTGAGATGAAAGTTCAGAGGATGGGGAGGAAATGAGAGGGTGTTGGAAATCTTTCAAGCTAGTCGGTCGGTGCCTCGGCGATGATGTCGTCGAGCACTACCAATGGACAGTTATGTGCTGTGATACGGATACAATGGATTGCATGCAATGTCAAACCTGAAGCTTAATTGATTGTCAGCACGATTTTTTGGGTACTCGTAGAATGATATAAATGAGACGGTTCGTCATTCGGCATGAAGGGACAAGGAGTATTTGGGTATGTCTGCATGCATCTCTGCACGCATGGGGGAGCTTACAGGCGATGACGGAGCACGACGTTTTCCTGGAGGGGTTGGGGTTCACAGGAGACAGACGGGGAGATGATTTACGAGTAGATAGAACAATGGTACGGAGTGCTAGGTATGTGGATTAGGAAATTAACAATAACAAGAAGGGCGAAGAAGAAAACCCAGTTGTGAGAGATTGTCTCTAAAGTGACTCTGGAAGCAACAAGGTAGAGGGAAGCCAAGATAGATGAACGGCGTTACAGCGGCATCATTCGTCAGTATCTACTCCGTATAACTATACTATACACGGTAGGAAAACCCCAGCACTAACTATTTTTACAAGGGCTGTATTGTGTAGATACGTCGGACAGTGTACATTGATTGTGCACTATACTCTGTATGCCAGTGACAGTCCACTACTGTAGAAGAGATAGAGATAGAGATAGAGACGGAGTCGGAGACGGAGACAGAGACAGAGATAGAAGATGGAGATAGACATGGGAAAAAAGTTGGGTAGCGGAACGCCGACTGGAGCAACCCATTCCCAACTAGGTATAGACTAACGCATGGATGTGCGATTAGCGTGCACCGTGTGGCGGGGGAGAGTTTACTTTTTCTAGACTAGCGTCAAGTGGTCATTGCTCCAACCCCCCCCCCACCTGCCAACTTGTCCTACCCTTCCCTTCCCTCCTTCATTGCGACTATGACTACGACTACCGACTACACAGTATAACTACGTCTACGACTAGGTAGTTACTTTTTCTCATCCTCATTCATACCTACTCCACAGGTGTCCACTACACACTTTTTACGTTACATCAATTGCATACCCAGCCATCATTTTCATCAACTCGCTCACCCCATCCTGACCTGACCTGACCTTCAGTCTACCTATCTGTTCTGTTGCACCTTTTCCACGTCTCTATTCTTCCAGGATAACCGTGTCATGCAACAACTAATCTCTTCGTTTCTACACCTTGGCATCTCTTTTTACCATACTAGTTTGAGTATACTATAGCATCGGCCCTCGGTAGCACAGGCATACATCTCTACAGAGTACAGTACTTTGGCTTTGGATTCATTCCTCATTCTTCCATTAGGTATGCCGTCTTTACACCAAGTATTTACATCAAGTACGGAGTAGCACTCCAACCTACACGGCACATGCTATGATACCTAGTACCTCGAAGTGGGGTCTAATACAACTTGCTTTGTGTAAGATATCATCTACCGATAAGAAATGGAAATCTCCTTCGCACCGGACCATAAGAGCTTGCTGCAAGCGGCTTCTCATGGAAGCAACATACTCGGCACGAAATATGATACAAGTATCTAATTCTCCTCTTTGTTCGAGTATTCGACGAACCGACCAACCAGGTCGGTCAACCGCGACAAAATCCTCTCCTCACCGTCCTACTCGCTGCCAAATTCTTCTCCCACACAGATACGGAGCAATGCCACTGCGAATAGCAACAGGGCCCTCAATGACGATGACGATGGCGGCTGATGCACGTGCCTCTGACTTTTTCCGTTTCCACTTAGTACTGTATCAAATTACGTTACTTGCACCCGGCCCTGCCACCCTACCTACCTACTTCAAGGCTACTCGTACAAGTACAGTACCTGTATTACCTGTATTCGCAACGGTCTAACAAGCTCGACCGAGATGTGACCGGAGCGAGCCTGAGCCACCTCCATGATCCATCCGATTCCCAGGACCCATCCCATCACATCCCAGCAACTAGCAACTCCGACCACTAACAACTCCTCATTCACCCAAAGCACGTCCCCAACCAACACCATCGAAAGAGAATTGAGAGAGGAAAAAAAACCCTCTTCCTGGTCAGCCTTTGTTCGAACAGGGCAAAACCTTTTCAACCACTGCATCCTTACTCTGCTCACTAGACCCTCTAGCTCATAGCTCAAACAAATCCGCCCACGCCGCCCTCTTCCCGGTGGACGCCATCCGCCGTCCCCATCCGATCAGCCCATCCTGCCCCGATAAACGTTAATCTGCACTGGTCCTTGCTCGTGCTCGTGCTCGTGCTCTTGCGCGCTCCAAATCGTACCAGCACGAGTGCTAACTCCCTGTCCTGGCCATCTTGGTGCACTTTTGTACTCAATCGGCGTCACCCTGCATAATCTCCATCTATCCACTCTGCGCAGCTGCAAAAAAGTTTGCTGACCTCTACCGTCTACAGCTACCTCTCCCCCAACTCGCGTGCTACTTAATACTTCTACCTTCCCCCTCTCCTCACAGTCTTCAATCTCTATTGGGTGGACACATCTTGGGGTCTTCACCATACTTCAATTTCATCGTCGTATTGCTTCCATCCTTCATAACTTCTCCATTATTCCCCATCCCGCGCGAACATGGCACCCACTACCACCGAACTCCCCAAGGATGCCTCCTACGATTTCGTCATCGTAGGCGGAGGTACTGCCGGCTGCGTGATTGCTTCTCGGCTCTCCGAGTATCTCCCCAATAAATCCGTACTCTTAATTGAGGCCGGGCCCAGCGACTTCAAGGATGATCGCGTCCTCCTCCTCAAGGACTGGTTGAACTTGCTCGGCGGCGAGCTCGACTACGACTATCCCACCACAGAGCAGCCAAACGGCAACTCCCACATCCGTCACTCTCGTGCTAAAGTGCTCGGTGGCTGCTCATCTCACAACACCCTCATTTCCTTCCGACCTTTCGAGTACGACCTCAAGAGATGGGAGCAGCAAGGTTGCAAAGGCTGGAACTTTAAGACCATGACCCGCGTTCTTGACAACCTCCGTAACTCTGTCCAGCCCGTCCACCCAAGGCACCGCAACCAGCTCTGCCTCGACTGGATCAACTCCTGCTCATCTGCTATGAACATTCCCGTGATTCACGATTTCAACCATGAGATCAGGAACAAGGGAGGTCTTGAGCCATCTGTTGGCTTCTTCTCCGTCTCCTACAACCCAGACAACGGCCACCGTAGCAGCGCCAGTGTAGCATATATCCACCCCATCCTTCGCGGCGACGAGAACAGGAAGAATTTGACTGTCCTCACCAACGCCTGGGTTAGCAAGGTCAATGTCAAGGGCAATAAGGTCACTGGTGTCAACGTCACTTTCCAGAATGGCGAGAAGCGCACCCTGAACCCCAAGGCCGAGACTATCCTCTGCGCCGGCGCAGTTGACACCCCCCGCCTGTTGCTTCTTTCGGGCCTTGGACCTAAGGAGCAGCTCACCAGCCTCAACATCCCCGTCGTCAAGGACATCCCTGGTGTTGGAGAGAACTTGCTGGATCACCCCGAGAGTATAATTCTCTGGGAACTGAACGCACCTGTTCCCCCGAACCAGACTACCATGGACTCAGATGCTGGCATCTTCCTCCGTCGTGAGGCGCCCAACGCTGCCGGCGATGACGGCGAGAACGTCGACATCATGATGCACTGCTACCAGATTCCATTCTGCTTGAACACCACAAGGTAAGGCCCGCCCAGTCGCGAGACATTTATAACGTAGAATACTAACAGCGCGCCAGACTCGGCTACGACTCTCCCATCGATGCTTTCTGCATGACCCCCAATATCCCCCGCCCCCGTTCTCGCGGTCGCATCTACCTCACCTCCGCCGACCCCAACGTCAAGCCTGCACTCGACTTCCGCTATTTCACCGACCCAGAGGGCTACGACGCCGCCACCATCGTCGCAGGTCTCAAGGCCGCCCGTGAGATCGCCAAGCAGGCTCCCTTCTCCAAGTGGCTCAAGCGCGAGGTTGCACCAGGACCCAAGGTCCAGACTGACGAGGAGCTGTCCGAGTATGGCCGGCGCGTCGCCCACACCGTCTACCACCCTGCCGGAACCACGAAGATGGGAGACGTCGCCAAAGACGATCTCGCTGTCGTCGACCCCGAACTCAAGATTCGCGGCCTCCAGGGCGTACGTATCGCTGATGCCGGTGTTTTCCCTGAGATGCCCACCATCAATCCCATGCTTACTGTCCTCGGTATCGGTGAACGTGCTGCCGAGCTCATCGCCCAGGAGTGGGGATGGAAGGGTCTCCAGAAGGAGAGATTGTAGACGTCATCATCAGAGTGCACTTCTTGTATGAGGACATCACAGAAGTGTGCGCCATACGATGGGCCGGAAATGTACACACTCTGAAGAACGAAGTCACGATCTACGAGCCAGAAACATAAGAACACCGCCAGATTGATAATCAATTCTGGAAAGCCAGGGTTGTACGTAACCCCACGCCTGGGTGCTGATTTTATTCTGTACCCCAAGTAATACCTGGTGCAATTACTGGATGGACGTGTTTCAAAAACATTCTATATTTTTATGTATCATGATGTTGTACGAGAACGAATTTTATGGTAAAGGGCGCCAATATCCCTTTTCATTTAACTTTGACAATTGAGCGTATATATTCTATTTAGGAATTTATCCCAATGACAGGACATGTGGATTTTCAAAATTTTATTTGCATAGTGCTTTCTCAATGATTCGATTGAAAAAGTGGGTTCATGAAACACTGCTCACGTGATGAACATACAACACATGCATTAACTTAACGCTTTCAGGCCTTCAATACACTTGACAACTTTGATCGTAGCAATCCACATTAAGACACTGGGCTCATTTCCAGTCCCATGGCCTCAACGTTGCATGTTCGTCGTCACCTCAATGTTACTAACCACCATTTATCCTAAACAAAATATCTATGATAATGTACAAAAAGTACAATAGTCAAGCTCAGTGCAAGACTTTGAAGATAAATAATGCAATAATGATTAGGCACATAAGTAGTATGCCTGAGAGCTACGGAACAATTACCGGGCTGTCCTGTATGTATACATCCTCGCGACAGGCTGCCAAGATAGTATATGCAACCAAAACTTTGGTATCTTCGATAACAAGAAAGATGTGAAAACATTCGTTGCATCAGTTGTGGTGTACAATTAATAGTATAATATATAGTAGTGGTATCAGTAATTCAAAGGCAGTGCTTGCTGGATCATCACGCCCTCTTTATTTGAGGCTGCAAGTTTATATACAAGTTTTGTTAACGCGTTTTGCAATATGTTCGATTGAACCTCTCGATGGCGGGTTAGGTTCAAGCATTCATGTATAGGAAGTGAGGAAACATTTAAACCCGCATACTGCTCCTCCTAGGACTCCTTGGATCCGGACTTCTGGGTCCAGCCTGACTTACACCGTCCCACCACGTCTTGTCCTTCGGCCGTCGGTGTGGCATGTTCTCCCGGATATCCGTCTCCCTGTCCATGCTCGCGGCGCGGGACCGAGAGCGAGTCCTCTTCATCGTCGCCTCGCTGGGTTCGATATAGCTCCGCCGTGAAGCCCTCCTGTCGTCATCGGCTACGAAACTACGTCGCGTGCTACCCCTCGGTCCGAGGTCGTCTGCTACGTGACTTCTCCGGGTGCCGCTGGACAGTTTTCCGTTGCCCACGATGCCTGCGGAGACGGGGCGCTGCTTCCTGCGTTTCTGGCCCGTCGCTGGTGGTCGTCGTACGTAATGGTAGGTATCCGGATCTTTCTTCGCGAGCTCGCGCTCGAGTCGCCAAAGGGGGGCTTCGGGCAACACCTTCACGGCTGCTTCGTCCCTAAATTTGAGTTTCCAGAAGACGTCCGGGTCGCCTGATTTGGTGTTTTGGGTGCCGTAGTCGACGACGAGCTTGTAGTTGTCGGTCAATGCGCGACACTCGTAGAGCCCTTTGTCTGAAACGCCGGGACCGTCAAGGCGAAATCGAGCTCGTACTGAAGGGTGTATGTATTCGTTTGTCTGGCGGAGGGGTCGATCGGTTGGACGGCCAGTGAAGGGGTTCGCCTCGCGGTACATGCCCGGTGTGCGAAACTGGGGACCATTAGTCGATAGCCCACCACTGAAGAAATAAAAGGGCCACCAGTACTTACAGAGCCGCCTCCAAGGGAAAATAGACCCGTCATGGAGTTGTAAATCTCACCAAATGACCATGGTCGTACCTTTTGGCCTGTCTTGTGGTAATCACGTGCCGTCTCGTCGTCTTGCTCGAAGAGATACTCGTCCCTCATGTCCAGTAAAGGCTCCAACTGGCTCATCATCCAAGCTAATGTGATGTTGGCCAGCTGCTGGTCACTGTAACCACCTCCTACATTGCTGTGTACTCCAGGAAACCATACCTGTCGTAACGTCGTTCGATTCCCTTCTCCTTTTTCCCACACCGCAGGCGAAAAAGCGCTTCGCTTCTCATCTAGCGCGAGGGCCTGAAATGCATTCTCCACACAGCCGTGCAACTTTGTGTCGTAGAAGGCCATCTCTTTCGATTCCCCACTTTGCAATCCGACCTTGGTCAGCCATCCAATCCGCGGTGTCCCAAGACTCCCAACGGTATCCCAAACGGCAATCGCCTTGATCGGAATATCGAGTCTTGTCAACCCTCGTCGCTCCAACTCATCGGCGTACCGTGGATCCTCGGCGCTCGGTTTATTGGGGAAGGGTATGTCAGGGTTCTTGGCCACATATCGAGGGTCTCTGCGATGCTGCACATCCTTGTGGATCTCCGGGAGCGCATGCAACCCCTTCTTTGTGAGTAACCCAATCTCCCCAATGAGCCCAGCAATCGAACGAGCTGTGAATGCACCGCGGGAGAAACCTAACAAGAAAATCTCATCGCCGTGGTGGTAGTTGTTTGCCAAGAAACTGTACGCCTCTCTCACCGTGTCACCGAGTCCCTCCCCCGTCGTGCCACTGATCAAACGATCTAGCTTTCCGCCCTGCGTTCCAAGGCCATAGTGATAATTCACAATCTGGGGGATGCCGTCCTGACTGACCGTTTTGATGGCTCTGGATATTCGTGTGACATTGGATGGTACAGGGAGTTTTCCGTTGACCATGCCATTGTCGGAATTGAGCCACGTGCCATCGCACGCGACGATAAGTCTCTTGAACATGCCCCTTCCACCGCTTAGACCGGGTGCACTAACACCTGGTGGACCTCGACTCTTTGGTCTGCCAGTGAGAACGGACTCGTCGATGACGATGGGCGGTCGTTCAGGCATCTCTACGACTATGGGCGCGGGAGTTTGGGTTAAGGCTCGACTTGCTGGCCGGCTTGGGGCGCGGCTTCTGCTCCGCGCGGGCGAGTACGCCATAATTGCTGGTGCCGCAGCGGCGGCTGCTGTCGATCGTCTTCGTCTTGCGCGCTGGTTCTCTTTGCCGGATCCTGAGTTTGTCGTTACACTCCTTCTCTTGCTCGAACTCCGGCGAGGGACAGTACTCGATTCGGACTCGGAGGGCGAATATCCGGAGTCGTACTCCGGCTGCAAGTAACTCGATGCCACGGTTTCTACGAGATAATTTAAACGATAGCTACAAGGTTCTGGCGATTCATCGACTGTCCCTTATTTGTGGACGTGTCGAATGATTCGCTGGAGATCCAGAAGTGGTACCGACTTTATGCGATACTTGAAGCGCTGCGCATAAACGGGAAGCCCTAGAAGGCCTGTGGATGAATGTCGAGGCAATTGATGGGAAATCCTTGGGGAGAGCGAAACCTATGCTGCTACTGCATCTACCACGTGGGGAATAAGAGGAAAAGTCGATATGGTTCAGCAGTCCTGTGGTCCTGTGACGGGATCCGACAATTGGTTTTGGTAAGGAACGAACAGGTACGACAAGGAAAAATGCTGTGGCTGCAGTCTGCGAGATAGTTGGTGGTTCGCCTCACTCTCGCTTCTTTTCTGGTCTGCCAGCGAACGAACAAAAGCGGCCTGGGTGAGTATTGGCGTGTCCTAGGACGGGAGAAAGTTGGATGCAGCCGTCTTCACTCTTTCAATACGAGCAATCGTGAATATAGTCTCGCAGTCTTTAGATCTTCCAGATCGGTTTGTAAGGTGCACGAACGATCGAATTGTCGAAACGTTGCATGTACTCCGTAAGCAGCGCAGGACAGTAAGTCAGGCCGGGTGCATTGGGTCCGGATTCCTCCAAATTCCTATCCCTCCGATAAATCTTGCGCTCGAAGAATCAAGTCCCGTCCAAACCGAAGCAATCCAAGTTGATGCAGCGAAATCCGTTCCCAAAGACGTCGAGTCCGACTCTTTTCTTTTTGTCGAATGATAGACTCGGAGAGAGCCGTGCGAGCGCGCAATCCGGGCCTATGGCGCAATGTAGGGCGGATGTCGAACCGCGCAACTTGGCTCCAAACAAATGCTGTAGTTAGGGTAAAACAAAACGTCGGATTGTCCAAAGGGAGAGCAGAGGTACGGAGTACTCGTAAGTGATGGCAGCAAGAGAGCGCAAAGCATGCAAAAGGCAAAAGGGATAGTTAATCGACAAGAAAAGAAAATGGGAAAGTCGTGTGGTTGGGTTTGGGGCTCTTGGGGGCAGCACTGGCAGTTGCTCTGTTCCCATAGTGGACATGGCGGGCGTCTCTGATTGGCTGGTGCTTCTCATTCGTCTTCGCTGGCTGGTATCGTTGGGTTGGTCCACCGCCATCATCACCCATCACCATCATCACATCACCATCACCATCATCAGCATCACCACTCTCTCTTCGACTGTTATGTTGTCTACACTAGTTGTACCGCATAGAGGAGTAGAATACTCAGTACTGAGTATTCCACAAACAAAGGAAACCTTTCTTTACGGAACACAGAGTAACTTTTCATTTATCATTATCCCCCTAACTACCTCTCTCACCACATAAAGTCAAAGGAGGCTGGTAGCGACTCGTACCTCTTGCCGTGGCTGGGGGATCTACAACCGCATCCCTACCCAAGTAAATATGTAACTTACCACCAGAGGATACTCGTAGGACGGGTAAAGAGTACTCGTAGTTGTAAGTACTCCGTACTTATGGTGCCCTATCACCGAGCGGCCTGTTACATATAAGTACATTGGGCCATTGGGCCTTGACAACACGCTCATGGTATCACAACCCTTTCCTCCCTTCTTACTCAACTCGAATTACTCTAGTCCTCGTGGCCACCGCTCGCTGTCCACATCCAGTGCCTTTAGCTGGAGGGATACACCTTGTTGGTTACATACAATACTGCCGTCCACTTCACTACCCATCTCATTAGTTATGTATTGCTTCCGGTGAAGACGCAAAAAAGAAAATCCACTTGTGGGGTTCAGACCTTCTACCCTGCATATGATTGTTGTACCTTTTAACACTCGGTACCTATCTACCCTACAGACTACGGTCTACGTAGTATACCGCGTAGTATTTCGCGAGTGGGTACGGAGTATATAGAAATGCGATATGGGTACAAGTATTCTGTTCGTGCGAAGAGAACAATTCGGTCAAGGGATGAGGAGGACCATGCACACCGCCCAGATTGGACCTGTTACGCGTGCGATGTGAACGCACGTTGACAAATGTTCTTCTACGTTAATTACTACGTATTCCGTACAGACACGAACAGTATTCCTCCATGCTGCAACGGATCTTCTAAGTTCTAGTACATACACAATGACGGTGTACGGAGCAGGGTAACACCTCAGTCACCTCGTAGGTCGAGTAGAATTAGCTACATGCATATGTGGACCTCATCTAGTGAAGCCAATGCCCCGGACCCCCTGGTCCCCGCAACATCAATCGTTCTGGTGAGCTGTCCACCGCAAGTTTCGCGGGTCTGGCTACTAGCTTAAGTTAGCTGCCGAAAGAAGATAAATGCTCGCTTGATGATTGATACTCGGATCTCGCTCGTGTGGCCGCTTCGTCGAACAATGCCGCGATGCGAAATCACTAGCCATGGTCAATGGACGAGGTCGAGATGAAGCATGAGCAACGGGAGCTGTAGAAAGGATAATTGAAACGTATAAATTGTTTTTGTTCTTGGGTACGCTTCATATGCTCCAATTTTGGTAAATTCACAGACATTCTGCTTTTTCTTCATCTTGTTCTTGCACTACATAGCAGAGCACAGCTGTCACTTTAGCGCAGTTTCCATATGTGCAAAGTTGCACCCCATACTGTTCGTCGTCGATCACAGACGTTTTGACCGTAATAGATCCGATCTTTCCAGAAAATCCTTTGGAAAAAAAGATGAGATGCGCAGAGAAATAATCACGATGAAAATGATGACAATCAACCGGCCGAGTAAACAACCAGCGCCCCTCAGCTCCCATAACAAAACGAGACCATATCGTACAACCCACTTAGCGAAAAAGAGAAATGCCGAAGGATATTCACCGCCCTATTCGTATCATCGCACTCGAATCGTGCTCGTCGAATCTAGATTCGCGAGACCCGTGTTGCGCGAGCAAGCTACCGGAATAACCGTCTAGGATATTTAGAGCACAAAGATGGAGATGGAGAAGAAGAAGAGCGAAAAGAGAAGAGATGAAGGGTAATAAAGTCATATGATCAGCAGGAAAGTAGTGACCAGGTTGGTTGGTGGACATTGTGACTGTAAGGAGATTCGTTAAATAGACATGACCGCCCGGAGCGGAAGCGCCTTCGCACCATCCGCACTTTAATAATCGTCGAACAGATCCTCGAGTTCATCGAGCTCGATATGTTCGGGGCCTTTGGGATCCCAATTCCAGTCGAGGTCGGGATACTCCATCCTGGACGCGGTGCGCTTCAGCGCAGTGTGGGGGGTCTCAATTGACTGCACCGGTTTGATGAGCGGACTACCGGGAGAGAGGTCTGAGGCATGGAAATTGGAGAGGTGGCTCATTGAGCCGAATAGCGCAGCTGCGGTCTCCGAGTTCTTCCGCGCGGCACTCTCCTCGGTCTCGTCCATGGCTTGCGAAGCGTCGTCCATGATCACGTCTGTCGACTGTGTACCGGCAGCCGATGAGCTGGATACGCGCTGGCTTTCCGCCTCCTGGCTCTTCCTCCTCTGTTGGAGGAAGGAGGCAGTCTGCGTAAATTCACGCTCGTCCTTCTCCAAGGGAGGCGATTGGGCCCGTCGATTGTGTGCTATGTTTACAGAGGTTGGTGGATGCGATTGATTCGAGAAAGGATTACTGTCGCTCTCCTCATCCTCTTCGTACGAAGAGAATTCCAGCTCCGGCGAAGGCGACATCCGATCGCGCGAGCGTGCCTCGGCATCCTCAGCCTCCTCAGACGTGGCTGAAGAAAGCGACGGGGAGATGATCCTTGCGGTGGAAGGAGCACTACTCGGGTTGGTTGGGATGGGCTGGTGCGGTGATGTAGTGAGAAAGTAGTACACGCGCTTCGGATGGGTACCGACGAGCTTCTTATCGAGGGGGCATCTTGACAGCGCAGTCCAGGAACGCTTCAGGTAGGTCGCTAGTCGCGAGGATATTATGGCGGCGGGATTTGCAGAGCTGTTGTTCGTCAGCAAGAATGGATTGGACCTACAGGGGGGTGGCGTTTGTGGGGGAGGAGGGAGAAGGGAAAGGCAAGGGCTGGGTACATACCTTTCGACGATAGGAATTGTAGTGGAGAGAATTGCGGCTAATTCCTTGAGTAGGTGAGGTCTATTGCCCGTCTTCTCGAGTTGCTCAATGACGCCCACGACGATTGTGTCATCAATGCCTTGGGTGTCTATCTTCCTTTGTCCAGACTCACCGCCAGGGGAGGGAGGCGGGGTGTCTGCAACACGGCCTGAGCTTTTTGGTCGATGCTCATCGATGCGCAGGGAGGTCGATTTGTTGGACTGGCTGTCGGCGGCGGACGTGTTGGATGTGTTGGATGTGATAGAGTGTGTGCGCTTGACTTTCTTTTGTGGTGGTTGTTGGTGCTGAGAGTCTATTGTTGTGGCAGGCGGTGAGCGAGCTAACGGTCGGCCAGGGAGAGCTATGCCTAGGGAAGGCAGCGACAGCGACTTGCGGCGAGTATTGTAAGGCATGGTGGAGATGATGGATGAGGATGATTGCCGCGCGATCGTCAAGAGGAGGAGATAAAAGAAAGGGATGGGAGGGAAAGAGTTGAGAGAGGGATGGGAGGGAGAAAGAGTGAATGAGAAGCGGCGAGGGAATTATGGTCTTGCGTCGCAAAATAATTATTTTTTGATGCAGAGTGAGCAGAACAAGACCGGGGGAGGAAGGCACGAAGGGTAGGTACTAGCTAGGCAGGCGCCGACTGGGGGGAGGGTGGAGGGAAGGAAGGAAGCAGGGGAGGGAGGGAGGGAGGGAGAGCAAGAGCGGTGGCTGTTGGTTGCTTGTTACAGGTGGCGGTTGGTGGGTTTTTGGTTGTTGCAGCAGCAGCAGCAGCAGCAGCAGCGGCAGCAAGTTACGTCTAGGACCTGTCACCAAGGTAGGTACGGAGTAGTAGTTAACTACCCAGTAACCAGATATGTAGTTACTGTGTATGGTACGAGACTACGAATAGATAGGTAGGAAGCTCGGAAGGCAGGTATCGAAGAATGTCAGGGAGACGATTGGGCGAGTGAATACCCTGGCAGGCGAGGTAAGGCGAGGTAAGGCAAGGCTGGGTCATGCAAGGTCGGAATCGGGTTGGTGGTCAAAGGTTGTCGTGTACAACGGCTTCTCTTCTCAAGTCGCGAATGGTATGTGTATGTGGACGTGAGTGTACGGAGTACGTGTAGGATGTATGACGCTTGGTGTTGGATGTTCGATGCTCGATGCTCGATGCTCGATGTTTGATGAATGTTGAATGTTGTATGTTGTCTGAATGTGATCGATGCTGACAGCGTCCAGCGTGCATGCAGTTGCTAGGCGACAAATCTTCGAGGAGCGAGGAGAAGGATGAGGAGGAGAGGAATAAGAAAGGAGAAAGAGGGAGGGAGGACGTGAGAGTGGAAGAAAGAGGAGGTGGAAGAGGAAGAGAGGAGAGAGTAGATGTGTGAGAGAAAGAGAAGGCGAGAGTAGATGGAGTAGAGAGGAGAGTAGCAATGGTGGTGGTGGTGGTGGTGGTGAATAAGGTAGTGATGGTAGTGGACGGGCAGAATTAATGCTCAGGAGGCGTTGGGGCGGTGGAACTACGTAGGTAACCGCGTAACCGGCGATGCGCTACTGGCTGGTTTCGGATTGCTCTTTTAAGGCAGCGATGGATGAGATAACTGCCTACCTAGGTACCTACTCAGTACTGATCCTCCCGTACTCCGTACATACAGGTTCTAAAAGAAATATAACTACCTAGGTAGGTACAAGTACATTGAGTCAAGGTCAGCTCTTCCAAATCATGGAGCAAAACGATGGAGGAGATGGTGATAAACCCTGTCAAAAATTGGCGGCACGGGTGGATTGTTTGATGGAGCGATGAAGGAAGTAGGACGTTTAATCTAGCATGGGATAAGATGAGATACGGATAATAGTTAGTAGTAGTACATAGTACTCCGTACTCCTCAGTGGTAATTTAGGAAAAAAAAGAAGACGAAGAAGACGGAAAGAAGAAGAAAGTGGAGACGAGCTGGTTTGAGTTTCTGCCCTGACGACTACAAGTAACTACCTAGGTAGGAACTACTACGAGGTTACTAACCACCTAACCACCTATGGTATGTACTTGTACCTACCAAGTTACGATTTACTAACGGACTAGTCCTATCCAAGCTAGATAAAGGACGTGCACGGTGAATGTCAATGTGAATGTGAATCTTAATGGCCTGTCAACCTATAGAGTATATAGGTAGAGACAGACACAGCGGCATACTTCTATTGTTCGACCCTTTTGCTTCTTCCTGCAGAACCTAGGGGTATCTACCTACCAACAATAGGGAGTAATAACCTAGGTAGGCACGGAGTGCTTAGGTAGTCCGGTGAAGTCGGGTAGGGCAGGCCCGGTAGGGTAGGTTGGGGACCGTTTCAGGGATCACGTCTTCGGCGAGTTGCAAGATGCATGTTAAAAAAAACCAGACAGACCAGAGAACTTAATGGATTTGATCATGGCCACATCCTACGAGTATTCCTAACCCTACGAGTAATACCAGTAACTCTGGATCTGCCCTACCTCGTCTCATGTCATGTATGCCTACCTAGGCTAGGTACTTACGCCGTGCAAGTGATTTTCTTTCCCTACCACTCTCTTCATTCTTCAGTTACGAGTTTGCCTGCCATTCACCTTTTCATAGCGCACTTCCTCCTCTTCCTCGTCCTCCCCCCTACTCTACAGATTCTATCGATTTAAAACTACGGAGTACAAGCAGACTAATATGTTTGCATAGTCCGCAGATGCCCGCAGTTACCGGACTTACCACACATCGTATACAGCTAACCAATCTTGGGACGGCTGCCTCGTCCCACACCGATGGCCACGCGACTGGTGGCTTGGGAACTAAGGAACGGAGGGGAGAAAAATATAAATGGAACTTGTCTAGTTGGGTCATGGTCGTTAAAAATGAAATCATTAAGAGCCATATCCATGTTCACCTCGGTGGTGATTTCATCGGCTGGACCCTTTTTCCATGAGCTGGGGCTTTTTTGGGGCGATGGACGAACGGCTCCGCCCTATAGCACCAGCAAGCAAATGCTTCGTGTTGGTCGCGGTGCGAGTATTCCCTAGTACTTGGGGTGGTTGCCCGAAGAACTACGTAATCATTAACCACCTGTGATCTAGGTATATGTACTTGTAGGAAAACCCTATGAGCCGAGTATACTTCATATGCTATTACCAACTGTTGTGGAGAGGTCTCAGGTATTACTACCATGTACAGAGTACTCTGTACCTTTTTTTCGTAGGTATTGTACAGGCAATTCGATACTGGTCCTTCCCTGTTGCTGTAGGCTAGATCAAGTATATGTGACTCGTGAGGATGGCATGATGTGATTGATGTACTCTGTACGGAGTAGATACGGAGCACATGTAAGGTGTAAGGTGCAGTACATAGATAATCGAATCATTCAGTTATTCATCCATCTTTCTACTGGCTCATGTCTCCCTCCTCTCTCTCTATCTGTCTCTCTCACACACTTTTTTTTTCTTTTTAGCTTTGCCGAGCTTGGGCGAAACGGGCGAAACGAGCAAAAGACTGGGGGCCGGACAAGGTCTTACCCCTGTCCTTGCATATCTGACTACACCATTTCCATATTTAGGCTCCATCGTTATCCCGGTAATTCCTTGGACACTCACTAACCACTTGTAGCACTTTTTTCATCATCTTCATCTTGGTCTTCCTTGTATGCGCGCGCCCTCTCTATGTTATGGGTCTCTCTTCCTCTTCTTCCTTTTTTTCAAAAAAAAAACTTTGTTTACCCCTGTCAAAATAGTCGATCCATGTCAACAAACCATGCCAGCCCATGTCATCCTGGCCCATCCATGTCATCCGCCTCCATGATCATCTATTCTCTTTTCGAAGGCGGTGAAGCAGAAAACTCATTGGACGGGAAAAAAGTTCTCTGATATACTGTGTACTTTGCTGTGAACTGTGTGGTTGTCCATGTACACTCCGTAGTCTGTACATCTTGACATCCATGCTGCCGTGTGAACCTCGGGCGAGCCAGGTACGCCTGCACTGCACTGCACCAGCTCTTCCGCGTGTCACCGACCGATAACGCTACAACATCATGCACTCGACCGTTCACTGCTGTAACTACCGGCGGTACGGTGTACATGTGCACGATACTCCAAACTAGACAAAGGACGAGGATTGACACGACTCGCAGCTCCAATCCTCGCCATGCTGTACTCCGTACGACAGGTAGATATCTCATGCAATGCATGCTCGCCTGTTTCTGGAAGGCTGCGCGGAGCATAGAATAGTAGTTTCGCAAACCTGCCTCTACCTACTCCATACCCAACCTACACGGTAGGATACACCGTCGCGGTAGGTAACTACCCCGTACTGTGTACTTGTATGTACAAGTAATTACCTCGTGATTTTGTTACTCGAAGATTTAGAGCGTAGCATAGCGTGGCGTGGTCGTCCCCTCAATCAACACACGCGACGTCCCACCCAAGAGCCACACCACGACAGATGGCGTTAAACCACGGTCGGTTTTTTTCCCTCCGTTCTCTTTTCTCTGGCTTTTTTTTTAAGGAAAAGAAAACTTGCTGATGCTTAAATTAATATATATTATTTCCCCAATCGGATGACTCGCAATTACTAACCTGCACGCTGCACTTCGTTCCACTGGGACTAGGTTCCTACTCTGTATGTACTTGCAGCCTGTAGGCAGTCCTCCGTACGGAGTACACGAAATGTACTTGTACCTAACCGTTCTGCCATTGCCAATGATCATCCATTATAATGATACCTACGGTACTACACCACTACGCGTGATACCACGTAGTACGGATTGTACATACTTGTACTACTTGTAGTCTTGTATGTACATTCCTTCGCTTCTGCCGCCGGCCGTCCCCCTCTCTGCCGAATGCTTCCTTGCCAATCAGGCAACGGCTCGGATGCGCCATGTCAGATCCCCAGGCGATGGGGCTGCTGTTACTGTTTCTGATCATGACAGTCATGGATCAGGCTTATAAGGTTATTGCTTTTTTTCTTTGGGCACAAAGTTATGGCACCGCATCACTTTCTGTCACGATGCCCTACCTGTAGCCTGGTAACCTGTTCCTTATCAATTCCGCCCTTTGTTTGTCTATCCACGTCCGTAACTATGGGGAATACCTTAGCATTTTCTAATTACCGTATCGCATGACTGCCAGTAGACACGCCTATTGAACCTACCACTAGTCCTTTGCATCTAGATCTACGGAAACCACGGAAATGATTATTACTTGTACTGGTACTGGTACTCCGTACATGAGCTTTCAGGAATCTTCGTATTTGCAACGAGGTCGTTCCTGTCGAAGTGGGGCGTGACGCGACAACCTCCGTCGTGATGCGAGATGTCCCGGTACACACTCAACTCTTCTTGCAACTCTCTCTCTCTCTCTCTCTCCAAATTTAGTACAGCATGCTCCGCTCCTCTTGAAATATCCAGTATGAACAGACCGTACAGAGTACATAGGTATGTAATTAGGTATCATATGTAAGAGATGCGCCTAGTGCGCGCGACACACACTCCGATGATGAATACGTGCATCCACATGTATATAATCACACCAAACGTTAATGCGATGTGAATCCGAATCAGTATGGCAACAGGAGCCTAAAAGTATACAAGCAGAGCGGAGTCAGGACCATCCTATGATCCTCCATCGAACCCCGCTCTCCCCGTCGCTTCACCTGCTCCATTGATGCTTTTAGTGCCCAATGCTTCTTTGATAGCTTTAGGCTTCCCCCTCCTCCGTTCCACCTCATTCATCATCATCATCACACAGAAACGATCTATCAGCCCCACCATTGCAGGCTATACTATACCGTACAAGACAGCCGATCAATGGCACTACTCCGTACTGGCATGTTGATGATGACAAGTAACACATTCGGTCGTTCCAAGCAGCGAGCTTTTTCCACTCTGTTGGCGATGCGATGCTGTCGATCAGGCGTTCGTTTGCGGCGAGATATCTATCTAGTACGAGGCAAGATGAGGAGTAGATAGAGCATTACGGATCATCCAATCTGTTACTCCGTAGCGATAATCTTATTCCGTTTCTGCTCGATGCTATAGGTACGAGGACGAGTGTGTTGTCGACCTGGCACCCTGGGTATCATTGGGATGTCACTGCATTATTGACTGCTGTATCATTGTGCATGGAGCCTCACCTCCAAAGGGCCCACCAAGACCTCTGTGCAACCTGACGACTGTTATTGGTCGACAGATCGACCTTCCCCACAGCAACAGCTGCATCGTTATTGTTATTATCACCATCATCAACAACAACATCACCATTCATACCCATACCCCTCTTCAGTCCCGTCCTTGGCCTCAATTCAACCCACCAAGTAGTCCCGAAATTATACCTCTTGATCTCCACAACCTCCAGTCCGCTCTCCTCAACAATGGCCCCAATGTCCTTATTCCACCAACACCCGTGCTCCACCGCATGCTGCGGCGCCGTGCGATCCAGCAGACCATTCAACCACCCAAAATAGCTCTTTCCATGCTCCAACAATAATATCCTCCCCCCATCCTCCCTAGTACACCTCTCCAGATTTCTCAGCAAATCCACTGGCCGCGACGTAGAACACAACCCCATGGTCTGAATCACGGTGTCGAACCCCCCGTGCGATCCGTATGGTGGTACAATTTCATCGAGCGCAGATTGCTGCTTAAACACCACTCGTCCAAAGTACTCTCCGCCGTGTGTGTCCCTCCACTTCCTCTTCGCGACGCTCAGCATCGGTCCACTAGAATCTAGCAATGTGACTGTATCGCATCGCTTCCTCGGGTAATAGTCGATGTTTCTACCTGTGCCCACCGCAACCTCTAACACATGGCCCTTTGCCTGTTCCGTCAATGCCTTTCGCTTCGACGATAATCCGAGAAGAATTTCTGCAATGTTGACTTTCTCGTCATAACCCTCGGCTTCCTTATCGAATCTGTCAGAAACGTCGTCCGGGATGTCGCTCGGCGGATCCCGAGAGAGAGATATCCATAGTTGTACGCTGTAGAGGCCGATTCCGAAGGCGGCCAGGCCGCAAATTAGGAGCGGTGTCTGCCGCCAGCGCGTTACTTTTGCGCGGTGTAAGGTTTGTGAGGAGGCAAGCTCGAGCTCGTGTTGGCGGGGGCGAGGCGGCGGGGGCGTGAAGGCTCGCGGGGGAGACTGCGTTGATGATGATGGCTTCAGTTTCGAGGACGGAGATTTCGGAGGGGAGTGAATCTCGGGTTTATTGTCTCTTGCAATGTGCCATTGTTTTGCTCGTGCTTGTGCTTGTGCTCGTGATTGCGTTTGCGTTTGCGTTTGCGCTTTCGGTGGTGGTGCTCGATGAGGGGTCTTGGCGAGCGGAGCCTTGCCCAATGTGCCTTTTGGCACTTTTGGGAGCTTCGCCATGTTGCATATACCCAATTTTGGTCGTCGAATAGGTGCCTTGCGTGGCTGCGGCGGGTCAATGGGAGGTGTGAAAAATGTGTTCTGATCAACTCTGCAGATTGTTTGATGTAATTTCCTCGCTTGAGCACTTGTGTTCCGATGGTCGATTGGCGCATCACCTCACCGCCTTCGGTTCCGGCCCTCGGATGCCTGTCGAACGCCGGACGTGGAACGTCCAAGGCTCGAAGAGGTTTGACTCAACCCGGTCTGTGGCCCGGGTGGGCAGTGGGCGGCGGGCGGCGGGAGCCAATGCAGTATGTATGTACTGTACTTTAGTAACATCAAATTAGGTACTTGTAGTTACGCGAGAACGTGGCTGCAAATTGTAATATAGTGACTGTGTTACTGTATACACTGTTGGTTAGTTACATACACATTACGAAGGACTCTGTAGCTGCAACCTCCAGGTACACGTAACTAGTTGTATGTATTATGTTCTTATCCTACCGGTAGATATTCAGGTAGTGTGTTGTACAGCCAGCGTACTCGTTATTATCAGTGTAGTATTGACAACATGCAAGAGACACAGCAATTTGGATATCAACTGGAATCAGGCATGTGGTCAAATTCCCGATTCTCCTATCAAAAGAGCAAATTCAGCTCATTAGTCGATTCCTAATCTTTGGAAGAGAATAAGTTAGTTTAGTCAGGTTCATAACCAATAACTATAACACACAGGCGATCCACTTGAGACAAAATCTCCGATGAACAATAATGCATGCATGCGTATATGAACACTGTTTCCCAAAAATGAGATCTCAGAGAGCAAACTATGGCATCAAGATTTGAGATAACTGTATGGGAGCAAACAGACATATGAACTAGCATTGCTGAATTTTGTTGGAGATATGGAGCTCGAAGAACAAATTGTAGGGAGGCTGGGTATCTTTCAAAGCAAGTTGCGCTGTTAACCTCTTCGCAAACAATGCGCGTGCAACGCGCGAGTGGATACCGGCAACAGAAGGAATATGAGGAATAGAACGCCTAGAGCTATGCTGGCGCCAACGATGAATGTACATCCCCCGAAATGCTAAAAGCAGAAGAAAAGAATCCAATCAAATAGCCAGAAAAGAACCCCAGTGCAAAGAAAAGTCGTGATTTATGACGTAGGCAGTTGTGGCGCAATCGCAAGATGGGGTGCAATGTTTACTCCTCCATCCTGGCCTACTGATTTTCGCGAAAACCATTCGAAAGCAACTGGTAGGAATGTCGGGCAACTGTACGGTGCCAACGGAAGGCAATGACCAGGACAGCAATCACGGGGACGCACGCCCAAAAGAACACTGAAGAGGTGTCGCAGAGAAGTCCATACTCACATGCCGGCGACGGCGACGATGAGGAGGAAGAGGAATCAACCGGCTGCTGGTCATTCTGGGGTTCGGGAATCTTGGACCCGTTTGGGTTTGTATCCAAGGGTTTCTCCTTATTGCCTGGTGCGCCCACGTTGGGGTTCTCCTCTTGCGTCTGTGGCTCGTCTGTGTTGTCCATCTGTTCCTCGTTCTTCTTCTGTTGTTCCCGTCCGTACTCGTTTTCGACCTCTTCCTTGTTCGCGGTCAGCGCCTTTTGCTGACTTGCAGTCTTCTTTCTGATCGCGTCGGCGAGCGGCTGGAAGAACACTTTTGCAACCTTTACATCTCCTTCTAGATTGGTATGCTCGCCATCGTCGGTGTCCTTCATGGGATCGAAGCCATGGAAGTTGTCAACTAGAATGACGGGGGACCGCTCTGTGTTCATCTTCTCAATCCATGGTATGGTGAATTCGTTCAGTCTTTCGACGCGCTCAGGCGCTTTTCCGAACTTGCCGGGTCGGAGAGGAATAAGTAGCGACCACTGTGTTTTTATCCGTCAGCGTATGTATACAAAATTGTGCCTCACTAGTTCTCATCATGGTTCCATCTCGTCCCCGCAAATCCGTTTGGCCCTGACCATGCGGCGCAAAAATAGTTCCTAGGATTTTGGAGATTTCGATTCTGCAAGCCGCCTTTCTAGACGCTTGGACATGTTTTGTCTGTCGCTACTACTTACAAGGACGATAACATCTGGATTCTTCTGCCTCATTTGTTCCAGCAATATAGTGAAGTTGCCAATTGTTTCTTCGGCTGGCTTCTGCTGAATAGCATCGTTGGATCCAAGATGCACCACAATGATGTCCGGGTGTGTGTATTCCAGTATTGGACGTAGGAGGTCTTTCTTCACCATTACCCAGGCTTGTAAACCCGAGGCGCCGTCATGTTCGGCATCGAACCCCACGAGTTCTTTCTTGCCGCATCGCTTGAACTCTTTTCGGGTGCCTACGAAATCGACATTTTTGATGTTTGCATCTTGCAACATGTTCCAAAGATTGCCGCGCCAGCATCCAGGGTCGCCGACGATAGAGCCTCCAATGAGGTTGACGCGTATGGGTGCCGCAGAGACCGGGTCTATCGCGACGGGCTTCGCAACACTCTGACCGGCGAGTATGCTGAGCCCAAGGGCTGCAATAGACATAAGACTGGGCATCTTGTAATATAGGAAGACAGCGAGAGAAAGGAAATCCAGCGAACGTTATGCAGGGAATGTGGGGGAGGCGTGCCAGCGGTTTCTGTTTCCTAGAAACCCTTCGTTAGGCGTTGGCGACACTTCTGATAGGCTATGATGTGGTGAAGCGCATCGGCGAGTATGCAATAATAACAATTCGAGGAGGGGTCGAATGCTGATATGTAGCCCCTCGAACGGTATATGTAGTCGTACAGATGAGGGAGCTTCAAGGCCGGACATGTTCTTGAGACGTGCGACGATTAGTACTCCTTAAGTAAAAGTCCGCTGTGGGAGGATCGTCCCCCTTGTGCCACATGGAGAATTCATGACGGGTCTTATGAAAGACGGTGGAGATTAGACAGCAGGAATTGGACTTGGCATGTAGAAGAATACCTGAAGTAAGTCGGCCAGTGAATCCCTGTGTTCCTGAAAGGGGTTAAGCTTGACACTCATGGGAGATTGAGGGTACATAATCGTATTTTCCCATCTTCTCCCTTGTCTACACCGTATGGAGCGAGTACCTAGGCAATCAACAAAATTAGAGGACAAGCAGCACAAAGTAAGGGGAATGCCTTAAGCATGGCTCAAGCAGAGCGATGTGCTCTGCATGGTGTACCTAGGGACTGAGTGACCTGTCAATAATGGTGTATTGCTATACGGAGTAGTATATACAATTTGTTAACTGACGCGCCTTGTCTGACTGTGTCGGCAAGGGAACATGCACCACCTGCTGCCGGTAATGTACCGTGCAAGATAACATGTTACACGATTTATTTGCCCTCTAGCAGTTATCGAAATGGAATTTCTTCAGTGACCTACTGTGTATGCATACGGGCTGTATCTACCTCCACGTGTAGTTGGTTTCAGCGTTCAATGTCCGGCGATTATGCTTCCTGGCCCAAAGCATTCGTGCATGGCTATGGTGTGACAAGGGAGGAGTATTCTTTTTTTTGGGACATCATTACGAAATATTGCAACGCATATACTCCGTACAGCTGTACACTTGAAGAGTGGGTAGCCGAAAGGCGTGCAATGTGGGTTTTATCATAATGTATTGTGTAGTGTACTTGTATACGTGGGTGCTGACATTATCTCTTCGCGAAACGGCCGCCACACCAAAGCAGGCTGAGGAGGATGCGGGTGCGCGAGTCAGGTGTTGGATGTCAGGTATTACAATGAGGACAGACATTCACATTGCCATACTGTGCTGTTGCAGAAAGGTCAAGAACTATTACAGACACATCTCTGGAGGTTGAAGGGTATACGGCTTGCCACGTGATATGGCGATTATCACGTGATTGTCGAGGTCTCTTCCGACGACAACCGCGACATCGGAGGTTTGTCCTCCACGGATGGGTTTTTTTTCTTCTCCCCCACAGTCAGTAACTAACTACCAAGGTAACTAGTAGTCGGTCTGGTATTTAGTTGCGCTAAACATAGTCACTATCGTACGAATTATCAAGGTAGGTTTTTCCTCGAACTTCCCTCATCATAGTCAGAAACAATATCTTGTTTCCTCTCCCTCGCATTTCTTCATTTAGGTGTCCAGTAAAGCGCCATGGATTCTCCTTCTTCTTCATCATCGGTACCTTCATCCGTTCTTATCGTTGGAAGCGGAGTCTTTGGCCTATCCACCGCATGGGCATTGTGCAAAAACCCTCTCTTCAAAGACACGACCATTACCCTTGTAGATCGTCAAACCTTTCCTACTCCTGATGGCGCAAGTGTAAGTAACTTTAATTGATTCTATGTCTTCTCCGAATCTGTGGGCCGTTTTGCGCTTCATGACCTTCCCAAGGCCATCATGTCATCTTCTGTCCATTGCGCGCAACAACATGTCTTCAGAGACCTTTAGGACTACCGGAGCATAGAATTGAACCAATATTTCTTATAGATCGACACATCCCGCATTATCCGTCCAGACTACGCCTCTCCACCATATACACGCCTAGCATCCAGAGCGCAGAATCTATGGCGTACCACCTTCGCACCTGAACACTACCATGAAACCGGACTCTGCCTGGTCGGAGCAGGGAAACAACTCAACTACGTGAATGCCTCATTGGCCAATGTTCAGGCACTAGCAACCGACAACGTCGAGGTATGCAAAGATGGAGAGGATATCAAACGCGTCACAGGCACCAGCAATGCATCAGGTGAGGCCGGCTACGTGAATTGGAGCTCAGGCTGGGCAGACGCCGAAGGAGCCATGATCTGGCTCCGGAAGGAAGTCGAGGCCTACTCTCGTGTCAAATTCGTCACCTCGACCGTCTCTAAGCTGCTCATCGACCACGCAACATCAGTTGTCTCAGGCGTCACACTCTCTACTAACCCACCCACCACCTTGACCGCCTCTCTCACCATCCTCGCTGCGGGCGCATGGTCCGCATCTCTCCTCGACTTGCGCGGTATATGCAAAGCAACCGGCCAGGCCATTGCTTACATGCCCATATCCCCCGCTGAAGAAGCATCTCTCCGGAACCGACCAACCTTGCTCAACCTCTCGAACGGCCTCTTCATGATTCCCCCTTCCCGAGGTCTCCTCAAGATCGCTCGCCATGGCCATGGGTACGCAAATCCCACCACAATCCGACACCCAGAATCCGAAGACCCCAACGAAACAATTACAGTCTCGCTCCCCTACACTGCGATCGACGACCCCTCGCAACAGATTGCCCCAGAAGCCTGGGCAGACTGCCGCCAATTCCTCACACATATTCACCCCTCTCTTTCTACTCCAACGCGGCCCTTCACAAAGTCCAAGATATGCTGGTATACAGATACCCGCGATGGTGATTTCCTTATATCGTACCATCCCAAGTACAAGGGATTGTTTGTAGCGACTGGGGGTTCTGGTCATGGTTTCAAGTTCCTACCAGTAATTGGTGATAGCATTTTGGAGTGTGTGCTTGGGGAGACGCCAGATGATTTCAAGGGCAAGTGGGACTGGCCTATGACGAGGGTACCGGAGGATGAGTGGGAGGGAGATGGCAGTCGTGGTGGTCCCATGGGATTGATATTGAGTGAGGAGATGTCGAAAGCAAGAGCAAGCAAATTATAGACACAATTATGTAGAGGGTGCCAAAGTGATAGTGTACCAATAGATCATGTAGTTAATAAAACTGTACGCATATTATCATATGGACATGAAGAGTTTTTGAAAAAAGGTATGATCAGGCAATATGAGCTTTTAGAAGGTATTCATGTGGGTATTGTCAACCAGCGCCTTTTCAACCCAATCCAAAATCTCCCCATCCTGCGTACAAGGTGACGATTTTGGAAACTCAGATCAACCATCCTCCCGGTCCATGTCATCTCTTCCCCTCCCTCGTCCGCGTGCCCTCATCCCCCCTGCGCCGCCACCACCCTTCCTGCCCCTTTGATCGTGGATGATCTTCATCTCACCGACGGCGACCCTCTGCGCCTCACTAACCCTCTCCGCAAGCACCATGACTTCCTCTTTTGGAATCTCCTCTTGCTCAATCGTTTTCTGCAGAGCGCGCTCGATACGCAGCCAGATTTCTACATCGTACTGGCTGACAAAAGAAACTGCCTTCCCGGACTTACCTGCACGTGCAGTACGACCTACGCGGTGCACGTATGTCTTTGAGTCGGCGGGAAGGTCGAGGTTGATTACAAGGTCTACCGAGGGGATGTCGAGACCTCGGGCTGCAACGTCGGTTGCAACTAGAATGTCTACATGTTTGATTAATTAAAGGAATGAGTAAAGGGTCTAAGAGAATGCTATACCTCGACTTCGAGACTTGAATTTCGAAAGAGCGCCGAGGCGCGCGCTTTGACTGAGTTGACCATGTAGAGGAATGGCGCCAAAGCCGAGGGTCCGGAGCAGAATCCCTACGCGCTGAGCTTCATTCACGGTCTAAGTTGGTGTTGATGTAAGTAAGGTGTTGAGATTCTCAGATAAAAAGGGGACGGGGTGGTGGGGACAGCACTTACTCTTGTGAAGATGATAACGCTATGGCCGACATTCTCATTGATCAAGTAGATGAGGTAGACATCCTTGTGTTTACTATCGAGTGTTAGTCCATTAGCTGTGCTAGGCTAGGTGGTGAGGGAGAGTAAGAATTACTATGGTAAGAAGAGAAACTTCTGCAGGAGATTCGCCACTGTCTGGTGCTCAGAACTGCTAATGCTGACGCGCACGGGATTCTGGAGGGATGCTCGTTGCAAAGATTCCACCTTCGAGCTCATGGTCGCGGAAAACAGATATGTTCGTCGACCTTCTCGGGGAAGGACTTTTAGGATCTTGTCGAGGATCGGGCCAAAGTCAAGGTCGAGAAGTCGGTCAGCTTCGTCCATGACCAGAAACTTAAGATGCTTGAGGCTAAACCCCTTCGTATTCTCAAGGTGATCGACTGCAATTGCTGTTAGTAAGGGTAGATTACATATTGGCGGGTATCCGAATGCAGACGTACGCAATCGACCTGGTGTAGCAACAATAACATGCGGTTTCTTGGAAAGAGCAATGGCTTGTGGAATCATATCCATGCCACCAAGAAGGAGTGCGCATTTGACGTTGATGACCGACCCCAATGCTTCGACTTGTTCAGAAATTTGCTATTTTCGCAAGTCAGTGTAACTGCTTTCGATATGTGTCGTGGAGCTGGGCCTGACATACCTTAGCAAGCTCGCGAGTGGGCGCAAGAATCAAGGAATACAGTGACTGAGGTTTCTCCATGAGTCCCTGAAGCATCGGAAGCACAAAAGATGCTGTCTTTCCAGAACCTGTTTCAGCGAGGCCAATGATGTCCCGCCCCTCAAGCGCCAGAGGTATAGACTTCTCTTGAATAGGGGTCGCAAACTTGAAGCCTAGATTTGTGCAAGCTTCACAAAGCTCCTCTCTTATTCCCAGCTCCTCAAATGTCTTCTTTGTGGCAGCCTCTTCGCCTGCTGTTACAGTATTGCCGTCCAGAACATCCTCGTCAACCTCGTCACTCGAGCCGCCTTCAGTACTGCCGGTGCGCAAGGCACGTTTTCCAGTTGTAACAGTGGCTTCCTCTTCACCATAGGTATCATTCTCATCCTCATCCTCGCTGGACTCTGGTTCTTCTACTTTTCTAGGCGGCGCAGGTCTCGCAGGTCTCGCAGGTTTCGCTGTTCGCGCATGTTTCGTTGCATTCGAAGGTGGTACGGAGCGTTTCGACTCTTTGAATCTAGAAGCATGGACCGTGGAAGATGCTGAGCTATTCAATTTCCTTTTCTTGAAATCAGACATGATTGCTCGAATGCCTCGAGTTCGAAAACTGTAATTGTTAACGCCGTTGAGGACTGAGGGAAATTTTAGTTGCAGGATCTTGGCGATCTAATCTTATCTTCCATCTCCGCCGGCTCTCCGCCATAAAGTTTATTGCTAGTGCCAAGATTTCGAGACTTTTCGCGTTCGAAATTTCTTGAGAAGGTATCCGATCTAGCAACAATTTCTATCGCATCACACCCTTCACCCGAGGCTATACGAATGTTGTATGGGAAATCAGCATAGCTGATTGCAGTATCCAAGGCTTCCTGTATTTCGACGAAACTCTTTTGCGATGGCTCGTGGAACAGGCAAAGGACGGCGAAAGCAGTCCGTTGCGGATAAGGCTGCTGCCAAAGCGAAGAAAACAGAGTCCGCGAACCCAAAGACTATGGTAATTCGAATTGGAGCAGGAAAGGTCGGCTCAAGCACAAGCGCCTTGGTTCAGGATATGAGACAAGTAAGCCTTGCATCGGCTCAAATTATCGTCGCAATCCCAACTCACACTCATTGCAGGTCATGGAGCCCGATACAGCTGTGCGATTGAAGGAAAGGCGAGGCAACAAGCTGCGAGATTATACAACTATGGTATGCGGCGTCATCAGAATGCTTTTACGCACAGGATACTAACAACTTTAGTGCGGACCTCTAGGCGTTTCTCACCTGCTTCTCTTTTCGCGCTCTGAGAGCGGAAATACGAATGTTCGACTCTCTCGAATGCCTCGTGGACCTACTCTCAACTTTAGGGTTGAACAATACTCTCTATGCAAGGATGTCCAAAAATCTCAGAAACATCCCAGAATGCCAGCAGACCTATTTCGAACAGCACCCCTTCTCGGTATGTTATTACAGATAGCTACACACCCTGTTTAATGGTTCGAGGTTGTGCTTGGTGCCAGCCCATTGAAAACGCACTGCACCTCAATTCTATCCCATCCGGGCTATTCTCGATTTTGAATGATTGCTGAAAGGTTGCCAATAGTCATGAATAACTTCGTCACTTCGATCGAACAAAGAGAATTACTTGGAGATGCAGCACCACCCGCCCATCTCGAGAAACTTGTCACAGACATGTTCCAAGGTCTCTTTCCTCCCATCCAGCCACATTCCACGCCTCTGCAGTCCATAAAGCGCGTCCTTCTCTTGAACCGAGAGCCACCAAAAGAAGGTGATAACGGTACTATTACCATTAACTTGCGACACTATGCGATCACAACAAAGATTACTGGAGTCCCCAAGGCAATTCGCAGGTTATATGCCGCAGAGAAAATGATCGGCAGTAAGGAGAAGAAAAGGAAAGCATTGCCCAACCTAGGTGGCCTGGACGATGTCGCAGATTACATGCTTGATCCGTCAGCTGCTGGTTATACTTCTGCATCTGATACCGAAATTGAGACCGATGCTGAAGTCGAGGTTGCAGCTCCAGTCACTCGCCGAGTCCTGTCAAGAAAAGAGCGCGAACGAGCAGCTGCAGGCGAGAATGGTCGTAAAGTCATGGCGCGTGGAAGTGGACCGAAGGTCGAGAAACGTGCTGTGAAGCTCATCGAACTTGGCCCGCGTCTAAAGTTGAGGTTGACAAAGGTTCAGGAAGGCGTGTGCGATGGACGTATCATGTGGCACGAGTTCGTCACGAAGAGCGCTGCTGAGGTAAAGGAAATGGACAAGGCGTGGGAGCAGAGAAATAAAGAGAAGGCCGAGAGGAGGCGTATTCAGAAAGAGAATATTGAGAGGAAACGAAAGGAACGTGCCGCGAAGGGAGAGACCGGCGAGGACGATGAGGTGGATGAGGACATGGAAGATTATGATGAGTATGATTACGATGACGACGAGTGGCACGGAGACGATGCGGAGGTAGCCGATGATCAAAGCAAGAATGCCGACGATGGAGATGAGGACATGGACGATGATGAGGAGTAAATAACCCGGGGAAGTCGCAAAAATGTCAAGATACCCATTTTAACACCATCCCGTTCCATTTTCCCGTGATCGTCTTTTTCGACATTATCCCATTCCGCATGGGGTCTTCATCGTTCACTTGGTATATCCATATATTCTTTAGGTTATAGCATGTACTACTCCGTTCCCTATATCATACCTCTGGTCATCATAATAGAGCATTCTAACAAGGGAGAGCGATTGCTCGGGTCATCATTTCGCCTTCGGCTTCTTGATGATCACTCTATCCGTTTCCGTCAATTCCCAACCCACTCCATCGTCAACCAAATCAGACCACTGTCTATCTGCGCAAGACTCGATAAATCTTTTGTCTGCGCTCATGTAGCCCCTTCCTAAGCACTTGAGGGCATGCACCCTTATTGTTTGCTCCGCATAGCCCATGATTCTCCGTTGATATCCATCAACTGCCTTCTTCATCTTCCAAAATACAACCCAATTGTCAGCCACCAGAGCTTGGAGCACGCATTGTACCCTCCAATCCATGTATTTATATTTCAATCTTGTCTCGTGTGCTCCAGTATAGTCACCCTGGCGGCAGGCTTGATCTAATATCAGGTAACCAACATACTCATGTAGTTCCGCAGGAGTGAGTGGTGTTTGCGGATGAATCTTATTCAGGAGAGTAACCAAGGCAGGGTGATACGACTCCCAATCTCTGCAAAGAATTGCGGCATGAACATTGAATATGTAAGCCCGTTTGGCGAAAAGGTCACAGCGTGCTGTCGCGGTAATGCCTTCTCGAAGCTTACGAAGTGCAGAGAGGATTTTGGCAAGTTCACCGGTGGACGTGTTAGCCATTGGCGGATCAGGGATGGTCTGTGGTTCCTCTGTTGTGATTGTAGATGACTTCAGACTAGTCGACTGTATAGATAAAGAGGCGAAGTGTGCATCAAGGTCGCTGCCGTTAGGTGAAGCGGCGCAAAACTTCATATATCGCTCTACAATACGGTTGTAATATATCTCTTGAGTTTTGAAGTCGTTGAGTCTGATTTTTCACGTCAACAGGAGATTTTGAATGAGCAATGCGTGCTAATTACCTGGTTTCTCCTTTAGACGGTAGGCCGTAGCTCTCAAGAGCATCTTCTCGCGGCGGTTTTAATCGATTCCATGCGCCGGACGCCCCCCGCCGACTGCTCGGCCGGCTTTGATCTGTCGCTCTCATTGGGGTGTCCTGAGCCTCCAGTGCAACAGTGCGAGAGTGTGTATCTCCTGTTTACGCAGTAAACCACTTATATCTAGTGTCTTGCGCGTATGTGGAAGCTTATGTTGTAAAGCGCAAAGGGGAGGTGATAGCTGATGCGGAAGGTGGGATGCACGGAGTTTACTCGGGGGTAATACCCTCAGAATGAACTGCACCATGCTCTCGAAAGTTGCCAGCAAGATGCCAATCGCATGACAATAGTTCATGGAGTCTCTTTTGACAGCAATTTCAACCTGTATGCGCTGTTCATATTCCCCATAATCCCAAGTTCCCAACATATACCTCGCAACGCCCACCAGATGCGGTATAGCGTGCAAACCTGATTCTCATAAACTCGGCTTGGACGCACACATGTGAACGACGTCGTGCACTATATATTGAAGCTCTCGTTGTCACTATCACTGGTCTGTTTTACTTTCCTCTGATCAGTGAGTCTTGGTTCGTTTATCGAGTAGCGCGTCCTTTCTGTGTTCTCCGACGCCCGTCTGTCCGCCGACCATACCACAACTCTGAATCATTATCAAAGACAATGGACGCTGCTAAAGGGGCAGCATCTAAAATCGCCGAAGGCGAGAAAGAGATAGGAAGGCGTTTGACTGTCCTCTGGCATGAACTACAGCCGTGGCAGCAAGACAATCACTATATACACAGTGGCTACCGTCCAGTTTCGAACTCATACGCGAAATCGATCAAGAGCCTGAGATACATCCACAATGAGACCGTAAACGTCTACTCTCATCTTATTGGCGCTACACTCTCAATAGTATGCTATGCCATTGCGTATACCGTATTTCGACCGCGATATCAGGCAGCGACAATAGAGGATGTCTTTGTCTTCAGCTGCTTCTTCCTAGGCGCTGCGGCGTGCTTAGGTATGAGCGCGACATACCACTTGATATCGAATCATTCGCAAGATGTCAGCCATTTCGCCAATAAGTTGGACTATCTAGGCATTGTTGTGCTTATTTGGGGATCTTTCATTCCTTGTATCTACTACGGATTCCAAAGCAAGCCACAGCTGATCTATCGGTACTGGACTATGGTGAGTATCAAAGTACTCTGTGTATATGTAGTGAGTAACTTTGAATAGATCACTACCATTGGCGTGTGCACAGCAACCGCATGTATTCACCCCAAGATGCGCTCCCCAGCCCTTCGACCTTTTCGAGCATTGATGTTTGTACTCATGGGTCTCTCCGCATGCGCACCCGTTGCCCATGGATTGGAGCTGTTCGGTATTGAGGAACTACGAAACGTATTGGGGCTAGACTGGGTGCTCCTACAAGGCGCTCTCTACATACTGGGCGCAGGTATCTACGCCGCGCGAGTGCCCGAAAGACTACGACCAGGAAAATTTGATATTTGGGGGTCGTCTCATCAAATATTTCACGTTCTCATCGTGATTGCGGCCGTGGCTCATCTGTGTGGCCTCGTCAAAGCATTTGATTATGCACATGGCCAGAGAAAAGGACTGGTGTATTTGACATTTCTGCACAAGCTGAAGGCGAATTAACATGTATGACTTATTGGCGCTTGGAGATAGTACCCGAACACACAATGAAATTTGTTTGCCTGTGGAATTGCATGACTGGAATTAACTCTATTCTCACTCACAGAGCCTTCACTTAAGGCCCGATTACTCGACCCGTATATGCACTGCGTAAGCAAACGGCGAGTCGGACATGTGAGCTAGCTCTTGTTGGAATTTGGGAAGCAGAGAGAAAGACCACATCGCCCCCATGAATGCATGCATCTGTCTCTCTGTATTGTTCATACACAATATCTCACGGAACGCAACACGCTTTTCCTCGCATGTTATGTTTTCTTTTCCGACTTTTGTTAAGGGACGGGGTCACGGGTGGGAGGAGTCGAGTATCATGTTCATGTTACTCGAACACCGCACGGGCCCGCTGTTTCCGTCGATGACGTTTCAGGCCCAGAATTCCATTTCCCCATATTCCTAGACGAGCCAATCACGTCACTGGATCGCCATTACTCGCAGCTCTTCCGATCCACGAGCTTGACCTCCCATCCCTCTTGCTTCCTCACCTTTACACCTCTCACCTCACTTGATACTCCCCATTGCTACCCATAACACAACCCGCGCATCGTTTTTCTCATCTCGCGCATCTTCGCCAGCTTCACGCGCCTCAATTGAATCCTTTCTCGGACTTTCGCGGAATACAGCTCTCCATACCGTCATCACGTCATCTCATTGGCTCTTGAGCTTCATCTCTCTTAGACATACATAATGGCCGACACAGAGATTCAGAAGGGAGACCAAGGTATGTGTGCCTTCTCAATTATTCTTCTCCGAGTTTCGGACGTATTCAGTGTGGGTATTTGCGTGTGGGGCGCCATGACGACAACGCGCCTGAACACCGAGTTTGCATGCATTTGTCGTTCGCCCAATATCATCGCACGGCTTCGCCAGGCTCTACGTGTTTGCTAACACTTCTCATTACTCAGTTTCCTGGCAATGGGGTGGAGGCGCACCTGGTGGCCAGGTTGCCGAGGTGAAGGAACAGGGCGAGCTTGCTATCGAGTCCAACCGGGGCAACACAATTAAGAAAAATGCCGACCCGGAAGACCCTGCTGTGCACATCTCCCGCTCGGGAAATGATGTTGTCAAGCGTGCCCACGAACTCAATATCGAGGAAAAGGCCGGCGCCAACCAGTCCGAGCAGCCAAACGGAGAGTCAAAGAAAGAAGACGACAAGCCCACCGAGTCAAAGAAGGAAGATGACAAGCCTGCCGAATCAAAGGAAGACGACAAGCCTGTCGAATCAAAGAAGGAAGATGAAGAGAAACCTGCTCAGAAAGACAGCGAGAAACAGGGGGAACAACCCACTGAGGAACTTGAGAAGAAGGATGAGGAGATGAAAGACGCTCCCGAATCCGAAGGAAAAGAGGCCGAACCAGAGAAGCCGGCTGCTGAGGACAAGAAGGACGGGGCAGATAAGCAGAACGGCGTCTCCGAACCAACGGACGATGCCAAGGATGAACCAAAGAATGTGGAAGTTGAAGAACCAAAGACTGGAGAGAAGCGTAAGGCTGAGGATGAGCCTGCCGAAACCAATGGAGCGGAAGACAAGGACGATGAGGAAGAGGAAGAGGAAGAAGCCTCTTCGAAGAAACAAAAGACTGAGGATGGAACGGCTAAAAAGCCCGGCCGACCTAAGGCATCAGAGAAAAAGGAAAAGAAAGAGCCTGCGAAAAAGCGTCAACCAAAGCCGGCGGCTACAGCTGATGGCCAGCCTAGACGAAGTGCTCGCAATAGGTCCTGATTGAGGATCGCATGTATCAGCGATGCTCGAGTGATGTAGGCACCAGGGCCTGACAGAAACTGTCTGTCGCTGGATTGAAAGATGATCGTGTTGCAATCGACGTCTTTTTTCAGCATATCCGATCTGCAGAAGGAAAGCTACGCGTTTTGAGTAGCTGTAGCGGAACAACAACGGCGGAACGAATAGATGAAACTTATTTCTAACTTGGGTTTGGGTTCTGGAATACACGCGCGTGTAGGGGGGAGGTTGGTTTGCCAGGACAGCGCACTGCGGGCAGCAGGTTCTTCTTGGAATTTCCTAGTCTTCTTATCCTTGACAAAATATCTCTTCAATCGCGTTCTCGGGTCTGTGCAATAAATTTATTAGAGCCATGAGGTTTCCTTTGCATGTCCGGAACGGCTTCACGGGAATACGCTGGCTTCATAAAAGAACAAAATGTCGTTTAATAATGATGATTCAAGTTTGCTATTGTGCTCCTATCTTTAATGATTCTGTCAGCTTCAATACAATATGGGATTGATAGACTAATAGAGCCGATTGTGAGTAAAATCAGGGGGAAATTGTTCATTCAAGGAGGCGTGAACCTCTCCGATCCGTCTTGAAACTTGATTTGAAAGAATTTTCATCATTGAAGAAAAAGAAAGTAGGAGGAACGAAGGTAACTTACATAAATTTGCCTGTACTGCGCATAGATTGGTAATTCAGTAATGTTAGCACATCGCGGTAGACAGAGGTCAATGCTGATCAAATGGTTCACTGTGACTACTGTCCAGCTCCTCATAGGTCTACCGCCATTATGCATGCTCAGAGTACGCTGGTGCCGATGTCTCGTTGACGCTTGGTGAGTGGCAGAACGCATGTCCTGACAACAAGAACTTTGCTAGAAAACATTTTTACTAGCCGAAAGCTTGGCAAATGGGGCACTGGCCTCTACTTGTAACCCGTCCTCGTATCCACACTTCTCGGGACGACATCCGACTTCTGGTGACTGTAAGTCTGTTTCTGTGATCATCACCTAATTACTTGTGCCATCCCTTTGAATTCTTCACGAATCTATCTGGGAGTGCAAATTGACTGTGGTTGTGGAACAGACCCGAGAATCAACATAGCCAAAGGAAGTCGACTCTATTGGCCTACCATTGACCTAGCAGTATAACCAAACAATGAAACATGTACGTACAACCATGTCGTCTCCACCAAAATTCTGTATATTTTCATGGGGAGCCGTGCCATGAGCAGTCCGAGATACAGTACCCAGCTATCATTCCGAAAGCATTCCATACAGAAATTGATGGCATCTGCATGCGTCAATGGCACTAGAATTCCGAGTTATAATTCCACTTCCCCCTCTCGGAGTTCTAGCCCTACCATCAATCAAAAGGCGTGGCGGGGGTCCTAGTCCGATCTCGCAAAACGGGGACTCTCTTTCCTTTTCAATATCTAATGCAATTCGATGTCCCCACCTTTTGCTATCATTGCTATTCGTCATGAATGCCACGCCCTATCTGTAGGGGAATGAACATCCTGGACAGGGCATGTTGGTGCTTTCGGATGATTTGCGATTCGTTGGAGTCTTGCATATGCTACTTTGACTCATTCTAGGGTTCAGTATTGATAAGCTTGCTGGCCCCAATATCCCTTTGGAATTATTCGTTGGGTACCTGGTGACCATTCCATGATCTGGAGGAGCAAACTACTTGTTGTAGCAGACTGATTATCTCAATCCAAATCATCTTTAAGAGCTTGGAATCTAGGACAAGGTCAACATGGATATCGTTGCGAATCCAGCAGTGCAGCTGCAGGACATGCCAGCCGGGGCCAGTGCGGAAACTGCTAATGTCGAATGCGAGGGTGCCAGTTTGCGAAAGACGATATCCAGGATGACAGGACGATCGAGAAGATCCGGGAAAGATATGTTTGAAATGCAAAATGAGACGGGCGTACAGGCGCAAAGGCAAGCAGCTGCAGATTTGAACCCGGACGAACAGCCGACTACAGACCGCGTCGATGAAGAGGTAGCAGATACGGTCGATCCTGAAGACCATTTTCCTGAAGGCGGATTACGAGCTTGGTCAGTCGTTGTCGCAGCATTCTTTCTTCTTTTCCCATCCTTCGGCCTGATGGTCTCCATTGGCACACTGCAGGATTACTGGCAACAACACCAACTCTCGGAATACACTGCACGAGATCTGGGCTGGATACCATCCGTATTTGTCTATCTCTCCCTCGCACTGGGAATATGGATAGGACCCCTTTTCGACCGCTACGGCCCTCGATGGTTGGCACTCTTTGGGAGTATTGGCTACCTCGCCATGACCTTCCTCCTCGCCGAATGCTCCAAATACTGGCACTTCATGCTCTGCGTCGGTCTCCTCGGCGGCGTAGCTGGCGCTGCTCTCACTACGACCTCCCTGGCCGCCGTTGCCCACTGGTTCAAAGCGCGGCGAGGTCTGACTCAAGGCATTGCCATGATGGGCAGTTCCTGCGGCGGCCTCACTATCCCGTTGATCCTCCGCTTCACGCTCCCACACTATGGCTACACCTGGTCGATACGAATCCTGGGCTTCATTTTCGTCGTCTGCTTCGCTATCGGTAATGTCCTCATCAAGCCTAGGATACCACCTTCCACAGTCACTAAAAAGAAATCCATCATCTCGCTTTCCATATTTGGCGACCTCCGCTTTAGTCTCTTCACCATCTCAGTCTTCGGCTTCGAAGTCGTGCTATTCGGTGCCTTGGGCATTCTTCCCACTTACGCCACCCTTTCCGCCTCCTTTCCCCCATCAACAGGCTTCTACCTCATCTCAGTCCTCAATGGCGTGTCCTGCCTCGGTCGCATCCTCCCGGGCTACGCTGCCGACAAACTAGGCCGCTTCAACACCCTCCTCATCATGTCCATCGTCACCCTCATCTTCATGCTTGTCCTATGGCTGCCGTTCGGGACAACCTCTCTTCCATCTCTCTACGCATTTGCGTCCCTCTTCGGCTTCGGAACCGGCTCGTGGATGGCGCTGACGCCCGTCTGTGTCGGCCAGCTCTGCCGCGCCGAGGAGTTTGGGAGGTACTACGGCAGCATGTATTTCATTGCCAGCCTTGCCACGCTCGTGTGCATACCGATTTCCGGGGAACTGGTTGAGGTCGTAGGGCCTCAGGCTATGGTTGGGTTCTTTTGCGTCGTGCTGGGGTTGAGTCTGGTCGCGTTCGTGTTTAGTAGATGGGCTTGTCTGGGACGGAGGTGGACTGTCAGGGCAAAGGTCTGATGATCTGCCCCTTAATGATGTTCATGTTTCACGCAATTGTTACATCCATATCCCTTTCTTTTTACCAGGTTCGCCCTCCTTCTCATGGTGGGATTGACCTGGTGTGTTGGTTGTTCCCAATGTTCTGGCGTTGAGGGTGATATGCATTAGCGAGAATCAAAAGGCGTTCATCAGCGGATTTCCCCACCCCATACAAGCAAAGCGTTCAATTAGTATATATGTTCGAGCATTCTTTGCCATGTTCTATTCGTTTTCGAGACGACTGTGTTTTATTCAACAGCTACACCAGCCTTTCTTGAATTGAATAATCCGTGCTCTGGAACAGGTTGCTTCGCTTGCTTTATTGATAGCACCAGATGATAAAGTGACTGTGACATCTCATTCTTCTATTTCTCCTTAGTAAGATTGGCAATGGTATCTGTGCAAAGGCAAAAGAGCCTTCGGTCGTATATCTCTTGGATAAGTTGCTGGGGGAGGACCAGTGCTAAATTGGAAGCCATAGGGGAAAGCGAGTCAAAACCGCGGATCTATGAGGTAGGACTCAATTGCCGAGTGATACAGTCTTAACTATGGCGATCACGACCATTGAAGGGTACTCTTTTGTTCATTGTTCATCGCAAGAACATTTGGTACCAACATCGTTTCCGTGAAGTCATGAAGAGATAGTACTATTGGAAAACGTGAAAGGGGTATTGATTGTATTTCATGTCGTTCTCATCGACCCATTTAATCTCTTCCCCGTAGTCTCATTCGTATCGTGAGCAAGAAAGTAAGAAATATTCGAAAGGTAATTAATGCCATTTTTTTTTGTTGTCCCTCGCATGCTTTTCTGGTTTCCCCCCATTCGTGTTGTTGATTTTTCCCTACTCTGCTCTTCTGCTCCGCCTCGTCATGCAACAAGCACAGGCGCACAAGAGAGTTGAAACAAATGCAAAAACCTGTCCAAAGAGATCGTTCACACGCGCCGTTATACGCACATAGAAACAACTTTTCCTTCCTCGGTAAAATAGAAGTGAAGTCAAGAAAGAAAGAAAGACATTGGGACAAGACGGAAATAGTACACGATAAATGGCTTGAGGTTTTGTTGCCACCCATTCAAAGAAACTCATGATTTCGTGGGCAAACCAAGAGGAAAAGGAAAACGCCATGATGCCGGACGGGTTGGGTGAAAGAATTTACAGAGAAGAAACGGGCTGACCCAGGTGTGCTGAAGGCGATATGGGGAGAATAGCGCTCAGCATGAATTTCTGTTATCAGACTGGGGGCTGTTCAACGACCGGATCTTTGCCTTGTGAGGGCTCTCTTCTTCTTTTCCGTTTCTGTGGATGAAGTCAGTTTGAATTCTGATAGAAGGAAATGGGTATAGACGTACCTGCGTCGTACACAAGGAACTCGTGAAGAGCGTTTCCGGTTGGCACCATGGGGAGAACGGGCACCTTCTGGTCTGTCACGACCTCGAGAAGAGCTGGGCCGTCGCTCTCTATCAGCCACTTCAGGTTCTCCTCGAGCTCGGCTGGCTTGACGACGCGGCGCGCCTGAACACCCATGGCATCGCCGAGCTTGACAAAGTCGGCGTTGCGCTGGTGAGTGTGGGAGAAGCGATCCTCGTAGAAGAGGGTCTGCCATTGGGTGACCATACCCTGCTCCTCGTTGTTCAGGACGATGACCTTAACGCCAATGTTGAACTCAGCAGCGGTGGAAAGCTCGGTGAGAGTCATGCTGAAGGACGAATCGCCGTCGATGTCAATGACTAGAGCGTTGGGTCGGGCGACCTTTGCGCCAATAGCAGCAGGAAGACCGTAACCCATAGTACCGAGACCGCCAGACGTGATCATGGTACGGGGATGTCTCCATCGGTAGTGCTGAGCGGCCCACATCTGATGCTGTCCAACACCGGTGGTGATGACGGTCTCGTCCTTAATGTGGGCAGTCAAGTTGGACAGAGTCTCGATGACGGTCTGGGGCTTGATGAGACCGTTCTCGCCCTCCTTCTCATACGACCAAGGGAAGCGTGCCTTCCACTCTTTGATCTGGCTGAACCACTCTGGACGGTCGGAGACTTGGTCGACGTAGGGTAGGAGAGTAGCAATGTTTTGGACGACGTCACCGACGACGGCCTCTGTGGCCTGGACGACCTTGTTGATGTTCTTTGGCATGATCTCGAAATGAACGATTCCTCCACGACCCTCAGCGGCGGCAGCCTTTGCGGCAGGGGCGAACTTGGGAACACTTCCAGTGATGCGGTCGTCGAATCGAGCGCCGAGGGCGAGGATGAGATCGGCCTCCTGCATGGCCATGTTGGCGTAGGCGGAGCCGTGCATACCGAGCATGTGGAGGGACTTTTCGTCCAACTCGTCGTACGCTCCCAGACCTTGAAGGGTGGTGGTCACGGGGATGCATGCCTTGTCTGCAAGCTCCTTGAGGAGCTTGGGGGCATCGGGAACGCTGACCATGCCCTGGCCGGCGTAGATGACGGGCTTCTTTGCCTTGTTGATCAATTCGGCGGTGCGCTTGATCGAGGTCTCGAGCTGCTTGCGGCTGAGCTCCTTCGCGGCGAGGGTGGCGGCGCTGGGGTGGGAGGGGAGGGAGCTGGAGACGGGAATGGGTCTTGAGAGAGTACCACCAGTGACATCCTTTGGCAGATCGACGAGGACGGGACCTGGCCGGCCAGAGGTGGCGATCTCGAAAGCCTCGTTGATCCTCTGCGGCAGCTCAGCAATGTTCTTGACCATGACGTTCCACTTTGTGCATGCGCGGGTGATGCCAATGGTGTCGGCCTCCTGGAAGGCATCGGAGCCGATCAAGCCTGTGGCGACCTGACCGCAGAAGACGACCATTGGGGTACCGTCCATGAGGGCATCCTGCATAGGTGTGACGACGTTGGTTGCGCCGGGGCCGGAGGTGACGATGACGACGCCGGGCTTGCCAGAAGCACGAGCGTATCCCTCGGCCATATGGCCGGCACCTTGCTCATGTCGGGGCAGGACGAAGTCGAAGTGTGGGGAGTTGAAGATGGCATCGAAGACGGGGAGAATGGCACCTCCGGGGTAGCCAACTGAGTCATGTTAGTCAATCTTCGTTGCATGTTTGCCAGTGTCATGGGTCATATCAATTCTCTCGACAGAAAGAATCAATTGCGAGTGAATGTGAGGCACAGTGGTGTTGTATCGGTGACGTACAGATGTGTTTGACGCCCTGGCGGAGCATCATCTCGTGGAAGATCTCTCCACCCTTCATTCCTACGAAGGAATGGTCCATCTCGGGGGAGCGGTAGGGCTTGAGGGGTTGGACATCTTTCCAATCCTCACGATTGAAGGCCGGACTGGGTCGTGCTCGGGGTTCCTGCTTGGTCGCGGCGGCGGCGGTGGTGGATTGTGTACGTTGTTGCGCATTGTCCTTGTTGACCTTTGAGGTGGCAGCTTGGGCAGCTTGTCTGTATGGGGAGACAGCAGGCCTGGGTGCTGAGGTGGAGAATGTGCGTGAACCCTTGAGCGCCTGGATGGCGCGTGTTCTCGACTGCATCCTGACAAGAGTAGGTCGGACGGAGCAGAAGAGATAGGTGGGCGTGGGCGTGTGCGTGGGTGGACAAAAGGGTGTGGGGGAGGAGGTATGACTTGTGCGTGGGATTGGGGGAGGGGGAGAGAGAGAGTGGAAAAAGGAATTTGAAGGTTGACGATATACACAGAGAGGGAGAGAGAGAGAGGGCGAGAGGGTAAGTAGAGGGTAATAAAGAGGAGGAGAATAAGTAGATGCACACAGTCACCCACACACCTAGAGATCAATTGAGTCTAGGCAAGTACAAGTAAGTAGCTCTTAGGCGAGAGACAGGCGAGAAGGTACACAGTATGTACAAGTAGTTGCTCAGAGAGAGAGAGGGAAGAAAAAAAAAGAGGCGGATCTGGGCAGTTCAGTCATAGACTCATAGACGGGTACTGTACATATGGAGTACCTGATTCACACAGCGTACAGTAGGCAAAAAATTAAGTATACAATATGTACTATGTATGTACTATCCTCTACTAGGACTGCTAGGAAGGAATCGGGCGCCGATGATCGCAAAAGCAGCATGACACAACCTCGATCGTGATTGGTCGGAATGGTTGCTGATGGCCGTCTTCGCTGCCTTTGATTGCCTTGATTGCCTCCCATTCCTCCGTTTCCCTCCATCCACCCCCTCCCCCGTCCCCTCCCGATATCGGACACACCCACTCATACTCGTACTCCGAATAAACATACAGACAGACAAACAGACACACATGAATAGTTATTGATGATTGATTATTACATAGTATTAACGGAACCGAGTAGTCCTATCATGTACACCTAGAGTACTCTTACTGCTATAAGTGAACGTCTTACTAGATACCTTTGCACGTCGATTGTTTAAGATATTCTTCTACTGCATGTACAGCATATGTTAGGTACCAGGTACATATTGGACATACTATATGAAACTAATTGATCAATTGCTGTTACTGTCCATGGATGAAACTCCGTACACTCATCCACTGTATGTATAATTAATTACCTAGGTAGGTAGTTATGTGTTATAATGTTTCTTGCCTACCGAGGTACAGGTCCAGCCTTCCATCCCTCCCTCCACTCCAGGTACCAAAAGCTGCTAATCCACTTTCGGGGTCTGGGGCGGGAATAGCCGGGCGGGAATAGCCGGGCGGGCAGTATTTACCATCATTTACCACGACGTACATTCACTAATACCATTCTATTGACTACATCACCATCATCTTCGCCTCTACTACCTACCATATGTCAGAGAATATATTATTACTGTACATACCATGAACACACCCTCTTCCAACCTCAATCCTCCAACCCCTCAAGTTCAAAGAGCTCGAAGTCACGGTCGAGCTGCAAGTGGTGACGAGCGCCGTCGAGGTAAGCCATCCCCATCATCATCACCATCACCGTCCCCCGCATCGTCACCATTGCCCTCATTGCACTCCGCACATGCATATGATTGCCTGCTAACATCCCTCCCCTTCCCCCCTCCCAGTCGCAATCCCCCGCCGATCAACAAAAGGTCCGTTACAGGACTCCGATGTAATAGACGAGTACGAACCTCCAATTCAGCCGTTATGCATCTCTCCGCATACAGTCCAACAACACCCTTTCCTACTTCCTTCCCACCGTCACCTCGATTCCCGTTCCCATTCCCATACCCATTCCCATGCTAATCACCATATCCTATCCAGTCCACTCTCAGGTGGCGGACAAGGTACAGACTCGATACCACCGTCCACCACCCAACCCACCACGACTTCTTCCTCCTCAGCTCAATTCGACACGAACCCCAATCGCATCCTCTCGCCCACACGCTCCGTCCCATCCCCACTCTCCCCGCCACACGATGGCCAGCAACAACAACTTCCAGACATGCCGCAGAAGGACCTCTCCTTCATTCAAGATGCCTCCGCCTACCACGTCCTTCCCGCTAGCAACATCCCACCACCCTTCCTGAACGCCCCCTCCGTTCCACCCGTATCCTCTCCTATAGATACCCTCCTCGCCTCTGGCCACTACCGCCTAGCCGCCATAGCAGCCGCTCGAAACATCGTCACCGCAGCCTCGCCCACGGACTACGAGACTCTCTTCCACCTCCTGCACATTCGCCTGGCATGTCTCTGTCTCATCCACGAGCACTCCCTCGCTGCCCAGGAGTCAAAGGTCCTCGGTGACCTGAATAGTTCATTCTATCTTCATCCCCTCACCAACGCGCACATTGTTCCCTGGGATCTGCGTCTGCTCGTCGTCCGCCTCGCTGCGCTCGGGTACGGAGAATGGAGGAAGGGTATCATGGGATACTACGAATTGGCACGAGAGTGCCGCGACAACATCGCAAAGTCCGATCTCGAGGATGACAAGAGGAGGTGGAGGAACAGGCTCCGTGATTGCGGCATCCGCGTCGCGAATGTCCTTGTCGAGATGGGCGATCTCGAGGGCGCCGGCCGCCATCTCTCCTCGCTGTCGCCCGCTTCCACAGATACAATGCCCTCCACCTCAGAAGGAGATGAAAAGGAAGAAGACGATGACGATGATGCTAAAGCGATCGTATACATGGAAACCCTCGTGTGGCTCCGTGTTGGCGACATTCGAGCCGCACGCCTCTGTCTCTCACGCGCGTCAGGCTCCACCACTCCGAACGACACAATCTTGAACGGCGCCCTGACTGCGCTCTCCCACCTTGCTGATTCTTCTTACGCCCGTGCCGTATCGACCCTCCAAGCCCTCCACGAACAACACCCTTCAAACCCAATGATAACCCAAAACCTCGCCGTATGTCTCCTCTACACGGGCCATATCGCCCAAGCTAGATCACTCCTCTCTTCCCTCGCTATCCCCGCTTCCCCTAGCAATAGCACTGACGAAGCCACGAAATCTGCCACACCGCCATTCCACTCCCTGACCTTCAACCTCTGCACCATCTACGAGCTCTGCACGGAGAGGAGCCGTGACCGGAAAGTCAGACTCGCCGAGGCGCTGGCGGAGAGGACGCCCGACGGCGTTGTCGGGTGGGAGATCCCCAGCGCGGACTTCAAGTTGTAGTTTTTCTCTGGCTTCCCTTCTGAGCGTACACGTGTGGTGAAATAATGAAAAAGACGCATTTGCTTTATCGATACCAGTAAGAACGTGGCGCAAACATTGGCAAATAACGAAAATATATACCTATAGTTAATATGATACTTTGTGTACACCTTTTATTATTATGCATGAACCGAGGGGGACCTTCTGTATATAGACATGGTTGCCCATAGGGGCCTGGAGTGCTTCTTCAAGATCATTCACACCCACACACGCAGCTTTCACCGAACGATCACCGCAGCATATCCCATACACCAAAAGTGACACACGTGCGTCGTCGATGAACGATCTGTACTTGATATGTGATGAATGATGGAACGCTCTATCAAAAGTATGGAGACCTACCCCCCTCCCTTGGCCCCAGCGTCATCATCCTACTGCAATGAGAACTATTGACAATCGTTGGAACTGTCCTGTCTGGAAACCCTCCCTCCTCTTCTGCAGGTGGGGAAACTGATCGGAAAGATGTAGAAGTGCATGGGCGAGAAGGCGGGTACATGTTTGCGTGAAAAAGCAAATGTGAGGGGGAAAGAAGGTGGGGCGAGGGTGTTGGGAGGTGATGGGCGTGACGAGGGCAAGCAAGATACTGGCAGTGAAGGATTCATCGAACGTCCTACGTGAGGACGGTATCCGACCCGCGTATATGTACTTAAGTATATATGTATTTGTATGTATTTACTTCTGTTGATTCAATCATGGGTTGATTGTACATCGTGCTTGGTCGTTTGTGTGTTCCGGTCGTTCTTGTGGCACGAACGGCAGAAGGTGGTCTGCCAAAAGGAAGTATAGGAAGAGAGGGACGGAGTGACAGAACCCATCCTCGACGATCAATTCTAAGAAGAAGAAAAACACATCCGCGGGCGTGGCGCAAAGAAGGCGCTGAAGTTTCATTGATCGGCACATGATGGTTGTGTATATAAGACCGGTATTTTCCATTATCCCAGTAGCCCCCACCCACCCAGTTCAGGCCTGATACATCTCTAAAGCGATAGAAAGGTAAGGCCGCCAAAAGCGAGCAAGACATTATCGAACAGAAGCAAGGCAGTGCCGCAACCAAATGATGACAAGAAGAACGCCAAACTGCGCAAGTGTGTAGAGACCCCGGGTGGTGGGCAGGCAGCCAGTAATGGAAGTCTTGCAGCGAGTATGTGCTTACTTAGGTAACCATGGGTATTGACAAGTAACAAAATAGCAAAATCCTCTCGGTCATGAGTGTCGTTCAGTCCTGGCATCTAGCCCAATGCGCTCTGCATCCGTAAATCCCATAGTCACAATTCATCCTCGTCCTCCATCTTGGTTTCCACCGTCACTGCTGGGATGCTGCCCTCAGAGTTCCCTCGCTCCTTGGTACCCGCGAGCGCTGATCCGAGGCTTCGGCGTACTCCTTCGTCGAATCCGGGCAGACTGGCACGGTGTTTCTTGAATGGTGACCCTACAGTGCCCGCGGTCGTCATGTCACTGGGAACGGATGATTTTGCAGCTGACGACTCTGCATTTGTGCCTATGTTCGATATCGGCGCGCCAGAAATTGGGCTGCCGGATCCAGACGTGCCTTGGGCTGTCGGTGTTGAACTAGACCGGTTCAGAGGTTCGGCAGAGTGTTGGCGTTTGAGCTATAACAATGTCAGACCAAAATCCCCAATCCATAAATTTGATGTGAAAGACTGAGAAAGCTATACCTTTATTTTTCTGACGCCCTCTGCCAACTCGCCTTGTCGCAAAGCATCCTCTGGTGAGAGCAAGTCCTTGTTGACTTCCTTGTCTTCGTCGGCGTCGCCGCCTTTGGCCTTGTCGTCGTCATCGTCGTCTGCATCGCTGTCCATATCGTCCGGGCCCTTTTTCTTTGCTTTGGGGGATTGCACCGTAGGATCGCGGTAACCACCAAAATTCTTAGTGCCGGAGTTGGCGTTGAGGGGCTTCAAATCCCCAAAGTTGAGACCTGCCGATTTCCGTCGATTCTTTTGTTGCGTCACGGGAGCGTGCTCGGGGGGAAGGATACCCATCTTGACCAATTTTTCTGTTGCAAAGTTAGCAATCGAAGTCAGTGAGGAAAGACCAAACATACCTGGCCCCCGATACAGGAACGTGAAGACTGCATATGGCTTATCTGGCGGGTCAATTCCCGTGACCGTTTGGGTGCTGATCGATTTTGGGTCGAGGGTTTTAGGTTTGGCAAAGGTAGTGGTATGGTCCACATTATCGCCTTCTTCTGTCGTGCCTTCGTCATCGTCGTGAGCGTCAAATTGAGGGGAGTATTCTCCACGCTTGATCTCGCCAGATGCAAGCACGCGGAATAGTGCGACCTTGATCTGGCCAGCCGCCTCTGGCTGCGGCGGTTCATCCTCCGAGTCAGAGTCTGACGTGAAGAAGTCCTCATTGTTTGAAAGCGATTCCACGGGCGCGTCTTTGTTATCGCCATATCTCAAGACATCGGTCTTGGACGGCTTTTCCTTCTCATCGTCGTCATCGCTGCCCCTAGCCTCACGTCGTTTCCTCCTCTTCTTTTCCAATCTTTGTTTCCTTCGCTCTATTCTAGCGGCCACATCGGTTCCCTCCAGGTCAAGCCCTTGAACCCAGCGTTCGAGGCCAACCTCACGGAAGAGGAACTCTCGTTCAGCCAGGCCCCCACCCTCGGATTCCGGTACGCTCACCCATCGTGAGTTGACCCAAGTCTCCTCTCCGCGGCGGAGGAGCGTCGCAACCTCTTCCTTGGCTCTACCGTCAAAGTAGATGTATGCAGCAATGGTCTCGTTGGGGGATGTGGTCAATGGCTTGTAGGGCGAGATGACTGGTCCGTTCTTGCCTCGCTCATTGCCGAGACCAGGTAGACCACCGACGATCTTCGGGCGGGGATGAGGGTCTTCGCTCGTGGCTTTGGGCGTTGAATATGGAACGTGTAGACCTGGTGTGAGTAGGGTTATGGAGATGGCGAAGGTGGATTGTTCCGGTTTCCCTCCGCCGGGGGGTGTTGTGGAAGGCGGCACGGGGATGTAGGAATTGATCCTGTGAAACTTGGATTGTTTCTGGATTGAATATTCGGGCAGGGGACCGGTTGGCGTGTGAATGCTCACCGCGAGGCCCAGGAAGCAGGGCATGGTGGGTTCGAAGCGCGGGGGTGGTTGGGGGGGGATAAAGGTGATGGCGAGGGGGATAGGTAGGTAGGTAGATGTTGAGTAGAGGGTGTTGGAAAGGGGAGTTTGGAACTGAGTGAGTAGGAGTCGGGAGCAGTAGAAAACAAATCAGAAGCTCCAGGGGTCAGTGGGAATAACTGCCCAGGAGCTGCAGTACGCGGTAGTGGTGGAAAGGTAAGGTGTGGAAAATTTGGCAGGCTGTGGGGTAAAAAGGTTTGAATGCGGTGAAGCAGCAGTGAGGGCGGAGGTTGTCGACTTGTCTGTGTCTGTGTCTGCGTCTGTGGTACGCGCGGAGTGACCCAAAGTATCTCCGATAACCACCTGCACCAAAGAGGTACCTAGTACTCTAGTAGTACGTACTATTAGTCTGTACTATTAGTATGTATGTAACTACACAGTAATACTATGTGGTAGGTATGTACCTAGGTACGGAGGAGGAGGTAGCACGGTAACTACCTACCTAAAGGTAACGTCCAAGACACCCAATCACGGGACCACCCGCCAGGTGACAAAGGAAGGCTGTAAAGAACTATACCTAGAGAGTTCAAAGCAGGTATAATATGGTAAGGCTGATACTGGTAGCAGTAAGAGGTAGGTAGGCAGGTAGACAGGTAATATGTGAAAGAGACGAGTCTGGCGAGGTACCAGTAGGTTAATTAATTACCCAGGTAACGATAGACTGGGCGTGGGACGAGTTGGTTGCAGGGGAGGTTGGGGGGGTGAGAGAGGTGGAGCGGGGGGCAGTCCAGTTCAAGTGAAAGGATAGAGGCACCTAAGGTGGACCGTGAGTGCCAGGTGAGTGACCAACAGATACATTGGTTTGGTGTCAAATTGCTCCAAAACAGAGGTACCATCAGGTATCTTAACTTAACTCACTAGTCAATAACTAACTAACTACACTGCTGAGTGACCATAGTTAGCAGCTATGTAGGTACGACTGCTTTAGGTCTAGAGCCTTCTAGATTCAGGTTAGATCTATCAAAACATCAACACGGCGGCTGCAACAATGCGGTGAGAAAAAGTCCAATTGTGACACCCTATCTACCTAGGTAGCCAGACACTACTCCGTACAAAGTGTCAAACACCAAATAGACACTTACTTCATCGGCAGTTCAATGATTAGCATAGAAACAAACATATAGATAAACTTGGGTCCATGCTGGCTAACACTGAGACACATTTCCATGCCCGTACCTATGAACTTGATCAGTAAAGTTCGGTGACTAGCAGGGCTTGGATTGTGGTCGTTGTTGGTGAGACACTTGCGCTTATTCCTGTAGTCAAAAAACAATTTCACCAAGTCTACTGAGGGGGTCTACTGAGGGGAAGACCGATTGAGGTCTTTTTTGTAAAGGATCAACAGAGAGGGCCCAGCTAAAGGCGATGATTACCGCAAGGCCGCCATCCCTTACGGGCTTTTTCGATATATGTAGACACTTGCTAACCCCCTTTCACACCATAACTAAGGTTGGTAGGTACAGGGAAATAAGTAGCCGGCGACACGCCAAAGTTCACATACACAGAGACAACCGCAATCATACATGTAATCGTATTCATTTCGATAGGAAGCCATTAAACTAGCGCCCAGACGACCTTCATTTCATTATGAGTTGTGATTCCAACCTTTCCAAAGTACGTACAATCAATCATTCCGTCATTACCCCCCTTGCCACTCAATCCTTTTGGGTATCAAACATAGTACCATGAGTGCACTTGCGTCCACACATCCTCATGTATCCTAGGTCTTGAAAACGAACATGTCGCTATAGTCGGAATCATCATCGTCGTCTTCTGCGGGCTTGATATCGCCACGTGGTGCATCATCCGCTTCGTCTGTTGATTCCGTGTCCAATACGCTGCCATCCGAAAAAGTGAGGCCTGGAGGATCTGAATCCACATCTGGTGACAGGGTGGAGCCAGAAGAGCTCAGTAGTCCTCCAGGAAGTCCTCCGCTCTTGGCCGTCTTCTTCGAGCCCGAACCGCCGTCGTCTCCCCTGACGTTGGGCTTGTTCCATAGCCACTGGGCTGGGACTTCGAATTGGTGGTCGCCTCCTGGACGGAAGTTTTTTCCGAGGATAGGTATGCTTGCCTTTGCTCCTGCGTGGGGGGGTTGTAGCGTTTCTGGTTCTCCTCCTGGGGAGGAGTAGAAGGTGGTCTCGGAAGACTGCCCTGACCCTGATCTGTTGTGAGTACCTGTTCATTTTCATTAGTATCCAGAAATGGTACAACATCGCCTGCTTCATCGCCGCCGTCTATGTCTATGTCTATGTCTATCAATGGTTCATCGCCATTGTCGGTTGATACATTCATACCTGTGGTCTTCGTCCAGGTGGATGGTGCCTTCCTCGCCTTCTCCATCCTCTCGGCTTGCTTCCTCGCCTCCACTTCCTTTTCTTGTTCCTGCACACGCAGATTGAATGCATCACGGAATTTTTGAACAATATCCCTTGTGAATAGGACGTTGTCATTCCAGGTGTTGATGACGAAATTCACATCATTTCGAAATCCTGCTTCCGATGCACGGCCCATCTCCAGGCGGCCGGGAAGCTTGTCCAAATGTTCGAATACGCCACGTTTGAGCAGTTGCTGTCCGATACTCTCACGGTACTTCCAGGCGCCACCTTCTCGGGATGTTACTTCTGCAACATCTGACACGATACGAAGCCCGTTCAACGAAGCGTCCTGCAGTTGCTTTCGGCGCCTGGGATCGTCGGGGCGATGGTTTTCCTTCGTCTTTGATAAAGAGAATGGCTCAAAGATGTTGGTAATCAGGTGCTGAACAATTTCGTCAATGCCTTGATTAGAATGGTCAAGGACGAATGCGGTGACGCCTGCAACTTCATGGACCTGTGGTTGCATTGGCGGAATGGTTTTCAATAACCAGATGAGGTACGTGCGTGATTTGACATCCAATACCCCCGTGGCCATATTGGTAAGTCCCACATTCATGTCTTCGCCTCCATCTACGTCAATGTCCTCTTCATCGGGGTCGAGATGGTGCAACTTCGTGGCGAACTCGTCTTCTAATGGGCGACCCTGGAATTCCCAATCACCATAGCCTCTGAAGATTTCCTTTGGCCCTTCGGGACATAGCAAACGATACATTCTCCATCGATAGTATATGTTGTTTGGATGATTCTGGTCGTAGAGAAAGGCATATCGCTCATCCGATGCGACGTGAGGGATATTCATTAGGGCAGCCTCGGCCTCCTGCCCTCCCTGGATGACAAGATCAATGGTCTGATGGATGAGCCTGAGCATGGAGATATCCGTTGGTTGACGGACGGTCACAACCAGTCGCTCCTGAGGCCTTTCGCCTACGCGTGAATAGGTACGTCCTGTAGCCCCTCCAATATCCTCAGTGGGTGCGACCCCCTTGGGCGCTTCTACCTCCTTCCACTCGGCGCCAAAGGGCTCTTTGATGTGTTCCCTGTTGGCCATGAGTGCGCCCAGATAGCGATCGATGTGCAAGTAGTATCCACGGCCAAGGTAGAGCTTGTCGTTCAATTTGTTGATAGCGGCGTCCAGATCGCGGGCTGTAGCATCTTGAACGAATGTCACCTTCATTGCTGCGGCTGGCCGGCCTCTCTGCGTGGGTCCTGGCGGAGGCATCTTTTCGACCTGGGCGATCTTCAGTGCTGGATAATCTACGAATACCTTCTCTACAGCCTGTTGATCCATTGCTGGAGGGAGGTTCGACAATTTTGCAACGACTGTCGTATATGCATCTGGTGGTTCAATATTGTCCTGGGTCAAAGAAGACTGCTGACTGCCAAGTCCAGATCTTGCGAGACGGTTCCCTGGGTTATTTGGACCCCCAAAAGGAAGTAGAGGATCCTGCTCGAGTGTTCCTGGGCCGCTCACTGTAGATCGAGTTCGTTCCGCGAAATGTCTCTTGGGTCCTTGGGGCACTAAAGGTGTATGCGCATCGTTCTTTGAGCTGGCCAAGGAGCTGCCTCGGCCTGGGACTGTCGCGTCGTCTGCGCGCTCATCGGAATCCTCTCCTTCGTAAAATTCGGCGAGCCCTCGTTTCCGGGGACGGTCTTCTTCGCGAGCTTTCTCGCCTTCTTCCGCTCGCGCCTTCGACCCGAGTTGAGATTTGATCCCGGCGGCGAGGGATATCTTGAAAGACATGTTTGGTGGAGTCTGATGGAGAACCTGCAAGCACAGAATGTTAGCGAACTGAGCACCTAAAGTATATTAGTTTCGGGCGATCGAGAACGAGGGGAGTCCGAGCTTCCACCGAATCTTCCAATCCGCGACCAGCATGCAGCACTGGTAATTGCCTTGACTACGTTCCTACGCTATACGATATAGATTTGAATCGCGAGCGACGGTTTGCGTCAAACGTGAGGGAAAGTGAAATTAAGTCGAGAAGTAAAGTTGTTGTTGACTTGAGCAACGAGGCGATGGGTGAGCTAGTCTGTTTCTGGACGCGTCGGCACTAGCGTCCTCCGCCCTCTAGGCTGCTAGGCTGCCGCTGCTATCACGTGACTTACTTTACCCTCAGTACCTCCGTAGCACCAAGATAGACATCCAACCTCCACTCCACATTCATACTATCGATCATGACGGCATCTGCAGGAGATATTCAAGTACTGTTGCGTTTTCTGGCACAGGACGCCAAAGTCCCACTTGCACAAGCCATAGGCAAGGTCAAAGACTTACAGACCGCTAAACTAGTCACGTGAGCACGTCTCTTCACCGCGTTCTGCTATGCAAATCTGAGAATGCTCGATGATGTTAGCCTTTAGAGCATTTTGAAGACTCTTTTAAGTGATATCTGACGCGTTGAGCAATCCAGGCCCGCAGACATTGCCAAATCAAGCTTCGATGAGGTCAAAGCCGTCTTTGAAGACGAGAAAATCGCAAAGCAGGTCCTGAGCAGCGCGAAACGGGTTGTTAAAAAACGAACGGCATCAAGTGACAGCCCATCGCTTCCTTCCCCAAAGAAACCAAAGCCAAGTTATGGCCAGCCACTTACGCCCGCCGAACTAGAAGCATCCCTGGAGCTTCCCAGTGTTTCCGTCTCAGAGTCGATGTTGTCTGATGTAGTTATATATACGAATCGAGCACCACTGGTGCTTGCTTTTGCAGCAACCTTACTGGAATTCACCATGCCAGCGCAACCTCTATCAAGCAGACTGAGCCTCGCTCAAGCGGTAGTGTCAGCCAACAGCCGTACCAAAGCCGTATCCTTGGGTATCGAGCAAGGAAAGTCGGCTGAAGAGGAGGGATGGGGAGAGGGGCATCCTATCATCAAGATTATGGGTCGTGAAGTCAGAGTTATGAAGAGATGGGGTTACCAATGGGACGCCTTGGATGAAGAGGGGGCCTCGCAAGAAACTATCAAGGAAGCCACAACTGGTGATGATGATCCTGCACTTTGGGGTGTAGACCTAGAAGCACTAAGGAAGAAGAACAACCCAGGAACGAGTACCGCTCGTGGCTCGCAGACTAATCAACTACCAATATATACCGCACAGTCCGCTAGAGCCTACCTACTCAAATCCTTTGAAACGCCGAAAAGCGAAGACACATCCTCGGAAACGCCCCCAAAAAAGGGTGCAGTGGTTGCTCAAAAGGAGCAGAACCTAGCTTTGCTACTGGGAGCTCTGCGACTCGTATTTGAATCATGGTCTTCTGTGCTAAGCAAAGATGATTTGGACAGGCGAGCTTGGGCTTGGTACGTTACAGTCCGACCAGAGGTAGAGGCTGGTGTTGCTGGTTGGGGCGCAAAGGGACCTGTGAAGCTTGCAGATGTACTAGCGTTAAGACGTCCGGCTCAATGATGTGCTTGCTTTGGGGTTATGGTTCCTCGTGGATGTGTTTAAACATCTGCTGTTATCTTCCAATTCATATCAATGCCAAGTGCAGTTAATTTTATGGTTGTCGTCTTGCATTATGATATCAACTTTCTTTAGATTTTTTTCATAGGTGTCCACTGCTCCAAGTGGCTGAGGTCGTTGATTGAGCGTGCATCGCTTTCTGGGAGGTTTCGGTCAAGTCGAATAGCATTCCACCCAGCATTTTTCGCGCCCACGTAATCTTTCTCGTACTCGTCACCTACGTATAATTTCTCGAAATCTTCGATTGATTGACCTTGGCTCTCTTTGGCTAGCATCTGCTTTAAAGACTCGACAGCAGCATCGAATATCGGACGGTCAGGTTTTTCGTACCCAACATCATAGCTTAGGATGACGAAATCGATGTCCTCCTGGCTATTTGCAATAACACGTTCTGCGATATCGAAACGCCGATTCCCAACTTCTAAACCAAAGGATTGAAGAATGCCGGGCACCCGATCGTCTGAATTGGTCACAATTCCAACTACAGTCCTATCCCATTTCCACCTCTCAAGCGGCCGAGATTTACAATTACGAAGCATCTGAAAGAATGGAATCACGTCTGGAAAGAGACTATAACCCCGATCTGTAGAGAATTGTGTGAGGAGGTCAGTTACCAATGCCTGTGGGACTTGTTGCCCGGGTTTCAGGAATGGATCGAAGGTTTTGGTGATAACCTCCTCGTTGTGTGAGCGAATGGAGTCATTACTACAGAATTACGATCCGGGAGGACATACATTGGCCCACCACTTCTCTGCCCCCAGACCAGTAGCACGGCCATAGTTTGGATTCTTCCGAGACTCGTCCTTGAATGCTTTCCCGAAGGACATCATGATGTCCCTATGCGTCTTCCATTGACTTTCTTCTATGCCGTGGAGAGCAGCAAAATAGCCATATTGCTCAGGTATTGGCTTCTTAGGAGCAAACAAAGTGCCAAAAGCATCGAAAGCTAACAACAAATTCCTTTTCTGTACCATGACAACGTCTGTTCTGTGTTGAAAGTGTCGCCTGTGGATGTGAAGCTTGTAGTGAGCTTAAACGGACAGGGTCCCCATAGGCGCCCAGAATGGTATAGCGCCGAGTGCTTCAACCGTAACTGAACACGATCACCTCCCTGTGCTTTCAGCGATCCTTTTCCAGCAACCTCAAACCAAAACATATCGTCAATTGAGGCCAAGCTGCTCATTTCGGATTCATCAATCATGGCGCCCAAGCAGACGAAGGATAAATACTCTGTGCTCCTCCCCACATACAATGAACGCCGCAACTTGCCCATTATAACATGGCTCCTTAATAAGACCTTCACTGAGCAGTCAGTAACCCCCCCAAACATTTCTCAAGGGTCGCTAGTAATTTATGCTGAACCCACCATTACTCAGGAAGCTCGACTGGGAACTTATCATCGTTGACGATGGTTCACCCGACGGAACCCAGGAAGTCGCCGCGCAACTCCAGAAAGTTTACTCTCCTCACGTCCAGCTTCGAGCTCGTGCTGGCAAGCTAGGTCTTGGAACGGCATACGTCCATGGTCTCCAATTCGCAACCGGAAACTTCGTCATCATCATGGATGCCGATTTTTCGCATCATCCCAAGTTCATCGCCGAGATGGTTCGCGTTCAAAAGACCAAGAATTACGATATCGTTACCGGTACTAGGTACGCTGGCGATGGAGGTGTATACGGTTGGGATCTGAAGCGAAAGTTCGTCAGTCGAGGTGCCAATTTGTTCGCGGACACGGTGCTTAGACCTGGCGTCAGCGACCTGACTGGCAGTTTCAGACTGTACAAAAAGGAGGTCTTGCAGAAGGTCATCAGGAGCACTGAGAGCAAGGGTTATACATTCCAGATGGAGATGATGGTGCGTGCAAAGGCCATGGGCTGCACAGTCGCCGAAGTTCCCATCAGCTTCGTCGACCGTGTCTATGGCGAGAGCAAGCTTGGTGGCGATGAGATTGTCGAATATGCCAAGGGTGTTCTCAATTTGTGGTTGAAGGTTTAAAACAAGCATGATTGTATGGCGTTGGCGTTGATTTAGGTATGGGGTTTTAACGGGGCATTCCGCTTCTAGATCCACAGATATCCTGATTGCTTGATGGGCAGGCAGTTTTTGTAGTGTCATTTAACTTAATCTAGCCTCCCCTAATACCTACAATGAACCTTAGTGGTCTTATCACGTTGAGTTAGCACAATTAACCATACTGCCTCTAAGCTTTCGTCAATTGAACGAGTGTAGCAAGCTCGCTTCGCAATATTCTGTGTCACTGTATCATTCCCCATCTTGTATCTTGTCTTCGCCGCGATTACGACGTGCTCCCCTGCGTTCAAATTGTTCACATTTCAGATGTGATCCCAAGTCTTTGTCGGCCTCCTTCCTCTCCTACACATCCACATCGGCCCGTGGGTAGATTTGCTATAGATCAATACTATGTAGCTTCTATATGGCTACAGGCGGTACGAATGGCGGAGTACCAAAATGGGCCCACGCACTATGCAGCGATCAAAGTCATCAAGTGAGTTATACTAAGATTTCAAGACCCGGATATAGTCAAGAAAATGTCATCTCCGGCCGGCAGAGGAACGGTGATCTACTATCCCATACGGCTTGCTTGTCTCCTCACAGGGCTCTTCTACCGACTCAAACTCTCCCAATTTTCTCATAGGTATGCTCTTCATCCCATTTACCCAACCCAACTACCTCCTGCGAAACCCCCTCCAAAACGAAACATGCCTCCTCAAACGACTTGTTCTTCTTGAAAATGTAGTAAACGTAGGCCTTGGCGATACAAAACCCATCCTCTTATCATCTTCATCAAAGTCGTCTGTTTGCTGTTGCTGGTGCTTATGCTTCCGTGTGGCGCGAAAGTAGTGCTGTGCGGCGTTGATTCTGCTTTTAAACGTTTGACGAGGTGTTTTAGGGTCTGTGGGTATTTTGGTTGATAGAAACTTGTCCGGCAAGGTGAACGGGTCGGTCGGACAGTTGATCCTAGGGGAAGCGGGCATGAATCACGCCTTGAGTGAACAGACCGCGAACAAAGACTTGATTATAATGAGTATTTTCTTTGGTTGTAAAGAGAGCGAGCCTGATTATAGAAGCCCTCTTCCTGCATAGCATAGCTTGTATACAACAACAAAAATGAATGCAACTCACTGACAGGATACAATTGAAGCGGGAGCGAAGATTTGATGGTAGGAATGATTGTTGGGAAAGAAATGTTTAACAAGAGTTGTAGGGTGTGGGGTTATTGTCCGCCATCAACAGGCAATTTTAACTCACGAAATAAGAAAGGACGACCAACCATTGGGGAGCACGAGATATGATGGAATGGAAGTTAGTTTTGCGACTTCAAATATCATAAATGTTCAAACCGAAGAAAGAAACTATTGCAAATGCTTAAAACTCTGCAGTTGATGTTGATATAATTATCTTTAAAGTATACCTGAACAAACCCAACAAGCCCTTATTCTGTACCAAGATTCTCCTAATATATGTACATCTCTAAACAAAGACTCCAGACAGAGCAAATCGCTATGTTTATCCCCACACAATTTGACAAAATCCCTTACACCCATCGAACCCACATTCATCATCATCCTCCTCCTCCTCACAAAGCATATCATCAGGTTCAACCTCACCAACCTTTGTTGTCAGCCAGTGGTCTTGATACCCAACGTTCCTGCAGACTGCTGGCGATAGATTCGGCAGACAAAGCTGTTGCTCCCTCTTGAACATCCGAGTTGCACCCCTATTTCCATGCCGCTCGGTGCGTTTCCTCTTTCGACACGGCTGGCTTTTCTGGAATGGGACATATGGCGGAGGAAGAGGTGTAGGAGGAAGGTAGTGACCGAGTTGGCGCTCGATGGTTCCCTGACTGAACATTGGCATCACAGATTCATCATCTTCTTCAAATGCCGTGCCGTAGGATGTTGGCGTGGTGGCTTGAAAGGAAGGTGTTTCGGGGCAGGTAGCAGAACTGTGGAGGTGTAGGAGGTAGTCGATGGCTTGCTGAGCCGTCACGGCTGTAGGGCCTTTGCTTGTATTGAAAACCTCTAGGGCTGTCCGGATGTCCCGAATGAGGTTTTGAATTTCGTTCTGGACGGGTGTAGGTGGGGATTGGGAGGTTGTGATTTTGTTGCTGATGGCCTTGGTGTGGCACATTATGACTGGTGGTGGGTGAGTAGGTGTTGACAAGAACGAGATTTTAGGTTAATTATAAGATGGGATGGTTTGTTTGCTTTTTTTTTTTGAACTGTGACCTGAATTTGTGGGAAGTTCGTAAAACTTATAGGGATTGTGGATTCATTGTAAAGCTGCCATGTTTGCTGGTTTCGGGGGGCTTGTGAATGTGGAATCATTGTGAATAAGACATTGTATGGATACTCAGACTTCGTTGCTTTATCAACTTTTAAAATAAGAATTAACAATGAACACCACGGCACACGTGTAGGGAAATAATATTGGAAGATGGTTCTGAAAGTAAGCTATGGGTATGAGTCGACACTTTTGTAAGTTATTTCATATCGGTCAGTTCCGGAATGTTCATAGTACACTGTCACCTAGTACCTTGAAAAGTGTACTTCCGCTTCCAGGCTTGCTGACAACAACAGCATCCTGTAGCTTTTGCTCAGTGATGTCGGGGAATTTCCGCCTGTAGTATTTCTCTTCCCAAACCTTCTTCACTGCATCCACTTTGTCCTTTGGCACGAGATGTACACTGCAGCCTCCCCATCCTGCGCCAGTCAATCTGCTACCGGCTGCACCTGCACTGCGTGCAAGATCACACAGTTCGTCGAGCTCGGGACAGCTGCAATCGTAAACGTCGCGGCAAGAGGTCTGCGTTTCATTCATCAAGTCACCTAGAGACTTGATGAGCTCCTTGCCATCCTCTGGAGGCGATGAAAGGAGTTGGCGGAATTTGAGGACGCGAAGTGCTTCATTGAAAACGTGAAGCGCTCGTTGGCGAAGCAAGAAACGTTCTGCACGGACGGGGAACTTTGAGGTGAAGCGGGAGTTTAGCTCGTCCTCCGAAATATCCAATAAAGAGGAAATCTCGCCCCTGGTATACCCCTCCTCTTGTGGTAGGTAGTCCTCGGTGAGTCTGACCAATTCGCGTAGTTGCGCTTCGAAGTCTGACACAGAAGTCTTTGTATTGTCTGCAACGCCATGTTTCTCTTCGTAGTAAGTGTCGTGGAAGCCACGAAGGCTAACACCTAGTGGAGAGGAGTCTTCGGGAAGCTCACGCTTCAAGCCAAATGCCTTTGCCAAAAAGACGGCTGCCAGTGTGCACTCGACCACGCGTAAATTATAACAAATAGGTCCAGTGACATGTTTGTCTGCCGCAACAAAGCTTTGTGCGGTAACGAAGGTAAGTTCGGGGTCGGTGGTGGGGAATTCGATGGTTGTGTAGTCAAGCTTGGGCTTGAAAGTGACATAAAGGGCGGAGCCGCGTAGGGAGAAGACTGAAGCGGCTTGGTCCATGCTAGAGATATTGTGAGAAATAGTCGTATAGATAGAGAAGAACGACATACCCTCCGGAATTAACCCCCACAGATCGTTCTGATACAATAGCAAGCTCGCAGAGTTCCTTCTTGTCCACTCTATCTTCGCCATTGGCCGCTAGGACTGCGAGAGCACTTGTGCAAACAACAGATGCAGAACTCGAAAGACCTCCTCCGCTGGGGACAGTACCGTCGCATAGAATATCCATGCCAACGGAAACGAAATGTCCATTGCCACGCTTCTTCTCTAGAAGTTGAGAGACGCCACGCAGACCCGACTTGAAATAGTTGGTCCATTCATGCTCGGTCGCATCGATTGGTATATCGCCTTCTGCGGGGATATCAAACTCTCGGGCAGGAAATTTTGCGGACTGGACGTTCGCGATACGTATTCGAGGCTTTTCATTGCTCGGTCTCACGGATACGGCCATGATGAAGTCAGCAGTTATGGCCATGGGGAGTACTTCGTAGAGGGAGTAATCGATGTGCTGGAACATGGTTAGCTTTAATATTTGTAAGAGTATGTGGATTCGATTAGACAGGTGATCGTCTGGAGTATGTATAGTAGGCTGGTAGGGGTATCTCAACGGTAAGAGTACGTCGAAAAACGCATGAAGGGGGCCCACTGCTTGTGCAAATTGTGTGTCTTGCAATTATACCAATGTCCAGAGTAAGGTATCCGTAGATCTTCAATTGGTTGACCAGTGTGCAGAACAGCACGTATGACTTGATCTTACCTCGCCAATGATGTTGACTCTACCAGGACTCCTAGAAACGAAGTCTGCCTGCCTACCGTAGGTGTCTTTAAACTGGGAAAGGAGGTTCTCCCATCGCTTCTGCTGAACAGGCAGTGCATCTTCTGGATAAATGTCGCGCAGAGATGTTGCTTGTGGGACCTCCATGATGGCGGCAGACGATGGTGAATATGCGCTGCAGTGTACGTCTTGTTTCTAGAGAAAAGAGAAGGTGACAGAGCTGCCTTCTGAGAAGCGAATGTGAAGGAAGCAAGCGACAGGTAGCGCAAGAGAAAGACTTTTTGATTTAATATAGCTGGAGCATAACAAAAGTAGGTTAGGCGGCACGGTGGTAGGTACAAGTAGTAGGGTCGTGCGATGATGTAGCGGGGGCGGGGCGACGGATGGCGGAAACTTAACCAGGACGAGAAGGTCAAGCGCAGCTCAGGAGGCCAAGGTGGTGGAGGATGAGGGGGAACCGGCGGCGGATGCAGGGCAGAGGATTGACTTGAACCTCAACTGTTTCTTTTTACTGGTAGAACTGTGTACCTAAGTGAAGGTTGATCACTATCGTTCCCCTCTTCGAAGGGATATATCGTCTAAATAAGTTTCGCACAGCGTCAGACGCGACATTTGAAATATATGCCTATTCGCAAGTGACATTATTACTCAAATCATCCAGGGATAAACTTTGTAGATTGCAAGCCCCGGGAATACTATATAGATATGCCATTTAAGCTGAAAGTATGTATAGGGAAAGCGCTTCATGCACTGGGTATATCAACTCAACTCAAGCCTCTTCCACGCCCACGCAGACCTCGTCCGATGCCACTGCTTGCACGATTACTCGTAGAACTGCTGCGCGCAAGTCCACGACCCGACTGGCCGCCAACTCCGACGTAGTTTGAAGAAGTTGAAGAAGACGCTGTTCCTCGTGTCCGCACAATGCCCCGGCCCCGGCCACGGGTCCCTCCTCTCGCAGCAGACTCGGCTTTCTTCCGTTCATCCTCTGCGCGCCTGGCTGCCGCATCCCGTCGTGCCTGCCCCTCTGCTGCTCGGCGTTCTGCAGCCTGTTGTCGTTGTATTTCCTCATTTTCGATGTCGACGAGATCTTGGGTTGCGCCCTGCCATTGCGGGTTCAAAATGAGGCGTTGGTTATGCTCGGTCTGGGCCAGAATCCGAGTCCACGTTTGGAGAAGTGTTGATGCATTGTTGACTGTCCGGGACACTGTCTGCGAATTGTTAGCATTGTGCAATGGGCGTTGACCTTTGATTATCTTGCAGAACAAGAATATCCACGCACATCCATGTTGTCTTTCGCCTTTTGTAAACTTCCAACTACTTCGTCTATGACCCTGTTCACGTTTCGCACAGTCTCGAGCTCTCTCCGCAATGCTGCTTCTCGTGCTTCCTCGCTTGTGTAATGCGATTCTTTGCCTCGCGACTGTGCGGCTCCCCCGACGTCGCCTCTAGAACCCGATTTATTCTTTCTGGCCGCGGGAGTGTCGAATATGTGGTCGGAGTCGGAATCGGAAAGGTTGAGGTCGTCCATGTTGGGAGGTTCCATTGTGTGCTGTCATTCATTCATTCCTTCGTTCGTTCGTGCGTGCGTTCGTTTATTCGTAGTTATCAATTGACGCGAAGGATTAGGTTAATTGTATTTTTGGCGCCGTCTCTTTCATTATTCGACGAAATGTTTGTTATGTGTATATGGAGTAACAATGCAGAGTAAAGGTATCTAGCGGGGTGTTAGGTAAGGTGGTGAGGCAGGGGTTGTGTTGGCCCGTGCCTCCACTTTTGTTGTTGTACACACAGATTGCCAAGGCGATTTGGGATGGCTGGGAAATTGCCAGCCAGTCATGCCAGCCCAGCCTGCGTGTGTCTGTGTGTCTCTGTCTACCCGTGAGTGCCAGTGACTACCAACTTACCAACCTCCTCCTCCTCCTCAAGCTTCAACAGACATCACCTATCACACCCATCACCCTCACCCTCTCGACCCACTCCACCCTCTTTTCTATCGCTCCACCGCAACACAGCTCCAGACTCTACCACCACTCCGTACTATTCATTTGTGTCGCAATTGTGCAAAAGGAACAATTAAAACAAACCCACATATCCGTTCCATCTAGCGCCTGTTCCCACTTTGTTTTGGTTCCGCAACTCCCCATATTCAACACGGTACCTTCTCTCTGCCTTCTCTTCCCACTTGGATACAGGTATCTTGTTGAAGAGAAAGAAAGCATTGCCCAACATGGAGCGGACTCCCTCGCCATCCCGTCGCCTTCACACTCCTCCGGCACCCCTTCATGGCGCCAAACACGACACTTACGAGCCATTCTCACCTCGCCGGTCCAGCAGAGTCGCCGCCCAACGTGACCAGACTCAACAACCACCTTCACCTACTCGCTCACGACCATCTCGAGCTACACGCGCAGTGACGCCAACGACTACGAGGAAGAACAACGCCAGACCCAACACAATCTTCCAGGGTCTATCACCTCCATCCTCACCCAACTCTCCGCGTCAACTCCACTCACCTCGCACAACGCGTCGTGCCCACTTCCACGACAACATCGATGAACCTGAATGCGACCTGGTAGCTCCCACCCCTGGTAGAAGGTTTCTTTCGGCGATCGATTCGCGCGCAATGCTCCCAACTCCAGCCAAGACCCCAAGGAAGCGTCCTTTGCAATCCGAGGAATCACTTCAGCCGACCGCGCGAGTTTTGTTTCCCTCTCGACCAGCCAATATCGAAGAAGCCATGCCCACCCCGCACAAGAACCGCAAGTCTAAGAGGGACTTCCTCACTCTGGATAGCTTTGAAGATCATACCGAGGAGCAGAAGATCGAAATCTACACAGATTCAAAGGAGCGCATTCCTACAGCCGATGAAGATGAAGACAACCCATTTGTGACTCCTAGCCGCAGGAGGCAACCCAGGAGTAAGGCACATAGCGCACCAAAGGCCCGAAAGGCCGGCACCGCAACGGACAGAATGCAGGAAGCCGTCAACCGTGACGAGGGGATGATCTACCTATTGTAAGTAAATCAAACATTCACATCTCTCCAATGAAAAGCTTACGAGAATATAGCCGCGGAAAGAGGGTCTATCGCAAGTTCGACGATGTTCCCGCAGGGCACACCTCAGATGAACCGGAGTTTTCTGGAGATGATCTTCGTAATCCAGCAGGCCACGAGGCTCGACGCCCTCTTACTCGATCAGCTATCAAGCCACGCTTGTTATTCCAAGAAGAGATTAAGCAGCAGCGACAGCGCCAGATGGGCCCCGACGACGTAGACGAAGAGGCAGTAACCGACATTGAAGTTCCAATCGCTACCCCATCAAAGCGTAGAGTCCGACACGAATCTCCCGTGAAGCAGCAGGAGATTACGCCTCCACCAATTGCCAGACCCAAAAGAGGTAAAGTCAATATTCCTAGAGATTTGGATATCGCTAACGTACTACAAGAAATTTCTTTCGATTCTTGGAGTCGGGTCAAATCTTCTACCAGCGATAGAAGCTCCAACTCTTCGCGTGCTGGCAAGAAGCGTGCCGGCGATCCACTGTCTGGCGGACCCGAGAAGCGCACGAGGAGTGAACAGTCTTCAGCCTAATGGCGCCAACTGTTCAAAGGTTGCATTCTCCGCAGCCGAATCCAGTCTGTTTTTCATCCTGACCAAATTCTCTGCTTTACTGGCGCGCTGGGCAATTGGGGACCGGACCTTATAAAATGTCATGAGCACCACACCTGATGATTGCATGATCGATACATCATATTCTCGATGGTCGAATACCGTACTTGTAATACTGGGGCAGTGGAACAATAATGGAGTTTGGGTGTTGCACCTCGCAATAGCTGGACTCGGCGGATACCCACCTTACTCATTAGAATTTCTTTTCCTGACTTACGGCTCGATGACCCATAGTATCGCAAGTCAACAGTCGAGCGTCATTTCAAGACCAGTCAAAGCGGACTCATGTCGATTCCGCCTTGACATGATTAGCTTATTTGTTCCTAGGGTGTTTAGTATTGAGCTGGACCGTTTGCAACTCTTGGTACCGGGGCGCGTACACTAATAATGGTAGTTGTCTGGATCTGCTACTGCGGCTCTGCTCGAGCGGGTTGGCCGATTCTTACTTTCACAACAAAGTCTGGGGATTGCACTGTACTGTGGTACTTTCCTCAAACTGCTATTGCTTTTATTTTTCAACTAAGTGCCAAAGAAGTATCTCTGGCATGGACGCGCTGGCGGTTCATATCATCTTCGATAAAGAAATGCAATTAGGTATATCCGATAACATGCTCTTCTAGTGACCATATCTCCGTGAACCACCTCTGAATACAAATGCGTTCGGTTTCTCTTCGCATCTGGCAATACAAGATGCTCATTCTTTTCCAGCCATTACAACACTGTTTACGTCATAGCATATCAACGAGTCCTTAAGTGAAAGGTCCCTCACTTCACTTCTTCGGCGCCTTCGTAAAGAAACTACTCAGTTTCATCATCCCACTTGTATCCACCTTCTTCAGCTGCTTGATCCCCCTACTCTCTGTCTTTTTCCTCTTCTCCTCCTCTTCTTTCTTCCTCTTCTTCTCCTCCCTCTCCGCCACCTTTTCCTCATCGTCATCAAGTCCCCTTTTCCTACTGATGTTATCCGACATCGAGCGTAGAGCCGCTGCCTCGGACCGCAGCTTCGCAATGTTGGCGAGGTGGGCGTCGAGGTCTGCAAAGGAGGGCGATGTGCTGGTCTGTAGGAGTTGGGTTATGGAATTCTGGAGGAGGGGTGGGATGTAGGCGGCGGTGAGGTAAGTTATTGAGGAGCGGAGGCGTAGAAGGGAGGGGATTTCGGCGGGAGTTGTTAAGGGCTGCGTGTGAGTTGCATCGTCCGAAGTGGTGGCGGTGCTGATGGATGTTGCGATTGTGGATTGAGATGTTGGTGTGCTTGTATCTGAGGCTGACGAGGTCTGGGAGTCGGATGTTGAAGTTTGTTCGGAGACTGACGCTGTGCTACTGAGTGTGCTTTCTTCGCGCTTGATGTTCATAATTGGAACGTCCAATGCCGGCTTCATGAAGCGCTCTTCCATTGAGGCTGGGAATCCGTTCTTGCTCATTCGCTCAGCTTTCTCGACGAGGAGGTTATAAAGCTTTTGGTTGGACAGGCGATACATGAGTTCATCGCCTGCATCTACAGTGTCGCAGCATGCCGAGAAGCGTTTCTCCAGCATGGTTCGCAGACACGGGAATTGTGACAGTAGAGCTTTGAGGTGCCGTGATGTTGCAGATAACGCATCAAGGTGGTCGTCAAGGGACAAGAATAGTGCTTTCTCATCTTTCCTCGACTTGGGCGCGAGCGCGGGGAGGATCAAGAAGAGTGCGTCGATGGGCGTTGCCAGGAACAAATTGGCCTCCTTTGTGACATATCCACTCCCTAGTTCTGCCTCATCTATTGCTGTTCCATGCTCTTGCGATTCGGTTTCTGTGCTCTTCTCAGATATTATCAGCCAACTCCGTGGTGCCTTCTTCGGTGCAGCGATGCATGTGAATTCGTAGAAGCCTTTCTCTGGGCAGAAGAAGTATCGTGACGGTTCCGCGGTCGCTGGATTTTCTAGGGTAATGATACGGGAGTCTTTTGTCGCGTGCCTGGGTAGGACGAACAATTTATGGGGATTGTCGACGCTGGCAGAGAGCTTTCTGATGTTCTTCGCAGGTGCAGGCTCGGGGGATGAGTCCTTGACTGCTCGCTTTGAGCGAGTTGTCCTGGCCATTATGGTTTCTGAATACTGTAGATCGACTGCAAGACGATTTGAGAATTGATAGGACTTATTGATTGATTATTTTTCCGTTATTGTAGCAAATCTTTGGCCAAAAGTGAACAATGATGGATCGAAGAGCGCAATGTTGCGCGAGAATTACCCGTAAATTGGAACGCGTCGGGGGTCCGAAAGCGCGTCATCCTTGCTCGTTTCAGATTGGTGAACTGCAACCTTAATTCTACGAGTACGGCTTTGCGACTACGACAACCACTTGAGCCCCCCGGAATCAACTACCACACACCCTCACGCGTAAACAGCTCGAACCGCCACATAATATTATTTCACGAAGCGGCTGATTGGTATTTCTCGATCCAGAGCGGGATATGGGCGCCAAAGCGGCTGCGGGATATCGAGGTCGAACTGCAACATTGTCACCCTCGCCGCAGCAATGATTGTGAGGGAAAGCCCCAAATCCGGAGGTACGACTTAAACCTTGCAAACGCTCAGCTTGCCTCATTGCATTAGTTTAACCTATAGTTATCCTCTCGCTGTGGTCTTTGATTCTAACATAATAACAGCGAAGAAACAACCGCAAAGTTGGCCTCCCAAGTCTCCGCATGAAGCCCTTCTCAGTTCACCCTCTGGACGACGAAAATATGAGCAACGACGGGGCCGCGACTCGGTTTCGCCTTCCCCTGCCAAGCGCCGACCAATAAAGTCAACGGATAATTCAAATGAAGACGAAGACGAAGATGAAGAAGAATTAGAGTTGCAACTTCGGGCCATCGAGACTCGATTGAAGCTCAAGAAGCTCCAAAAGGCGCGGCAGGCGGTAGATGGTGAATCTGATCAAGCCCGGAGTGCTTCGCGGCCAGGTTCGACGACGGCAGCACGCAAGGTCGAGCTTCCTCGCCAAAATTCCGAAGTTCAGGTTCCTGTCTCACCCATACGGAAGGCCAGAGAGCCCGCGGAGCAGAAGAGCCCAGCAAGAGTTTTGTTAGGTATTGATAAAGGCCTCCGCGCACAAGATGTCAGTTTGAAGCGGGCGCCTAGTCAATCTGTAAGAGACAGAGGAGCTAGCACCACCCATTCTCTTTCCAGGACCGGCGCATCAAGATCCGTGGAAACACCACGGATCAAGTCCTTCAGCGAGCGACTTGCGGAGAGCAGAAACAATGTGAAAGAGAAAGAGGAAAAGCAATCGAGAATTGAGAAAAGTAGGAGTACCGGCTTTGGCTTGAAAGATCTACAACGCGATGCATCATCTTCTCGAACAAGCTCTTCGCTGTCAACTACAAGAAGCGCCCAAGATCCTCCCCCCTCTGCAAGAAAGGAAGAGCATACCCAGCGAAAAACTTTTACCGATTTTAGGAATACATCGGGAACACCGCGATCCTCTTCTACGCTGTCCTCGCGGCCAGGAAGTCAGCTAGACTCTCGTACTCCGTCACGGGCTTCAACCCCCCAACCTGCGACAGTACGGCCACTCCAAACATCCAAAACAGCATCCAAATATGCTGAAATCTCGGAGCGCGATAATTCTACTGAAGCCAGTAGCTTTGAATCCTTTTCTGGACTCCACCTCAAGAACCGAACGATGCCACACAATACCTTAGCGCGCGCTTTAGATGATAAAGCGATCTTCACCATTCCACAGTTACTCAAAACTGTCAAAGCACCAGAATACGAACCACCAGATATGGAAACCGATTACGTTGTGATTGGAGTCATTGCCTCAAAGTCCTCTCCTCTAACGCCAAAAAATGGCCGAGACCAGCAGTCAGTCGGCAATCAAGACAACAACGTCAATCAGAGCGGCAAATTCATGGTGATTCGGCTCACGGATCTAAAGTGGGAACTCGATCTATTCCTGTTCGACACAGGCTTCTCTCAATTCTGGAAGCTACCCACCGGCACGCTGGTCGCGGTGCTGAACCCGGACATCATGCCTCCTCGTCAGCGTGATACTGGCAAATTTTCACTCAAGCTTGCTAGCTCTGACGACACTATCATCGAGATTGGCACAGCTCGTGATCTGGACTATTGTCATGCACAACGGAAAGATGGTAACATGTGTGGACAATGGATCGATGGAAGGAAGACAGAATATTGCGAATACCACATCGAGCTGCACGTTGAAAAGAGCAAACGAGGACGTATGGAGGTCAACACAATGACGGGGTTCGGCAAAGGACCAGGCGGGGGAGGTGGCGGGAAATTTGGGATGTTCGGAGGAGGTGGAAGGGGTGGTGGTCTAAAGAGTGACGAGTTGAAGAGGGAAGGAAGATATCATGATCGGACTATCCACGAAACAGTATACATTGCCCCCAGCACCGGTGCAGCAGCAAGACTGCTGGATGATGAAGATACAGGATTTGAGCGCGGGGCCAGCCGTGCAGAGAAACATCGGAGGCAACTCGCTGAGAAGGAAAAGGAGCGTGAACTTGCGAAGAGACTTGGTCAGATTGGCAGAGGAGCAGGTAGTGATTACATGAAGATCAAAGGCGCCGACACACCTAACTTGCCGGCACGAGGGGATATCCACTGGAACGAACCTTCGACTGCCGCGAAAGACACAGCAGCTTCTTCGGGCGATCCTTTCGGTCTGCTGAACCGCAAGGCGGACGATGTCTCTTTAGCGCCTGTTAAGCGCAAGCGCATCGTATCTACAAAGTCTACTGCTTCCAATGGACCGGTTGGATGGGGAGGCGCTTTCAAGCGAGGGATATTATTGCCCCCTGAAAAGGAATCCGATCAGTCCCTTCGAAGCACCCGAGAATCCAGTCCCGCGAAAAAACGTGCTCGTCTTCTTCTTCCTGAGAAAGGCATCCGGGAGCCTGGCCGAGACAGTTTGGGCACAATGGATGTTGGACTTCTGGCTGCTATGGACGATGACGACGATGATTTGGATATTGTTTGACAACCTTTTCTTCTTACGAGTATTATATCCCCCTACTTGCGTTTTGGGTAGCATGTAAGCTAGGCGTTATGCACTCCAATGCTGTGATTGGCTAGTGAAAACTCGGAAAGGCATAAGCGAAGTTCACTTTTACTTGTACTTCCAATCCAAAAGACCTTTTCATTGTAGCTTTACGATTTCTTTACGAATTGATGATTCTCGAAGTCTAATGACTGGTACTAGCATTTCCTTGAACGCTCAAGTGAAGTACACAAACCCTGAACCAAGGAGAGATATCGTGGACATCTAAGAACGCCGATTTCCACCCCTCTACTCAGTCCCCGAATAAACACCATGGCCTCCCAAGACGCAGGCAATGATAGCAAAATATACGCCTTGATAAACTACGAGGATCCATATGTACAACCCCTCATATTGAAGGCCCTGGAGAACCGCCAGACGTCAGAGTCCTTTGAATTAATATCGTCACTTGAATCGCTTCCAGCTTCAACGTCAAGAGCCCTGCAATTCCTCCAATATGAATCTCTAGACTTCTCGCATCTTCTAGAACATCCAACAACTTCACTAGCCAACGCATACGTGATCCGGAAAGCTCTTATTCGCAAGCACTACCTATCAACCACGGTGGCTAACTGGATCACGAAGCATCCCAATTCGGCTTTAGCCAAGGGCGTCAAGCCGAGTGTAGAGTTTGAAGTCGATTATGCAGCGTTTCTTGACGATGCCTTGGTAGAAGCCTTCGAATTGAGGGAGAGTTGGGAGAGGGGCGAGGGGAAGGAATCATCTGAGCGAGAGTGGTGGATTTTGAAGCCTGGGATGAGCGAGAGAGGGCAAGGGATCAGGTTGTTTTCGTCCGAGGAAGAGCTTACTGAAATATTTGAGGAGTGGGATCCAGAGTCGGATGACGAGGAGGAGGACGATGCAGATGCGAGGAGTGACCAGGACGGAAGGGATGAGGGAGAGGCGACTGGAAACGGGATTATTACTTCGCAACTTCGACATTTCATCGCTCAGCCGTACATCCATCCTCCACTGCTGCTATCTCCTACGAACCAACCGGAAGATGGAAGTGTTCGAAAGTTTCATATACGAACGTATGTGGTTGCTGTGGGTGCACTGAAAGTCTACGTTTATAAACCGATGCTCGCGCTCTTCGCAGCTCGACCCTACACGGCACCTTGGGAATCCCCCAATGACGATGAAAGCTTGCGAGCGCACTTGACAAATACCTGCTTGCAAGATAGCTCCGAACGCGACGGGTCTGTCGCCGCTTTCTGGTCATTGTCAGATCATTTACCAAATGATGTAAAGGTCGAATCGACGACTCCATGGAAGGACAAGGTTTTCGAGCAGGTCTGCAAACTCACAGGAGAAATTTTTGAGGCTGCTGCTCGCTCGATGAGCATACATTTCCAACCTCTCCCCAACAGCTTTGAAATATTCGGCCTCGACTTCATGATCGGCATTGAATCCGACGCATCTCTACAAACTTATCTTTTAGAGGTCAATGCATTCCCGGATTTTAGGCAGACCGGACAGGAACTCAAGGGCCTAGTTGAGGGATTGTTCGAGGGAGTGGTTGATGTTGGCATAGCGCCATTCTTTGACTTCAAGGACACAACAGACGGACGGGTGGATAACATGAGGAAAGTACTTGATGTAGACTTAGGTCGACGATAGCCACACCCTCTTGGAAGTTATGGTGTCTATAATGATATCGGTAATGAGGTCGTCGCGTTGACGTTGATATAAAGTACTGAGTCCCCTCCGAACATATTTTATTTGAACTAATAGGTCTGCTGAAACGCTCCTGGGGTATATATATTTCTTTGATTTCCAACGCCGATCAATTATGCCACATGGTTTAAGGCTCGATTTGCCAGAAGGGATGGGCAATCCCTCTTGCAGCAAACTATACAAACCACTCCTCGTCACTGTCCAAGTTGCCACTAGCTACGGCCAGACGAGCTATACAGTCTTCTCGGTCACAACCGGTGTGTTGTCGAAAGTCATAAGGAATCCAGGGTATGACTTCGCCATCACTTTCTTGGTTCACATTTTCATCAGGTTGTTTCTCCACACTCTCCCGCACGCTGAGAGATTCCTCTGGACGCTTGGCTTGGCCAGTCCCTTGATCGTGAACATCGGTTGCCGTTTCCTCCGCGACGCCAGTTTTAGCACTCGTCCCAACCTTCTTAAAGCGAGACGAGCCAGCATCACTGGCAACCTTTGTGAATCGCGGTCCGAGACCAGGTTGCTTTCCAGGACCGTCAAGTGGTACAGACCGCAGATCCTCCGGACCACGCTTCTTAGAATCGCTGTCGTTGAGTGCCGTCAACTTTTTCATATCGGCAAGTCGTTGGCGGTGGTTGTGATCATAGGAGCGCAGGTGGTTCTCGTAATCAGGCTGTCGAGGATAGCCCTTCTTGCAGATCTCACACCAGAATTGGCGCACAGCGTTTGAGGGGGCGACGTTTTTTCTCTAAATGGATTAAAAGGCCATGTCAGCTATGGAAGAAGAGAGATGATTCATAACAGTGGTTGGCATTTACGGGTACTGGTGGAGGCATAATTGGAATAACCTCGGTGAAGCACCAGTCGCGAATGGGGGCACAGAAGTTGAATGAAAAGAAGTTTCCAGAGTTAAGGGGACAGTCGTCGATAACTAAAAGGGCGGAACTTGGTGGAGTAGATGGGGTCGAAGTGGTTGTTGTTTTGATGCAAGTCTGCAAGCTTAAGAAAAGCTTCGGAAATCCGCCCTCGTTGCTCGGAACAAGCGCGCTAAGTATCTTTATAGCAACCCGGAAGGCCTTGGCATTGTCAGCAAATCAACGTCATCGCAATTCTGCGACGGCCAAAAAGTCAGCATTGTTGCGACCAGCAACCTTGAGCAATCGCCAATATGCCCAACACGCCTCCAGAGACACCTGATAGGGGAGAAGAACTAATATCCTTGACGGAGGTCGAGCCTTCCCCAGTAGAAGAGACTCCAGCCGAGTTCAAAAATGAATATTTCCCCCCACAGGCATCGAGAACCTCGACGTTGGGTCTGGGAAATCATGGTCCAGCATACTATTGTGAGCGATGGCTTCTTTACTACCGCCCTTACTGTCGCAAACGTACTAATTGGTATTTTTATTTGCAGTAAATCGAGTTCAGAAATATTCCTCTTATGCGTTCACGGTCTTTTCCGCCTTCCACATTGCGAACACGTCCATAATACCGCTCTTCACCAAATCCGTATCTGAGAGCAACCGCTACCTTCTCCTAACGCGCCCCTACTATCAATCATTTCTGACGGAGCCTCTTCTTGTGGGCATCCCTCTCGTAGCACACGTAGCATCGGGTGTTGCTCTACGCTTTTATCGGAGACACCAGGCATTGCAACGATATGGCGCTGAGACACATCAAGACAGGAAATTAATACCGTGGCCTTCATTTAGCGGGATAAGCATTTTGGGCTACGCCCTCGTTCCCTTAGCCGGATTCCACTGGTGGACGACAAGGTTTCTTCCTCTTTATATGCATGGCGACAACTCCATGATCAGCCTTTCCTATGTCAGTCACGGCTTTGCGTTGCATCCCATTGTCTCTTTCGCCGGATTCACAGCGCTGATTAGCGTGAGCGCATGGCATTTCACTTGGGGCTGGGCACGATGGCTTGGCCTCACACCAGACCAGGTCACTTATACGAATGCTCCAAGGCAATTAGTGAAGAAGCGGCGGTGGTACAGCATTAATGCCTTGTCGGCGCTACTTGCTGGCTTATGGCTCGCTGGCGGGCTAGGTGTTGTGGGCAGAGAGGGGAAGACAGGCGGCTGGGTGGGAAAGGAATTCGATGATTTGTATAACAGCATGCCAATTCTATTTAGATTGAGGTGATTGTATTATACCCTCAGTAATTTATGTAAATTTTACCCTCGTAAGGTTGCAAAGTTTCGGGTGATGTCTTCGAGTATGAACTCATCAGGAGGTTCATGTCCTCGTGTGATGGTGCATTTTGCGCCGTTGATGTGAAGTTCAGAGCTACCAGAGCGGTCTTGTGTTGGTATTGTTTTCTGAAAACAAAGGTGTTCTCGTTGTCAGCGTCGAGCAGTTCAAAATTCCCATACACAAAGACGTCCTTGTGCTCTTTGCGCAACCGCAGTAACCTCTTGTAAAACGAGAGCACGCTGTCTGCCTCTTTCTCCTGAGCCTCGGCATTAATGTCCTTGTAAAGGTCGTGCGTACGCATCCACGGTTCACCATCCGAAAATCCAGAATTTTTGCTGGAATCCCACTGGAAAGGCAGCCTTGCGTGATCTCTTGCCATCAGTTGCAGACCGTACTTGATGCGTTCCTCACGCGTGGGATCGGTGCCATCTTCCGTCATCTTCACGGCCTCTGCCCAGAAATTCTTGGATTCTACATCCTTGTACTCGTCGATGCTCCATTCCTTTGGTGCATTGATCATACCGATTTCTTGACCCTGGTATAGAAATAGTGTGCCGGTAACAGTTGTCAACCACATGGCCAACATCTTTGCACTCTTTTCCCTCCATTGCGGGGATTCATCCGCAAATCTACAGATACTTCTTCCATTATCGTGGTTCTCATTGAATACCGTAGTCCAGCCATCGGTGCCGTCAATGAAAGTTTGCCACTTCTCAACGATTCGCTTCATCTCCGGCAACTTCCATTCCGCAAAGTCGTATTTGTCAAGGAATCCGCTTCCTTGTCCAACATGCGTAATATCGAATTGAAACACCATACTTAGTTCTTTGGCTTCGGCGCTCACATATGGTAGGACGCCCTCGGGATCTGGAGTCAAAGAAAGTTCGCCAACCGTGACTAATTCTTGTCCATCATACGTCCTGTATTTGGAGAGGACTTCGCTGTTCATCTCTTTGATGAACTCGTGTATTCTGGGCCCGTTGCACCAGAATTGTGCGGCTGGCTGAATGAATGTGCTGGGATCGGTGATTGGAGCCTGAGGGAAGTCGATGTGCTTCGAGTACTTGTTGACTGTATCAACACGGAAACCATCGATCCCTTTGTCGAGCCAGAAACGCATTGCTGAGTCGTAGATGGCCTTGCGGCATTCCTCATTCTCCCAATTCAGATCCGGCTGTGACTTATCGTATAGGTGAAGATAATACTCCTGAGTATGCTCATCCCATGTCCCTATCGAATTTGGTCAGTTGCGGAAAACCAGTTGCATTAACGACTTCACATACAAGTGCCGCCAGCGAAATAGCTACGGTAGTTCGTAGGTGGGAGACGGTTGCCATTTTCATCATATCTAGGCGGCTTCCAGAAGTACCAGTCTCGTTTCGGGTTGTCCTTTGAACTTCTGCTCTCCTTGAACCAGGCATGCTGGTCTGAAGTATGATTTACAACCAAATCAAGGATTAACTTCAAGTCGTGGTCGTGGCACGCTTTTATAAGTTTTTCAACATCTTCCACCGTGCCGTACGATGGATCGACCGCTTCATAATTTGAAATATCGTATCCCATATCGATCTGGGGAGATTCAAACATAGGAGACAGCCATACAACATCAACGCCTAGCGATGCAATGTACGGAATTCGCTCGAGCAGGCCAGGGATGTCACCCCAGCCATCTCCATTACTGTCTTTGAAAGATGCGGGATAGACTTGATAGAAAACTGCTTCCTTCCACCAGACACGCTGGTGACGGAGAGGCTCCGCATGTGGCGACATGATGACAAGAAATGAAGGACAAAATTGAGGACTGATAACCCTCGGCAATGGGAGGTGCCAACGCCTCCTAAGTATGTCGCATCAGATCGGCCTTGCCACAACGACAATCATCGTCCTCGTTGCGACTCCACTTGTAGAGAGCCGGGAAATGGTTTTCATGTCGGTGCGATCAACCGACGAGTGGAGATTGTACGTCTTTCTCCACACCCGTCAACGCTCCGAGTTGCTCCCGAGCCCTTCCCCCTTGGCTCCGACTTGGTTCCGACCCTTGATCACCCCCATGAAAGCTTTTCCTCGCTCTTCCTTGTCTTCTCCGCGCTGTTTCCCAGTAACTGCAGTGGTGGGCAGTCGTTCCGAATACCACCACAGCGGCGTGCGACCTCGTTTACGTACTGGCGCGTCCAAGCCCCTGACACTGTGGAGGGCGCACATGAGGGTGAAGAAACAAGTGGATCTGTGGGTTAGCGAATTCTGGTGAAAGGTCTGGGCTAGCGGACCATTCGATTTGACGATACGGTCTCCCCTGCTGGGCCGTAAGAATTATTATAAAATCAGCCATGTGAGCTCGTACAAGCATGTTTTGCCATCCTGTCTTTCTACTTTTCGCCCAACTTCTTACATTCATACCTTAGATTACATACATACCTTATTATTATTGTATTTTCTCAGGATGGCGAGTGAAAAGGAAAATCATGTCGACCAAGTGTCAGCCGCCAATCGCGTCGGTGCAAACCACGACGCCCAACACGCTGCTTCAGATGAAAAACAGATGTCACTTTTCCAGGCCATCAAGCTCTATCCTAAGGCTGTAGGCTGGTCTGTCGTCTTGTCAAGTGCCCTCATCATGGAAGGCTACGATCTTGCCTTGCTCGGTTCACTTTACGGGAGTCCCCAGTTCAACATGAAGTACGGAGTACAAAATCCCAAGACCGGAAAGTGGACGGTGCCGGCCAATTGGCAGTCAGCCTTGTAAGCATACGCGAATGTTGGGATTCGAGTGTTGAAGTCTAACAACTGGTAGGTCCAACGGTGCTCGAGCCGGTGAAGTCATCGGCCTCTTGGGGTGCGGGTTCGTCCAGGAAAGATACGGTTACAAGAAGACCATGATAACATCTCTCATTGCTATGACTGGTTTCATCTTCATCCTGTTTTTTGCGCCAAATATTCAGACATTGGTCATCGGAGAAGTCTTTTGCGGTATTCCCTGGGGAATCTTTCAGACGATTACAACTCAGTATGCTTCGGAAGTTAGTCCTGTTAAGCTGCGACCTCTCCTGACTACGTTCGTCAATATGTAAGTCCTCATCATAGCTGATATGCCATGGATTTGAATTGATCTGTATAGGTGTTGGGTCATGGGTCAATTCATTGCCGCTGGAGTAAACCGAGGATGCGTCACCCGAAATGACCAATGGGCATACCGAATTCCCTTTGCGATTCAATGGATGTGGCCTGTACCCATAGCACTCGGAGTTCTCTTTGCGCCCGAGAGCCCTTGGTGGCACATCCGAAAAGGAAATCGCGAAGCAGCTCGTGCAGCTCTTCTTCGACTTACATCCCCTGAGAAAGATCCCAATTTCAACGCCGACGAGACGATTGCTATGATCGAACACACTAACGAGATGGAAAAGACAATGCAACAGGGAACATCCTATCTTGACTGCTTCAAGGGTGTTGATCTCAGAAGGACAGAGATTGTGCTCTGCACGTGGTGGGCACAAACACTTTGCGGACAGAACATCATGGGATATTTGTATGTTCTATAGATCTCGTGGCGCTGATCCCCGCTAACACTATTACAGTGCTTATTTCATGCAAAAGGCTGGCCTTCCGACCATTCAGTCGTTCAACATGTCCATGATCTCACTTGCTCTTGGCCTTGTTGGTACTATGGGCTCATGGTTCCTCATGTCTCATTTTGGCCGTCGTACGATCCATTTAAGTGGCGCATGCAGTCTCTTTGTCATTCTTATCATCGTTGGATCTCTGAGCTTCGGCGGAACAGCGGCTTCCAATTGGGCCATCGGTGGCATGCTCATCTTGTTCGTGTTCATCTATGACTTCACCGTTGGGCCCGTTACCTATTCGCTCGTGTCTGAAATCCCTTCCACGAGGCTGAAGACCAAGACTATCGTGATGGCTCGAGCATTATACAACACCTCCAACATTGTCGTCAACGTTCTTACGGTAACTTTCTCACCCCTCCTGAATCATAACTAAGTCTAACATGTCATAGAATTACCAGCTCGGCGAATTGAACTGGAATTGGGGAGCTAAGACAGCATACTTCTGGGCTGGCACCTGCGGTATTGTCTGCATATGGGTCTACTTCCGTCTCCCGGAACCGAGGAACAGGACATATGCAGAGCTAGACGCACTTTTCGAGCAGGGTGTTTCTGCTCGCAAATTTGCATCCACCCACGTTAACCCCTACGGACACGGTGACGTTATGGACAAAATTGCGATTGACGAGGTCAAAACGGAGAAAGCGGACCACTTGGAGAAGTAGAACGTTTCACTCCTAAATTCATATGTAATCCTACATACGTTTTAATTTTAGTCGCTATCGACTACTCCTCCTTCGGGTCCAATAGGCTGAATTAATGTATAACTTCCACTCGAGTTGAACTCCTGAACACCGTTGATCAGATAGAGCGGCGTCAAGTCACCGTCGTCACTAAAGTATAATTTCGGTCGCTCCCTCCTATAGTAATCAATGCTTGTTCCATCGCTGAACTTGACCGTGGTATTGAAGGCTTCCTGCAGCTTGAAGGTCCAGTTGCCTTGCAACTCTCTAGCGAACAGATGTGCACCAACTCTAGGGAACTTTTCGTTTCTCTCAGTGATGTCAATCATCCAGTGGACAAGCATATGCCAATGTCCACGCTTGTCGCGCCACAAGAATGGGTCCTCAGTCCAATGATCCCCATACCGAGATGTGTTCCAGGGCATCTTCACTAATTCCTCATACGGACCTGACCATTTCTCGCCAGAAAACAAAACACTATCGCCGACGCCCAACGCCATCTCCGAAGTTGGATTCTCCTCTGACCACAATGGCCACGGCGCGGGATTGGTATGGTTGATAAGAAGCAGTGTCTGCTCTGTCCATGATCTCAAGTCGCTCGATTTGGATACGGACACATTATTGGGGATCTTAAGCGATCGGCATGTATCCGCAGTTTCCATGTCCTGCCCAATGAAGTACAGCAAGTATGCATCATCTGCCGGACTCCAGATCGTGGTGGGGTTGTGATGAAAAGTAGGGAATAGTTCCTGTGCCCACGTATATGGTCCTGCAGGACCAACCCTCGATTCTGCGCGAATTATGGTGCTGAAGGGGCGCCATCCACCAAGTCCACATCCACGAGCCATTTGGGAGGTAATGAGGTGATAGAGGCCTTTATCATGGCGATCTTGGATGATGTGGCCGCCCCAAGATGAATTCCCGCCTTTCTGACTGTAATGATCCGGGCTCGTAGCATTAGTGTGGTTATAGCCTGTCCATCGTGTTGCGGGATAGAGGTCGAGATGTCCACAGTCCGAGGATCGCCAGCCTGGGTCGCAGACGCAGGCGCTTGTCTCTAAAGAGCAGATGCCATTGAGGCTGCAGTCATCATCTGTTTCGCATGCTGCAGCAGTGCGAAGGCAAACTAGCAAATAGATAGACAGAGCATGCCGAACCCAATTGTTGCTGTTGAGGAACATGATGACGACGTAGGTACATCCTGATCCGTTTAATCACTGTACATTTATATCGTAGATCGATGAAGTCTTTGCCGAACATTCACACGGCAAACTGTCACTTGAAGGTTCGGTACTCGGGACAATGATGCCCAGTTCAAGCTCGTATTGAGAATGAATAAAGTTGGATGCGGTCGTTTCTCCACCTTCTTCCCCGCGTCATGCGTTTACCTGCAGCGCGATAAACCCCAGATAGTCACAGCAATGCAGATCAGGCTACATTTCGTTAGCATGATCATTGGCAACGGATAATCTCGAAAATGGAGAATTCACGCCTATCACAAAAGAGGTGTCAAATAGTGATGCAAAATTGGGGAGCTCATATGTATATTGGCTTTTCGCAAATTGAATGCGTACTATATGGCTCGCTTATTCCATGCTTTTCGTGAGTTTTACCCCAGCAACATAGCGACCGTGATTGTCCCCATGTTACACGGGTTATGCTTCAGTCCATTTATGCAGCAATGGTGACCTCAACCTCAACACCAGCCTCGATGTTGACGATGATCTGCTTGACGACCTCAGTGGGGGCGGTAAGATCGATCAAACGCTTGTGGATGCGCATCTCGTACTACGAAGGCGTTAGAAATGATTGGAATGTAGTCTCGCAGGAATACTAACGGTGTCCCAAGTCTTAGAACCCTCACCGCAAGGAGTCTTCCTGGTGGAGATCTTGAGGTTCTTGGTGGGCAGACGAACGGGGCCCTTGACGCGGAGGTCCTTGGTCTTGGAGCGCTCAATGAGCTCCTGGCAGACCTTCTCGAGAGACTTGACGTTCTTGCTGGTCTGTATATCGTTAATTGTGGACTCGGCATGGGTAATTTATGAGGTTCGACTGACCAAGGTGATTCGGATACGGTGGGTCTTGGGGCCCTCGCCGAAGTCCTTCTCGTTCTTCTCTATTTCAATAGTTAGCAGAGTGTAGAAAGTTGATGGTGACTGGGACAAACGTACGGTAAGACATTTTGAGGCTGGATTTGCAATGAGTTGCTGTTGAAGGTTAAATTCCGATCACGACTTGGATCTCAGATCTCGGCAAAGTGATGACCGGTGCTGCTGGCTGTTGTTAGTAGTATCGTCAACTTGGGGTTCGCGATAATTTTGATAATCTTTGTGGGCAAATCTTGGCACCCGCTAGTCCCATAATGTCATTGGCGGGACGCGATCCGGAGGCCTATATCTCATCACGTGCACATCCGCAATACCACTCATCTATCAATTGACAACATCTATGGATATGGCAGTATACGGATGAACTCATGAACCCGCCATCTACAAGAAGAACTGTTGCCCAAGCCTGTGATGCCTGCCGTCGCCGCAAGATAAAATGCAACGGTTTGCAGCCATGTCCGGGATGCGTCTCGGCCAATTTGACCTGCTCCTTCAAGGTACCCCAGAAAAGAGGTGGAAACCAGGGTGCCCGAGCTACGGTACTGAACGAATTGCGCAATAATCAGAACCGGGAGTCATCGAATGGATCGAGTCCCTCGGATGCAGAAAGAGCGCAATCAGCGCAAAGTCCGGCGCCTTCCCCTGGATCTAACATCGGGCTCGAAACGATCACCATCGATGCCTGCATAGATGCGTACCTTAGCCGCATCCACCCCGTGGTACCTTTTCTAACCACAGAGGTCCTACGAGACGAAGCCAAGCACACATCTGACTCTCTTCTTTCCCGGCAATTCATTGTCTCTTTCTGTGCCTATGTGGTTACGTTCGGAAAAGTTTTGGACGAGGCATTGCTTACGTCGTCCCATACCTCAGAGCACGAGCTCGGGACACAGCTCCTCAATGCAGCTCTTCGGATCTCCAATCCAGAACGATTGACGAGCCCGAGCAAGCAGTCAATATTCATTTCATTCTTCTTGTACGGTGCGTATGCAGGACTTGGGCAGTATAGGCAGGGATGGTTCTACTTGCGGGAAGCCACGACTCTGTTCATGCTTCTCAGATCCGACGACGATCAGGCATGGTATTCCAAGAGTATCCATGAACGTTTGTTCTGGATTCTTCTGATATCAGAACGGTACGAATCTAAAATATCTTTTGTTGAGTTCCATCTGACAATGATAGATCTCATGGAATCCGAAAAAATCGTCCCATTACACTGCAGTCCACTCAGGAATTACCTATAGCGGATGACACTGATGAACGCGGCCTCTATTATCTGGCTTCACTGTTCCGCCCCTTTGACGAAGTCTTCTTCGCCGTCTGGAATGGATCACGGCAGGACTGTAGCAAAGAATGGTTACTTGGACTTGAACGCAGTGTACGCACTGCATTACCCGAGGTTCTGGAGATCTCGAACGAGCAGATTGCGAACATTAGAGTCTCGCAGTTGTGGCTCCAGGTCAAGTTGTGGGAGTTGTTCCCGCGTTTTGGTTTTCTTTCGAGTGAGTCTGTCTTCGAATGTTTAACGTTTAGATACCCAATCATGCTTGCACGAGATGTAACAGTGCTGGCTATGAAACTGCCAATCGCTAGTCTGCAGGTGCATGGTGTCGGAATGGTAGGTTACACATTACCTTCGTTCACTGGCTTTTACTAACATTATAGACTGAAAAATTATTTGATATTGCATGCGCTGTTGCAGATATTTTGCACTTCGTTACGATATCTACTTCTCAGTTCGAACTAGGCCCGGTTGATTACCTCACTCAGATGACTTCACTCCTTGCGAAACTTCCAGGAGGGTCCTCCAAATTCGTGCCACTACTCCTTGCAAAAGTCAACGAAATGCACCCCGAACTCGTGCACTCGCTTTGCGAAGCGATTGAGAGGCCTGTATCAGCACTGCAAGACCCAATGAGCCCTGACTCGAAGTTCATGTATGAAGAAGAAGTTCGAAGAAGTTTGTACACAGATCTTAGTCGGGGAAGATAAAGTCAAGTCAAGATGTCTTTCGTGGACAGATAAAGTAACACCCCGGAGCGGACTGTATTACAAGAAGCATCTATGTCCAATGCAGAAAAATACAATTATCTGTGGGGCGAAATCACTTGGCCAAAAACAAATTGGACAGCTCAAACAGAGAGTACGTCTAAAGGCCACCAAAAGAGCGAAGAACTGCCAACGGCGTACGCAAATCATCTTCTTGATGACGATCTTGCGGACTCATTTGCTCCCCTTTTAGGCCTTGTTTTGGAGATCAAAGGGCCTAATTGGTTAGTTGGCATAGTAGCGACCGTACGTTCTATCATTACGTAGTCACTGTGCACGACGTTCATCTGCCACATACCTTTGGGTCCTGGTCATGAAGTCACAGCAATGTGTGACTCATACGGTTAGTATATGAGGATCTACCCATAAATGGCATCAATTGATACCGTGATAATTACGCCCTAGCCAAAGGAAATTTTGGCGTAGGAAGGCGTCAATGAAAGTTGACCGAACCGAGTGAGCGCACATAGGAGGAAACCATAGATTGCGCTATCGACATACTGGATACTTGTATGAAGAGGATACGGTCGATCTCGTCAACGCGACAAGAAAGAGATTGGAACCGTTGCAAGATGTATGTTATGGAGTCAAGGGAAGAGATGGCGTTCTTGATGGTAGAAGGGGCCATAGATCTGCGCTACCAGGTATATCAGGAGATATGGTCTGACTGTGCAGCAAAGTTCATTGCTGCCAATGACGACGACGCCCAGGAGCTGGTGCTGACTCAAGGCTCGAGGGCGATAGCGGATGGAAGGCATGCTGCTATTGCTTCAGGCTATGCAGGGTGAAAATGCACTTGGATGAATAGCTTCAGCTGATGGCATGGGTCGGTGTTGAGATGGGTCGATTCTGATTGTGAGGTCGCAAGCGGACGAAGCGGACAAAAGCGTGTCAGATGTATGTACTTAGTCGTCTACACTCCCATCTATATACTACGAATAGCGCAATGTAACCAGTTCGTGCGGTCAACTGGTTAGCAGATTGAAAAATGGGGCGATTGATCACCTACCTGGAGTAGCGGACATGTGTAGAAGTGATGGAAGCCTGTAGTAAAGCGAGTTGCGACAATGTTATTTAATGATACCATTTATTCTGTTGTACCTTCTAGGTATATGTACCGACCTAGGTCCTTGGTGGGCAATGTTAACTGCATCATGTCTAAACAAAGTCTACATTTGTTGCATTTGTTTATCATATTTCACCATAACTATTATTTGTTGTTTACTACCAATATAGAATCGTGTCTTACGCCTCATGTCCCTTCACTCTACCCACCTCGGAAAGTAAATCCCGTGACGCGACCCACAGGAGAATAGCGGGACGAATGCGCGAACTGGCGGGCAGAATACGTCAATCGGGGACCCCGCAACATAACGAAAACTTGTATCCTGCACTCACCTTCGAATAGTTCCATCTTGCGTCGGAGTATGTTGCGGAATTAAATCTCGTTAGGTAAATCTAATCTTTCCATATTTGAAGGTACGCCCTGTGAATCTGACTCCGATCGGAATACTCGTAGTGACTACATCGGATATCAGCGGTAGGCCTACAAAAGGAGCCTCCCTCCGTCTAGCTGTTGAGCTAAGATTGAACAATAGAGATCATTATACAGGAAACACATTTCACCAAAAGCTTTGAAACAACATCATTCCAGCATGTCAATCAAGAACGTCGCACTAGTTGGCGCTTCAGGCCATCTCGGGCCATCTATTCTCAAAGCCTTCAAAGCCTCGTCCACATTGACACCTTTCGTTATCAACCGAAAGTCGTCCAAGTCCGTCTACCCAGGAACAAACGTGATCACCGTGCCAGACGACCTCAACGTCTCGGAGCTCGCTAAACTGTTCAACGAGCACGCCATTGATGCAGTCGTCACCGCAATCGCAGGTTCCCTTGTCGACGAGCAGCGAAAGTTCATCGATGCCGCCTTCCAAAGCAACGTTAAGCGTGTCATCCCCGCTGACTTCGGCAGCTGCGATTCTGCGGATGAACTCACAAACCAAATCCTCCCATTGATGGACGGCAAGAGGGGCGTTCGTGAATATCTAATTTCCCTGCAAGAACGGGACAGAGAGGGAAGAGAAAAACTTACCTGGACGAGCCTTGTTACTGGCCATTTCTTTGACTGGGGTCTTGGAAGCGAATTGTTGAAGTTTGATGTCAAGAACAGGAAGGTTTATGTCCTTGACGGAGGAGACATCTACTTTTCGAACTCAACACTGGATTTCATCGCCGACGCGACGGTTCGGGTTCTTGAGCGTCCAAAGGAAACAGCAAACAAGTTATTGTATGTCCACAGCCACCATGTAACGCAGAACCAGATCACCGAGGTGTTGGAAAAGGTTACAGGAGATAAGTTCGAAAAAATTCCACAGGATAGTCAGAAACTCCTGGAGGTTGCAAGGCCGAAGATGCTGGAGGGTGATTTTGATGCCCGAGAAGAGGTTGTCGCCGTCCACGGTATTGTAGCTAGCGACTGGGCGGATAGAGAGACCTTTGCAAATGATCTATTAGGTTTGAAGCTACAGGGACTCGAAGAAGTCGTGAGGGAGGTCGTTAAAGCTGTTGGGTAGCCATAATCTTGCTCGAGTATACCCGCAAATTTGTTACAGTTACAGCAATGCTATCCTTGACAATAGCACGCTGAGCCAATGTCACAGAACTGTGGTGTAGCATTAGATATAGAAATTAGTGCAGCAATCCACGGCGATAAAGTCTAAGTTGTGTCACTGTGCATCCCAAGTTGTTAAATCTTGCTACATTAGAATTTATGTCACCGAACCCACCTCGTCTGATTATGAGCACTGAGTATCACCTCCATCGTGGCCCCACCTAGAATCAAGAATATACATTCCCATACGGAAGCTGAATTATTGTCATGCACGATAATAGACCACTATACCTTTTTGTCCGCAGGATGCTATGTAGAGAGCTGGGACGAACGTTGCTGGCTGCAGTTGACAAGGTCCCCACGCCGTAAATCTTAGTCGAGGGACAAGATTGAATTATTGAAATCGAGATGTTGGACCGAGTTCTCTCGATGTGGCTCCTATTGCCTCCGTAGTTCTAGCCTTCACTTCATCAGGAGTTCAGACTACAGATAACGCAGGAAACAAGGCTGCCGCATTGGGATACGTAGACATAGGCATAATGGACGACGCTGGATAGAGTAGTGATTTTTGATACTGGGAAGGAACAACTGGAGAAAGCATTGAATTCTGGGTATATAGCTGTTTGGACCTACACGTCCGATGGCAAACTTCGAGACAAATTTTGTCCGTCGTTCAGTAGCGAAAATGACCAGTCTGTCGAAAGAAAAAGACACGTTCCGCAATCCCGTATCTAATCATGTCTTAAAAATGTTTGAAGGTATGTACCTCAACAATTCGGGGCGATTTCATATATCTTTACGTCCCTTCAAGTCGCTTTTGACCTCCTTCTTAATTCCTTTCCAATCACCCCTCTGGCTAGGCGTTCGCTCTCGCCGGACAAACGCCCACAACCTGACCTCAACGAACCACACAGCAATCCAATATCCCGCGGAAAAGGATACAAACAGCCAGCTCAGCCATGCAAATAACAACGCTCCGCTTCCTTGACCTACGACCAGGCCAACTGCCTGTCCGAAGCCGGCAGTAAAGCCATTGATACCGACTATAAGTGCGGTGAGGATTTCGGCCGCGAGGAAATGAAACGAAGATGCAATTATAGGCGCTACGAGATTGAAGTAGATGAGGAGTCGAGACTGTGGAAAGAAGATTGCGGGAATAGAGGCGACAAGCGATATCCCGGACCAGATAAGTGAGATAACGAGGAAACCGTAGACACACATCCGGAGGGTTGATATAGCAGATGAGATGTTACTGAGAGAAGTAGATAGTTGGTCGAGAAGAGGTACGGATATCTTGGTTTGGCCAACAACCATAGAAGATTTAAGGTTGTTCATTATCGCATGAAATCCTGTCGTGTACGATTAGTTTTACAACTTGTTCGTTGGCATGAACAATTTCTGCAGCTTACCGGAGGATTGATCTTGGTAAGAGGTACACTTGTCGACTGTGGAGTCACCCTCACAGATTGTTTCAAGATAAAGCAGGTACTGATCTCTCATTTTGGCAGAAGATACTACCTTTGCAATCACCTCGTTGATAAGATCCCCGACACCTTGACTCCCGCTGTTGGTGATGTTATTCAAGACAGGGTCTAGCAGCATTGTCAAGCGATCAGACGGATCCACCCCATAACCTGGCATTGTGGGTTCCGAAAGGCTCGAATCCTGCCGAGTCAATAGAGCTGGTGATGAGATTGTAGCTGGCTCGAAGCGAATGATGTCTTGACCAAGCTTTGAAGCGTTGACCTGGTTTTCATGTTACTCGCTATTGCTTCAAGCTTGTACAATATTTACCTACAGAAATCATGAATCCGTCATCTAGCATACCAGGTTCCCGTCCGGCTAACACAAACAAAAGAGTCAACACAAAACTAGTGGCTGAGCTCGCAAAAGAAAGAAAGGCGGACAATCGCATCTTTTTGATAACTCTTTTTGTCGTTGTAGGAGGCGATGGTAATGCTCTGTATATACTCTTTCTTTGATCCCCAACGTCTGGCTCCACCAAGAACCGTTTCTCTGAATAAAAGAAATCAGGCGTATCAGGGAAACCAGGAGTTGTTGGATGACTTGGACTTGAAGATTGATTTGGAGTAGCCGGGTGGGTTGGGCTGGCTGAGTGGATTGGAGTAGGTGGATAGTTCGAGCTCGCGCCATGACGTGGAGTTGATGGAAAACTTGGAGTTGCTGGAGGACCAGGAGTTGCTGGATGGCTTGTAGGAGGCGGATAACTTGGGGTAGTTGGATAACCTGGAGTAGCTAGATAACCTGGAGTAGGCGGGTACCCTGGAGTAGGCGGGTAACTTGGAGTAGGCGGGTAACTTGGGGTTGGCGGGTAGCCTGGAGTTGGCGGATAGTTGGGTGTGGAAGGATAGCTAGAAGTAGCCGGTGAGTTAAGAGGAGCTCGAGAGTAGTACCGCGCATGCTTCGGTGCTTTCAAGTTCTGTACAACTCTCACATCCTGCTTTGGTACTTCGTACCGTAACAGTATAGGCATGGTTGCAGATGGACTGTGTAGTCGACTGCAATTCAAAGCAGTTACCCCTAGTAAGGTAAGGGTGATTTGGAACAAAGATGCATATGAAGTCGAAGTTCCAAAGAGAAAAAGACAGGAAATCAAGATCGTGACTATAGTTGGACGTGCTGGGACTATGGTAGTTTGGTGTGGGGATAGAAGAAAGACCTAATGTTTCGCGATGGGTGCTCCTGGCTGGCTGCAACACGGTTGTAGCTACGACATCTAGTCGGCCGCGAAAGATAGATTGGAAAGCAGATGACTATCGCAATATCATTGCAAAAAAAAAAAAGAAAATAGAAGAACGAGCGATCGAACGACAGCAGAGTGCGCGTAGGAAATTTGGCACATCCATCTTAAGACGCCCAGCTGGAGGTGGTTGTAGAGGCGAAGGACGTGCATCCGGACGACTAAAGAAAATTGATACATTATGCGCCGTATCCCAAGAAAAGTTCCGATCCAGGCATGGAAGGTATCAAACAATGGCTACGAATGATGGTGTTGTTTGCGCCGGACTATTCAGCGCTATAGGGAAACGAATGCCGGGATCCCGCTCCCATCGTGCGACGAGTTCAACTCCGCACACACTAGATGTTCGTTAACTCACACAGTAAATGCAGCATATGGGGAGATCGATTGTTAGAGCGTGCATGCGATCGTTCTCCATTTCTCGGTGCCTGCGTCGCTCCCGTCAGAGTTGGTAACTTAGCTTCGCCTCTTCTATGAGAAGCCAAGGTTGCCTAATAGAAAAAAATCAAATCCCTGGGAATCGAGTGGATACCTCAATAATTCATAGGATCGAGGATTGAATAAAAGAGGATGCAGGTCTTAGAACAGTCAAAGCGACTTGGTGGGCCCACACAAGGGCCAATGTTACACAGGACGATCATGCAGGTGCGGTCGGTGTTGGAAGGTGAAGTCATGAACTTCAGAGGACTCTTAATCAGCGTCGTCTAGATCTGGAACATCGAGCCGTTTACGCGTCGGAAAGGTCATTGGGCAGTGAGTTGTTTCCTTGCCACAGAAGCGTAGTCGTGACCTAAAAAGATCACTATGAGCAACTAGAATGGGCCAATTGGGTTACCGGAGATCTTTATAATCGGGTTGAAACATGACACGGAGACTGAAATGTGTACACACACACCGGGGCCGTCGACGGCCTCAATAAAACGCCAACGACACAAAGATCACATGCGCACTCGGTTCTACCAAAATTCTTTAGACTGGATCACGTAGTGAAGCGCCTACTATGGTTAGAGTGTAGGTAGTTGATATTTGTCAAAGCGAAGAATTGACGCCCACAGGTTGGGTCGATTGACCCTTTAGACGAGATCCAGCACAGCCTTACGACTGATGCGATGCATCTTTTGAAACAACAATATTGCGGACTGGAACCCGTTTGGTTGGTCCGAGGCGGAAATCATGAGACACGATAAATCAACTTTTTAACAATGGAAAAACCGGCCATGACAGGTGTAGATCAAGGACAGCAATGCCGAACAGAAAAGTGACAATGCCAATCGGCATAGCCTCTGATTCAAGCCGTAATGCTTATAATAGGTCAAATGCCAAATTGAATTAGACCTCATTCATCAATGAAAAGTTTGAAACATCGGCGTGCTACTCCAGTAACGGTAGCCCCAGATTTTATTCTGCATAAGATTCGTTTTAGAAGAATAACCTCGACGACTCCATGGAAGAAATGCCATATTTGTCTGTGCGGCGACAATGCCTGCTTTTGATCCCGCATCCTCATCGACCGTTGGCAGCCATTATCGATCGTAGACGACCTTGTTAAGACTGTTGATGAGATCGATACCTTCACTCCTCCACACATCATCCTCCATTCTGTTCGTCACATTACCTTCATAAACAAACAATCTCTCATTATCCACACTATACGTGCCCCAAACAGGCACAACGTCTTGCAAGCCCTCCAAGACCCTTCTTCTATCCCAGGCATTTGGGTCGCCATGGTTGACGAAGCTTACCCAATCGCCAGACATAAGAGTTGACAGTTGTTTGTAGCTCTGGGAAAGACCCTGAAAAGGAGGAGTCCTCACAGGCGGATACCCTACACCGTCGAGATTTTTCATCGCAAATGCAACTTCAACGAAGTGGGTTGCGCCATCGTAAGGCGTAGCCCAGGAAGGAATTGCATTGAAGCGGAAGCAGTAGGATGGGAGGTTGAGGGCAGCCCAAGTCCGGCACGTGAGCCGACGGTTCGCGACGAATGTTTGGTCCGTATAGTATGTTGTCGTTCGTCGATATTGAAGACCATACGGGTACGCTGGTGGTACGAAGTCGATGGGCCCGAGATTGGTTAAATCGTTGTCTGGAGACTCCAATGGGTACGCCTTCAATATCTCTTGGGCAATTGTTTCATTCATCGCCGAGGAGCCAGCTGTTGATATGATTAGGCTCTACTATCACAAAACGCAATAGACTAGGGAAATTGGGCTTACTGGTTAAGGTATTCAGGAACTCTTTAGAGGTGTTCAAGCCTTTCGGCGCAAAACCCGTCCCTTCATCTGAGTTGGCGCCTACAATGATTGGTACCTTGACGAAGGCACCTTGAGAGACCTGATCGCTCGAGTATCTTGCAACGATGTCCTCATCGATCTGTGGTGTCCACGAGCCGGAGAATTGTGTCGTGTTCACAATATCGTTGAGCTCCAAGAAAGGTAGATCTCGCAGACACTGAAGGCGGTCTGGGGCATCCTGACATCCAGCGTGTTCGGTCAGATTTTGGAATAGCGGTTCGTAAGTACGATTCATCGCTCCAACTAATATGGGATTCCCGGACTCCATGATTGCACCCCGGAACAAGTTGTCGTTGCGACCGTTGTACGCAAGCAAGTGCATGCCGACTGATGCAGCACCTGCAGACTGCCCCCAGATAGTGACTCTATCTGGATCACCTGTGTGATGATTAGCTGTCATGCCCACTGAAATCAGACCAAATCACGCACCTCCAAAAGCCTGGATGTTTTCTTGTATCCAGTGCAAAGCTAATCTTTGATCTCTAAAACCCCAGTTGCTCCCTGCGTTATCTCTCAACCTGGAGTCTGATTTGAATCCTTGAAGGAAACCCCATGCACTCAGTCGGTAGTTGATCGTTACGGCGACAACTGGCTGTCCCATTTCCTGTGACTGCTGCACGATGAACGACATATTGTACCTCAAGTCAACCCCAGAACCCTGCACCCACCCTCCGCCGTGGATCCATACTACCACAGGAAGCTTATCTTGAGCGCAAGTCCCAGATGGTCGTATAACATTGAGATACAAACAATCTTCCGATACGTTATAACCCATTTGTGAAGGACCATAACCTACACAAGCTGGCGAGTAACGAGCCGCGGTATGAACACCGGACCAAGAGGTATTCAAGGATTCAGGGTTTCGGAACCGCAGATTGTCAACCGGTGGCTGCGCGTAAGGGATACCAAGGAAGAAATCCTGATCGAGTGGGCGAGAGCCCACACCAGAGATGGTGCCATTGCGGAGTTGTGCTGTTGGTGCACCCAAAGGCACGCTGCTTACGGGACTGGCACCTGCGAATAACCTCAAAGAAGCGCCAATGGCTAACGTCGCGATTAACCGCATGCTTTCAATGATTTCAAATTACAAAGTAGTAGCAGCAGCCTTGACAAAAACCCCTCTCCCGCCGACACCAGTACTTTATACGCCTTGGGACATGATGGGGTACCCATGATTTACTTGTAGGTGGAAGAACGTTCTACCTTGAAGCTAGATAGACCGAAGTCTAATAAGGAATAATACTCGTAACCATGCCATGATACGGATAGAAACAACAATTGAGCTGCCTCGCACCAATTGCCCTGCCTTGTCCTTCCGCTAATATTTCTCCGCTGCAATTAGGGCACAGACCTCGGCTTTTGGGGTGGATCTGCGGGGACTCCACTGCCTTTTTATTTCGGCCTGTCTTCTCGATGATCTTTAACTTGACTGTGGGGAGCGGTTGCATGGCTCATGGATATTGCTTCGGAAGACCTCTTTTCCACCCCCTGTGAGGGCTGTCATGATTTACTTTGGTAAGAAGGATAGTTACTCGTACTTGTAGGTATTCGTACCTTGGAAGGTAGGGTACATGCTGCACGTATACAGTAAGTACCTAGTTACTCGTACTTGTAGGCGGACTTTGTGCAACTTGTGCAGCAAGAAAACCCCAGCATGGAGCGCACAACGTCAAAGTCGAAAAAGAAACGTAAGCCAGTAAGAATAGTCATACCAAACAGGTAGAGGGACATTGGATGGCAGCGGAGCTAATCACGTGATCACGAGCTCACCCAAGACCACGCTCAGTCATTGAAGCATGACCCAGAGACGATGATTTAGTCCAAGCGTAACGACAATATCTAGAAAGCTTACTAGTAGTTGGGATCCAAGGGATTCAAGTGGGTTTGAGATGTCTTAAAGTACCTCGTAATGATGGGCCCATAATCCACTTTCTAGGTAGATTCTTGTGAGTTGCCCTATCCCTATGACGTCGTCCGATTACAACCCGCGACACCGCGCGACAAACATCAAACATGCGCCTTCTGATGGACATGTCCGTGCCTCATCTACAAGTGGGTTGAGATGAAAAGGCTTCAGCCCCTAAGGAGTCCGAAATCAAAAGAAATGGACCAATTGGTTTGCAAGTTCGGCTGGTCCCCGCGAGCAACTTTCCCCGTCTAGGCAGTAATCGTGCAATGTGATCGGCCCTTGCGCTAAGGCGACCTATGCCCTACATTCAAGCATCTCTCCTCAACTTTATTCCCTAATCCGATTCATCTCGCGAGCCTCTGCATATGGGTGACTGTGATTGCGCATTTCGGGCTTTTGATCTTCACTCTAATCGCATCAAGCTTCTCTAGCATGCATCGCTCCAAGCCCAGCCACCACCATCACTGTTACTCCTTTTGGAGAAAATATGGAGTACTGTGCTCAAAGGACGCTATTTTCAAAATAAGATGACGAGGGGGCTGCATACAAGAGCGCCAGGCACGGGAAGCATACTGTTACGTCCTGCCAGAAACATCAAATATATATCACTAACCATTCCACGCCGAAGACACATCTATCTCGATCATCAATAATCCAAAATCTTAACTACCCGTCTGCATTCAAAGCATCAACCGTCCAGACGATTCAAGATCTTCTGATACAGCCGTATAATAACACCTACAACATGGCAGCAGTCCAATCACATGCATCACCGGCCATCCTGATCCCTTCAGGTCGTACCGACCGTCTATCGCCAGGCCCAGAAGCCATTCCTTCCCAACGAACACCCCAAGTACACATGCCAGCAGCCTCATACGGGGCTTCCAGTCCGGGTTCAATCCACACAAACCTCAGTGGTAGCGCTGGCAGCAATAGCAGCAGCAGTATCGCCAACGCTCCGTGCCCACCGGCCCTTGAACCTCGATCACAAGCCCCATATCCATCCTCACCCAACGGTGCATCATCAACCCAACCGAACCTCAACACACTCCAAGCCGACACACCACTCGCAATGCCTCGCGGTCCCTATTCCTCTCTAAACCATCCAGACGCCCTAAGCCAACCGCAAATACCCTCCACTTCCCCTCAACCAGGTCTCGCAGCTTCATATTACGACAAGTCGAACATCTCACTTCCAGACATCTCCGTCACATCCTCCAGGCCCATCGATCCTGCAGAACTCCCGGCAAATCTTGCTGGCGATGGGGGGCTCGCAGGGGATAGGGGATTGTTTTCCAGCAGCCCCAACAGCAAGTCTGACAAGTACGTCAAGAAGGGTGCTGAGTTCGTCAAGAAGCAGGTCAGGAAAAAGATCGAGAAGAAGATGAACGGAGGCGGCGGTGGTGGCTCGGGAAAGGTGTGGGGCGATATTGGCGATGCTATCGGCCAATATGGTGAAGATGGGAATAATCAGGGGGGCCAGGGCGATTATGGAGCACAGGGGAGCGGTGGAGGTGACTATGGGTATGGTGATGCCAGTGGCGGTGGTGCAGATTATGGGGCACAGGGCAGCGGCGGTGGTGACTATGGGTATGGTGATGCTAGTGGCGGTGGGGGAGATTATGGCTTTGGAACCGGTGATTACGGCTACGGCGAAGGTGACTACGGTATGAGTGGTGGTGACTTTGGTGAAATCGATTTCGGAGGCGTTGGTGAGGCCATAGAGGGCGGCGGCGGTGGTGAAGGATTGGGAGAGGCTATTGCTGCTATCTTTGGCGGCTGAGCTGAACCAAGCGGTTCCTAGATTGCTAACAACACTGACATGATGCAATGAATTTCGATTTGTAAGATATGATGTTTTATTATTCTTTTTTCTACCAATAGACCATCAATGTTGGACTGCTTTGACACGCAATGCATGTGCTCGTCATTCGTTTATTCATTTATTCGTTTAAGATTTTTCATCGCGCCTCTCGAATCGAAGCGCGCCAGCCTCGGGCTGCTTGAGATGCGTACTAATATTGAAGTATTTGTCACTGAGAATACCCATCATACGCTGGTTTGCCTCCTCCGCGCTTTCATTGGTGTTTTGTATCACTTTGACCCGGTAATTCGCAAAGATCTGGGCTACAATGGCTGTGAACTCCACCTGACTGAACTTCTTCCCCGGGCACACACGTTGACCGAAAATCCAGGGTGCGAATAATCTGCCTTCGGGAACGGCCAAGCTCTCCTCGCCTGACTCGGACTTGAGGATGAAGCGTCTGGGATTGAAGGACTCCGCATCGCTGCCCCAGTCAGGCGACAGATGCCCGGCGTAGAAATGGCCGCCAACCAAGGTTCCAGGGTTGACAGTTATGGAGCCTGGACCTGTTTTCGTAATTATGGGCAATTCCATTGGGCTGCGTGGGGATCGAACAAGAAGTGGCGCGGGACTTGCCAGACGCAAGGCTTCGTACATGACCGACAGGCATCGAACAAGCTTGGAATATACGGTTGCATATTCACGGCTAGACGAATTGATATAGTGCGTTTTGAGCTCCTCATACACCCATTCTTGCACGTTAGGATTCGTGGCGAGAAACGGTAAGGCAAATGTGAGGGTCGAAGCAGTTGTCTCGTAGCCTGCGAGGTTGAAAACGAAAAGATTACCATACAGATCGGAGTCGCTCAGATATGATACCCTTCCTGGCCCCCCTTCTACCAACTGCTTCTCTGCTTCATTTGCTCGTACCATGGATTCGAGTAGACTCTTTGACTTCGTGGTCGTGGAACCTTTGCTTGTGGTTTCCAAATGACGCTTTAGGGATTCTTCCATGTATTGACGAAATTCAGCAACAGAAACCTTGAGCTTCCGTAATTTTTTCGGGAGGAGGAAGTCGGGAGCCTTAAGGCCACTGAAGAGAATGGTGAGCACGATGTGCTTTTGAATGAAACCGAGACATTGCATCAGCGACTGACGATGGCCCGGGGGAATCGAGTTCAGTGCTCTTTTCTCACCGAAAGCCACCTGAGCCAGCACCCGCATCGCAAGCACTTCTATGGAGGAGCGAAGTCTCCCAAGCGAGCGCTCACTCTCGACACTTAGATCCAGCTCCGCAGTGCGTTTGATCGCTTCCTCCCACACTTGAACCATGGTGTTCTCATTGAATGCGGTGGACGTTATCTTGCGATGTCGCTGCCAATCTACGCCGTTTGTTGATGCGACATTCTGCCCATAGACCATGAACATCTGCGTCTGGGAGTCTGTCTGAGGCCAATTCTTGTGATCTCGGAAAACAGTATCGATTGCAGGCCGATAGGAAGTGACGATTTGATTGGCAGTCGGGGCGCAGAGTACGAAATTATCCCCCAGTCGAAGCGAGGTCTTGTTTGTATCCACTTGTGGCCAACCCATCTCCGTGTACACATACCAATCCCCAAAACCCCAGGGTAAGCCTTGAACCCAAGCAAAGTACGGCCGCAAGAGAATCCACCAAGCGTCCTCGAAGGAGCAGGGCAGAATGATTATTGGAAGGCGATATTTCCGCGCAGCAGCATAATTCTTGCTCAGCTTGCAAAGTCGATAGACCGTGAACAAAGCGAGGGGCGCCAGTAAAAGGTGAAGGACCATGCTGGCGATCGTGAGGAAGAACGTGGAAAGTCGAGGGAAAACCAAGTGGTGGAGGGGTAGTTATATGATTTCCTACGATGGTCCTTTACAGAAAGAGTACCTAGGGCTTACTCCAGCGAGGTGAAGCTCATGCACAGGACGCCTGGTTTGCCCACTAATGGGTGGCTAGAAGGCCCGTTTCGCGGGGACCTTATCAGTAGTGAGGAAAGCGAGCTGATCCAGCGAAATTGAAAAGATAATAAAGTTCAGTACAAGTACTCGGTATAGAGTTTGAATTGTGTACCTGGGTGAGAATGTGCGCGAATGACAAGATGCGCGTTATGATTATCGATGTGTCGTTTTGTTGGTAGGAGTGGGCATGGATGACCAGGCCGCACGGTTAACCCTGGGAATCGACATGGGATTGTACTGGACAGTGCAGATACGTCGAGTTCTTTCCGGGTTAGTGGAAAATCCTCTTCGTAAAGACACAATGCAGTCCGACACCCTGTTAAATGTTGGGACTTGTCCCAGAATGTGCAATGCCGACATTCTTCCCCTGGCTGTGTTGTTGCGATCCTGCAAACAATCCATAGGTCGGGGAGCTTAGGCTGATGGAAATGAAGTGTTTAGGTACGACGTCTGCGGGTTGGCAAACTTATTACTACCAGCTACACTTATTCTGTCCAATGCTAACGGCCCCTTGTTCCAAAAAAAAACAGGCCTGAGTGATACCACAGTACGGAGTATACAAGGGCGGCTTCGGTCCTGGCTACCTAATCTATTAGTCTTTCAGTTCGAACATTCGCTTTTTGTGATCATGAAAAAGAACAGTCCAAAAACTCCTGCACCCACAACTCCGAGTCTGGAAAACAATCCTTCCCAATGCCAGGCCTCGCTTCCCAATAGTTGTTGAGTATATATGAAGGCAGCATCGTGGTTTCTATTAGCCTTCTCTCTAACAGCCCATTGGGAACCGTGCCTTCTCTCTACTTAGCAATTGAGTAGTTCCAAACAAACATGTTTGCACAAACTCAATAAAAGAACTCTCACAGATCTACATAAGCAACAATGTGTTGGATCACATAGGTCGGCTGATATACATATAGCACGTAAAGTGGTATAGTAAATATTCGGACTTGGCCGCACAGCATTGTATATGTCATGTCCTTTCGCATTGAATGAAGTAACTATAGGCTAGGTTGAGGTAGTAGGCCAACCTGGTGCCTCTAGGTCATAATATCACGCAAATGATTTGAAGTGCATGAACCTGTCGTATCAATGATACATCAGAGCCTCTATGAATGTGGTTTATCAAAAATGATTGGTTTCATGAAGTCGTGTACAACCAATGGGAAAAGGGTTTCCCCTTCGGGTTAGGGGACCGTTGACTGGAATGTAGACTGGAATACCTCCTTCTGGATTTGTACGCAGAGTCGAACGTGTATTCGAGCCTCATGTAAATCTAAGAACCTGCATACGGGTCCAATGTGCATGTTGCGTAGCTAGGTGCTACAGCATAGAGTGATGTTGTATTTGATACGAAATCTGATATTCGGTGGGTATATCACGACACATAGCACTGGTACATGCCTGCCTGATCTACGTACGAATCTATTGCTTCCACTGGCCCTCTTGGGAAATGAATCTCCAGCTGCACACTATGATACTTGATACACTGACCTTACAAAGTGTAACGATACTCAGGATCGCACTGCCACTTTGCCGCAACCCGAGCCGCCTTGGACCCTCCGTGTTGGCATGTGATCCCGGCGTGAATGTCCTCTTGAGCCGCAGTATCAAGTTCCTTGTTCCTTCTACTGAGACAGAACCTCAACGTTGTCGCGAGAATTATACACATTCCCGAAAAAGCAACATTTGCTACATTTGCCTGCCAATACCTCGGACCCTGCGACTTGGGATAAAAGTATGAGGCATAGATGGAGGCCAAATTAGATCCGGCGTTGACGACGGCATACGCCACGGCTCGCTTAGGCGGTGGACGTGGTAGACTGGTAGATACCCAAGAGAGAATGCAACCGAACGAGCCGTAAACTGACATCATGAGGAACGTAGAGGTGTAGCGTGCAGCGAGGTTCATCGTGGAAGCGGATATGATGAAACCTATGCTGCAGAAGACCTGAGGCCAGACAACGTGCCAGTATCGTTCCTTTGTGCTATCGCTATGCCATGAGTTGCAGATGCCGAGAATGGCCGCAAAGACATATGGAGGCGCGGATAGCAACAGAGTCGTAGATTGTCCATATCCGAGAGTAGCGACGATTGATGGGAAGAAGTTAATGAATGCTGCTGCTGTGTTAAGACCGAGTTGCATGAACCAGATCAAGTACAAGGCCGGATCCGCGAATGCCATTTTTAGCCCGTCCCATGATGAGACATCGGATCGGTCATCCTCCTGGTTCGCCTCCTCAGCAAGTCGCAGGACGGCCAGCTTCTTCTCATCTTCGGAGAGCCACTTGGTGGTAGCGGGGTAATCGGGAAGAACCCAAATGGTAATGGCAGCCACGGGGAAAGTGGCTACACCTTCAATGATGAACAGCCATCTCCACGCGGGAAGCCCTGCCTTTCCATCCATTCCAGACATAATAGCGCTGCCGAGGAGACCGCCAAATGCACCTGACATTTGGCCAGCGGCATAAAGAATAGATATGCGCTTTGCAAGCTCGCGCTTCGTGTACCAGGAACTGAAGAGGTATAGAGCACCAGCTGGAAAAATGTCAGATTGACTCAAATATGCATAGAAATGCATCAAACTTACGAAAGAAAGGAGCCTCGACGAAGCCTAGAACAAATCGCAGCACGATCATCCCCGGGTAGTTCTGCACTGCACCTGTGGCAGCACTTACACCAGCCCACAAGCACATTATCACTGGAAGAAAGATCGATGGACGCATCTTGTTCAAGATCATATTCGTTGGAATTTGGGTTAGGATGTAGCCAACGAAGAAAATCGAGATGATCGTATTGTACTGTGTTCCGTGCAGACCCAAGTCTTCTTCGAAAGTGCCCAAGCGTGCCGTGGCAATGTTGTTACGATCGAGATAGTTGAGAATATCTGGATATTGTTGAGCATTACCAGTTAGACTTACTGAGTGCAAACTTACAGATCAACATCATCAATGGCATCATCCTAAGATCGATTTTGCGAACAAGCTCTTTCTCTTTCTTTTGTCTGTCTTCCCCGAACATCTCGGAGAGATCAACATCAGCACCAACAGTGGTCAGATGAAGACCTCCATTCTTGTCAGTCATCACATCGTCCTCCTTCAGTGGTAAGTCGCCGTTTTTCTCGTCAGCCATGACAGAGATCTGATTTGTAGATAGCAACTACTGCAGATAGTATTGAGGGAACCGATAAAATTTGAAAATCCTGGGGCCCAATATGTCATATATAGATGCCGAAATCTATCACTATCCTAGGTTCTACCCCAGAATATACTAAACTGCATTGATTTACAAGGACCTGGAGAACTGGAGAACTTCCGATCGGCAGCAACAGGTAATGAAACGGCATGGTATCTACAGATACAGCATTTACCTTGCCCATGTTTGCGATAGCTCAAGCGACAGCCGATGAAGCTCGCCAATGCTGGATTCTCTCTCCATTCTTTTGAGTAATTGGATAATAAATGCCGACCCATGATGGCCGGATATATGAAGGATGTCGTGGGTTGTCCCCGGAAAGCCACAAAATGCTTAGCCTTGGACTATTCCGGGGCGAGCTAAGGCACTCATGGCAAAAGATCTGGAGATTGCGGAGCCCTCCACATGAAATCGGTCCGATTGAGAGCGGGTGGTATGCCGGGATCGCAGGACTCCTCGAGCGACACACGCCCATGGGAAAGAGAGATCAAATCATACCATCTTCCACTTCGTATCTTTGTTGTTCGGGCAGCCGACGAGACACCGAGCTCGGCTATTGCTAGTTGGCGTATCAAGCATCTTGTCCATCATCGGAAAGAAATCGTCTGAATGTAAAGGTTGGAATCCCTCGATGGACATAACGACGCAAACACCGCTTATAATCTTTCGAAGGAAGTGTCCCCTTTGACGTGCTTGAGCAGTTCTCCCTTGCATACTCGCAGAATGCCTCCCGAGAGCTTTACTGTCCTCCACATTGGAGATGACATTAAATATAATCCAGACCTCTACAAAACGTTCTCTTCTAAATTTAAGATCATACAACCCTCCTTAGAAGAGCGACACCGTTCGAATTTCATTTCTGCTCTCAAGGAGAAACGATGGGGTGACTTTCACGCCGTTTTCCGTCCATTTTGGAACTCTGGCGGAGAAATGGGTCGCTGGGATCAGGGTACAGTGCACATCCTTATACCTTTATAACTACTACTCAATTGATGACTTGAGCAGAACTGGTCCCTCACCTGCCAAAAACCTGCAAAATCTTCGCCTCGGCTGGTGCAGGATACGATTGGGCAGATATACCGACACTCAGCTCGCATGGAATAGTCTACTGTAACGGCGCCCGTGCTTCCAGCGAGGCAGTCGCTGACATGGCAATCTGGCACCTTCTCTCGGTGTTCCGGAACTTGATATGGTCTGCTGAGGCCGCAAAGTCAGGAGACGTCGAGCAGTTCAAAGATGCACACAAGAACCAGAAAGAGACGGCTTACAATCCGCGAGGCCATACTGTTGGGATCATTGGCCTTGGTAACATCGGTTACACAATTGCGGAGAAGGCGTTCCGCGGATTCGGAATGAAGGTACTGTATCACGATATCGTTCGCAAGTCGGAGGTCCAGGAGTCCGCAGTGCAAGCGACATATTATCCAGAATTGGACGAGATGCTCGCGGTTGCCGATTGTGTTGTGCTTGCAACGCCGTTCTTTGGATCTATACTTATCACCACAGAGCGTCTTGCTAAGTTCAAACGTGGAAGTCGGTTCGTCAACATTGCGCGGGGCACGCTGGTGGACGAAGATGCTCTAGTTAGTGCTTTGAAATCCGGACACATCTTCGCAGCTGGGCTGGACGTCCATGCCAACGAGCCTCATGTTCATCAGGAGCTTACGAAGATGCGCAATGTGACACTGACCTGCCACAATGCTGGCGGCGCATGGGATACAGCTAGTGGATTTGAGAGTCTGGCAATGGAGAATATCGAGGCTTTCCTATTGAATGGACAGGCGTTGACGCCGGTGAATGCGCACTTGATCGAAATGAATAAGTAGAGAAGACCCTGGAGAAAATATGGACGTAAAGTTGTACCTACATATGAAATTTGCTTAATTCGATGCTAATACCGCCCTATTCGATGCAAAAGCTCGCAGCATGTTTTTTTTAGCAAATTTGCCACAAGAAATTGTCGACGACAAAGGGGTTGTAATTGGCCTTCAGAAACACGCGTTGTTCTCCACTATCAATCTGTGAAATTCAAGTTCGTAATCCGCACTTGTTGACTGTTTACCTATTCACCAACATCTATCATTCTATGCACGATCCCTGTCACATCACAGTTTGTACTATTATTGATCCAAAGAGAAGTCTCTCACATCTCATTCACTTTGATTTGAACCCCTTTCGCTACTTTACTTGCTCTCCGAGACAAGTTCCTGCTTCGATAACGTGGAGTTGAGGCCATCCATCTGTCCTGATTATGATTGATCGTAATTACGCCTACAATCTTGAATTAGAATTCAAGTTATAATGATGATGGTCATCTCGCGGACGGTATGTATAAAGAATTCCTCGATCATGTTACTAAAGTGTTATTGTGGCTAAGACTACTTGTATACTTATACTTGCGCTACCCATGAACACGACTACGTGCCTTTGAGCTTTCCTACCTCAGAACCTGCATTATGTCCAGTTGCTTTGAACATCATAAATCACCGTAATTCTAGCTTCAAAAACCAATATGGTAGATGTGCTTCCAAAATATTTATGCTGCAAGTACTTTTCGGCCACTGTCCTAAATGCGATTAGAAGAGAGCCTAGCATATTGTTGCGTATAGACGCCTCTGTAGTAGGGAGCATCACAGGCACGACCCGCAATCGGTGAATAGGTAGGAAAGGTAGATATTTGAATCTGTCGATAGGCCTCGGGAGGTAGGTGGATGATGCCTCGATCTCTCTCGGCAGCCCTGATCGATCTATCTATGCCCTGCCTAGTGCCTTTCCTCATACACGTGATCCCCGAATAGCCTCATCTATACTGCTACACCACAATATACGTAGAATCGAGTCACCAGCTGCGCGCGATGAGGTCAAGAACCTTCCATCCTGCTCCGTACGAACATCATCTGTAGAATAGCCGCAGGTTTCGAACATTAGAACTGCTTTCTTTGATTCCGAGAGAATGGTGAACTTAGTTAGTGCCGAAGAGCAAAATTTACATACGTGTTTTCACAGGCCGGTCCATCGAGTCTCAAGTTGTTCAGATGCCTCTGAAAATTTCTAAGCCAGATCCTAACCATTCTCTGATCCGACGAAGGCTAACATGCGCCACAACTTCTACACACCCTCTGACTATTCATCTATTCGTGTTGCTCTGACGGAGGCATCGTTTCAGACCAACCATTGACAACCAGGCACATTAGTTTCCCCCGTAATGTTCTTGTCGTCGGATCTTTACAATAATATTCCGTTTTTCTATTCTGGATAGGACGAGGCCATATTTGGCGCTAATGATAACCCTGTACATACAACACATAACTAGCAGTATTTCGTGCCCACGCCCGAAAAGTATCGGGCTCCTTGCCGATCACCGAGATTGAATGGAATTAACAGCCACATAAGCCATTAATCCACCGTAAGTACCCCATTTCATTGGGACTGTTCGGAACATCAGAAAACGATAAATATTCGACAGTCTCGCTACCATCTCTGTTGACTATTTGCTCCTCCGTGGCTGCACGTGTAGAAAGCTTGAACGCTGCCATAATGTGGCCGGCCGCGCTGTAATCTCAGCATTATCATTATTAGTAGGAACATCTTTTTCGTCCCGCCGCCAAACGCTCACACCACTTAGGAAGATTCATGTCATTGTCTACCTGACTAGCAATGCTAACATAGTCAAAAAGTTAATGTGACCACAATACAAATAATATACCGAAACAATATGCATCTAGCAACAGAAATTCCGTTACGACCCCTGCCGGGGACCCATTCTCCGCATGAAATACAACTAGGCTTGTGAGGCTTGAGAAAGCGCCGGTTCCCCATTATTCAATCCCTCCAGATGAAGCGCCTCCCAGTCCCAAATCTGCTCCAGTCCGCCCATGTCAGCGGAAGCATCGGTGCCGAACGGATTTTGCTGGAGGAACTGGTCGAGATCGAAGTTTAGGTCATCGGTAAAGGAGTGCTGAGGGTGAGGTTCGATATTATCGGACTTGTTCACGCTGGGAGAGGCAGAGATAATTGTGGGCTTTGCTTCGTCGAATGAGGAGTTTTCGACGGATGATGAGGTGGCTCCGAGCCGTTGACGCTTGCCGATACGACTGTGGCGGGATAAAACAGGTGAGGCTTGCACGAGTTTGAGGAGGAAGTTGTAAGAGGAGGCGCCGATCTTTGACGTCGAGCTCAGTTGGTGCAGCATTCCAAGACCATTTTCGATTTCATCCATTACCCGCTCGCGATGGGGAAGGGTCTTCCTGACATCATGAATAATGGCTGAACACATGAGGGTTGCCGTGTCGAAGATACTGAATACAACAAGATGGAATTTGGCGTTGATGGGAAACTCATGGTCAAACAAGATTCGTGCTTTTCTAAGAAGCTTTAACCCAAGTTCGACGCCCATCGACCGAAATTCATCATCATGCGAGGTCAGTTCATCTTCGTGGCTGCGAGTAAGATATGGTTTCAGGAAGTCCAGCTGGACAGTATATATAACCACATGCAGCTGGGAACGCTGGAACACGTAGTAAGGATGAGTCTCATCGAGGGACAGATCTGGGTCTTGGATCCTAAAAACAGGTGGAAGTTCAGCGGTGAAGAGCTCACATTCGCCCTGTATCATAAAGACCTGGTCTGCAGAAAGCGGTTGTCCGACGGGATGTTCGTTGAGGTAATCTGCTATTCTACGACCCAGCATGGCTTGAAGTGACATATGGGCGAATGCTGATAGTAAATTTGGTGTTGACGCTGACTCGTCGAGGCGAAGATTAGGGAAGACAAATTTGCAGTCCTTCTGGTTAATCTGGTTGGGTCGGCCTAGCCATGCCCCCATTTGCCTGTATTTGGTAAGTAAACTAAATACACCAGTCGTGTGGAAGATGCCTTACCAATCCCAGATGTAGAGCAAAGTCCATATTCGTCGCCTGATTTCGATCTCGAACTCGCTGAGATTCTCAATGCCTAGGTCTTTGTCCATGCCTAGTTCCTGGGCCTCGCGAATAGTCGATCCAAGCGCATGCCAGGATTCGACAATCTTTGACTCTGATTTCAACCAAGCTCCCCTCAGGAATTGTTCCTGAACACGTTCCAAACTAGACTTGGAAGGTGGGAAAGTTGAGCTTAGCTGATCTGCCGCACCTCCGAACCTCTCGGTCAACTGTTGCGATGAACATGCGAGTTCAAATTCGACCATTCGTCTAATCTCCACTGTCAAATACTGCACAGAATAGGCCAATATTCGAAGTAGGAGACAAGTGAACTCAGGAGAAAGCTTCTTGCCACTTGCACGATCAGTCCACCATTGAACATAATTTTCGGTGAACGTCGGTCCATAAATAGCATTGTATCGATAGTTTACCACTGTGAGAAAATGGTTTACAAAAGTATCTATCTCATATCAGTGACCAACTAGCAGATCATATCGACTGTTCATACCGGTTATTGACCGAGGAGGGATTGCATGCAAGACAAGTTCAACTGCACTGTTGGCATGGTCTGACTCGGAGCTCGCTGGCGAGTTTTGCTTATCCTAATATGACTGTAAGCCTCGCCCTCCATGTGAAGAATTCCCGGCTTACCTCTTCGTCATTGCTGGCAAGAGCATAGTGCACATGCCCGGGCATGTAACCCCATGCTTTCAAGCCATTCTCGACATCATCGGGACCATTCTCCACAACGCTATCCTGCTCATCGTGATCTTCCTTGAAGTCGCGCTTTTGGCCACGCACATCGCTGTTCTAAAATGTCAACATTATGCCACATTACATGGTTTCGTGTTTGTGACATACGCTTGTGCACTTGATTGTTTCTGCTCAATTTTTTTCTGGCCGAATTGGCACAAATGTGGCACTTTGCGTGCCTGGCAATGATTGCATGGCCATTCACGGGAGCACTGTGGATCACATGATGAGAAAGCCTGTCTTATATCGAAATGGATACGGGTTCCAAGGGCCAAGTAGATCCGGGCAAACTCTTGGATCTGGGGTAACCCGGCTTACTTTCTGTTTCCGCCTTTGACACTCCGTGCAGGAAGGAGTTGCGCGATTCTCTTTTTGCCCTGGCTGTTGCATTGTGACAGTCACCGTTAAACTAGGTCGCAAGTGGGGCAAATATACCGGTTAGCAATAATGTCGAAAAGATGGGGATGTTGGAGAACAACTGGATCGTCGATGGGTCGCGGGGGAAGGCTGGGAATTCACCGTTAACTAAGTATTCCATTGATGAGTCAGCTAACACGTGATAATCATGACACCGACATTTTGAGGCTGAACGTGTAAGTTGTCAGGCTCATGCTCAGGGACATTGACAATTCTAATCATTGAGATCAGCACCAATGAAAGCGTAAAATCGTTTGCTTGCACGAGTATATACGTGAGAAGCTCGCCTCATTTTTTCACACTAGAACTTGGACACTCGGACTCTGACTAGGTCATATGAATCAGGTCAAATACTCTCCAGTCTTTCCAATGTTATACAGCGATCCTTCTGCATATACGAGGATGCGTGTTACCGTCGGGGTGGCTAGAAAGGACGTATTCGTCCTTCAGCATGATCATATCTACCAATGAAACTCCTAGCAACTGCGTCCAGATCAATATTCCAAATCACCAACATGAACATCCTCCCATAACTAATACCCCGCTATTCGAAATGTAAATTGGTTCTCGGTTCAGGAGCCCAAGTGAGCTTCCCCATTTGGCGCGATGGCTGCAGGTAATTTGCCGGACTCGGCGGTGACTCGCCAACCAGGAGAAGACCGTCCAAAACAAGAAAATCGTTCCTGAAACTACAAATTCTCGACATATACGAAGTCTCTGGTCGCGAGGAGAAAGGGCGCACAACACAGTATGCATCATATTTGCGTCCTGCTTTTAGGCTGCCTCTTTCATGTATCGTGGGCACAGCAAGTATATTACACCAAATGATCTAGCAAAGCTAACTGAAATCTAGATTCAGCACACCTCCATCATTGGGGACCTATGACTACGTAGTTATTGGCTCCGGGCCGGGCGGTGGTCCGTTATCAGCACGACTTGCCATCGCAGGTTATAAAGTACTTTTAATCGAGGCTGGCGATGACCAGAGTTCGAATGTGCGATACAAGGTGCCTGCTTTGCATGCGCAGTCTAACGAAGAACCGGGAATGCGATGGGACTTTTACGTCAATCATTATTCGGACCTTGAAAGACAGAAACGAGATTCCAAAATGACTTATCGAACACCAAACGGTGGCCTGTTTGTTGGACCAAGTGGTGTTACAGGAACCGGACAGCCACCGGAAGGTAGTGAGCCCCTGGGGATTCTCTACCCTCGTGCGGGAACACTTGGAGGTTGTTCTGCACATAACGCGCTTATTACCATTTATCCGCACAAAAGCGATTGGGATGGGATCGCAAAGCTTACCGCAGATAAATCGTGGAAGGCTGATAGTATGCGGAAATACTTCAAGCGATTCGAGCGGGCTCGATATCTCCCCAATGGAGTAGTTGGTCATGGCTTTAGTGGTTGGCTGACGACTATGGTGACGGACCTGACGATTCTGCTCGAGGACTTAAAATTGATCACAATAGTTGTTGCTGCTGCGAAAGGCATGGGGAAAAATGTGATCGGTCTGATTACCACGGTTTTCGGCCTAGAAGAGGTTTTGCTCAGAGACATCAACGCTGACACGCCAGGAAGGGATCTTGCAGAAGGTCTTTACCAAGTTCCCTTGGCGATGGACAATTATCAGCGTCAGAGCACTCTTGAGTTCATTTTAGATACTGCCAACGCAAAACAACCGAACGGTAGTCGGAAGTATCATCTTGACATATCTCTGAATACGTTGGCGACCAAGATTCGCTTCGACTCATCAACACGTCCTCCGAAAGCGACAGGTGTCGATTTCCTATCAGGTCCCAGAATCTATCGCGCGGACCCGCAATCATCCAGTGCTGCACCGGGCATTCCAGGAAGTGTAAATGCCAGCCGTGAAGTGATAATTGCAGCGGGAGCTTTCAATACACCTCAGATCCTTAAGCTTTCGGGCATTGGCCCTGCTGCTGAGCTTGCAGCGCTCGACATACCTGTAATGGTGGACTCTCCTGGTGTTGGCACTAACCTTCAAGATCGTTATGAAACAGCGATTGGTGCCGAGACAACGTCGGAGTTTTCGGTAATCCGAGACTGTACGTTTTTGAAGAACACCCCTGATCCATGCTACAACAGATGGAAGAACAGCCCTGTCCTGAAAGGCGTATATGGATCAAACGGCTTGTCTATTGGAATCGTCAAGAAGTCTTCGACTGCAGATGGCGACCCAGATCTGTTCATTGCTGGTGCCCCTGCATACTTTACAGGTTATTATCCGGGATTCTCAGACTTTGTCCTTTCTGATAAGAGACATTGGGTTTGGATTGTTCTGAAAGCTCACTCTCGGAATGCAGCAGGTACAGTCATTCTTCGATCATCGAATCCAAGGGAGACACCAGTCATCAATTTCAATAATTTCGGAATTAGGGAAAGCGGCGATGGCGCGAATGCTCAGGATGTACAGGCTTTGTACGAAGGGATGGAGTTGGGTCGACAGATATACAAGAACATCATCCCACTTGACGGATCCTTCAAAGAAGTGTGGCCTGGAGAGAATGTGACTGGGGACTCCTTGAGACAGTTCATCGAAGATGAAGCGTGGGGCCATCACGCATGCTGCACCGCAAAGATTGGCGCTGATGAAGACGCAACCGCTGTACTCGACTCCCAGTTTCGGGTACGGGGTACGGATGGATTAAGAGTTGTTGATGCTAGCGTGTTCCCGAAGATTCCAGGCTTCTATATCGCAGTTCCGATATACATGATTAGTGAAAAGGCAGCTGAGGTCATTCTCTCAGATGCGTTGTAGCTATTCGAGCAGGTTGGATGTTTCGAGCAGTCTGATAGGAACATCTTGAATCAGTACCTAAATTGCATCATTAAGCGATTAGAAGGAGCCACGGTGTTTCTTGAGCTTGAAAAGAAAATCCATATGTTCTTCTTGAGAATTTAACCTGAGACGGTCTGAAGGTCATCTCCCTTGACATCATATTCTCCTCTGGTCCATAATAGGAATAGCTTGTACGGGTCGGGATAAGTCTCTGCGCGCGCACACCCAGTCACGTGCCAGTCAACAAGTCATGCTCTTCTTCCCATTCATATCTACCTGAAGCTTCTCGACAAAAGGCCCAGGCTGAGTGTGACGTCCAACGTCCCGGACCCACGAACCAGCCGAGAAAGACCTGGAAACATACCGTCGCAAGCCTACAGATGCCATCATGAGCACAGAAATGCCACATCGTGTGGTACCTCCTAGTCGAAGACGGGATAAGCCAATCTTGTCGTGCAACCTGTGTCGACGACGCAAGTAAGCGTGTCTGCACGATAGAATAATATCACCTACTCACGGGAGATTGTAGACTAAAGTGTGACCGACAGCAGCCATGCAAAACATGCGTAGATCGGGGGTTGTCGCTCTCATGCACGTACACCCGCAACGTTCCGCCTGCGCATGAGCCTAAACCTCACAATGTTCATGATAGGATCGACCAGCTTGAGAAGCTTGTTACCTCACTGATGAGTGCAAAGTCAGCAAATGGAGATGATCCTATGAAAGCAACTGAACACCGATCCAATCATGATTCGTATCCCATTTCGGGAAGTTCCACGCATACACCCTACGAGCAAAGTCCCAGTGCGGATAGCACAGAGCCCGAAGTTGCAGGTGTTCACGAGACTATGAAGTTAGACCAGGAAGGAACTAGATATCAGAATAGTAGCCATTGGTCTAGTATCCTGGATGGGGTAAGTCACCATGTCAGAAGCTGTCGCTATAATCATGCACTGAATAGATGTATTTCCTTGTGATCTCCTTCTAGTTGCCTTGATTCATTGACCGACCTCTGACTCCTCCTAGATTTCTGAATTGAGAGAGCAATTGGATCAAATTCCAACAACGCCTCGACCTCAAAACCCTGTATTGTCCGAGATCCCCGGCCCTGACCTATTTTTCGGACAACAGCGACATGCAAGCCGCAATGAGATATTAGCGGCAATTCCCCCAAAGGCCGAATGTGACGTTCTCCTGGAGACTTACTTTGCTTCGATGGAGTTGGCTCCAAATTTGATCCACAGACAGACATTTGAAAGAGAGTATGCCGAGTTTTGGGAACGTCCAACAGAAATGCCCCCTATGTGGCTTGCGCTTCTATTCACAGTATTTGTCCTTGCCGTTCGCTTTCAATGGGTCCTTGATGCAAGTGGCATGCAAGTGCACGAACTTGCAGATGCTCCGGTACGCTCGGTGCGTATGGATTTCTATCGCGAAAAAGTTGTCCAATGCCTTATCTTGGGGAATTACGGGAAATGTCCCCCGTACACCATCGAGGCCCTTTTACAGTATTTCGTGACTGAATACTTCAGGTCACAAGACAGCCAATTCGGAACATGGATGCTTGTTGGTGTAATTGTTCGAGTTGCCTTCCGAATGGGTTATCACAGAGATCCATCCAGATTTTCGAACATCTCTGTCTTCAAGGCGGAAATGCGACGAAGAATATGGGTCATGATCTTACAAGTCGACTTGATGTCATCATCGCAGATGGGCTTACCACGGATGATCCAAAGCAACATGCACGACGTAATGGAGCCTCGTAATCTGGAAGAAGATGATTTATATGAAGGCATGGAAGTACTTCCTCCCTCGCGTCCGGTCACAGAAAGTACGCCAATGCTTCACGCGCTGTTGAGAAATAAATTACTTCAAGTCTTCTCCCGCATTCTTGATCTCACAAGTTTGAGCTCCCAGCCATCGTACCAAGATATCATAGAAACAGATGCTTCGTTGCACGCCGTGTACGAGGATATGCCATCGTCGATGAAGCCATTCCGGTTCCATGACGCCAATCCAGAAGACCCAGATATAGCCAAACGCCGCCGCTTTCTCGGGCTGAACTTCTTGAAGGCGACTTTGATGCTCCATAGGCCATATCATTTGGCTGGTCGAACGGATCCGAAGTATGCACGATCGCGCATGCTATGTGTGGACTCGGCACTAGAAATATTGGAACTTCAACAGCTCATAGATCGCGAGGCAAAGCAATCGACCGACAGATTATGGAAATCGAAGTGGCATCTTTGGACAATCAGCTGGAGACTTTCTGCGATTGTCAACCAGGACTTTCTCCTCGCCACCACCATACTGTCACTTGATCTCGACACAGACATAGCAAATCCTATGCCAGACCCTGATCCAAATAGCCCTCCTAGGCAGCGCTTCAAGACGGGGCAGCCTTCTCGGGCAGAGGTAATTGATGCTTTGAAAGGCGCTTACAGCATATGGCTTAGATCCAGTGCAACCTCAAGGGAGGCCCAAAGAGTTGCTGCGGCCGTGAGACTTGTCCTCGGAAAAGCAGGCACCTCCGTAGAGCCCGATCCCAATCTAGGTATGAGCTGCGCTAGACATGATATTTGACAAAGCTTCCCTCAACTACCATACCATTGACAGTATACTAATCTGGTAGTAGTTGACTATGGTACACCAATTTCACAATTTGATTTCAATAACTTCGCAACTCAGTCAACCTCGAATTACAATCAACCAACGGAGCCAAATACGTCATTTTACGGTTGGGAAAATGCAAATTTCAATCCACCACTATTCGATGGGGATATCGACATTCATGGATTCGATTGGGTTAGTAAATTCCGCATCCCCCAATGACTGAATGAAGCCTGATAATGACAGCGCGGCTTGGAGATGGACTTTACTCCGTTTGAGAATAAAAGCCAAGTGTTTGGTCCGCCATTAGAGAGACAAATGTAGATATATCCCTTATTGTATTATAGCCACAATGTATCCATGACAATTCTGCAAAGTTGCTGTGACTTGGAAAATGGAGAGTAGAACAATGATCGAAAGAGCAGACCCTTCCTTTATGACGTGAACAGTCGAAGAACCGAATCAATTCTATAAAAGCAATTAGATGCAATTGAGGCCCAGTACAAGTGCAAAGGGTAGTGGCATCCGGGTGAGAATCATGGTGCTTTTAATTCATTCCAATTTGGCATTCGATCACCTGCTAAGCTGTCAAATGAGAATCAAGCGATTTCAATGGACTTTCGAGCCTAATTAGGAAGAAACATGCGGAATAGAAAACCATCAATAATTGCTCAATTCAAATCCCCGGATTGAGGTTAATGTGATTCACCACTTCTAATTCATTATATAAAGAAGGCACATGGTCAACGAAGACCTCAACATAGTTCCTGAACCACCACTTCCTTGCGCTCACTCCCAACTTTTTTCAATGTTCTTGGTAATGTATCTTATTATACTCGATCTTGAATCTTACTAAGCTCAGATTTTACATGACCCGAGCAACCCTCTTTCTGGCCGCTTACCTGGAAACATAACGCCTCCGTGCATGAATTTCGATACCCGATTACATCCATGGAAAACTGGTTTCTGAACGTCTTTCACCATTGCCGAGGGAGTAGACCAGAACAAAAACGTGGACCTTGTTATTGGATTCGGCGTATGCACCCGCAAGGGACAGGATGATCTAGTTCTATGCGGGCAGTATGAGACTTGTTCTGCATGTGGCAATTGAATGTGGAAGTTGTGGGCAAACAATGGATACTTTGTGCGGCAAGGCATTTCGCTTTTGGCGCGCGACGCGTCCTGCACGTTGAAGAACAGGTGCTGAGGGCATTCGAAGCGTCTGAATATCGAATGTTTGCGTGTTCGTGGCCACATCGGCAGGTTCACGGATCTCATCTCTGCGGTCTACACATAATTACTTTCAATTGCTGATATACAGCCATTGCGGGCATGGTTGCTATCGACCGTCGGATCTCAGTCGCTTACAATCCGATGCCGCCCAAGGCCACAGCCCACACTCAACCCTACTTATGCTGGTGATATTATCGGAACACCACATGCTCTCACCGGACAAACGCCCGCTCCCGAAAGTTGGATGTTACGGTGTTCCTTGCCATTGACGACTAAGTGGGACCGAGGAGACCTGCATCCGTAGTTACCCACCCGCCTCCACCTTCGACAACAAGATGCCCCGCAGGATTTCTGGAAAGCATGAAAACATCATCGAAAGAGTTGGGGCGTTGGTAACCATACCTGGCGATGCCACACCTCATGTGGAGAGGTCCCAGAAATTACCTCCTCAGCCTAGATCCTACCCCTCGACTATATGAAACAATAACTTACGGATCCAGCAAGAGAGGCAATATTGCTGTACTCTGTGAAATACCATAGACACCGCTCAGCTGAAAAAGACGCAATTGTGCCATTGTCCATGGGGAATGCGGGGTGTCATGCATGTAATTCCACATGTGCCCGGTACAGGTAGGAAACGATGCAAACCATAGTTTGTTGAGGGCTCTCACATGCAGGCGGCGGGGTAGGGAATGAATTGCGTGATTCCTCTATATTCGACTTTGATAGGATCTATCTGAAGGCCTGAGTGAGCCTTTTGCAACCCTTTGGAATGATTCCCCTCCCCCACTTTTCAATTGTGGAAACCGGCGAGCGATGAACAACGGGTTGTCCTCTACTTTCTCCGCAGCGCTCTATGCGCTCCGCTCCATCTCGACGTGGCTACCGGTCCCACATCTAGAGCTCGTCTCGTACCGATGATATAAGCCAAGATGGTTCTAAGGTAGAAAGCGACTTAGTGGGAAAGGGTTGCCGTACGGATTACCTCGTACAATATGGGGCGTAGTGGATGCGTTGAGGAGAGATGGGATGGGGAGATGGATGCCGCCAGAATTAGCTGCCGTCCGTGCGGATCACCACTAGTACCCTCCCTTCCCATCTACTTAGACACTCTAGAGTGCAACTTTGAGTGTCACCGGTCTGTGAGTGCCCAGGAAGGTAATTGTACTTACTTACAAGTCACCGTGTCAAGACTGTCAGACCAGCAAATACTAAGCCAAAGAGGTCCCGCGTGTGCGTGGCGTGGGTGAGAAGAGGGGAAGCTTGTCGCGCGTAGAACATTATGCATATTAGACAGCATGACATAGAGTCAGTCGCGTAGGTAGCTGAAAGCATTCAAGAAATAGGGTACATTGTTACTGCCGTTACCCGAGTTTGAGAGCTGTTTGATTGATTGTAACTATGGATGGGGCGCATTTGTGGATACTGCTTGTGCTATCTAACCACTTCAAGTCATCTCGGGGCTCATCACTCTGCCTGGTCGCTCTAACTGGCGTGAAGCACTTCAAGTACAACTCTCTAAGCTGGTAGATCTAGGGAATTGCGGACACACACTCTCTCGCGCCTCTTTGTACGAGAGTCTCTTTGCGGAGGCATGCGCGACTCAACATGACGGCTGTTTTAGAAGAGATGTAGAGTGTCATGGAAGAAAAGGAAATGAAAAGGAGAGAGTATTTAGCAAACAGTTGCCGAGTAAGAGAAGTTCTCCCTCACGACCTCTGGAGAATGTTTCACCTGCTGGTCACCGAGCTTGTGTTCTTTGAAAGAAAAAGAACAGAGCTGACCTCTGCGCCATCTCACAACGCCTTCAGGATCACAATGCGGGCATCCTGTCCTCTGCGGTAGGGATTCACATCTTTGGACACCAACTCGACCTGCCCTTGTTTGATCAGACGGTCAACCTCAGCCTCGAAGCCTTTGGCCTCCCAGAGCTGAGGGAGAATCGTAGCAACGATGATTCCATTCGGCTTCGTGATCCGAGCAAATTCCCTGAGCGAAGGCACTGGCCCAACATGGCCATTGGTCAGGGTGCCTACACAGACGACTGCTTCGTACGAATTGTCTGGCTTGTTGATATCCTCAGAAAGGTCGGCGAGATCAAGGTTTCTGTATGCGCCATTCCTTGCTGCAACCTTTAGCATGCCTTCGCTTAGATCAATGCCATCAACAACTTTTGCGCCGAGCTTCTTGAGTTCAAAACCAACGATGCCGCTGCCACAGCCAGCATCAAGAATGTTTCCGGAGATCTGGCCATGCTGGGCTGTGGCGGCGGCACAAAGACGAGGTGCAACATATTGCTCCTCGACCATATGAGTATCATACTGCTCTGCCCACTCGTCGTAGGTGCTTCGCATCTCATCCAAGCTGGATGTAGCGTATGATCGACGGATATAAGCGTTGTCCAATGCCATGTTGAAAGGCGCTGTTCAGATTGAAAAGGTGCTTCTGGGGAGAAAAGGCGCTTTGGTATGGGTGAGGGTAACGCGGTTCAAATTCAATTTTGATCAAACGAAATGGACAGCTGGGTTGATGCCAAAGAATTATCACTTCTGTTCGTAAGAGAGTGTTGTAAGGTTTGAGCAATGGAGAAATAAGGGCCTCTGTCGTGTATATATATTCGTTTCTCACCACACCCCTACGTCACTTGTATCCACTGTGTCTTTCGGCAGATATCGAGCAGTAAATCTCGAGAAGTATAGAGCAAGTCTCTGGGTCAGTGATACTGTGGTTTTGTAAGGCAAATCCACCACTGCATGGCCGGAATTCCGGATAGGAGGACCACGCATAGGGTACGTGGGGAGTCCAATCCATGGTTACGGGATCATAGATTGGCTACCCGTCTTACCTTTCGATTCTCGTACGTGATTGAATTGTATATCATTAATATTTTCACGTGGGTTTCAAGAAGCATTTATGGAGTACTTATTGGAAGAGATCGAGGCAAGGATATACTAGGTGGACCCTGTCAGGCTTTTCGCATATCATCTGTAATCAGGGAATCTTACAACGCCTGTTTGCCTAATACAGAAATCTAACTGTAAATCAGAGGTGGGGTTTATGCTGTAACAAATTCCGTAACTTTGTATGATTTCAGGTAACATATCGCGCATTCTTAAACCTGCAACATGTAGTAGAATGTAACCTATAATAGACGCATTTGTTAATCTCTAATCGACCGTTGATACTAGCCTCAAGAACTCCTGAAATCAAGGCTAGAGAGTTGTCATCTAGCTACAACGTTGATCGGGGAAGAGGTTGAAATCACCATAGCACAAATGCTTTCTACTTGTGTGCGCTAATCCTTAGAAAAGAGAATCGTGTAAAGGTTTTGATGTCATTATCGATGGAGGTTACTCTACCCAAAGCTATTAATCTTTGTAGATTCTGCAATTTGTATCCGATCTGGGGATCGTGGGGCACAGATCATCGCAGTAAAATCATGTCGCGTTTCTGAAGTGGACCTCGTTCATTGTATTAACACTATCCGTACCCGTTACCTTGCTGCATAAATCCTTGTTCGTCGTCCATTTTCACGCGCTCCTATACGGAGCGCGCTTCATGATACTTGTAATACTCCGCCGAAATATCGACACTCTTGGAACTTTCAGCCTCGGAATACCAATCCTTAGGGGGTGTTTTGGGTGGAATATCCTTATCCGAAGCCAATGCATCAAGGGACGCAGTGCTTGCATTCTTGTCGCCCCGCGAGAAGCCCAAGAATGATGAAAGCGAAGGGATGTTCAGCTTATTTCGCGCGCTGTTCAAGGCAGAGTCCAACGAATAAGTATTGATCAGACTCCTCAAGGTGGGAATGCAGGCTGCGAGTAGGCCCACGGTTACCTCGAGATAGTTCCAGAAGAGAAAGGTTGTGACAAGTACTGATTAAACAGTTAGCTTTGCTTCAGTAGAATACAATATTACACAGGAGCTTACAAGTGACGTCCAGGTCAAGGTTGTCATTCTGAGTTGCCTGCCAGAGGCACCAAATCATACGAATAACCGACGCAACAACGGCGCTGTATTTGAGTCAACAAACTACACAAGTACAAAACGCGGTCTACTCACAATGATCCTAAAGCAAAGACAAATGACATGGCGATCTTGCTTGTAACAGGCATATGTAATTTCCAGACCTATCACAATCAGCCAAACTTGGAACTTGATAATTTCAGTTCGCACACTTCACTTACTCCAGGTAGAGGTAGCAACAAGATAACTAGATCGCAAGCAAAGTCTGATATAGCAAGTGCATTCAGGATCTTGTTGAAGTCGCCGCACTCAAACATGATCATCATAGAGTTCATCCACCACGTGTCGAAGTGGACGCCGCAAGCGAACAAGTATCGGAACCAAAATGCAATGGTCCACATGACGACGATTGCTATCATCGCCCATATGCAAACGTTGACAACATCTTTGTAGTCGCGTCTGGCTATAACAAAGATTCGTTGATAGAAAAAAAGAATGCTGAGTTTTGTAAGGCCCAGGGCCGGAATAGAAAGAAGGAAGAAAACCCATTCATCCTATGTGATAAAGTTAGACGGAGAATGCTTTATTTATGTGGTATACATACGCGCTTTGCGATGACCATCTTGCTGTTGAATTCTTCCCATGTTGTTCGAGGAAGTAGTAGATCACGCTTTTCGGGGATATCGTAGAACTCCTTTGGCAAAGCAGTCGCATATCCGAATACATGCATAGCGACACCTAATTGTTCTCGTTAGTTGTGTACTGAAATGCTCATTAATTGGTCCTACATACCGTGTATGAGGACCACTGCCAGTCCAATATTGAGAAGCTGGATATCATTAGGCGCGCGTTTAACATCATGAATTGGCATGGGCTTTCAAACCATCGCAGGGACTGTAAGCCAGTCATCTACCATCACTTTCTGCTTCTTCCTCCTCCGCGCAAGAAATCGAAGGCCAACTGCAACGACGTTCAGAATAGCCAGCACGATGGTGACAGGGAGAATAATCTTAGGCGACTGTGTCGCCATCAACATGCCACCCATAATGAATGGAAGTTCTAAGGGTCGAGACCCTCCGTCTAGTTGATTGGAGAATTCGTGCAATAGAATATCATGGGGCAAGGTATATTGCATATATATAAGAGGTTTGCGGTACTCCAGCTTTCGCGCATGTCGTGAAAGGCTGCACGCCGAAGACCCGATAAGTTCCCACGCGGTGCGCCACGTGCGATGGGGACAAAGTGGATCCATCCCACTGCACATTCATGGCTTCGGGGTTGAAGTTATTCACTATCTCCAAAATTTAGGAACGTTGACTTCGAAACCCGGCGCTAGGGCGCGATGTGAGGACAGCTCGTATCGATATGGGCTTCGCTTGCAGTTTTTAGATGACGAAGGCGGACAGGGGGTTTGCACAGTCCCCGGAATTCCCAACTGATTGGCACAACCTTTTTCCTACACTCATAATTCATCTCTAGCATCCATCCATATGCGATATGCGATATGTGTCGATCTACTGGACCAAGTTTTCCAAGGGTGTGAGATTGTCCCAAGAGTTTTCAGTAGCATACCGTGGCAACCTTGCAAAGATCGCACTCATAAGCGTGTCCAATTTCCTCAACTCTATCTCATTGCCGACTCAGTAGAAACTCCGGACAAGTCTGTAAAATGAGTTCAGATACGAGATGTAAATGCAAGAACGGCTGCACAGTCCCTTCCCGGCGATCTCCACACAGACGCAATCTGGGGCTCAGGCCTATCGTTTGAGATTCTCACATCCTCCAGAGCAAACAACCATCCTGGTACGGACATTGTTCTCTCTCGTTGTTTCAGCTTAGCCTAGTCGACGTCGATTCATTTCGCAATGCAGCCCAGCCTTCAGGTTAACTCAGACCTGGCCATGGAGTCTCGAAGGATTCCCATAGTCCCCTGACAAATTGGTAAACTAGCATCAAGCTCGATGGGGCAGTTTCAAGAGCGTGGCGCAACGGTACGCAACGGTAGACATACGCTCACTATTTCACTATTGACCAGCGCGCCATCTATTTTGAGAATTCACTTGCCAGGGATGTTACAATATCAGCCTAGATGGAGAGTATCTTTTAGCGAATCGATTTTCGGCGAGGACTCACGCACCATTGATCCACTACGTCCATGAATGACCAGTCGCCAGCTTACAAACTATTGAATCTGTAGACTTATCACAAATATGCTCTCCTCGAATGATATTTACCCACCCGGGTATAGCTAAGCGACCTGATGCAGCTCGGTCAATATACACCAATGGGTATCCTGCTTTTACAGGTGTGCCAGGAGGATATGTCCCTGATTTAGTGGCGCCGTCAATGGATATAGATTGTTTCGACATTGTAGCTCGAGATAGAGCAATAATAAAATGACTACATTCTTGGGGGGCGGAGTTTGAGGCATTTCATTGTTACCAATAAAAGTCAGTCCACATACTGTAGATTCACCAGTCTGAAGTGGGCCCGAAGGTGATGTGGCTCCAATGCAAAGTCCAGACAGTCCGTGCGAAATTGATAGACTACTTTGCCAGGAATGGTAGATAGAAATAGATAAAGTGATAATTGAAGAGATAGATAGGACGGCCCTAGCTGAGAGTGGGGGTAATATGTAACTGATACCTTGCATGCATCAATACACTGTTGGGCAGGTCACAGCTTTACATTCTGCACTCTTTCTGCTTTTTCAGAGTGCGATCGCTAATTATTGAGTATGTGAGATAAGATTTATGATTAATTGTCGGAGGTATGATGCTACTGTTCGTTATATTACTCAATTGATAACACTGTTGTATATTTAGTGTGGCCTGTGGATACTTTCTATGTACGAACAAACATCGAACTTTGCAAACTCGCCACTTTGCATCTGTCCAATCTAATATTGAGACCAGTAAGCAAACGATTAATTGCTAAGGCAGCGAATGACAAGTTCGCAATAGAAAATTCTTAGCTTTGGCGTGGATATAGATATAGCTGTTGACAAATACTGGTCACGCAATATAAAGACATTCTTTGAGATGTTATGTACAAACAATGATTATTGAACAATAATATATACAAGAATTCAGGTATCACTAAAGCATATTAACAGACTTCCCCATATTTAGAAAACGCATCGCTTTGCCTGGATAGTTCCCTTAGGACGAGCCACTAAAATAAAAGTTAGTGGACTGAATTTGTATGATTAGGAAGAGCAGGCATACTGAACGCCGGGCAGTCGGTAGCCTCCTCGGACCATTTACCGCCATTCTCATCAGTGACTTCGGGTTCAGTCTCAGGGGCAGATGTGGCAGTGGCTAGTGCTAGGATGGAGCTTGTGGCGGTAGGCTCCGCGACAGCCGCTGGACAATTGTTAGGATGTGTAGGCCTAATGCATTGAAGAACGTACCTTGAGCGACGGGGGCAGCTCCCACAAAGCTGGAGAGGCCAACGGCCAGGGTGACGGCGATCAAGTTGAAGCGCATTTTGGAAGCGTTGGTGATTTGGTGGATATTGGATTGATGTGAATTGAGATTTAGGATATAGAAAGCGTGTAGGTGTTTGGGGCTCTGGATGCTAGATAGATAATTGTAGTGGACCTAGAGCGCTCTTTATCTTTGGTTTCATTTCGTTCCTGATGATTGTCCCCTCCCTTTCTTTGCGCATCTAGAGGGATCGGCACTTCCCGTGAAGCGACCGTCTCGGTGACCTCCAGAAGTGGCCCAATAGTGTTATCAAGTCTTTCTAAATCCACGTGGAGAACTAGGTCGAACCTAGGTGGCGCTCTCCACAGCGGATTTGTAGTGCGGACATTGCGATGCTTGGACGCTGGATGGCGTGAAGGCACTCGACAGGGCAGGCTCAGTGGGGCTGGTTGACGACGTGACATGCGCATCAACTTGTACCAGGATTTCGGATTCGATGAAAATGGCGAAGGGCCTTCTACTCATTTGATCGTCATTGAATCGATGTATCGTAACAATGTGAATGTTGATGGACGTACCATAGACTTGCGTAACTGGACTATTACTTTACAGGCGCAAGTGGCCCCAGGTATACTCGACCATCTAGGCAATTCTTTACATTCGGTTGCCGACTATGATGCAAGATAGAACCACCAGTCCCATATTTCCAAGAACCGTTGGGGACCCTTTTAATTCTCGCTTCGTTTTGTCAATAGTGAAAGCATGACATGTTCCCCGGGACTTGATGAAACGGTGACTGCACGTGGGTTGGTTTTCCTTGACTGGCCAATTGTAGGCTTCATCAACCTCGAACGCCACAATATTGTCATCGTTGTTCCCCACCGTGCGGTTTGATCGCCGGCTCTAGCTGGAAACAGGATCCCTGAAGCGACATGAATACGAACGAGGTTCTTCGTAGGAATCTATTAGGCCCGGCATGTTTTGACCTTTAGTCTACAATGCTGCTGCTGCTTCTTAACGGACGCCAGGCTCGTTTCGACAAGTCTACTGGCTGTTCGGGGACCTAGGAACACTTTAGTATGGTGAACGTTCCCAAACTTCTGTTGGTGCCTTGCATGTCAGACCACTCCCCAGGTAATTGACCAACATCAAATGCACTTGGCGGGGAAGTAGATATATCATTCATTACCAAGAGGTCGTTGTTGCGCTCCGACGTCTAATTCGAGATTCAAGTGCACATTCTCCATAGGCTTTCCCATGCGACTCAACATGGACAAAGTAGAGAAGGAGAGTCTTCTATCAGAAACGCATAGAGCCGCGGAGGGTGACTTGGACCTGTACACACGAATCCGCAAAAGATCGATCCGTGAATCTGCGTGGTTCATCACATACTTATTTGTGTTGCACGTTACACTCCTTCTCGTCGGTCTGGCTTTATGGCAATCGCGCCTTGCGCTGACTTCAGAGACGATACCAACACAACATTGGAGTAAGCTTTCCTTCATGACATATCAATCACCTAACTGTACTGATTACATCAGAACCGTTGTCTGTCGGAAGAGTGACCAGCGAAGAACATTCCGTGGACCACAGTAGGCACAGCAAGTATTCAGGACCTCCCAACGACGAGAACAACAAAGCTTGGGAAGATCTTATCCAGCGTACGTAACACTCTCTGCTTTTCATTTACTCGCAACTGACATATCTGTTGCATAGCAACTTTCTTCGGAGCCACCGAGAAGGAGCTTGTGGCAGGGAATGAAACCGTCGATGACGCTGTCAGAATCGCCCCTGCAGACAAGCCTTCGGAATCGAATGAGTATCTCGCAGCTTTAGGTGTTTATCACGAACTGCATTGCCTTGTAAGTTTCGTGGCAAATCTTTCTTGATTAGGAAATGTACTGACGCGCGTAAGCGACAACTGCGAATGCATCTTTACCGCGATGTATATTATGAAAACCTCACAGAAGCCAATGAGCGATGGTTTTTCGATCACCTCGGTGAGTTTTCATTGAAGGGCCCATAATGTCTTAGAGCGACTACTAAACATTGCTTGTGATAGATCACTGCATTGAAACGATTCGTCTTTCCATCATGTGCCAGGCAGATCTCAGTTTGTACACGTTTACATGGAAGACTTCGACTGACACTCGTCCCAAAGCGAAGTCCGCTTCAAAACGTCAATGTGTCAACTGGGATGAGGTACAGGGTTGGAGCATGAATAGGAAAATCTCCTTGTGGCCACGGCTGCTTCGATTGAATGGGAAGGAGGATGATATCCGACTTTAGTTGCTACCTACACCTGCATCTTCAATTACTTCATCTTCTTCCTTTCTTGTCTTACTATGGCTCATTACAATACCCATCCAGGAAATTTACTGTTAGCAAATTTCTCTTTTCTTTCAAGAGCGCTTCTCGTCCTTTTTCGAGCAATCTCGATATATCTTGCCTACAATCTATAGATGCATCAGCTTTTAATGAATAGGACAAGCGATAATAAATATGAAAATACTCTTACCAAGATAAAGCCCGCGAAGCTCCTTGCCTCTTCCCGAAGCCAAAAAAGCGCACGTCTGCCCGCACAGTGCTGGTTCATCTTTGAATAACTCCATGAAAAATTTCTCGTCTCTGACATCGCCATACTTTTCTAGCACATCCTGATCGGCACCGGCTGCGATAATATTTAGTATACCTTTTTCTTCTCATGTGCTTCAAAGATAAACTTACAGCCGCCCATTCCTGTCAGAACACCGCCAGGATGTAGTGCATAAAGATGAATCGCCGGATCCAATCCATCAAGCTCCATCTCCTTGTGCAGGGTATGCGTCGCCCGTATCAATGCGGCTTTCGATGTGACGTACCCCAATGTCATGGGAACGTCTACAGTCCCACTCCTCGATGCGATGTTGATAATACACCCGCTGCCTCTCTCACGGAATCGTGGGAGCAAGGCATGTATGGTTAACAGTGGCTTATTTCGATCGATTTTGTTAGACCCAGATCCAAACGCTAATTACAGAATACATAGTGGTATACATACTGCTTTGAAGTTGACTTCGATCTGTCGCCAGAACCCTTCGAACGTTGACATGATGAATGGTCGTTGATCCAATATACCAGCGTTGTTGACCAGAACACTGTAACATAAATCAGCCTCAATCCGCCATGCCTTCTCTTCTGCCTCTTTCTATTCCCTTCCCCGCCTTCTTTAAAATGTTAGGAATTAGCATCTTGACGTACTCGATTCCTCCGAAAGTCCGCTCAATCTCCCCAAAGGTTCTCTCTACCGCTTCCCCGTCGGTCACATCGCAAGCCCAACTCCCGACCTTCCCGCCATACTTCTCACACCTCGCTTTCGTTTCGCTATTCGCGTTGACCGTGAGGTCCAGTAAGGCAACAGTCGCACCCGACTGTGCTAGGGAATCTGCAATCGCAGCACCGATGCCACGGGCGCTTCCCGTCACGACTGCTACTTTACCTTCGTTGGCGGACTGGAGTGAGGCGGGGGTTATGGGGCCGTAGGGGTTGTGCTGCAGGGGGATCGTTGAATGGCCGAATTCGTTGGGGTCCATCGTTTAGTTATCGTGTGTAGGTGCTCGGATTTACTTATAAGCGGAAATTGGTCTTGGAGTGATGAAACAAAGGAATTGGGATAGTCTTGGTAGAACTGAGTTGAATCACACAATTATTGGATCCTTTTTTAAATCGGAGTAGGGATGATCCATTGTGGGGTTTGGGGAATGCTACAACATGCCCACAAGGGCAGGCATTGGAGTACTGGGGAAGGATGGGGAAGTTCAAATGCCCCACATGAGGCTCTTGTGGGGTATCTTAAGAAGTGTAAAGTAGTCTTATGAAGTAAAAGTGAGGAAAAGACATATGGATGAAGAATATGATATATTGTTTGTATTATCATCTACAAAATAGACATTCTCCCTGTATTTACGTTCATCTTGTAACCTCTTTTTGTTCAGATGTGGCAATGGGCCCTATGAGTGCACAATTATACCTTAGTCTCCACCATCTCGGTATCTAAACTGTTCTTTTTGTCGCCAAATCCACCCTCGTTTGCCGCAATTCTTTCGTCGGCTTCAATATACTCTGCCGGTCTATGCAGTTGGACAGCAAGCTTATTCCTGTGGATGAAGATGCCTGGCTTGGTTTCGAAGAAACGATCGATATCCTCTAGTGTGCGGTTTGCAGTTTCAGGATAGAAGAAGTATGTGATAGGAATAAAGGCGAAGCAAATTACTGCCCAGATGATCCAGAACTTGTAGCCCAGGTTGTCGATTCCAGGGAGGGTAACTTGCACGACCATGTAATTCATAATCCAGTTTGTGGACATTGCTGCGTCGACAGATGTTAGTCTGAGTACAAGATGGGGTGTTGAAAAACTGAGAATAAGGAGTAACGTACCCAACGAAGCTCCCTTGGTTCGCATCTCAAGGGCGTTAATTTCTGTGGGATATAGCCATGGAACACCGAGGACACCCATTCCGAAGCTGGCGAAGAACACAAAGAAGAAGGAGACTGCGACGATGCCAAGTTTGTACTCATCGCCGCCGTGTTCGGAGAGGCCTAGAGCAATGGAAATGACGATCCAACAGATGGAACAGGCGGCCGCGGAAGTCATCATGACCTTTCGACGGCCGTACCGTTCGATGACGAAGTAGGCCAAACAGGCGAAAATGAGGTAGTCAACCTGCACTGCATGAGAATCCAAATTTCATAAGAATAGAAGGGGCAACTTACACTACCAGCGGCAGCAAGAATACGCGAGAGAAGCTCCGAAATACCGAGGGCATTGATGAAGATGTAGCTCATGTAGTAACTTGTGACATTGATTCCGGAAATCTGGTTCATCGCTTTGCGAACATTAGGACATAGCACAATCACATCGAGTGTGAAGGTACATACCTTGCATCCATGCACCAAGAATCATGCGGCGAAGCACGCCAGGTGGCCCTTGTCCACTGAGAAGTTGGGCCCAAGTGTAAGTGTTAACATGTTCGCGATCCAGGATATCTTTGATAATGTTAAACTGAGCGACGACGCTTGGCGAATCGACTGTTGCGCCGTGCCCTTCAAGTGCTGCAAGAACCTCAAGCGCTTCTTCATTCTTTCCTTTCCTGATGAGTAGTCGAGGAGAGTCTGGAAGAAATGGACATAAGGCATAGATGCAAAGGGTAAAAAAGATCTGGAATGCCAATGGGAAACGCCATGCCACATCCTTAGGTGCAAAGGAGAAGCCGAGAGTCAACCAGTTCGAGATGGAGAAGCCAGTGATGCAGTTGGCTGCATACTTGTCAGTCAAACATGCATTGAAAATAATTCGAATCGTGTTGCTTACCCATCTGGATGATAACAAGCTTTCCTCTGCTGCTCATCTTACTTGTCTCGGCTTGCCATACACCTGCGGTAGCTGTATTCATACCTGTCCCCAGTCCGGCGACCACCCGTCCAACCATCATTTGTGGGACTGACCAGCATGCAGTCTGGATGATGGCGCCAATAGCAATCACGGTTGATCCGAGTATAATCTGTTTGGGACGACCGAGTATGTCACCCGTCCATATTGTCGACATGGCGCCGAGGAAACAGCCAATGTTGTAGACAGAGGTCATGACTCCCTGCATATTTGCGCTTGGATGGCCGAATGTTTCGAGGAAGTTTTTATTGATAATTACATTTCCGAATACACCTGAGAGACTGCATAAGTCCTGAATCCTAGTCGCGACTGGATTTGAAAGAAGGCGAGCATACCTTGATCGTAACCGTAGAATATCAGGACGGTACTAGCAGCGACGGAAATCCAGACCGTGAGGGCTTCTCCAGACCCACCAAGATACTTCCTCGCCATCTTGTCTTTAGTCTGTGTGTTTCAATTGAGGGTCCTCGCCAGTCGTGTTTGTTTGACGCAACACTCAAATGTGTCTACGTCAGATTGAGGTCGTACCAAATCGCGTAACGAGCCTGGGGATATGAGCGAATCGTCCAAAAGAAAACCGTCTCTGACCGGGGCCAGTACCACGTTATGAATGACAGCGAACTTTTCCAAAGATCTCCGTCTGGCATTGAATCATACGGGACCCCTCCCATTTATGCTTCTCCTCCACACCACACCATATCCTCAGTGCAGTCGATCCAGGAAACTAGTTCACCGAATCAACCTCGGATGAGGAGCCGCAAAGTGCACATCGCCAATCATCCAATGCACGTACGCATGCATGCTTTGCTTCAATACCAAGGTACCTATCACCCCATCGGAAACAGCATTTGCTCCCCTGCTCCATTGCCCCGGACTTCCTCCCCAGATTTCAAAACTTGCAATGCTATTATCTGGAACCCCCTCCACCCCCACTGAGCCAATGCACGCTTCCTTCCTTTATTTCCAAGTTCTACTCTGCGCAATGCTGATCGCCCCACAAAAGGTCATGATTTCATCCCAATTGTAGGATAGTCGAGCTCGTGTTTGTCCCTCGAGCACGGACGGTTTGCAGCAAAGGAAGTAAAGAAAGACGAATGACGATACTGCCTCGTTTCGCGGCAAAAAGTACGAAGGTACATTGTCGAGCCGGTGGTAGGTTTCCGGTTTTTCGGGATGCCTTTCTTAGACATGGCGCATGTGGGATACCAGGAAAGTATGCCGACAACAGGTATCTATCATACAGTAGTGCAAATGGCAGCACTTGCAGAGTAGGGCCCCCAGGAAACATAGTCCGCAAATTGCAGTAGTACGGGGAATAAGTGTGGGGGAAATGGAAATAAACCTTGGGCGAAACAGAAGGCGAAAAGCTGGGGAGAATCAAATGCTTGGTTCTCGGACGGAAAAGGTCCGCGTACTGGGCATGGGTACTGCAATGCGAAAGGAAGTCTTTTGCCGTTGGCGAGGGCGACGCCACTGACATCTTGTGGAGTCTTGGTTCATGAATCGCGGAGCCTCAAGGGTGCTTGTCTTGCAGCTCTTGAGTCTTGATTCACCAGAACAATTGAGTACTGTCATAATAAGAAGACGAGATTGTGAGCTGGCCGAACAATGAGTGCTGGTAAGATTCGAGATTTAACAATTAACGCACATATCCACCATATAAACCTGTCGCCGCGATTGATAGCCAATGCTTCTTCCTTGCCTCCAGTACCTGTGGATCGACCAAGCGAGCTTCTTGACCTTCCGGCCGTAATTTTGAGTTTATCAATATTGTGCCGCACTGGTTCTAATCATCCAATTAGACTGTGACGCTGTTGACTTATTCGGCCCGCATCTCTAGTGAGAGTTCCAATGGATGTTGACGACTTCCTCAATCGAGCAATACCGAACAAGGCATTAGTATACAGATAGATGCAGCTGCACCATTACACCCGTGTTGATGTGAAATTATGAACATTGCACCAAGCTAACACTCCTGGAAAGGTTATTCCCATAATTATAATAAACGCCAAACGCTCCTTTGCTCTTGTCCAGTACTCATCGTGCTTCCGAGTCAGTAAAAGTAACGCCACGCTAATGCAATTCAACAGCTCTGCCCAAAGTCTTGCCCAGATAGAACATGGAGCAGGATTGACAATCACTCCCTCCCCTCAGTTACCAACGGCCGTGTCATTTAACGCCACACATACCGCACCACGGTGATGGCCATTGTATTGCCTGATGATGCTCTGACTGTTCAGTTCCCATAACCGTGCGTAATGGTCGGAGCATGCAGTCACCAAGTATGCAGAATCGGCACTAAACGCGCAGTCCCAGACCCATCTCTGGTGTCCATGGAGAGTTGTCTCCAGTGGGAAAGCGTTTACATCGCGCTCTGCTGGAAGTCCGTCCTGAGCTGTCGCGTTGTGTGGTTGAGAGGTATCAACAGACCATATGCGCGCTGTGTGGTCGGCGGAGCAGGTAGCCAGATGTCGGACGTCTGGAGAGAGAAGGACGCGTGTTATGTAGGTGTGATGCGCGATGAATTTGCAGACAGGGACAAGCGAAGTTGCTTCACCACGCTGGACCATGCGCCAGACGTACACATTTCCCTACAAATATCATGTCAGTATGTAAGCAAACGCCCGTTCGCTTGCGGGGAGTCTTACAGCATTGTTTCCCGCGCATAGCATGGTACCATCGCTGGCAACAGTGACACTCGCAACGCTCACATCGTCCTCGGGTATCAACTGATGGCTGCATTTGTTTTCGCCCAAGTCCCATATTCGCACATTACCACCTCGATCGCAGGATATTAACTCTCCTTGATTTGGATGTATCACCACGTCATTGACAGGTACTCCGTGCATGTAATTCCTCTGAACGTTCCCGCTACGTGTGTCCCAAATTTTGACGGTGCCATCTTCAGACGATGTGACCATCCATTTCCCTTCGCAGTGGAACGCGACGCCCGTGATGTTACTTGTGTGCCCTTCAAAGTTTATCACTGCGTTCGGATTTGTGGATTTGATGTCGTAAAGCTTGACCGTATGGTGACCAGCGGCGGCCAAATAGCGCTTGTCGGGGGAGATGCAGAGGCGGTTTACTTGGGAGTCGGGATGGGGAATTGTGCGCGAGCAGATGCCAGAGAGGGCTTCCCAGAAGCTGTGATAGCATTAGCTCAACAATTCAACATCACCAAAAAGGTGGAATACCGGATAGTATGGTCATAGCCAGCTATAGATCGTCAGTGGATGGAGGGCCGGGCAAGTAGAGAGAGTATTACCGGTGCAGAGAATGACCGACATGGTCCCAGAACAGATCGTCGTATGTTTCAATGGCGTATAAACGCAAGCTTCTGTATTGCGAAGTCTATAATATGTCGATAATGAGGTAACACGTTGCTTGCGATTGCCATGTCCTGGAGAGTATGGGAATGAAGTTATCCCCACCAAAGCTTGGCGCGATGGCGGTCACCCAAAAGGGGATAGCTCCTTCATATGTATAATCATAAATATGACTTGCGTGTAATTTGAACAATGCGGTCCGAGGGTAGTGTATTTCGATAATATTGTATCAATGATGACCTTTAGGTTGAGCCTAGTTGGTTCATTGTCCAGTTCTGAATGGCGCCCGCTACCAATCAATTGGATGTATCTCATTTCGAATGAGATAGGTTAGACAAGGAAAGCGACAGTTTTATAAATCAGCGAACACATGAGTGCACACTTTCTCGCTTTCCCGTCTCGGCCATGAGATCAGGTATCGGCAGAAAGTAACTTGGGTAGGTAGTTACTCCGTAGACGGTGATCTTCGTTAAAAGCTGTCTCACCCAACGACCATCCCATTGGAACGACATACAATGCCTTCCACATTGGGGAAAGTGACAACTTCTGCTGCCACCTTGAAATCATATCTGGAAGCTTGGACAAAGCTTCAACATCGCGTATAATACCTTTTTCTTATGTTGACACATCATGCATTGGACATTGTGTAGTATCATCAGGATACTCATTTGCGGCAAAGCACAGTTCCAATATGGCGGCATTGAATTATCGGAACTCGATTTCGTCATCGCTCATTAATGACTTTGACGCTGACTTCTTGATGGTTCAGATACCATATAAATGTAGTTCATCGACCTTCAGGGGTCGATTTCATAGTCCAACACTAAGAAATAATTGTCGAAACCCAAACTGTTCACACTTGCCAAATGTCCAATCTCAAGAAGCCCGAACACAGAGTGCAATCAACACCACTATATGCACACTCTCAGCGCGAAAGCTGTTGGAAGGCTAGATTTTTTCAAATCTGCGTTGCTGATTGACTAAACAGGTTATAGGCACGAGAGTTGCTGCTTTCTGCCTATGAGTTCGAGATCGTAGGAAAGCAGGTACTGTGGTGAATTGGGCAATACATTGGCAATGTGAATCTAAATAACCAAGTGTGGTCATCAATGGGGAGAACTTATATTCTCGAATATATACTGCACGGAGCATGAGGGTACAGAGACCGTCACGAGTCTCAGTGCACTTACACTGTAACAACATCGCAGTATAGATCAAGTTGTAGATGTGCTCTCTGAAGAAGTGATGAGGCAATGCAAAAATTGTCTTGGCGGGCTGTCTAATCTACGAGATGATCCACTAAAAGGGACGCGGAACATGACGCAAAGGGATTCGGTGACGTTGATGCGGAACGTGTATAAAAAGCGAGGTTCATAGTCAGCATAGGTTGCGAGAGCGCCGAATGTTAGGTATATATTCGTTGTAAGGATTGGTGGAAGAAAACGAAGGGGGTGGATGGATCTGCTTGGTAGTATTTGCGTGGCAGTACATCTTCCTGGGCAGGAGATGATAGGCAGAGCGTTTTGGTAACTTGTCGTTCGTATACAATCAGAGGGAGATGCGTTCATGATCATGGTTCGGTCATTCATGCATCTGAGAATGTTGGCTCGTGATAAGTGCGTTTGTGTGTGTTGTATCCTTGGACGGTAGAAGAACAAGATAAAAGAATTCGTCGCTTCCCGTCAATAGCATAGTCCCTTTCTCATCAACATATCTTCCCTATCATGACAAATGACGTGTAGTGGAACAATTAGAAACCCCGAGCCTGGTCCAAGAAAAGAATTCCACTCTAAAACAATCCAGCGATACGGGAGCGCTTAACAACCAGACAACTCACTTGTTGCTCTTTCCCTCCGCGCTAGATCCAGGTACTATCTTCTCTGGCACAGTTGTGTCCTTGGCCGGCGTCTCGGACTTTTCGGTGTTGACGGACGAGGGAGATTCAGTGGCTTCTTGAGTGTTGCTAGATTTGGAGCTTGGGCCGGGGGTCTCTTCGCGTGCAGTCCGGGAATTGTCTTTGGCGTCAGTCTTCTCTGGCTCCGAGTCTTTGTCTTCATCATCTTGATCGAACATTTCACTGTCGGGCGCTTCGGTCGATATTTCAGTGCCATCTCCAAGTAGAATGATGCGGCCTCCCATGCCGTTGTTGGGGCGGAAGCGTTGGTCGAGATCCATATCGATGTCATCAGCTGAATCATCATTGTTGTGGTGGACTCCGGGACCCCGGAATTCGGCTATAGGATGTATTAGAACAAGCTGCACTATTCGCCCGACTCAGCGGGTGAGGGAGAATTCTCAGACTTGCCATACTCTGGCGGAGCGCAAGGACCCTCCCCATTTGCGACCCTCTTAGCGATATCCTCGTACCACTGCTCCTTCGTGCGGCCCTGAAGCAATCCGACAATAACCATGGTCATATTGTCACAGCCAACACCACCTGTGTCGCTGTTTGACGCCAAACAGTTGTCCATCATGTTCTCGCAAATAGCCGCAAGATCCTGCTTTGCCACGATACCGCGTCTTACGAACTCGATGACTGCTTGGGATGATTGGCAATCCCAGATTCCTGAAGTTTTTGTTAGTGTATAGTTCGTAGATGGTGTGAAGGACTGTTCGCACCATCACAAGCAAGGACGACGAATTCATCATCCTCAGTGATATCATGTATCTCGACATCCGGGTATGCCGTGACGATTTGCTGCTCAGGGGGGAGCTCGGCGCTCTTTTTGAACTCGAAATCGCCTATTGCGCGGGATAGCGCAAGGTTGCCGTTAACGCGGCCGAAATCCACGAAACCTCCGGCGGCTTGGATACGCGCCTTCTCAGCTGGAAAATAATTAGTGCCAGACAGACGTTGAGTAGACTCTTGTTTTGCCAACCTTCATTCTGGGGCTTGTGGTCGTAGGACAGTGGCTTAGCCCGTCCCTTGATGCCCAGGACAGTTCGGGAATCTCCAGCGTTTGCCTGTAACGATGAGTAGTTGCCGGGTAGCGCATAATGACTGAACATACCACCCAGATTTTGTCCTTGGAAATAACACCAACTGACGCAGTGCAGCCCGAGACTTCCTCTTCGTATTTAGGGTCTGTCATATGTGAGTCAGCCATGGTGCGATCACCAGATGATCTTTCCCCAAAACCTACCGCTCAGGATTGCTCTATCGGTGGCGAGAAACCCATCCTGCAGAGCCTTTTTTATGTCTCTCTCCTTGAATGCCTCCTGCTTTGCCACGATTTCGTGCAAATGGTCTCCAGTGTATATAGCAACTTTATCACCTCCGTGACCATCGTAAACACCAAAGAAACTTAATCGCTTGTCTTCGGGAATCGACTTCTCATCCTCGCCGTTAGCGTGGTATTTCAGGACAGCTGCGTGGGCGTCCTCCATGCTGATTCGCCAGCCCTGCATCGAGGACACGCCAAAGATGAGGGAGTCGCTGGCGCCATTCTCTGATTTCTGTAAAATTGCAACAGTCAGTATAAGCATAGACTCAAGGCGAAGTGAAAAACATGCAAAATCCAGGCTGCAGACGGCGGTTGCCAAGGTGAGAGAATGTCGATGCCGACGCGGTCGTGCGGGGGCGGGGGAGCGAGTGTAATGTTTGTAAGAGAGAGAGGGAATTGCGCGCAATATACCTTTTCGACCACCGGCTCCGAAAGAGTCTGACCCATGATGTCCTGGGGCTAAGAGGACCCTGAGGCGATAAGTTTGTGAGAGGGGTAAGGTTTTGGAGCGCGGAATGCTTCGTGGGTATGTATCTGCGATGGTGCAATGTAGTGTGGGGTTGTTCGGAAAACGAGATGGACGAGGACGGAGGGGGAGAACACTGGCGGAGAATGATCGCGAGGGTATCAAAAAAATTAGGGAAGAGGAAGGAGAGAGAGGAGGGAGAAGTTTTGGAGCCGCACGACAGGCGACAAAGATTGAAGGTTTAGGGTAGAGATTGAGAGAGAGAGAGAGATTGGGAAGTGTCGTGTGGTCGTGGAGTGGAAGGTCGAGAGCCATGACGGTTGGCCGTTCATCTTGCGCTAATCCCCTTATGGCTCTAGCGTCACGCTTGCTATAAAATTGCCAATTCACGAGACGTGATGGTGAAGATTGTTTGTTACACTACGGAGGTACTACAAGCAACAAAGTACGATACAATGTTTCGCTTCTTCCATTTTCAAGTACATTTTTTATTGTTATTATTACTGTACCATTAATCGTATTATATCACTATTTCGAACTCTAGCATCATCACAGATCAATGTCACGCTTCACGACAAAACTAGGTATTCACCATCTATCATTGACCCTCGCCAAAAGTAGGAGGGAGGTTATGGCAGAACCCTTTAATAATGATAGATATACGAGGTATACTCACGCATTATTCTCGTCCGTTCCCGTGTCCGTATCTCAAATTTTCAGGTGCCGGTTTGCCCTACACTACGTGGTGCAGTTTAGTGGCTGTGATGTCCTAGTCGAGTCGAAAGAACTGCCTGGGCCCCTAATGATTCGCTTCATCAGGACATGATCAGCTTGATACAACTAACCAATGACACCTCGGTATTACACGAGAATAACACTTGGGGATGTCGGTAGCCGCCAAACGCATCAGGGTCGCGAGACGATGCCCGGGAGACTCTGACTCTGCTATGGCATCACTATGAGAGAGTCGCGGTATAGATCATCAACTTCTAAATAGGAGTTCCACTCCATCTCGCTGTTTTCCATTAAGGAATGACTATGTACATACATACGTCCGGAAGGTACTCTATAAGGACTCTGGAGTACCGTGTAACTAATCCACCCCATGATAGCAGCCGCACGTGACTGACGAACTGGGTCTTTCGTTCCCACAACCCTACGCCCCACCCGTTCGCTGCCTCTACAGTCGTGTCTACAATACAAAGTACCTGATGGGTGAAATCTTAGGTGCCCGCGCATGCGAAAAGTCGTATTCAGAGGTCGTTGTTGCGCCATCAAGTCAGCAACACAAACCATCATCGAGTATTCTCATATTCCTCGCTTTCGAACTTTCGTACAAAGAGCAATGGATTCAACCAGCGGCACAATCCATACTTACAACTTATTCCATATCACAGACTTGTCAACTTTTGTCCTTAACTGTTTGCCTCTTTGTCTTGACGAGCCACGACCCGCATTCACGTGCACATTCAATATCATTTGCATTGCTTGTCTTGTTCATACTTGTGATTTAGCCAGGCGCCACATTGAAACGCCACGGCTGCGATCTAACAAAGGTTCTATGAATAGATCAAACGATCAAGAACCCACCCAACGCGATGCCTTGCTTATCTCTTCCCATTAATTGATACATCAGGTTCAAGTAGTTTTGACATCGTGCGATCATGTTATTATGAGAAGTAATAATAATAATTTCTTGTACGCGGTATTCGGTGTCGAGAGACCAAATTGCAAGCGAAGCACGATTTACCACAAATGGTGTACGGAGCATATGGTCCATATAGATACCAACTATAGGGTATACATATGGGTTAAGAATAAGAAACATACTGAACAAACCGGTTTACTGCCCGCAAACGGGACACTGACTTTACAAAATATTCATAACGAAAGATCCTGGTCGCAGGCATTGCCAGCACTGTTTTAGACGTGAGAGGCATGCACGATACATCTTGCTCTCACATGGACTTGACTTAAGGGTAACTGGATGAGTATTTAAGACAATGGTCTAGTTGCCTAGAAACCTTACAACGTCGTTCTTCGCAGCATCCTTTTATTATCACCAATTAATCAACCTCGCTGCACTAGTGCAAACGGGATTAAATTAACGATGTGCTCAGGGCCTCAGATCAAGTAGATCTTATCCGATACTTATATAATTCAGGGCTGAAATTGTGGGCTCTTAATGGTGTTTCGGAATCAAATTGTAGAAAAGCATGCCCAGCCAGCAAAACGACTGGCTACACACAGGAGCTATTGACAAATTAAACATCACTAGATGGTCCATAGGGTACTTAGTAGTATGAGCATAGGCGGACAATTTCACGGAGATCGACGCGAAACGAGCGCTACGGGCATGCTCTACCAATGCCACGGACCACAGCACGCTCAAACCCTAATGCCGAGATGTCTTCAGTGAATATATAATCAATCGGATCCAAAATAACCATGTTTGTGGTTTGTCATTTTTGTTCTTTGAACCTGGATTTCAAATTTCGTTTCAGATTTGTATCCACGTGTTGATTGACATATTGAACATCTCCTGGAAAAGGCAAACACACTTCTTCCAGTCATTGAGAGATCAAGTTAAGGGAGCGATGAATACAACCAGTGCGCCATTACAATGCTATTGTACATGTCGAAGGAAAAGTAAAAGTATTGAATCGTGGAGAGCGAGAAAGTCACGATCGGACCCGGTTAGATCAGCCAAAGGCACTTGGTAAGATTTCGGACACAAATTGCATCCTTTCGCCCCATCGCAATTCACATACGTAAAGAATCGGCTGTAAATGATCGCGAAAGATTTGCACCCGTTCACATTGGCAAACCCCAACTCCAGGCACATTACTTAAGCACTGAAATTTAAGGAGGATTTGCGCACAAGCCTGCCGCATAATTGCTATGGTAAGTATGGCGGAAATTGCAGAGACAGCTATTGATAAGTCTGGAAGAGCATGGAAAAGGAAGACTCCCACTTATATAGCTTCCGTTATGGATATAAGATATAAGAAATAGTCACCACTGATCTTCTCGATCCATCACTCGCATTCAAGCATACTCTTCCTTGTATCAAGTTTGCCTCCAAGACCCCCATCCACCACAATGATTCGCAATACTCTCTTCAGTCTGCTTGCTATTGCGAGCACCAGCACCGCTGCTGCAATCAAGAAATGTGACAACTCAACCGGATCTCTTCGCGTGGAGAACTTCCTTAACCCGGCTCAATCACTGGATGTTGTCTCATCTCTGATCATCGGCTCTGAGGCGGCAGTCATCATCGACCTCCCACTTGCTGTTCCACAGGCAGATGCCCTCGCCCAATGGGTCAAAAACACCACGGACAAACCCCTTGTGGCCGCCTTCTCGACTCACAGCCATCCAGATCATTACCTCAGCGGAGCTGCCTTCTTGGCCAAGTTTCCAGAAACAAAGTACTACGCCAACTCGAAATCTGTCGAATTGATCAAGGGTGAAGCCAATTCGAAGGTATGTCAATCCCACCAGAGGTTCTCATTAAAACAACGACTGCAATGCTAACTCTGATCTCCAAATAGATACAACAATGGAAAGGAATCCTAGGCGAAGATAGCATTGTAGACAACGTCACTCTTCCTACACCATACGACTTCACATTCTTCGCCCTCCCCGGAGACGAAGCAACACCCATATACCTAGTTAGCCCTGTTGTTGGTGACACCATCGACGAGACCGCTTTCTGGATCCCGTCAATCTCGACCGTCATCGTCGGAGACTTGGTCTACTCTCGCACCATGCACTTGTGGGTATCTGACTCGTTGACAACCGCCCTCAGCGAAGCCTGGCTATCCACCCTCGACTTCATCGAGTCTCTCGGCGCAAAGCGAATCATTCCCGGACACTCCCTGACTCTCGAAGACTTCGACGCCACCACAGACCTGCAGCACACTCGAGACTACGTGACATTCTTCAAGGACGAGGTCCAAGCCAAGGGCGAAGACGCCTTTACTCCCAAGGAGATCTTCAGCCTCATTGACAACAAGTTCCCCGGCCTTCTTTCAAACGAGTCTACTACCTCGGCTACTCTTCTCAATATCACTAGCGAACAGTTTGGCAAGGACGGAACACGCCAAGCTCATTTCACCGACTTCACGGCCTTCAACAATCTCACTGAGCTCAATGGATGGCAGTTGACCAATGCGTAAATATGATGACGGAAGAGACTCTACATATAGAATAGGGCGGCTACTTTTCTTGTTACATTCTTATGTATTTCTTCTCCATAGAGCATTCTGGGCGGAGTTAATTTTGTATAGCATCGCAAAAGCATTTACAATGAAATCCTTGGTCAAATCCCAATTGAAACCCCATGTCATCCCATGATCCATTCCGTAGTATACTAGTGATTGCAAATGTGTTTTCAACCCTACCTGGGCGTTTCTAATATCTTGGCCATAGAGATTCTGCACCAGTGGGGGGAAGGTGTTGACACTACAGCATCGCCGCTTACAATTGAGTTCCTTCAGCTGAGACGATGCTTTTGACAAGGGTAGGATAGTTTATCGGTTCTTACATCCAATCGAAGAAATACAAGACATAAGCCACGACTCGCACGCTTACACGCATGCAATGCCAAGTCACTTGTTTCCATGTCTTCGCGACTGTTGATCGTTAGTTACAACTACATTTTGGACTTCGTAAGAATTTATTCAAACCGCAGATTAGCGAGTCTGTAAAGCAATTTGTCAAATTCTGTACAGAGATCAACTACTCTTATTTAAAATCAAGTTCAGGTCGTTCCCTCTTGTTCGCTCCTCTTTTGACTGACAAAGTAGGCCACCCACGGCGTAAACATTTAGTTCATTTATAATCTGACAGCTGACAGTTCAAAGGCACGAAACATCCAAATACCATCCATACTCCCACTTAACACGATCCTCAAATCTCCAAACGCAGCCCGCCTTTTACTCAACCTAATAATGTCACAGCCAACAGGAAGAGTCCTCCTTACAGGCGCCAACGGCTTCATTGCCGCCCACATTCTCTCCCAGCTCATCGAGCATAAATACTACGTTATTGCTACCGTTCGCTCCGAATCGAAAGCCCAGGAACTGATTGCACTCCATCCGCAATGGAAGCCACATGTCACATTCACTTACGTTCCGGATCTTACTAAAGAGGGGGCCTACCAAGCTGCATTCGAAGTAGGCGATGTCGACTATGTTATCCATGCCGCCAGTCCGACAGATTTCTCCGTTACGGATCTGCAAGAGCAGATGATTAAACCGGCGGTTGAAGGGTGAGCAAGCAATTAGTCCAATGTCGTGTGAAGAATAACAAATACCGAGACTGACCACCACGAAGGACCGTCGAACTCCTGTCTTCTGCTCATAAATATGGTAACTCATCGCTGAAACGAGTAGTCATACTCGGCAGCGCAGCAGCAGTTCTCGATAGCTTTGAATACACCGTTAAACCACGAAAGCCATACACCGAGACTGATTGGAATCCTGTAACCCTCTCCCTCCCCCTCTCTGCTGCTCTTTTCAGCCATTCACCAATTTCCATACTCACATACACTCCTAGATCACAGTAGAGCACGCCGTCAAGCAAGGCAACGTCGTCCTCGCCTACTGTGCCTCTAAGACCCTCGCCGAGCGAGCCGCATGGAAGTACATGACCGACCACACACCTCACTTCGATCTCACAGTTCTCGACCCCGTCACCACCATCGGCCCAATGCTCCAACCTGTCTCCGGCCCCTCCAACATCAACGGGTCGAACCTCTTCGACGTCTATTCCTTCGTTGCCGGACAGCACCAGTCGGTGGAAGCCGCCAGATTTCCGTTCTACCATTTCGTACGCTCACCCCATTCCACCGAATCGTTCAAATTGAACGCCTCCATACAGCGAAAGTGGGAACTAACGAACCTCAGATCGACGTCCGCGACGTAGCGCGCGGCCACATCCTCGCACTGACCGCGCCTGCCGCGTCAAACAAGCGCATCATTCTTTCCTCCGGCCTCATCACGCCGCAGCTCGTGGCGAACGCCATCCGGAAGAACTTCCCGGATCTGAGGGAGAAGGTGCCGGAGGGAACCCCGGAAGCGATAGTGCCGGTGGATACGCACCCTGGCGATTGGGATACGGGGAGGAGTCGTGAGGTTTTCGGTGCTGGGTGGGAGTGCATTGGTCTGGAGGAGTGTGTGAGGGATGCTGTGGGGAGCTTTTTGGAGTATCAAGAGAGGTGGTAAGGGGTGGCTGGATATATGTATATGCGGAAGAAGGGGTTTGGGGGGAATATTGAATTTGGGATGTGTATGAATTAGGATCCCATCTACAATCTTTGTTTGTGAACGCTCACTGTTAATCTTGTCTTCGCAGTACTTCTAGAATCATTAGGAAAGCTGTTAGCACTGCGATTGTTCCATTAGTCTCTGTGCGCACCATCATGGGATTTATGGTGGAAGAACAACGGATCATGAAGGTTCACACATCACGCGCATCACAGTGTGGCAAGCTCAAGAAGTATCTTCAGTCACGAGCCTCCAATGAAAGGCTCCAAATCTCGATTTCTCGCGCACCGTCATCATCTCCTTTGCACGTACTCTGCTGCTTCATAATTATGCCCTGCAAACAAAGGACATTGATGGACTATGCCTTTCCCTCCACGTGACCACTGGGGCGAATGCGTATCTCAATCCCAGTAGCAAACATACCAAACCCCTGCCCATTTGTTTGCCTTTCCTTCCTTTGCCCTCGTCGATATCGAGTTCCACCGTATACTGCAAAGCCCGGGACACGACTCCTACCAATCAACGAAATTCGAACCATGGTGATGACCATAAACGCCTAAAGAACACCGTGCAAGACGCCATGCAATAACGCTCCAATTGAACTCCATGAGGGAGATAACAAAACAAGTAAAGACAATGTAGGAAATGTGCAATAAGCATGATCCAGGTGAAAAACACACACATAGAAAGACGAAAATGAAAAGGGGAGAATAATACATCGAGGGGTAAACAGTAGAATGGGACTTTCTCCAGAGGTATGGTGGAGTGATGGAAAAGTTATGGAGATATGGCCTAGCGCCCGATGAGGCCCGAGAACCAGTTTGCAATGTGTCTGCTGCTCACACTGGGTGTCATGCTGAGCGCACTTGCTGGTCGATCTGGAGTTAGGGATTCTGTACGGCCCACAGTAGGAACTGTTTTCCCCCGGGGACGCCCCGATGGCGAGATTCTCGTATCAACTTTATCCCGGTTTTTAATTCCAAGAAGAACCGATCTCGGGGTGGTTCGCTCGGATGAGGTCGATTTGGGGGACCGTCTGGTTAACGAAGAAGTAGGCTGTGGGACTGCGGCTCTATCGTAGTCTCCAATTCGAGACAATTCAGATCCTATTCTGGAGCGGGTTGTAGATGGAGTCTCGATGAGGCGGATGGTCGAAGTGGATCCAAAGTCTGTGCCTATGGTCGGTAGGCTGGATGTGGGAGGTGACAGAGATAATGTAGGCAAACCGACTTTGACCCACGGTCGAACTGTGTAGGCTCGTGTTGGCGACAATAAGATAGCATCATCTATGCGAGATCAGCATCAAGACAGGGGACGTAAGAGCTAGGATTAGGCAGGGCGATCACCTTCAGGTGACTGCACTGATTCATCCTTGGACTCTTCCTGATTTGGTGCTTCATCCCCCTCCTGGCCGTCTTCTTGGTTTTCCTCGTTGGCAGCTTCGGCAGCAGCGGCGGCTTCGGCAGCCTCACGTTCGGCTCTAGCTCTTTCTCTCGCTACCATTCGCTCGTGATTCTCCTTACGAGACCGTTCGTCCCTCGACTTACGAAGACGCTCAACCTCTTCAACGCCACCACTCTTTCTCAATTTCCCTTCCTCTACGAAAGCACCAAGCTCTCTTTTGAACTCTCCATCACGCCTACTTTCGAGTTCTTTCTGGCGAGCTTTCTCGGCTCGTTCGATGGCTTCCAAGCGCCCTTCGTGGTTTGGCTGAAGAGCCTTGACTTCTCCTAGAACGCCGTCACGAGCTTGGCGAGGGTCGATGGCTTTATCAAAAGCTGCGGCATTGACTAGATTTCGTCCACTGGCTGAGCGTTGGCCTTTGGCCTGGCCTTGATCGCTTTCGAGATTTTGTTGCTTAGTAGCCTGTTCTACCAATTCAAGAGTCTGGGCAGCCTTCTCAAGATCATCCTGGAGATCGGCGGCAAGGTCTTCTTGCATAGTAAGTAAGTCTCGCTCTTCGCAGACAGTTTGGAGTTCCTGCTCCCAAATCTTTGTCCAAAGCGGCTTCTCCTTTGCCAGGTAATCTTGCAATTTCTTGAGCTCTGCAGTCGCAGTGGACAGGTCTTTGGCCGTGCCTTCGAGTTGACGGGGTAAAGGTCGCACACCACGCATGACCACATCTTTGCGAAGATCTTCAACAAGATCTTGCAGATCATCGACGCGGTTGACGATCTTCTCCGAGTCCTCCTGGAGTGTCTTCTTGCCAGCATTGACGTAGGCACGCCCGCTATCGCCATCAAGAGTAGGTAAAGCAGCTTTGACGGCCGTTGACTTGACGGCAGAAGCCTTCGTGCGAATGGCAGACATGCTCGCTTCAATATCCGCAGCAAACGAAGTATAAGTCTGTCGGACAACGGCCAAATCTCGACGAAGGGACTGGACTTCATTGAGTTGGGTGGCGGAAGATATGGACGACTCTGATGTGGGTCCATTTGATGGCATAGGTGAGCGTGGGGGGAATATAGTCGAAACCCGGGCCGAAGAAATCGTAGGTGCTGCAGCGATGCCAGCAATCTCTTTGGCTGCCTGCTGTTGACGGTCGGCCACACGTTGGATAGCGGACTGCTGGTCTTCAACAACAGTCTTGATGCTCTCTACAAGGCGACTCAACCCACCGAACTTGTCATCGATGTGGTTCTTGACCTCGTCGAGCTGCTCGACATTGAGAACGAGGACTGAGCGGTCTTTGATGTCGCCCATGTCTTCCAGCTCATAACGCACACCAGAGACGGAATCTTGGATATGGATCTCGGGTAGTTCGCCATTGCGATGAGTGTCCCATGCAAACTTCTCGATGAAAGCCAATTGCAAGCGGCCAGGAGAAAGATCCGACCCATCAGCAAATACGTATTTCTTGACTTTGCTCTTGTACTGCAAGAACAGGGTGAGCTCTTTACCCGGTTGGGGTGACTGCTCGGGAATGAACTGTTCTGGTTGAGGTGATGGAGTTTTGACACGCCGAGAGTTCTGTCTAGCTACCTGACTAGTAGCTTTCGGTTCACTTTTGGCGGGAGACTCTGCTGGGAAATCCGCTGGCTCAGCCAATGGTCCATTCAGAGTTGCTCCCACGACAGGCGTCTCGCCTTCGGCGCCAGGAAAATTGGGTGATCCAAGTTTATCGTCGGGTGTCTTTTGCAGTGGGCTGTCCTCAGGTACCGGCTCTGGAGGAGGCTTAATGCTGGGCACGGAACTCTGAGTGCTCTCTTCTGAAATACGTCTGGGTACGCTGGAGCCCTTTTCCACATTCGTATCGACGATCGGTCGCTGATTGGATCGCTGGCGGCTATGAAGGAGAGATCCACGAATGCGAACGGCGTTCATCGATTCGCGAACGTCTCTGCCTCGGTTCGGAATGGGGGAGTTCTGCACGGCTGGAAGAGGTATGCCGTTCGTACCAAGGTGTTTCTGTATTTGGTATGCAGAGAAACGCCTCGATGCCCTCCTTTCCAACTCACCACCCCGCTGCAGCGCAGCCAGTGCATCTTCTTGCTTCGGGGGAGGAGGAGGTGGTGGGAAGTCTGCGGCATAATTGATGGTTGGTGGCGGGGCAGGAGATTTGGGCATAGGATCGTCAGCTGGATAGGGCGCGATGACTGGGATTTGTTGCATTGTGTTGCTGGACATGGAGGAGTCGGTAGAGTGCTGGCTGGTCCCTGTAGCCCTATTCGAGCGTGGATTCGCTGGTAGGGATTCGTACTTGGTTGGCGAGGCGCGTCCAGGGACCGAAGAAGAGCGCGGCGGGAGAGAGGGACCGTCAGCGCCAGGAAGGTCGCCATCTGGTCTGGCGGGTAGACGCGTGCTAGCTGCTCGAGGAGGTTCACTTGCTTCGCCGGTACTGTCGATACTGCCTTGTCGTTGACCTGAGCCATTGAGAGTGCCATCCCTCCCCGTACGCTGGCGAAGCCGTTGTTGTTTCTTCTTGAGACCGTGCAATAGGTTTATGATGATGTCGCGGATACGCGGCAGGAAGTTATCTAGGCTTTGTTGTGAGGCTTCCTGGCTGAGGGTTTCCTCCAATATTCCACGCAGTAGTTCAGGCACATTTCCAAGGTCTTGTGTATCCACGCCTATAGCGTTGAAGGCTCTTGAGGCGATGTTGAATTCGTAGCCAAGACGAACGTAAACGTCGGATACTTCGCTCTCGGTGGCGGTTCCGCGAGACCATAGTGTGAGGGTTTCGAGCAGCTGTTTTGTCGCGACGAGCAGATGTGTGACGCTCTTCTCGATCTGCGACAGCTGTTGTTGTGGCTGAACGGGGCTCATGGTGAGTCTGGTGGGCGAACAGAGTGATGGAAAGGGAGGGCAGGAGTGGCAGCAGGAATGTATTGGTATAGAAGAGGAGCAGTACTTACGTTTTGCGCTCTTCTGGAATGTGAAGAGCGCTGGGAGGACCGAGAACCGGTCTCCTCGTTGTATGTGGTCATGCTGGATGCGCCCGCGTGAATCTGGTTCTCTTGTGGGGAGAGGGGGGTTCCGTTCCGTGGGCGTTTGGTCGTGTGTGATGGTTTGACAGTGATAGTGACAGTGTACGGGTATGATGTTCACAGTGCAGTTGAGTCTCTCAGGCGTGTGACATTCGGAACGAACGTGCAGGGATCGGCTAAACTGGAAAGGGGTTAGCATGTAACCGAAGTTGGCCTTATCTGGGGGTGAGGGTGGGTGAACTCGGCCATCCACAGTAGTTGAGCGAGCACTCTTCCTTCACACTCTTCGCCTGAAATCGATTATTTCTATTATATTTTTTATTTGCAGGTTTTCAGTATGATTATTCATTGCTGCATTCGTCATCAGAAGTCTTTCGAGTCTGAAAGCGTTGTCCGAATTCCCATCACCTCAATATGTAATTGCAACCCTTGGGATTTCCATAGCTTCACCATATACTGCTTGGGGAAATGAGACAGGTTCGATGCGTATGTCTCTGCTTCCAAGCAATCCGCATAGATATATTGAGCTTGGCCCTCATGTCAATGTTGCTTTTCGATACGCTAACTTTTGTACATCGTTGAGACTAACATGATGAAGTGAGACCATAGAGAGCAATGTGATAAGGGACAGAGAATGAGCCAAATCCAACTACATGACTGTCAAGTTTGTTCTTGGCGAATATTCTCCAAATGGGCTGCTCGATCGAACCGTGTGTTTGGCGCAATCATTCATGTGCAGTAGCGGGTTGCAGAGTGGGTCATCGCATTCAATTTTCAGTCACTTCTTTAGTGATGGGGGATACCTAGGTACTTCCTTCATCTTTGACGGTCTCGACAGATACTCCAGCACCAAACGAATTATATTACAGTACACGCACTGGATTCTGTGGGTTTGGCCATGGACTGTCGATAGAAATTCAGCTGCTCTACTCTGCGTCGTTTCCTTTCTAGTCGTGTCGAATTGAATGGCGCACATAGGCGCATCAAGCAGGCGAATACGACGAGCGTACGATTCATCCACCGAGAACTACATCGTGAATGGAGGGGTTATTGGCGACCTGGTATAGTAGACTCAAATGGACGTGCGAATGAATGCGTGTGAAGCTGGTACTCTGTGCTTTGTAGAGGTCGGGTAGTCTATGCCCAGGGGCGCTGATTGTAAGAACATGTTCAATAATGTCAAGTGTCTACCTAACCTATGGTTGAGTGACGAATACACTTAATCGCCATAGACAGTAGTTACTCAGGAGATGAGGGGTGGGAGTTGGGATAGGACAGGTACATACTTGTCCATACGCGCAAGGTACCAGGTACAAGTGGGGTGGGGCACGTGCTTCACTATTCTTGTAAGAAACAGGTAGGGACGCCCCTGTCCAATAAGGAAACGTACATCCCGTCGGTATATAACTAACTTAAGTACCTGTCGAGTTACTTGTTATTGTACAAGTATAATTATTAGTAGTAATACTTACTTGTATACCTAGTGGTTGTGATCGAAGTACACAGATTGTAGATCTTGTAGCTATTACGTTCAATTGGGTACCTAAGGTGCTAGGTACTTAGGGAGAAAGTACCTACCTAGTCATACAACATCAAATATTCCTTGCTCCTCGTGCTCCTTACCCTCGTTGCCCGGGTCATAGATGATTCTATGATGCTCTATCACTACTGTAGTACAGTCAGTGTACTGTACGTAGGGACTTATGTATAGGTAGCCAGTTATTGGAAATCAATAATGGGGGGGGGATGTTTTAAAGTTCAGCTTCAAACTGTGGGACTGACTCCTCAAAACAGCTTACAGGACCACCATAAGAGGCAACAGGCACTGTATTCTCTGCTGTTTGACCCCTTCCACCTCCATCTTCCAGGCTCTTCCCTTCCTTCCCCACTGATCATTGACCATTTAGGCTTTAGGATTTGTTTTATTCTCCGGTCTCGCTCTGCTCACGTCACGGTATTTAGTTGTAGTTACTACCTGTAACATCGAACCCCTGTTTCGCTCGGCAAAGGCGATATTCTTATTCAGACATTTGATTTGGTCCGCAGCAGTAGCAGCAGCAGCAGCACTCTCAGGAGGATAGCAAGTGATGGGGGAGTGAGAGACAGGCGGCTCAGCCAACCGCACCAGCCTTGTGTTTCATAGTCGCAGATCCGCTCCGCCAAGAAGCTCGCTCCCTCCTCAACTACCACATACCACCACTTAACTTAACTTAACTTACTTACTACCTCTCTTACTCTCTACTTCCTCAAATCATTCCACCTCCACCACCAACAACTGCACGAGAGCCGCCTCACCAGCATCTCTCCCCCCTTCCTCTCGACGCTGTTACGGGGTCGCCTCTCCTTTGTGCATTGCTTTCCCTTTTCCCTTACCCTCCGAAAGCGACGGGAGGCTCTCCTCCTTGCCCGCTGCTGAACCCACCCTCAACATTACTTTCCGACTCTCCTCCCTCTCCTCCTACTCCCCATGTCCACGACAGCTGCGCCGACGTCCAATGTCAACGGACAGGCAAACCCAAATTCGTCACGGCCTCAACTGAAGATGAGCTCCAACAAGAACGCTAACGACGCTCGCAAGCAGACTGGCAGTCCCGTGGACGGTGCTCAAAGGTAAGCCATAGCCCTCTCGCCCAATTACTACCACACTCCTTGCACTTACTCTTCATATTCATCGCACATTGGATTCCTGTCACTTTGGGAGCTCTACCACCTCCCTTTGGTCCGCTTCAGCACGCCTACTCTACTCATACCCTCCCCTGCAATATTCCACACACACGCCCGAAATGCTTTTGCCCGTCCATCTTTTTGTCCGCTCTCAGTAACTAATTCTCAACGTCTAGGAAACCTCCAAAAGCCTGGTCGCAGGGTACCAACCCCATCACTCAACGTCCCTCGAACCCAAGTACCACAAATGGCACTGCCAATTCCGTCAAGCCTTCACAGCATCAACCGGCTCCCACATCTGATTCCGGGTCCCCCATGCGACACCTGAATGACCGGATGATGTTTCTGTTGGCAAGCCTTACTGTGAGTCCATCATGTTTCGCCGCGAACGCCGAGGAAGAGTCTAACAAGGAAGTAGGGTTTACCAGGACACATCACACTCAAAAATGGCGAGAAGTACACGGGAGTTCTTTCAGGAACATCATTGGATCCGACCGAGATGAGGTATGTTTTCAAGATGGTAAAACGGGTACAAGGAAGCGACGCCCAGGTCAACGGTACCAGCGAACCGTCGGACGATTACGTGGGCCAGGGCGAGAACCACGTCATGTCATTTGACATTGGCGATGTTGCGGATTTCAACGTGTCCAATGTGATCCTGAACAAATCGCAGTCACGAACACAAAACGGTATGTCGTACGGTCCCTATGACTAGGCGCGGAGAGACTGACGGGAAACAGGTGCCTCGACAGGGTTTCGCACAGATACGGACATTTCTGGTCACATGTCAATGAAGGAGCGCACATTGCAAAAATGGGAGCCCTCGACGGATAGCAATGCCGACTTCTCTCTTGAGTCGTCTGGATCGACCGGATGGGACCAGTTCGCAACCAACGAGAAGCTCTTCGGTGTTACTAGCAACTATGACGAAAACATCTACACCACGACGATTAATTACAACGATCCCGCATATGCACAGAAGCATGCACGCGCATCCAAACTTGCCAGCGAGATCGAAGGAAGCAGCTCCACGAATGCCCACGTGCGCGAAGAGAGGGGATTGACTTCTGCTGATGACAAGGGCTTGGATGAAGAGGAAAAGTAAGCGAGCAACCTGCTACCAGAGAGAGTGACACTAACACCTCGCCAGATATAGTGGAGTGCATCGCAATTTCCCACCGCTGCCCACCGGCCAGCCAAATAAATATACACCTCCTGCGAGACGCCCTCCCACCGGGCAACCGACGGTGCCGGGAGCTCCCGTAGATCCCGCAATCATATCGTCCCAATTAGCGCGACCAGACTCGGCCGCCGCTAAATCAGCACAACGTACCGCCACGCCTCCTACAGAGAAGCGCCCACAGCCTGAATCTTCAAAAGCAGACACTGTTACGAATGTCGAGGCTTCGACTGCATCTCCGGCTCCGATTCCTATTCCTGCCGACAAGGTGGAACCCGCACAAGGTGCCGAGTTGAACCCTAAGCCTACGCCAACACCTAAGGCCACAACGGCAGACCAAGCACATAGGATCAATACTACGTTACCCTCAGTGACCGTTGCCCGTCGACCAGGACGACCGGAGAACGCTACCGCGACTGTGGAGCACGATCTACTTGACTCTTTCAAGCAATTCGCTACGCAAGAAAAGCTGCGCGTCTCTGAACGACAAAGGACCATTGCGAGGGAAAACAAGGCAGTAAAGCTGAATGACTTGAAGAAGTTCTCACTCAACTTTAAGCTAAATACTCCTGTCCCCACCGATCTTGTTCCTATCCTTGCTAAAGATGAGGGCAAGCAGAAATTGATTGTCGACAAAGCCCTGCGCGCCGTTCAAGAGTCGAAAACCACTCCAAGCAAACCGACTCCGGGACCTGCGGAAGTAAAGCCACCTACTTCACGTACTGCATCCTCATCCAAGCCTGAATCGACCCATGCTTCTCCCAGCGCACCAGTTGACCGCCAGCAAGGTCAACGACCGCGCCCTTCACCCAACGCACCTAATACCTATGGGTCTTCTTCCTTACGAGGTCCTGCCCAGAACAGCAATCAGAATCCTCCCCGGAATACGGGCATGCTTGGCCAACGTCTCGTCAACAATCAGGCTCAGCACAAGCAAGGCGGTCTACCATACCCTCCCATTCCGCACCCTATTCCTTCTGCGGACGGCCGCCCTCAACCACCGTCAGGTCCTGGGACTTCAAGTGGTGGCCACACCCCCACCCTGAACGTTGGCGCAAGAGAGTTCAAGCCGAACCCTGCAGCTATGAACTTCCAGCCTTCTGGACCAAGCAACCAATCAAGCCCTCGGCCCGAATCGGCTCCCAAACAGGACCAAGCACCTCGTAAACAAAAAGTTGTTCCATTTTGGAGTGAAAGCGATCCGAAACCGGTCATTGATGACTTAGATCTCGGTACTTCTTTCAACCCACTAAAGCGCCTCATGAGCCGATCCAAGGAAGAGAAGGAGAACCTCGACTTCAGCAAGAACGGCGGCGTGCCATTTCCCTTCAGGACTCTTCCAACGTGGACGACCAAGAACGAAAAGACCTACGAGCAGATGTTTGAGCCCCCAGCCATCCCACCCCCCATTTCTGCACCTAATGCTATGATGGGCCATGTATCCATGCATCATCAACAGTTACCTCTGCAACTTCAAGGTCCTCCCAACGGACCTCAGCACCAAGGCCCGCACCACACTTCAAGGCATCCTGGCGTTCAGCAGCATCACGGTCAAGGCCATCATCCATTCGACGGCCAACAGGGCCACCCTATGCAATTTTCGCACTCTGCTTCCTCGATGCATCCTTCTCCACGTGCAGGCCCTCCTTATATGTATGGTGCGCAACCACAGGGAATGCCGGGCTTCAGCCAAGGTCCCATGCATAACTACAACATGAGCCCTAACATCCAGCATGTGGCTCTCCAGCAACAGAGAGGCCCACAATTTGTGCAGGGACCAATGCCAGTCATGGGAGGTCATATGATGACCAACCAACCCTCGAATGGTCCGTTCATGGGAATGCAACCGAACCCTCAGATGCAGATGTACTCTCCCAACCCAGGTCACGCCTATCCCCACTACCCTAACCAAATGCCCGGACCGCCTGTCACCAACGGTTATCCCAGCCCTCGCCCAGGTGGTGCCCCATTGATGCATCATCAAGGTTCGCAACAGGGCCATCAACAGCAACAGAATGTCGTATATGTGCCTCAGGGGGGACAACCGCCCATGTTCGCCCAGATGCCACCTGGAACAAGTAAGTAGTCTTCGTTTATTCTCTATAGTTCACAAACTAACATACCCAAGTGACTCACATGCGCGGTCCTTACCCTCAACAACATCAAGGACCACATTACGGATCACCTCATCAGCACCCCCAATTCCCACAACAGGCCCATCGCGGAACGCCAAGTGGTAGCTATGCTCAACCCATGGTGCAGCAACATTCAATGCAGCCTCAGGGTCCACCGCCTCCCACCGGACCAGCCAGTCATGGCCCTGAAGCCAGCGAGGAGGCCAAGTGATTGACACGTCCAAATAAGGGCGTCCGCTGAGGGCTCTGCATCGAGATCTCAACCAGTCACTGCTGATAATTCCACTCTGCATCTAGCGTAGGAGATCTGCGATTTATTCATATTTGGCTTCACTTTTGGGCATAAGCGATGGCGTTAACTGCGGAAAAGGCGTCTCGATGAGGTGCATTCTCCGGTCCGGTCAGGGCGAGGTTCTCGCTGGGCTGGCGAGAGGAAGGAAAAGGAAGGCATGGTTACAGCATCCTGTTGGGGCCTGGTGGTACTACAAGGTGCAATCGACCAAAAGGCAAGGACGGGTGGGTGGAAGACGCTTCGGCGTCCTTCGCAAACAGGTGAAGCTGTTGGGGTAGCGGTGGGCAGGCAATATATATGACATGGCGAGACAGGACACGACAATGTCACTCGAACAGTGAATTGGTATCGCTAGTGCGGATCCGAAAAGGAGCAATATCGCTTTTTCCGCTACCTAAAGTACCATAGTCCCGCTTATTCAATTACCACCGCTTTGATTTGATATTTTCTCACAGTTTCTATGTGACGATGGATTGATTTATGATTTATATGTTTGCATTGATAAAATGAATGCTGGACACACACGTCGGCTCGGCATTTGAACTTCGTGCACGTGCCACGTCGTTCCGACGGCTTAGTTCCGCGTGAACAGGACAGGACCTCGTGATGTGTCAACGTTACCTTATAAGTTATCCAACATACAACTTCAGCCTTTCAATGAAGTCTGTTCCTATGATTGAATGACGACCAGTCCGAGATTTACAACGGACGATTTCGAGTTGGAAAGCATGGCACACAGGGCCAGCCTCAGCCGGGATGGGGCATCCGAACCCTTGATCTCCCATTCCCTTGATCGCCCAGAAACCCCAGGTTCAACAATAGAAGACGAAACACAAGAGATAGATGAAGCGGATGAAAGTAAATTGGTTCGACCAGGCCTCTTCATATGGGTCTTAACACTCTGTGCGGGCATATCCGGGCTCCTCTTTGGCTACGACACGGGGGTAATAAGCTCGACGCTCGTCTCCATAAACACAGACCTCAATTCCCGACTGCTCACCACCTGGGACAAAAGCCTCATCACGTCTTGCACGTCTCTCTTCGCTCTCTTCGCATCCCCGCTTACAGGCGTCCTGGCCGATTCCATTGGCCGCAAGCGCGTGATCCTCGCGGCAGACGCTCTCTTCATCGTCGGCGCCCTGTGGCAGGCGCTCACCAGCTCCGTATGGGGAATGGTGGGTGGCCGCAGCGTCGTTGGCATCGCTGTCGGGAGCGCGAGTTTTGTCGTTCCCCTCTACATTGGAGAGGTTAGCCCAAGTCCCTTCCGTGGCCGTCTTGTCACTGTGAGCAGCTTGTTCATCACCGGCGGCCAGGTCGTCGCGTATATCATCGGATGGTTGTTTTCAGAGAGGGCCGGGGGCTGGAGGTGGATGGTGGGTCTTGGTGCATTGCCTGCGGCGTTGCAGTTGGGGTTGTTGGTTTTGATGCCGGAGACGCCGAGGTGGCTTGTCAAGGCTGGGTTAAAAGAAAGGGCCAGGAGGGTATTGAAGAAGGTTTATGGGGAGGGTGATGGTATGGATAGTGTCGTCGAAGGGGTCCTGAAGAGAGTCGAGCGGGAGATCATGGAGGAAGAGGTTCAGGGTGGCGGGGTGGAACGAGAGGTGGAAGGTAGTCGCGATGCATCAAAAGCTGGGTGGAGGAAGAAATTGGATAGAGTTGGGGATGGGTTTTCGTTGCTGGTCGATATTGGCGCAAATCGACGTGCATTGATCATTGCGTGCATGTTGCAGGGGTTCCAGCAGTTGTGTGGTTTCGTAAGTTCCTATTCTCCTCTTCATGATTGTGCTATCGAACTGATTAAGCATGGCAGAACTCTCTTATGTACTTCTCGGCAACTATTTTCTCACTCGTTGGGTTCCGCTCGCCTACCTTGACCTCCCTATCTATCGCCATTACCAACTTCATCTTCACGCTTGTCGCCTTTCACTATATTGACCGCATTGGACGTCGACGAATCCTCCTCTACTCCATCCCAATCATGGTTCTTGGCCTCGTGCTATGTTCCATTGCGTTCAACTTTATCACTCTCCCAGGCTCCCGTGCTTCTGAAGTCCAAGCCGCTGCACCCAACCAGAACTTGGCCTGGCCTTTGATAATCCTCCTTTCGATGATATTGTATGTATCTGGTTACGCAATCGGCCTTGGCAATGTTCCCTGGCAACAAGGCGAGCTGTTCCCGCTCTCCGTGCGCTCATTGGGCTCTGGCATAGCAACAGCAACGAATTGGGGATCGAACTTTATCATAGGGATCTCTTTCTTGCCCATGATGGAGCTTATCACTCCCGTTGGAACTTTCGCGGCTTATGCCGGTGTCTGTTTGCTTTCTTGGTGGACGATATGGAAGATCTACCCAGAGACCGCAGGACTCAGCTTGGAGGGCGTCAATGGGTTATTGAAAGATGGATGGGGCGTCCAAGAAAGTATTCGTCGCAGAGAACATTGATCAATTTGAGCCACCTATATTAAAATAGAGTCAGACTAGGAGATATAGAAAGTATCCACCAGAGCACATTAGATCCTCGTCATCTGCAGCCTACTCCTAAACCCAGTCCTCCCGTCCACCTCATTAATTCCGAGAACATGCACGGGAACCTTCATCCTCAATGGCTCCTCGCCGGGTAGATTCATTGGCGCAGAGAACCCTGCGACATGTTTGATTCCACCCTGGCAAGTAGGACACCTCCAATGATTCCTCTGCCTCATCCTGACCTCCCCCTCCGCTCCCTCCTCCTCAGCCAACTTCCTAACACACTGATTACAAAACTGATGTCCACAAGGCCTGATAATGCAATCACATAGCCTAATCTCACAAACCTTGCACATGACCGGCTTCTTCGGATCGAACTCATCGTCCTCCTTCGCCTCAGCAAGCTTCTTCTTATCAATTTTACTCACGCTGTCCACACCCTCGAAGTCACCGCCCTCAACCCTGTCGTCCACCTTCTCCTCCACAACGTAGAACGCCCCTCCCTTCTTTGCGTAGTCCTCCGCCGAAGGCGGCGGCGGCGCGGGGACAATGTGCGTTATGGCCTCGAAGTCCGGAGGGGAGAAGATGTGCACGTTCAGCGTGTGCGAGGCGCCGTGATTCCAGATGTGGGCAGGGTGCGAGTCGACGTATACGTCTTGGACTATATTTTTGTCAGTGGTGTGGGTTTGTGGGAAGGGAGGTTGAGGAAGGTGGAAAGGGGGCTGGGTGTGAACGTACTTAGTTTCCCGCCGGCGGCCAGACCCATGGCTTTGAGGTCCTTGATCTCGAGGTCCTCGATCTTGGGGAGTTCGGGCTCCGGCTTGGACTCGGACTTCTTATCACTGACTTTGATGGAGGGGTCATGGTCCCACGATATCGTCTCTTCGGCACCACTCGAGTCCTCTCCGAGACCCTCAATTTTGATGGTTTTGTAGAGACCGTCGTCTTCATCCTCTAGTCTAGTTGGATGGTGGTGGACTGGTGCTGCCGGTGCTGCCGGTGCCGTTAAATCAAAGGACTGGAAGTCGAAGAAATCGTAGTTCGAGGACCCCTCGGGGTGTGGTTGCGCTGATTTCGTCTGCGCGGTCCACGGTGCGGAATCACTATACCAGTCTACTTGAGTTCCCATTTCATCGTCGCTATGAGAAATACCAGCGACGTGGGTGGCTTTGGATTGGCTGACAAAGAGATCATCCTCGTTGGCTACCCAACTTCCAATTTGAGATCCAGAGTCTTTACTAGAGACAGTCAATGAAGTAGAGGCGTGGGGGGTCGGCGCTTTTGAATAGTGGAAACTGAACGGCTCTGGTGAGGAGCCGAACGCAGAAGAAGTTGTCAATGAATGGAATCCTGACTTTTCTTGCTCGGATGATGGAGCGCTGCCCAATGTCGCAGAGTGATCTGATACTTTCGGTTCGTTTGACGACGACTTTTTTGGATCCCAGCCAAAAGTTTCACCCTGACTGGACATGCTTCTACTATACTCTGTTCTAGAACTACTTGAGCAATCTTGGGGCTGATAGTGCGATTTCTTGGGTGGAGCTTGATGGAGATTCATCAGCGTTGACATTGCAGCGTGGAATACATGGGCTTGCTCACGTGGATACTTGGCCTGCGGAATTTCAAATCAGCATGAGGTCGTAAATGGACTGGCAGTAGAAGATCAACTTACCTTCCATACAACATCCCCTCCATCTTGGAGGAGATCTTTGACCTGAGAAATTTCATGTGAATAGACGGTCGGCTCATATGAGCGGATCACGTCGCCGGCTTTGAATCCCAGCTCAGCAGGGGTCTTGTTTTCGTCAAATCCGAGCGAGAGGTCAACGCAGCTACCACCAGTTTGGTTGGATTTGTTCACTGGTGGGTCGCTGTGCTTGTACCACCATCTCAGCTTTTGTTGGTATTCGGGGATAATTTCAATCTGGAGGCCTCCGTGCTTCTCCTCTTTCGTCTTTTGACCTAGACGGTTATCTTAGCTCCTGGGGTATTTCACGAGAGCCCAAGCGGGACTTGATCGTCTTTACCTTCAACAGTATATCCAGATCCCACTTGAAAACAAATGTCAGCTTTTATTTCCTGGATACCTACTGGTGCGATACTTACACGGCATCGCCACGAACTGCCTCACTACGCCAGGAGCAACACATATACCATCCAGCCATTGTTGTCCCGGGACTACAACATAGTCCTGCTGTTCATTCAATCCATCCTTGGTAGACGGGTCTTCATCCATCAATAGCCCGCTGATAGCATTGACCTTGCCTATGAACACGCGGACTGCATAGTTTTTAATCCCACGATTGACCGGCGTCTCGAATTGAATCCACATGGCTTCGCGCTGCCACATGGGGAAGAAGACACCGCCCACATCTCTAATCTTCTTGGGGATCCGATCTTCGTATGCACTAATATTGAACAAGTCGAATGTTCCTAGGCTTGGCGGGAGTTGGTGAAGTTTGTTGTCATCCGGCATCCTTGTCGTTCGCTGGAACGATATCCCGAAGCCAGTGTTGTTCTTCAGAGACTTCTTAGCCTCTTTGGAGTGATTAGAACTTTTGATGTCATATGCGATCTTATCGCCGTGATGTGCATTTGCATGGGAGACCAGCTTATCGTTTACATTGATCTCGTCGGCTGTCGAAGGCCCATCCGTGATTTTGATGGCATTGAAGGGGCGCATCTTGAACGTTCTGGTGCTCAAATGGAAGGTCTTCTCATCCGTAGATAGTTCCGAAGGCCATCTATAGCCCTGTTCTGTTCACATGGCATCAGACGATATACAATATGCGACGGGTCACTTATACTCACGACTGATTTTCTGCCATAGAGAATTCAGCCCAGCATCTTCTTCTATCTCAATCTCCACCGTGGAAACTTCCTCTCCCTCTGGTATGTATGTGACCGACTGCTTTTGCAACCCCCCGACCTGGACGATTCTCTTAACACTGTTGACTACATTTGGATGGGCAACGTAGCCAAATGTACCCGGGTAAGGATAAGATTTGGCCTCCATGACTGAAGACTGCGAGAGAGGTGGGAAACAGCTGCTGGGTCAAATTTACAAGAGAGGCTACAGATCCCTTTCAGCTCAAGCTTGCGACGGGACGGCCCCCAACCCAGGAATATCGAGCTACCCTTATAGGAACATCCTATCTAACGAGGCTGAGACCTAGAATCACCCTTGTGCGATGGTGGCTGATCTACTTACGCAGGGAATTTTCCGGTCAGTTGCCCTTTGGGCACCATTTATGCATGGCGGGGTAGCTAGAGCTGAACCTTCGTATCTCGCATGGTTACCTATTTACTCAGCCCCAACTGACGTGATACAAGGTGCCTGTTTCATGGCGCGACACTTATTCTCTTTCATATGTCAAAAGGCTGAGCATTGTCGAGAACTGGCGCCTGTTGTTCTGCAGGCGGGGATGTCGCCAACGTGAAGATCATCTGCTTGGCATTCCCCTCTCCGGCTTGCAACGAGAAAAAGAAAGCTAATATCGAAGAAAAGAGGGAAAATATTTCAGCTGGGATCAGATAGAGTAGAACCCCACTGACCCGTACATCATGTCTTTCGGTTTCTCGATCGGTGATATTCTCATGCTGAGTAGGATCGCGTACGACCTGTACACGAGCATCAGCGCGGGTAGAAAAGCAGCCTCGCGAGATCTTCGAGAATTGGAAGATGTCCTGTTCAGTCTGCGATGTTCACTGGAGCACCTTGGAGACGTTTCCAAAGATGTTCTGGCGAGGACGGCTACCCAGCATGGCGGACCGGATTTCAAAGCGAATCTCAACCGCATGATAGCGTCTTGCGGGACGACTTTGCAAGAGCTAGACGATATGACGAAGAAGTATAGAGAGATTGGGATAGATAAAGACCTTCCACAGGGTTCGATTAATGCAGCAGTGAAGAAAACGCTGGATTATAGGATTCAGCGCATGAAAGTGAATTGGAAGAAGATTAGGTGGGACCAAGAGAAGCAGTCGTTGCAGTCGTATCGGGAGAAGCTTAAGACGCATACCGATGCAATCAATCTCATATTAACTTCAATGGTCTGGTAAGTTGACAAATCGTAGTATTCTACTTCTTCATTGGTCTTCATGCTAAGTGGGATCATAGGTCCAACACCACCAAGGCCGAAGAAAGTAGCAATGTGAACCACAACCAGACGCACTCACTACTAAACAAAGTTTTGGAGAGCCCACAATTCGATGCTTCCATGCTCCAGATGCTGAAGGAGATACATAATCATATCACGCAACCGAAACCCGAGTCCCATGTTGAGTTTGCGAAAAAGGTTCCTCCAACTCCCGGCTTCGGGACAGCTTCAGTGAAACCCAAGCCCTCACCTTGGATAGCGAAACCCCAGTTTTCTTTTAGTCCAGCCATAGCTTCACCAGCGATGCCATCATTTGGACCTGCATGGGCAATGGGAGGAGGAAGGACTGCTGGAGGACCAATTGGTGGTGGGGCGATGCTAGCAGGCTTCACGGGAGGGTCTTCGAACGCAGTGCACGCAAATCACTTTGCAGGCTTCGCCATCTCTCCGGGTCCTATGGTACCATTTGAACAGGATGTTGGTGATGATGAAATGGGTGCATCTGTCTTCGCGGTCGAGTCAAACATCGAAGAAGAGGGCATCCCTGAGCCAACTGACGATATCATAACGTACAGAGGCCAACCTGAGATTCAGGAGTACCGAGTAATGTATTCCAAAATGCCTCGACCTGCACCACCCGCACCGCGGGCAATTACACCTCCCCAGGCACCTGAACTAGATCCTTCAATCGTGACGCTGAACCAATTGCGTCAAGTTGTCGCCAAGAAAGAAACAGAAGCATTCAAGAAGAAACACACCAAAGTCGCGAAGCCATCATTCCTTACAGTCGCTGCGCCCAGCATCCCACAATTGAATTCTGGCCTACAATATCTCTTCCAACCAGCCTCCGAAATCAGGACAGGTCGAAACAAGGCAGACGCAGAGTGGGACCACGATGTTCTTCGATGGATGGAAGGGTTCAACCAGTTCGTCAGAGGCGGTGCGAAAGATCCAGTTGTGATCGATCTGCTTGTTGCGCTGAATAAAGCAATGGAGCAATGCTCGTCGAGGAGGAAAGCTATGTTTTATGGCGCAGCTGATCGGGTGGATTTCATGGATCATCTGGACACACTGCAGGATAATACAAAGTCTGTGAGGGTCATGAAGGAGATTGAAGAGTTTCAAGATGTGAGAGATGACTGGGAGGATGAGCGGAGGTGATGAAATTAATTGTATCGGCGGAAATGATCGTGCCATTGTTCATTGTATGTTTCTGCAGAAATTAGCAAGCATCAACAGCAAGTCTGGAGAAAATGATAGCTCTGATTTCACTCAGCAACGACGCGTTGATGTGCTTTCTTACAGTCTCGGTATTAATATTGATGATGTATGATTGCTGCTTCGCTTATACTATGCCCATCAGGTTGTTTGGAAGTGAAAGTGAAACTTATTGCGGTCTGCATTCTCTACGCTGTTGTCATACCATCATCTGCATGAACTCTTTCATCTCGGAATTGGCTCAACATTGTACCGGCCCGTCTTCTGCGTAACTGGCCCTTCACCTTACGTCGGGTCTTGAATCGGGAACGATGAAAGTTTTATCATCTTCAACGGCCACGTAGGGGGCTTTTGCCTTCCTTCGACAACCTACTCAGCGAACACTTCAGAAATTCAACCCACGCAATATACGCCAATCCTGACGTCAGTTACCTAACCTTCTCCCGATTCTACATTTGGAGTTTCACGGCGGAAACTTCACCATTACAGACGTAAATAGAATGTGTCCAATCTTTGACAGGGAGGTGGACGAAAAAAGAAATCTATTGCAAGTTAATCGTCCTTTTGGATCTTTTCATCTTCACTGGCAAGTCCGGTGTCATAGACCTCCAAAATCTCATCACCCACAAACTCTTGCACCACCTCGACAAACCGACCATGGCCTTACCGTCAACCCAATGGATATGCAAGGTCTATCCTTCACCTTGATCCACATGATTCAGAGGCGTACATAAACACTTGCCAGATATCCATATGGCAGCGTTATCAATGGCAAGTGAGGAGGTAAGTCTGCATGAGAACAGGTTTTATTTTAGGCATGAGCTCGACTACTGCAATCATCACAATCACGGGAATGACGAAGAGCTGAGGAAGTGCGAGAAACGGAGGAGTGTGGCGTGAAAACTGAGATCATCTCTTATGTGGCTTGCAGAGACAGAATAATCATCTCAGGCACTCTAACTTTGCGCAATCATCGTTTAGATTCGGTGTAGATCCGTGTCCATCGGTAGCACGGAACAGTAGCTCTGGCCCGGAACGGGTTCACCAATTCGAGCGGTTCGTATGTAGAAAGCCAACGCATGTTAGCCTCAAACAGAATCACCCCATCAAATGTCTGAAATTCTCAATGTTTAATCTTCAATTGGTGAGGTTCTTCAGTGCTCTATCACTTTTCTGGTGGATGTGAACAGTACCAACATTTTCACGCGACCACGTGTCAATTGGGCCTCTTTAATTTTTATTCTTGCTCTTGTTCTAAAAGCCATATAGGTAAAGTCATTGTTCACTTAGATTGCCCTTCTGTTGAATAATCACGTATGTTAACATCTTGTTCACTTGGATCCCTCTATTAAACAATGACGTACATCAACACTTTGTTCACAAACCACACTTTTCTGATTTACCATCTGTATTAAAATATTTTTTCATTCTGATTACACGCCTGTTGACAAACATGTATATATGCCCTTGTTCCCACTCTTCTAGCCTGAACTTCCAACTCACCACTAATAAATCCACTCTTCAAGGTCACGATGGCAACCAATGACGTCTCCAAGAACACGAAAGTTCCCGGTCATGAATTCAGGTAAGATAGTCTCAGACCTTAGCAGATGAGTTTCAACTAACAGATTTCTGATAGCAAAATTGTGGCATCTCCCATGGCCACCATCACCGTCAAATGTGGAAAACAGTACTACATCCATGAAATACTGCTCGTTAATGTTTCTAAATACTTTTCCAATGCGCTCGAGGGTAACTTTAAGGAAGCCTCGGAGAAGAAAGTTCACCTAGAGACTGTAGAGTCTGATACATTCGAGAGATTCAGTTCATGGCTTTACACTGGTACATTCAAAACGACCGAGGTCAAGGAAAAGAGCGAGGTCAAGAATGACAATCACTCAGACAACAGTAAAAACTGCAATGATTGCCGATCGGAACAGTGCAACAATTTGTACCGGGAATTACTAGACCTTTACATTTTTGCTGATGGACATGCAATCAATGGTCTTCCCAACGCCATCGTTGACCAATTCGGTACGCTCTTTATCACCCCAGGCACAGTGTTCCCTAGTGACGACTTGATTCGTACGGCATATTCAAATCTGCCCCATACCTCAGGACTCATACGTCTTTTGGTGGATGATCGATGTCGCTGGTCTTGTAAGGAAGGTGAGGAGGACGATGCTGAGTCTTCAGCAGAATTACCCCTTGCGTACCTCCTTCAGGTGTACCTTCGCCAACCGGTCATACTGGACCGCGTGAAAAAATCGGAAAACCCGAAGCGTACCCTTCGTCTCGACATCGAAGACTACCATGACCACAGCGAGAACGACAGACACTAAGACAAGCGTCAGCACTTCTGTGAACCTGGAGGTCGCCTATCTTCACCCATTATCACGGTCTCTGGGGTGGAAGTGATGGGAATCTGTGTGTGGAGACATCACAAGGCTTCTCAGAGCTATAACAGTATTGCACACGTATAACTTGAAAGAGGAATTGGGTCAGCGTTCAGGTTCAAATTGCATGACCTAGCACTTCAACATACCGTGCCTACACTGCGGTTAAGATTGGAATGGAATGGACAAAAGAATATGCACATTTCTGTATAGCACGAAGTAGATGAAAATTCAGCCATTCCCCTTCAGCCATATATTATGCTTGAGACTCTGTGCGGTGCTACAGGAAACCTTACGCTACAAAATTATCACATTGTTGCGTCGCCACGAACCAACATCAGAATTAACACCGCAGAATCAGCCTGTCGATGAGAGATGTTCCAAATCAATTTTATACTTCGCGACGTCGAGACATGAATCCTAGACATGGGACGTTGAATAAAGGATCTCTATTCTTTCACGTGTCTGCCCTACATGACTTATGATGGTGACCATAGCTCCTACAATCTGGACCTAGAGGCTTGGAAAGATGTGCCCCACTCTAAAATTAGTGCCTCTTTTTTCCAAGCATCGTGACCACGAGGCCTTCTTGAACATGTGAAGTGGGTCAATGCTGGATGACCAATAACTGGGGTAGGCATCCATCGTACGAACTGCTAGGTAGTTTGGAAGGAAACGTGGGGGACATACGGCTGGGGTAAACGATATGTCGCTGTTCATATTCATGGGACCAATTTGCAAATGAAGCCAATGTCCAGCAATCTTAGGGCTCAAAGGCCTGTTATTTAATTAACGATTCGGTCGAGCCGTACACGAGGAAATAAAATCATTTATGTGGAGATTCGAGGATCTCTACGTGCAGGTAACTATATAACACAAAGGACGGTCGAATCGTACACCAATTTTGTAAAGATATAGTCCTTGGAGAATGGTATCGGACCGAACTGGATTGGCAGTTTCCGTGAGGACGGCAACCAGAATATTCATAAGCCTGTTTCCATGAGTCTTGCCTACCCAAGTGACCGTGATCTTTATACGAGGTAAGTAATTTGTGATGTGTTCAATCCCACAAGCTTTACTGATACCTTGATGTTCCGTGTCACGTGGCCCTATCGATAGTCGAAACTAATCGGAGGCAAGGGGCACCCCTATACGGAGCTCAATTCCTGTGCCTAGGCAAAATGTCGAGTCCAGAATCACTTCCGGTAGAAGAACATGAATCGGCCGAGCAAAAGGAATGCACTAACTTTCAGCAATTGATACGATTAGGGGAATTCGACGGTCCAAGAAACTGATTAGTCGACCTCGGGAGTTGACCTTAGTGCGACGGTAGCGCATCTTTGCGAGATCGGCAGCCGAGGCTCAAGCTGGACCGGAGCTCTCACCCCATAAGCCATTCCATCATCCATCTGATAACAATTTCTTAACTTACATACCTCCCCATTCCCCTTCTTCTTTCTCCCATTCTTCTTGCCTCCATCCTCTCCTCCATCCAAAAAGTTCCACATAGAATCATAGACATAATGGCTCCTCCCACGCCGGAATGGGTCAAGCAATTGACCCCCTCAGGTCCTCAGGGACACGAGCTCCTCGCCGCAGAGCGTGCCAGCTCCGACATCCCCGTCGACCAACTCTCCACATTGCTACACACCAAGGAAGTCCTTGACAGGAAACAGCAGATTCTGACCATCTTGAAGTCGGAGCCGGTCTTCGACAAGACCCAGAACTACTTCGCTGGCCGTACGGAGCGGTTCGAGACGGCGCTCGCCCGCGCAAAGAAGCTCGCGAACCTCAAGGTCAAGCACAACTGGAATCTGGATGAGTACAGGACCGCACATGATCTCATCAGTGAACCTGGGCCGTATGGTCTTCACGACAGCATGTTCGTGGTAAGTACTGATTGCTCATCGTCGTCGTCATCATCTCCAGCAGCTGACCATGAGCACAGATCACTCTCGGCGAGCAAGGTACTCCGGAGCAACAGGAGCGCTTCCTCACCAAGGCACAGAAGTACGAGATCATTGGATGTTATGCCCAGACAGAACTTGGTCATGGATCCAACGTTCGTGGACTTGAAACCACTGCTACCTGGAGTCCAGAGGACAAGACATTCATCATTCACTCTCCCCACCTCACCGCCAGCAAATGGTGGATCGGATCTCTCGGACGAACTGCAAACCATGCCGTTGTCATGGCCCAGCTCATCATCAATGGCAAGTCTTTCGGTCCTCATCCGTTCGTGGTTCAGATCCGCGACTTGAAGACTCACGAGCCACTTGAGAACGTCCATGTTGGTGACATCGGACCCAAGTTCGGTTACAACACCATGGACAATGGTTTCCTTCTCTTCAATAAGGTCAAGATCCCACATGTCAACATGTTGGCGCGTTTCTCTCGTGTTGACCCCGAGACCAACAAGTTTGTCCGCCAGGGCTCTCCATCCTTGATCTACGGCACATTGACCTGGGTCCGTTCGACCATCGTCATGCAGGCCGGCAGCGTCTTGGCTCGCGGTGTTACCATTGCTACCCGCTATTGTGCTGTTCGACGCCAATTCCAGGACCGCGATGCTCCTGCGTCGGAGAAGTCGGAGAACCCAGTTCTCAACTACACCATGGTCCAGATCCGTCTGCTCCCTCTCCTTGCCGCAACATTCGCCCTCCATTTCACTGGAAAGGCCATGATGGAGCTCTACCAGGAGAACCAGAAGAGGATGAATGCCGGCAACGGCAACAGAGACTCCAGCAAGCGTGGCGCCGGCCCCGAGGAGACCCAGTCCGGCAGCGACATTCTTGCCGATCTGCACGCATCGTCCTGCGGCTTGAAGGCTCTTTCCAGTACCATTGCTGCCGAGGGTCTTGAGGTGTGCCGACGAGCATGCGGTGGCCACGGATACTCCAGCTTCAGGTAAGAAATTAACAGTTGGTACATATGTAAAGCAGCAGTCCTAACAGATTTCCAGCGGTATCGGCCCCTGGTACTCCGACTACCTCCCCACCACGACTTGGGAGGGTGACAACTACATGCTCACGCAGCAAGTCGCCCGCTACCTCCTCAAGTCCGCTCGCTCGGTCATCAACAAGGAGCCCCCTACCAACGACACGACAACCATTCTCACCGAGTTCCTCTCCCGCTCCGAAGTTGGCTGCGCCTTCGACATCATCGGCTCTGACGCCGACCTCGTCTCGGCCTTCGCCTGGCGCACATCTTTCCTCACCTTCGAGGCGCTCAAGCACCGCGACCAGAACAAGAAGCCGTGGAACGACCTCCTCGTCGACTTCTACCGCCTCAGCAAGGCGCACTCGCAGTACACCGTCGTCAAGAACTTCTACAACGCCCTCCAATCCCCGGCCGTGACATCGCAGATCCCAGCCTCGACGCTCGACGTCCTCCGCAAGCTCTTCCGCCTCTTCGCGCTCAACACCCTCGAGCAAGAGGGCTCCGAGTTCTACGCCTCGGGCGCCTGCTCCAAGCACCAGATCTCCCTCGCCCGCACCAACACCGTCATGAAGCTCCTCAAGGAGATCCGGCCCCACGCCCTCCGCCTCGTCGACTCCTGGGCCTTCGACGACTGGGTGCTCGACAGCAGTCTCGGCCGCTACGACGGAAAGGTGTACGAGGACCTCTTCTACAGGGCCAGCGTCACCAACCCGCTCAACGGCATCACGGTCGATCCGTACCCCAGCAGCGACGTGCTGTTCAAGAAGGTCGAGGGGATCGCCGCGAGGAGCAAGTTGTAGATTAGGTGCGAAAAGTCGCTGTGTATATATTTAGCTTTCGATTTTCTTCTTGTCTTTTTTAACTAGATTGGAGAAGGTCGGCATTATGGTAGATGAAAGATTGTATCATGGACAGATAGCATTATGCATTTAAGAAGTACGCTTAAGGAAAGATCTAGAAATACTAAAGTATTTAATTAAGAAGAAATTTGTAAACGCTTTGCTTTTGCGTGTGACTGACTGTGTATAAAACATAATGTTTAATTATTTCATGTTTTCCTTCCTGTTAATGAGGTACAAATATATCTCTCCGATTCTTCTCCCCTATTCCAATCCCCGCGCGCACCCTCCCACGTAACCCCCACTCGCCCCTACCCAAAAATAAAAAAGGAGTGGGAATTCCATTTCAATTGTACCAGCTCAGAATTTACTTGATTTTCTATTTTATAATTACGGATATTCATTTTCCTTAGCTTTGTGAGCATAGCCCTGCTATCCACATCCATTCTTCTAAAACTCTAAACTCTAAATATTCGGGTAACTATACGAATGTTCATAATCATAACCGTAAAGCCATAACAAAAAACAAAAACAGACGCTCGTAACGATACTTCACGTAACCTCCCTCCCCTTCCTCTTTCCCGAACATAACGCCAAAAAGACAAAAAAATCAAAGTCGCTTCTCAAACTCACAAGCCCGTTCGAGGTCCTCCTCATAGCCCATTTTCCCACTCGTACCCCCAGCTCGAGACCGACTTTTGCAAATCCAACCAACCATGCATTTTTATTAAAGCCCAAACTTTTCCTCCCTCGATGTTTTCACCCGCTGATATCTTCAGATTCTCTTCCATTCCAAGCACGTTACCCCAACCGCAGATGAATAGAAAAATAAAATGAAAACCGTGGAGGTGTATTCTCACGACTCGATTCTCGGATAAGAAGCCTGCCACCGCCTGATCTCCACCGCCCACGCCCTCAGCAGGAAGTCGTCGCGCAGTGCTTGCTGGTGGAAGTGCCTCGTGTGGGTGAGTAGTGGGTTTCGCTTCGTCACGCGGTGGGAGGAGTGGTGGTGCTGGGCGGTGGTGTTGGTGTTGGGGCGGAGGCGGAGTTGTTGGCTATTTTGGTGGGCGGGAGGAGGAAGTGGTCTGCTGATGGGGTGGGCGGGTTCTTGGAGGTTGCGGTGCGGTGTGGGACGGAAGGTCCGGTGATGGTGGTGGTGATGAGGGCGTTTTTGGACGGAAGATTTGGAGTTAGGGGCGTTGTCGAGCTGGGATTGGGATTGGGATTTGGAGTTGAGCATGTCGATGAGGTCGAAGAGGTGTTGGGGGGTTAGGAGGCGGAGGAGTCCTGGGGAGGTGGAGGTTGGAATCGTCATATTGTTTGTTTTTCGGTGGTCTTTGAAGGAATTTTGCTTTTGAAGGAATGAATGAATGAATGAATGAATGTGGAAATTGGTTTTTTAATTGATGTGTGCTGTCGTGCTTCTATGTACCTCGTTATATATAAATATATAGATTGTATACCTATTTTGACTCATTGTTTCAGGTCGATATCGTAGAAATTGTATGTTTGTACAGCGTAGAAGAGTGGAGCGTAGGATCGAGATTAGGACTAGTTTGTATGATACGTATGTTGATGAAGTGTAAGGCTTTGACTGTTTTGAGATTAGTCCAGAGGATGTATGGGGATTTCTATGTGCTGGACTGCTGGTATCGTGCAATATGGAGGCAGAGCATAAAAGGCGGTGAGGAAGTGGACTAGGGTCATATGGACGGACAATGGTCTAGTGCAGATGGCAGGCGAACAGATGGATTGTTGTAGCCAGAGAGTCTTGGAAGTTGGGATAGATGATCTAAGGATGTCAATGTGGGCGACCAGAAGAGTAGAGAGGGGTTACCTGGGATGAAGCGTTTCACGGGAGGGGTAGTGGTGGTGATGGTGGAAGTATTAGTAGGAGCAGAGTGGGGATGAAATGGACTAAATAGAACAGGCGGTGTTGTCGTGGTGTGTACGTATATATGTATGTACGTGTGTGTTGTTGTGTTGTGATTGATGATGTGTATATGTATGTATATGTACATGTATTGATTATGTGTGTGTTGTATCGTGTGTTGTATGTATGTATGGATGGATGTGGTGATGTTTGAGGTTGTCGTTCAGTCATGAGTGGGATGGGAATAGGTGGGATGGGGAGAATGGGATGACGTGATTGGTCCAATTGACACGAGCTCGGTTAACCTTTCTGATTGGGCCATTCGGGTGAACTCGCTGGGGTCATCTCCCCTTAGCAACGAACGCAGCCAATCAGCGGACGGGAAACCCCAGCGTCTTCCTCATTCGGTCAATTTCCATCTCTTCTGGCTGTGAGTTGTTTTCTTCCATCATCGTCAAACCTCTTTGCTCTGTTCTCTCTCTCTCTCTCTCTCTCTCTCTCTCCCTTCCATCCCTCCGTCACTCCACCACCTCCACACTTATTATATCCCCCACCTCTCTCTCTTCCTCCCAGAAACAACTCTTCTTCTTCTCTCATCACACACACTCCCACCAACATGTCTGCCATCCCCATCCCCGCAGAGAAGCTCGTCTTCAAGGCTCCCCCGCCTGCCTTCTCTGACATCGCCAAGTCCTCCAACGACGTATGTTTTCGCCTCTGAATCCTCTGAGCCCTCCGCTATCGCCATCGCTCACCATCACCATTGCCATCCTTCCATGACTCCAATCGCTAACCCCCTCCCTCCAGCTCATCAACAAGGACTTCTACCACGCCGCCGCTGGTCAGTATCCCCCCAATTGGTCCCGTCGCCCTCCAAGGCGCATACCAAACCTAGAGCTCCCATGCTAACGTTTCTCCTCTCGCACAGCCGCCCTCGAGGTCAAGCTCAAGGCTCCTAACGGTGTCAACTTCACTGCCAAGGGAACGTCTTCCCACGATGGCCCCGTCTCTTCCTCTGTAAGCATTGCGCGCCCGCTCCCCATCCCATACTCACTGGACGCCATCAAGCTAATACCCCACTCCACAGCTCGAGGGAAAGAAGTCGCTCTCCAACGGTATAACTCCCAAATCCCTCTCCATCACCGTCCCCTTACGCAATTTGACGCCCGAATTCTCCGCGCTCCTATTCCATGCGTCTACACCCCAACATCGCAAGTCAATCACCGGTTGGACTGCTATTCTGACTCGCAAACGTACAGGCATCAGCATCACCCAGTCGTGGAACACCGCCAACCTCTTGAACACCAAGGTTGAGCTCAACGATACCTTCACCAACGGCCTCAAGACCGAGCTCCTCTCCAACTTCTCCCCCGAGAAGGGCAACAAGGGCCAGAAGCTCAACTTCCACTTCAAGCAGGCCAACTTCCACGGCCGTGTCTTCGGTGACTACAACCCCAGCGGTGCCGTCAGCGCCATCGCCGATGCCGTCCTCAGCCACGAGGGCTTCGTCGTCGGTGGTGAGGTCGGTTATGACGTCCAGAAGGCCGCCATCACCAAGTACTCTGCCGCCCTCGGCTACACTGGCCTGACCTACAACGCCGCCGTCACTGCCACCAACTCCCTCAGCATCTTCGCTGCCTCCTACTACCAGAAGGTCAACCCCGCCGTCGAGGCCGGCGCCAAGGCTACCTACGACACCAAGCAGGGCTCCGCCGTCGGTCTTGAGCTTGCCGCCAAGTACAAGATTGACACTGCTTCCTTCGCCAAGGTTCGTCTCCCTGTACCACTTTGAATTGTGTAACCAGGGAAGAAATAGCTGACACGTTTATAGGCCAAGATCAACAACCTCGGCATTGCCTCCCTCGCCTACAACACCCGCGTCAACAGCGGCCTCACCTTCGGCATCGGTGGATCCTTTGATACCCAGAAGCTCAACGAGTCCGGCCACAAGCTCGGAACCAGCTTCACCTTCGAGGGTTAAGCGTGGACGCGAAACCCCAAGATCCAGCTCGCCCGTTGTCCCCCTCCTCCTCCTCCTCCTCCTCCTCCAACCTTCTCTGTCATTGTATGTATAGAAAAGTAGATTACTTGGTACCGAGCGTGGGTGCGATGAGAGAATGAATAAATAAAAGAGTTTTCGAAAATGAAGAAGATGATCCAATTCATAAAAAGCAGAGGAGTTGAAATCCAATGTTTTTACAATGTTTTCACACTTTCTGTTTGGGAAATGGAGTATGCAAGGTTGTACTTGTCTCTGCGTCTCTATGTCTATTACCTTGATGTCATGATTGTATGTACAACAAACGTCTGCGTCTTCCCCCTAACATGATATCTGTCTACCCGTGCAATGTGAGTGTAATAGCCCTAGAACTCTTTTGAAGAAAATGCCGTTTGAAATTGGATATATATGTAAAAACGCCGATACCCCGCCGATGAAGTGTATGTTTGACGTGACGTGACGCCGCCATGCATGCCAATTGCCATGTCTAACCCCATATAATGTATGTATGTACAAGAAGCTCCACCCTACCCAGGTATATCAATCAATCAATCAACCGATATCATACAAATCCCCCTCCCCCATACTACGACCTCTTCCTCTTCTTATCCGCCGCCGCATCCCTCTCACTGAATGCCATGACCACCGCCCCAAAAACACCCACCATACCACTCACAAGCGCAAACCTCGCAATGGGACCAAACCCGCCGGGCCCCCCCGCCGCCGCGACCCTCTCCTCCCACGCGGCGGCGGCCCTCCTCCGCCTCCTCCCCAGAATATGCTCATTCACACTATCATGCATCCGCTTATGCCTCCCCTCGTCGAAATGCGGGACCTCGCTCCCAGGCTCTTCGTATCCACCTCCACCATGGCTGCTACCATGCGAGGAAGATGAGGAGGACGCATGAGGATGCGAATAATGGTGCTCGTACGCCGCGCGCTTCGCACCGGTATCCCCGTACCCGCCCGCCTTGAAGAAGCTCGGCGGCGGCCCCTTGAACGTGCCTCTCTTCTTGTTCAACCCCGTCGCTGGGCGGCCCCCCGCGTGCGTCTGCGCGGACGAGTGGCTGCGTCCGTACCACTGTGCCCCCCCCGGTCTACCGTGGTGGGCATGGGGGAGCGTGGCGTCGTACCGGGCGCGCTGGTCCGGGGACGAGAGGACGTGGTAGGCTTCGGAGATCTTGACGAAGCGGGCGGAGGCGGTGGGGTCGTTTGGGTTCTTGTCCGGGTGGTGGGATTTGGAGAGGGAGAAGAATTGGCGCTTTATTTCCTGGGGGGTTGCGGAGGGGAGCAGGGAGAGGGTTTCGTAGTGGGTTTGTGTTTGTTGTTGCGCGGAGGCGTCATCGTTGGTGAGGAGGGGACGGGTGGTTGTGAAGGGTCGGGAGGTGGGAGGGCGTGCGGTGGGTATTCGGATGGGAGGGTGGTGTTTGTGGTAGTAGTGAGGAAGAGGAGGAGGGAGGTGGATGAGGGGTGGCATTCCTCCTCATGCCGTTTGACTCGACTCGACTCGTTTCCCGTGTCTCTGTCTTGGTGTTTGGTTGGGGAGGTTGTGGTTTATGCGTTGGATGCGTGTATGGTGCGATTGATTCGTTTTGGGGGGTGGGGAGTGGGCGTGTCGAGGGTCAATGGGTCAATGGGCCGTGGTAGTAGTTGTTATCGCGTTTGTCCGTGGGTGTAGAAGTTGATGTTGATGTTGATTGACGTTTGGGGATGTTCAGTCTGTCTCGTCTAGACTTGCTGCGTTTCCCCCTTGGCCGAGTTCGGGGGAGGAGAGAGGGGGAGTTGTTTTTCGGTCAAAACGTCATCGAACATGGGACAAGCTTAAGCTTACAGTATTGTACTAGGGATTTACTAGGGATATGCAACGTAGAACATGCAACATGCATCATGCATCCCGTAATCGACATGGGCCATTAATCATGGGATATGCCATCTGGAGACATGCGACATGTGAGGATTTATGTTTATCCGATGTTTGTACTGTCTACCAGTAATACTACTGATAGATACCTAAGGGGTATTTACTAAATAGCTGACAGCTTCATGTTTCGAGTTTGCCTGAATTCCATGGCCGAATCAGGCAATATCTGAGGCAATGGTCATGTGTCAATTGAGTGTCAGTATCACTGCCGGCGCCAATACTTACTACGTGGGTAGACGATTGAGGCCCTGAGGCCCGTCAAAGCCGTTAGATGATACACAGATGGTAGAGAGGGTAGATGGTAGACCAACTAGTGTTTATCAATTGTTTTACAAGACTCCTCCAATGCAATGCAAATGCCAATGCCATGCCCAGACCAGAGGGAGAAGGATTGGAATCATGTTTTGTTCATGTTTCTGTTTCTTGTATCTGGTTAATGTGTATTGTCGTAATCCTCGTTGGACTGCCGCTGTCAACCGCCTGTCTTGTCTCGTCTCGTGCTCCGAATTCCGATGGTCTGGCTGCGGAGTAGGAGTTGATCCCTCTACTCTCTGCCCCAATTCACCAATTCACCACCAGCCACAGATCAAGCTTTTCTGCTATTACATGTACGAGTAGAATATTACCATTCATTCCCGGTCATCATGGTCCACATCCTCGCTTGCAATTGTCGCCTACACATGCCGTCCATTGATAACATCCCAATTACTACTCTCTACTGGGCCATGGCATAGTTGTTGCATGTTTGATCTCCTCAATCTAGATTCCCTCTGAGACAATTGACCGTTGCTGAACCAGTGGTGACATATCGTGGAATAGGACCACGGGCGCATCGCCATTGGTTATGATAGTATTATTCAATTTTTCAAAATGTTTTATTCCTCTCTATCCCATCCGATTATCCCTCTATTAGTTCCAATTCGACTCGTTGGGGTAGGGCCAGAACGTTACCCGTTAAGGTGACATGACAAGAGATTCCGCCACTTAGGACGAGGACATATTACACTTTTTTCCCTCTCCCTCTCTTAGTCTCGTATCGATTTAATCCCTGCCCGTCATCTTCGTCATCCTGGCCTGGCACTCCCACAATAACTACCTAGAGAAACACTACGACTACGACTACCAACACTCCACTTACCACTTACCACTTACCACTTACCACTTACCACTTACCACTTACCACTTACCACTAAACTAATACCTTTCCTCTCAATTTATTCACCTATTTAATTATATCTTCCCCCATCCTCTCCTCACCTTTCTGTCTCTACTCCTCACCACCTCACCCTTCTACTCTTCCTTACTCCCTCCCATTCTTTCTTCTCTTCCTCTTCTTCCTTCCTCTCTGATCACGCCCACAAACACACCCACCATGGCAGCGCAAGCAGCTGAGGGTGTCGCCAACCTCTCACGTACGTCACTCCTCCCTCCTACTCTTCCCCTCCCTTCTCTCGAGGAATGGGAAATTCCTCCACCTCCAAACTAACATGAACGTGGACTACAGTGGCCGAGGCAAACGGCAACCCAACCACCAAGCAAAACGGAGCCGACCCCGCCGCACCCGAAGATCACGAAGACTCGGACGACGACGCCGATGAGGGAGACAACGCTGGTGCCCAGGACGCAGGAGCCGAGGGCGCCGCAAAGAAGAAGAAGAAGCGCAAGCCGCGCAAGAAGAAGAAGGCAGGAGCCGCCGGCGCAACCTCCAACGGCGGTCCCAAGGTCCAATCCTCCCCACCCCGCGTCCCCGTCCACGAACTCTTCCCCAACGACACATACCCGGAGGGCGAGATCTCCGAGTACCTCAACGAGAATGCCTTCCGTACCACCAACGAGGAGAAGAGGCATCTCGACCGCATGAACAACGATTTCCTGACCGACTACCGCCGCGGCGCAGAGGTGCATCGCCAGGTCCGACAGTGGGCACAGGGATGGATCAAGCCGGGCATGTCGCTGACGGAGATCGCGGAGGGTATCGAGGACTCGGTGCGCGCCTTGACGGGCCACCAGGGTCTGGAGGAGGGCGATGCTTTGAAGGGCGGCATGGGTTTCCCCACGGGTCTCAGCATCAACCACTGCGCGGCGCATTACACTCCCAACGCCGGCAACAAGATGGTCCTCAACTACGAGGACGTCATGAAGGTCGATTTCGGTGTACACATCAACGGCCGCATTGTCGACTCTGCTTTCACCCTCACCTTCGACCCTGTCTACGACAACCTCGTCAATGCCTGCAAGGACGCCACCAACGCTGGCGTGAAGGAGGCTGGTATCGACGTGAGGATGAGCGACATCGGTGCTGCCATCCAGGAGGTCATGGAGAGCTACGAGGTCGAGATCAAGGGCCAGACCTTCCCCGTCAAGTGTATCCGCAACTTGAACGGCCACAGCATCGGACACTACTGCATCCACGGCGGCAAGACGGTGCCCATCGTCAAGGGAGGCGACCAGACCAAGATGGAGGAGGGTGAGACCTTCGCTATTGAGACATTCGGTTCTACCGGTAAAGGTTACGTCCGAGACGATGTACGTTCCCTTTGCACTTCTATTTCAATTTCTTCACTTTTATCTATCTTCAATTTACCACGACAGCATGGCTGACACATATCGTAACCCACAGATGGAAACATCCCACTACGCCAAGCGCGAAGACGCTCCCAAGGTCGCCCTGCGCGTCTCCTCCGCAAAGACCCTCCTCAACTCCATCACCAAGAACTTCGGTACACTCCCCTGGTGCCGACGATACCTCGACCGTCTCGGCCACGAGAAGTACCTCCTCGGCCTCAACAACCTCGTCTCCGCCGGTATCGTCGAGGCCTACCCCCCGCTCGTCGACATCAAGGGCTCGTACACCGCACAGAGCGAGCACGTAAGTTTTGACTTTCCCCACCGTATCCCATGCGGGCATGTGTGTTGAAAGAGTGGATCGTTGACATCATGTATAGACTTTCATTCTCAGGCCGACGGTCAAGGAGGTTATTACCCGCGGTGACGATTATTAGAGATGGGATTTTCTGTTCTTTTGGTTTAAACCCAGCTCTATTACATTGAAAAGAAAAGAGCAAAAAGAGGAAAAAGAAAGGAAAAGAAAGGCAGGGCAAACAAAATACCCAGCACCCAGCTCAAGATAGAGAGAGGGAGAGAAAAAGTTAACGAATCTACGTTTTGGACTTATGAACATCAATTGCCACCCTCGCCTTTTAAAAAGTATGAGAGAAAGCCTTCACTGGGACAGGCCATCACGAAACGAGAAGTAGAGACCTGGGAGCAGGAAAGGGGAATTGGGGTTTGTACACGATTACCAAGGGGTAGCGGGAAAGGAGAGATATCATTAAAGGAATTTTCAAGCGTAGAGTGGTGGCAAGAAAAGAAGAAAGGAAGTTTGGAGAGACAGGAAATCGAGTGTAGTTGTACGACAGATTCACTCCAGTATGAAAAAGAAAAAAATGAAGAAGAAACAAGAGTAAAAAATGAAAAGATTCTCACGACAACTCGTAGCAAATAGCATATACATTCTCCATTCATACATCATAAATATTCCGAGAACCCATCCTCCCGTGATTCATCAATCCTCTTCACTTCGCAGTGCAATCTTTCACACATCACGCACCCGATCAACCACCATTTACACTAGAAAGAGAGAGGGGAAGGCACAGTCAGACAAGTGATTAAATTTCCCTTTTCAATGAGTCTTTACATACCATAAGGTGTATATGTATACATATATGTATTTCTACATAAACTCCCGCCTTTTCCTCCATCGAGTTCCGAGTTGAGTCTGATACAATGATCTTGTTCCTTTCTTCGCTGTGTTTATTAACTATATATATTCATATTGTTATTTCTTGGGACATCTACGATTGCCTTTGCGAAAATTCGACCTTGGCAAGTCTTCTCAATGCTCTGTTCTCTTTCATTTTGTTCAGTCCGGTCTTTCTTTGAGAGTGTGTTTCGCTGCGTGTGAGAGAGCGATGTTTGTATGCATATATCTTTCTCCTATTTCTAACCGGTTGAGGGCGCTAGGGGTGGTCGTGGGGTGCATTGTTCCTCTTCCCCGCCTCTCTCTCTCCTCCCTCTCGATGTGTGATGGATACTGCTGCGTGGCCTGGGAATTGGAGAGAAGAGGATATGCTGACAGAGCGACGACGCTCTTGGTATTGTAGTGCGTCCACTGGACACTGTCTGTCTCGACGTCCTAGGGTGCCACGGCATTTTCGATAGTGCCTGCCTCAGATTGCTGAGACTGGAACACGGTTCTTGCGTCGTGGGGCAGTGGCGGCGGCGAGTGAGTTGGAGCGTTACGTACGATTCCTCTATGTTAGATATGTGCTTTCCTTTTGAATTCCCGTTCTTCCATATACCACGATCTCTCTCTCTTCCTTCTTTGAGGAGGCGAGGCGAAGTCTCCAATGACATTGGCTCCTGTGGAGGAGTACCGCTCAGGTATCCTCACTCATGACCGGGTCCTTCCCACCTCTATCTCTCGTACCGTCGATAAATTCAATTACTGGTGGTCATCCAGATCGTTACTACCCTTGCCCGCCAGCTCCAGCACCACCCCACCAATCATACCCCTGCCCAGCAGTACCGTCATGGGAAGTACCCGATATGCCCTGCTGCTGCTGCTGCTGTTGTGCTTGATGATCGGTAGTGACCGTGGCGCCCGCACCGCCATTGTGGAACCCGGCCATTGGGTCCGGGACCCACGCGTCGCTGATCTTGAATCCGTCTCTGCTGAAGCGGTTCCATTCGTCGGCGCCTGCCGTGCCGAGCATGTTATTTAGGTCCATGGGACTCATCTGGTAGGTTCGCGGGATGATGGGGACGCCGATGCCCGGGATGGGTGTCCAGAAGAGGTGCTCGGCTGCTTCGGTCGCGGGATTCTGCTGCTGCTGCTGCTGCTGCTGCTGCTGTTGCTGTGGTTGTTGCTGTGGCTGTTGCTGTTGTTGTGGTTGGTGGTGGTGGTGGTGATGGTGTTGGTGGAGCGCTGCTGTAGGGGACGCGGACGTGTTTGCGTATCCAAGTGTCGCGTGGTTTAGGCCATCGGTTTGGAGCATCGCGGGCCGGTGTGGAAAGTTCGACTCTTGGGAAGTAGCGGCCATGTCTGGGTTGGGTGCGAACATCGAAAGGGATTCCCGGCGAGCGGAAATCCCGGGTTGAGGCAACGGTGGGCCATAATTGTTCGCCTGAAGGTCGTGTGCAGCTACTGGGGTTGGCTTGCTGTTAAACATGCTGTCGAGAGAGGGCGATTCAAGAGTTCCGTCGTCGCGAGGGAGCAGTTTACTCAGGTTGAGAGCTTCGGGCCAAGGTATGTTCCACGTCTTAGCCAATGCGTGTACGATTTTGAAGGAGCGGGCGCCGAAATAGTGGCAAACCGATAAGTCCTCAAGGCCCTGTAGACTGTCTACTAGATTCGCTGCGCTTGTGGGGTTATCGGGGGAATAGAGCAGGTGGACGATGCTGACGGACAGAAGAATGTGTGTTATGATGAGATGGCATGCCCGCATGTCATAGTAGCGCCTGTAAAGCCGGAGCAGGTCAGTTACCATGTTGGCGCTATCAATGCAAATATCTCTAGGTCGAAGATCGGAGTGGATGAGATCGACCTTGAGCATTGGCCGAAACAGATGTACGAGTACCGTGTAGTACAGCATACTGTGAAGATCATTAGAGAAGCCCTAGAGCGACAATCTTGGACGGCGCGACTTACTGGAGGACAATGATGTGAGGGGGTGGCTGCCCTCCATCGGTAGGAAGACTCAGCGATGACGGCAAACTCTTGTACCAGAGTTGATACTTGTTGTACATGTCGAGAAGACGCCGGCTCGTGAATCGTTCTTTCGGGGCAAAATACATAAAATTGTTGTCATTAATGAGCTCGGACAGAGTGCTAAATTCCTGTAGGAAGACACGGCTGGTGACCATTCCAGGAGTGACTTGGCTATAGAAGTCTTCTTCGAGTATCGGCTTGTCGACAGTAATAGCTGCTTGGGGCAACTGTGATATCCTGCCGACGCAGAGGGACCACACGCTGAGGAGAGTCAGTGCCGTGAGTCTCAATCATAATTGTGATGTGATGATACTCACGTTTCCAGAGTAAAGCAACCCCAAAAAGTCACCTTTCGCACCTCCACTTCTGATGGTGTCAGTGTCAAGTCAGGCGACGTATCTTTCAAGTGCAGCCCGAGCTCCACGGCCATGCGCATGCATCTCCCAATGTACATGAAGCCAGAACTATCCCTCCCGGCAGAGGGCTCACGTATCGACATGACACACAGTGCCTGTGTTGTGAGCAGCGATGGAGTCTCGTCTTCGTAGAGTAACCTCCGCGCCTCTGCGAAAAAGTAATCGCCCGCTGTCCGAAAGTTGTCCGGGTCGCTGCGGCCAGCAGGATCATCCGTGAAATGACAAGCATAGGCTAGAATTGCATTGACAAGTAATGGGCTACAGTACTTTTGTCGCCCGCTTCGAAAGTCCTTGTAGAAGCATTCACGCGAGAATGCGACATAGAATGGGTGCGACCAGCGGAAGTATAGATCGAGTAGTCGTTCCACGAAACCGATGTCGTCCGTCACGGTCGTCCATGTGCCATTGCGACGATTCTCGAGGGCCTGTCCTGGTTGTATTTGTGCCCTTGTGTAGTCTTCATCCTCTGGCACCAATCCCAAACTAGAACTGTGACCAAAGTGCCTCGACTGACCTGTCTTCGTAACGGATGGCTTCCCGATCAAGAGTGATAGATCATGCTCCAATGAAGCATGCTCGGATGCACTATGGATCGGTAGAGTCACTGTCTTCTTCCAAGTGTCTGCGAGGCTTGCGATATCGAGGACGGGGTCCTTGCGAATGTGCTGGATCAGCTCGTACGCTTCGGCATCGGGCAAGTTGCGAATGGAATGAATTAGGAATTCTGCATTGTCACCAGAGTCGACAATACTCGAATTGTCGCGCTTCTGTGAGGACGACGGAGCAACCTTGGTGCGGCGGCTTTCACTTTGTTCGTCATAGTGGCAAGGCGTTTTGTACTTCCAATGTGGTCAGCTGTGATGGAAGTTGAAAAAATGTCACAAAGGAGGAGGTTAAAAAAACCCTTACCACGGCAGTACAGGTGGCACAGTTGGGCTTTCCACCATCACACTACTCAATAAAGATCAAGGTCAGCAATGCAACACGTCATGCGGGTACCCGATCCATCGTATCATTATTAGTCCGCGGAGTCCAAGCCCCAGCAGCTTTCTCGTAGCCACAGCGAACGACCCACGTCGATATAAAGTTCGACAGGATGCGGCGGGATTATGCTCACCTTTGACTTGCGTTTCCTACAAGGCACACAAGCAGACTGCACACATCTTCTTTTGCTCGTTTTGGGTTCGCTTTGGGAAGAGTCGTCGCCCTCGCTCTTGACGTTTCCGCCACGGACCATCTTTTGATATGGTATGGAGCGTCTGGCTGTCTGGATTTGATCGAGAGGGCATCAAGGGCAGATAGGTAGGCGACAGGATGAATAGATGATCAGTAGAGGTTGTCACCTATGGGGTGCTTCATGCTCAGCAAATCTCCAAGCATAAGCGGCGAAAAGAAGGTAAGAATGATGTGTGTATGCAAAGTTTAGAGCCTATGGGGAAGCTGGACTGGACTGGGCCTGCAGAGTAGCATGGTGGGGATGTAATCTGAACGTTCAAAGGAGGCGAATTGATCATCACAGTACGTGGCCCATGCTCGACCGATTTATGGATGGCGTCACAGGCACCGAAAGGGTGAATTAGACGATGAAAAGACGATTAGACAACTGGACGCTTTGATGGTTCGAAGATCAACATTGGACGGACAGGCGCGGGGATGTGGAGCTCTCTCCCGTCCTCACAGAAATGGGACAATATGTGTTGAGCAATGGATCCTGAGGAACGTGGGGTTTTGTGCCCGTTTCCTGTCTGATGGGATATTCGACCGTTCAGCATGCATGCGAAATTCCCCCGTTCAGTGGACCTTTCCGATGGAGTGGTGATGTGCGAAACTCGGAACGATGCTATAAACTTTTTCTGCTTCTGGCGCGGGCTATGGAGCAGAAAGAAAGCGTGTGTGACGCGCCGTTCCCTACACCCCTACTTTCGGTGTACATTGCCGAGCGAATTCCAGCTTCCATCCATCCCATCCTCAAAATCCATCGTTGCTTGCCTGAAATTGGTCGCCAACCCTTCCCCTCTAGCAATTTTGGCGCGACCGTACGCCACATTGTCCTTTGCTCTGCACTCCGTTCACCGCGTTCTTTCATCATGAATACTTGACCAAATTGCCCATTCCCGTCGTTCCCATTGGCTCAGGCGTTCCATAGCTCGGCAGTCTGCCCTATCACCGCCGCCGTTGCGCGGACTCATGTCATTGCCATGGTTGACCGCATTCTCTAGCATTGTACTACTGCATTCGTGTTCTAGTCGCTGCCCACCATCGGTCTCACCAACGTGTCGCCGGAGGGACTCTCCGCGACACTTTCGTCACAATGTCATTGGACCTCTTCATGCCTTGTGCACAGGCACAACGCCCTTGAGCGGGGGCAGCAGACTTCGGCTCGCCTCGCGAGCCTTTTGTGCCATGACTGCATCAATGATAACCAATGCGGCCATTGCCTCGACAATGGGGATTGCGCGAGGCACCACGCAAGGATCGTGCCTTCCCTTTGCCTCGAGCACTCCCTCCTCCTGATCATACGTCGCCGTGGTCTGTGCCTGGCCGATCGTGGCCGGTGGCTTGAATGCAACTGTGAAGTAGATGGGTGCTCCGTTGGTGATACCACCCTGAATGCCTCCCGAGTTATTTGTTTTAGTTGTCAGGCGGGGTCTGGGGACCGATGAGCTTGTTCCAGTTTCCCCTGCAGGTATCGCAGGCGCTTTGATGAAAGGATCATTGTGAATGGAGCCTGGAACCTGGCAGCCACCGAAGCCAGACCCGATGTCAAAGCCTTTGGTGGCTGGAATGCTCAACATCGCATGCGCGAGTGTAGCCTCCAGCTTATCGAAGCAAGGTTCGCCAAGGCCGCTGGGACAATTCCGAATTACGCAAGTCACTGTTCCACCGATGCTGTCCTCGCGCTCCTTGAAGTCTCCGACTAGCTTCTCCATGCGTTTACTGACTTCCTCATTGGGCGTGCGGACGGGAAGGAACTCGTCCACGGTCTTACGATCGATGGTTTCAATGAGCTGGAGAAACGCAGGGTTCGTGGCCGATGTAGGATGCTCTGGCGTAGGGGGGAAAAGGAACTCGTTGCCAATTGATGAGGTGAATGCGACGATCTCGACGCCGAATGCCTCGCGAAGATACTTTTCAGCGATCGCGCCTGCTGCGACACGGCCTGAACAGGAAGAATTGGTTAGTCTTTCCCATTTTACATTGAAGGATGCATCCATGTTAGGTCGACGTTGGAGAAAGGAAGGAGTTGGCGAGAACACAATCAACAGATATGTAAGATCAATGCAACTCACCTATTGTCTCTCGCGCACTGCTTCTTCCGCCACCAGAGCTTGCCTTGACACCGTACTTCTCGAGGTAGGTCCAGTCTGCGTGACTGGGACGGGGGTACAGATCCATTGTCTTGTTTCCGTAGTCTTGCTTGCGCTGGTTCTCGTTCATGACCTTGATTCCGATCGGTGTGCCCAGTGTGATACCAAATTCGGTTCCAGACTGTATCTCGACGCGGTCCTTTTCGTTTCGCGGGGTGGTGATTGCGGACTGACCGGGTCGTCTACGAGTCATCTGGGGCTGGATGTCGTCCTCTGTGAGGGCCATGCCTGGTGGCACACCGTCGACAATGCATCCCACAGAAAGACAGTGAGACTCGCCATAGCTGGTAACACACGGAAAGTTAATTGGGGATGTCCATGCGCCGAAATGGATGCCAGATGTGGGAAGGTACCTACGTGGTTACTCGAAAGTGGTTTCCGAATGTAGACATTGTGTCTGACTTGGGTGGGTATGGGGGACCAAAAATGAAGAAGAAGAGACAAGAAGACCGAAGAAAGAAAGAAGTGAGCTAATTGATAAATGTGCCTTTGAGGAGGGCGGTTATTGTTTTTATTAGTCTGCTGGCGTCAGGTTGGAGTCAGAGGGGTGATGTGAGTACGAAATATTCAGTGAACTAGTCGTAGTCAATTAATTAGGCGGTCGGTGGGGGAGTTCGGCGGTGGGTCGGAGAGAATGAGAGCGCGTGGGGAAATATATTTATCCTCTACGTAAGGTACCTCGTACGTACACAATAACGACAACCCTCTGGGTTATATAAGGGAAAAGACTGGTTGGCCGGCTACTACTTATATTCAATACTACAAGATCTACATTGTTGTTGCATCCTATCAGTTGCATTACATTTGTATGGTGACTGTGCATCTACCCGTCGTACTCGTTCGCTGACCCGACCTACAAATCCGACCGAGATCGGCCTATTTCAGGTTATACCCAATGCAGTAATTACCTTTCCTTTCTCTCAATTGACGTATGTCCGGAGTATGTACATTTTAACTATTACTTGTACTGTGTAAGTACCAAGGTACCTTGGGTGGGTAGGAAGTTATTAATTAATTGATCAACCATCTATCGAACAAATCACATAAATCTGAAAAGAAAGAGCCTCCTCTTGTGCACGAGTGTCCCACCAACCTTGTCCCTGTCGCACTCGTACAACGGATTCCGCAATGATGACGATCTTTTCACCCAGGAAGCGGCTGTACAACGTCGGCCCGCCAACATAGGAACGGTCCGCACGCACGTGTCTTTCCTTTCCTACAATATGTCTCACAAAACCATTCCTAAAGTGATGACGATTACCTAGATAGGTATTCACTGGGCAAGATTTGAATCACTTCATTACGTCACTTACAATTCTTGTGTCCTGTCTAGGGGAAATGACATGAAAAGAGCCAGTACCGTATGTATTGTACCTAGGTAGTCAGTCTACCGGGCATTTGCTTTTTTCTCATGAATAATTCTACGTTCTATCACAAGTATGCCCATAAGGATGACTGAGAACGATAGACATGATGAAGGTGTTCATAAATTTATTTCTTATGACGATTTGAACGGGGTATTTCGCTAATTATAAAGTACAATATGGATTCCGTACATGGTGAACAATATAAGGACTTCGGGAGTGGAAAGGAAAGATGATGTGAAGATGAAATTCAACCTTTCGTGATGGTCTATACCACACATAGCATTACCTACGCTTTCCAGCCTCTACCAGTGTCTGTGCCGTGCCCGCTCGTTCTTCATAAAGCCTGCGGAGATCATCCACGGATGCCTTCTTCAGATTGAGCTTGCGCGGTGCTGTCGGGGGTGCAAGTGACTGTTTTCGGTTGGACACCTCAAATGATGGCATCCTCTGGAGTAATCCTGGGGAAGGCGTCCTTGGTTTTGGTCCTGGTCCCGGTACTGGGAGCGAGGTTGACTTGGAAGCAGGGCGATTGGTGATGGGGTTGACAGGCTGGAAGATGGGTCTTGCAAGGGACGTGATATTGGGAGTTCTGGTTGCTGATGCTGGTAGGCTGGGCCGGCGGAATTCGGGCATGGGTACAGGCTTTTCAGGTAAAGCCCCCGCAGAAACAATTGTCGTGGGTGAGCCGTCCTCGGACCCTGCCTGTGATGACTTGCCATCAAGTGAGGTCCTTGTTGATGAGACTGGTTTCCGTTTTGGCGGCCCACCGGCGATGTTGAGATTGGCCAATCCAGGAAGTGCAATCCCGCCATCAGAGGCTTTGCGAGCTTGTGCCTGCACAACACCGGATGTTTCAGCATTGTCAACCTGCTCTGCTGTCAGGGCTTTTCTCTTAGGTAGCACGATTTGAGGAGCATGAGAATCGCCAACGCTGTTCGTACCAGTTTTCTTATCCTCAGGTGAACTCCATTCTGTTGGACGTGTTGGAGCGAAGCCATCGGTCACTGCTGCGTAGCTGGCGGGCGATTCCGCAACGTTCGTGGGGCTGTCTGTAACTATGGTGGAATATCTAGGAGGTACCTGAAGGGGAGGTGCGGGTTTGCGTCTTGTGATTGCCTCACTGGAAGATTGCCCGGACGCCGACTTGGGCTGCGATGGCGTAGATCGCGGAGGCAAGGGGGGTGGCAGAGCATCGCCGTCCTCGTTGTCCTGAAGAATTATACCAGTTACTTGGTTCTCATCGTCTGGGTCTCTTTCTGCACGATTTGCTTTACCTTCAACAGGGTCATCCCAGTCCCTGACATCGGCAGGCAGGCGGAGCTCTTCTTCAAAAGCACTCGCCTTGACACCACAGGCCTCGCAGAGGCCCTCACCCCATAGCTCGATCGCCACTGTCAGAATCCGTCGTACAATCGACGACATCTTCGCATCTTCCAACTGATCGGGTCCGCATAGTAGTGCCGGTGCGAGGCAGACAGCTAGATTCTCAGGGGTCATCTTGTTGTCCTCTTTTCGGGCAGCGACCCTGCTGAGAAGTGGCAGGAGATGCCTGGTAAGAATCTCACGAGATATTGAAGGCAGGAACGACCATTCGGAAGAGGGAGATAACAAGTCCGTAAGCTTTTGCTGATCTGGGAGATCATCTGGATCTCCATACAATCGCTTGAGATCGCGGTATGTTGCCTGCGTAAATATGGGCTGGCGAAGGTCCGCATACCATGCCTTCACTAGTGCGGCAGCCATAAAAACCGAGTATGCATCCCGGGGATCAATCTCCATTATGATCTCGTCTTGATGCTCTGCATTTGGATATGGAGGCACTGGCAGAGTAACTCCGTTATCTTTGAAAACGATGTACTTCTGTCCCCTGTTATAAGCCTCCTTCAAGACATCCCTCAGCTTGGCATGTGCGGGAACTCTGAACAGCCCCTCGGATTTGATGTTCTCCTCCATGAGAATGAAAGTTGAGGTCTCTCGCAGAACGCGGGGAAGACGAGTCTTGCCATTGACGCTGTTAGGAAGCGGTTGGCGTGCAACGAATGCCCGCCGACCGGTCGCAAAGGGAGCAAAGACATCGTCGGCGACGCGGCGATCATATAGATAAGTCGAGGGTGGAATCAAGAGATCCTCAATAGGCAGTTGGAATGCGAGATTGCTGAGTGTTGATGCTACAGGCTGTTAGCAGAGCCTTCGACGACAAGAACTTACACAATTATCAAATTCTCACCATGAATAATCTTTCTGCGGAACTTTGGGCTAACAATGGTGGAGAAAACTTCCGTGAGAATCCTAACCCAGGCTTTCTCATGCACAATGTACAGTTTTTGAAGCCGCTTCCGCATTGCTCTCGAGAGCACATGATAGGCCTGCAAGAACCAACCCCAGCCAGGTCTGTTCTTCTTGTTCGTTACTGAGCCATCTGAATCACCGGCAAAGAAAACGACTTCGTATTCATATCCCCGCAGCAAGTCGTCTTCTTCGGGGAGGCGGGCGAGCACATAGGGGAGGAGCTGGTCGAAGTCGGATTCGCGAGTGTCTGGCAGCGCAGCGGCATTGAGAATGTAGATTGGTCTATGTTCTTTGGAAGGAATGGGTGAACGGAAAAGAATGCTGGCGGCAGCCCGGGCAAGATCTGGTTTGTAGTCGTTGGAACCCTCACGTGGAGGGACTGCAGAGAGGGAGGAACTGCGCAGGCGATTCGCGAGGTGGGCACGCACGCCACTCATGGCTGCGAATGGTTACGAGAGGTAGGAATACTATGCAGGAAGAGGCGTTCACGTGGTGGAGGGGGTGCAGCGATCTGAATAAATGTCCGATGAGATTATCGAGGATGCGGATGCGGAGACGATCGGTGATGATAGAGGTAAACGGAGGTAAATAGGGCGGCGTGCGGGTAGGCGACGTCACTTGCTTGTTTGGTCTGGCGGCTTGTCAAGGAATGTGGCTGGAGGAGTTACTCTGCCAAGATTATACCACGTGACGTGTCGCACCCTGATTTGACCTCCACTCTCGTCACTCTCGTCACTCTTTAAAGCCTCCCTTTGTCCCTTTAGAATCTACAGGCGCATTCCTTTTCAACACGGTTGAACCCTGAAGAAGTTCCTTTCTTTCAACTCAAAGATGTCACCAGTGGCACCATCTGTCTTTCTTCCCTGCCTCGCCGAGTTAATCCCTCGACCAAACAAGGACGATAAAGTCACACAAAGCAATATAATCTCTCAGTAGCGTGATTTGGCATCTTGCCGGATATCCATTCTATGTTTCTCTATCAAAATTCTTCCACTTGGTTCTATTCGATTGATCCACAGCAGGCCATGGGTCTATGCAAGGCCTCCCCTAAGATGAACCCCCAATATCATCCTTTCCATGCCGCTAGACGATGCCAGGATACACGCTCTTGTCATACTTCTGAGACCTCCTAGGACACTGCTCTCTCTCTTGCACATTCGCATGCTCATGGTAAACACACAAGTTGAGATCGTACATCGGATCCAAGCTGCCCCCCATTACCTTCGACATAACCTGTGAATAGCGGCGGAAAGCAGCAGCCTGGAATTCCATACCTGCCTCCATCAAAAGAGTAGATTCCTCTACCATGATATCAATGTTCGCAATGTGATACCTGCAGAATACATCAACCAGCATCTGTCGGAGCAACGAGGCCTTCGGCGCCGCAATGTAATGATCCACGAGTGTTGACCATTGTGGACTGGGCATGTTTGAGCTGGTGTACCAGTCGTGTAGAGCATCCAAGGCGTCACGCTGAAGATTGGGGATGTGATACAGTTTACCGAAGTAGTGAAGCTGCATCAAGGTTCCGTCGCAATCGTTGACGGTCCGGTTATTGGCTGATTTCCATTCCTTAACGATATCCATGAGGCTGTAACTAGAGCCGCTTGAGAAGCGCATAGTCGAACAATAGAGCCATGTGACGAAGATATCGAACAGCTCTACGTCTTCCATTGGCAGCTCATGCCTGTTCGTCTTCTCCACGCGATATTCGGCAAAGAGCCCTCCGCTGTGTTCAGGCCATTGTTCCAGAAGACGCGTATGAATGCAATAGCTTTTTTTGTTCCCCTCGAGACTGAGAACCGACGTCGTCGATGCGATTGCGTCCCTAACGTTCTGTCAGCAAAGACTATGACGTTCCATTCAGTCATCACTGACGCAAAGAATCGCTTCGACATTGCAATAGGCTCCACTTCTTCGGTTCGGATGCAAAGATCTCTTGGCATCTGTTTCGGCATATTGTTCGTTCTGCACGAGTTCACTGTCTCTGGTTGATTCTGCGATTGAGCGTGGGTGATGATATTTATGACATTGTGTTCGCAGTCCGGTGGACCGTATGATCTGCGAACGAGCAACTCTACAGCAAAGGTGAACAGCTTTGCTATGGTACACAAACACACTGGATTTTGCTAGTCGCGTGATAGTCTACGGCCTTGTCAACGGAAGATTCAGTATGGCAAAGGCTGAACATCATCATATCGAAGGGAGACCGCCGTCAAGATTTGTTTTCTGCGATCCACCTTATGCATTTGTTAGCAATTTTGAACCAAAAAAGGAAGCTGAAAAACCTCTTTGCGTCAGGTTTGATTGCAGAAGCGAAATGAGAAATCATAGCAAGCTCTTTGATCATCAGTAGCCGATTGTTACTTACAAACAGCTGTTCTGTTCCGAAAGAGTCTGTCATTCATTTTGTCCAATCAAATTTTAACCATACCGGCCTCTGTGCAAACTACTACGTGCTGAGAACCATTTGGATCAAAAGTTAAGAAGTACGAAATTGCTGTCATTAGTGTCCTCGTTGTTATGTGCCATTGTGTTTCGATCGTCCTCAGAAGTACCATAACCGCTTTCACCTGTTAGCTCTATGCATTACTGTGGAAAGTATTCGAAACCGCCCGAAGAAGTTGCAGTAAACTCACTTCTATTCAAATTACCCAATATGCATCAAATCTAGCCTTTCAAAAATAGATCTCCACGGCTTTATCCGTCATGGGAGAAATACATGGATTTGATTAAAGCACACCCTCAGAACCGTAGCCCCCAAAAACCCAAGTCGACATCGGTCCGAAAGGGGAAATCCATCTTGTATTGGCATACAGGCATGTTGTGTTGGATGCATTACTATTCGCTAAATTTCGCAGGGTGTGTTGTGATGTGGCCCCGAGTGGCTGCGTGCCGCGTTTCGAGAGGCGACGAGGGTATTGCAGCCTGAGAGGCCAGGCAAGCACTGAACTTCAGCTGGTGGTGGAGCTGGTGCTTGTCGATAACGAACGGCGCACAGGTTGCCAGACATGTTATATCACTGACTTTCGAAGCTTTAGTCTGACACAATAATGAACTTTGAGTAATCCCTGTGTTTGAGCTTCTTTTGTGTCCGAAATGGCGACAGACGATCTTCTTGCGCCCAGCTCAGCGCTCTCGACGCCTTCGACACCTCAGCCTCGTGATGGTCAAACATTTGATAATACTGGATATTGTGTTCTATCGCTGGATGGTGGCGGGGTTCGTGGGCTCTCGACGTTGTATATTCTAGATAGCATCATCAATGGAATCAACAACGAGCGGAGAGAGGCAGGATTGCGCCCACGGAAGCCATGCGAGATCTTTGATCTGATTGGGGGTACGAGTACGGGCGGGTGAGATTCAAACATTCCAAAGAGCGACTCGGTCATAGATTGACTGATTATTCTTTAGGCTCATTGCTATCATGCTAGGGCACCTCGAAATGACAGTTGGAGAGTGTATCGAAGCGTACATCAAATTGATGCAGCAGGTCTTCGAGAAGAAAGTCAATCGCTCATTCAAGGGTGTAGGGCTCTTTGGAACGGTGCAAGCACGGTTTTCTTCGAAAGCCCTCGCGGATGCAATCTCTCAGGTCATCAAAAGCCGTGGAATATCTTTGGATGAGAAATTTGAGAACGGAAACAAGCCGAGGTGCAGAGTGTGAGTTATACCTATGGAAATTGCACGAAACCACTCAAGGCCATTTGTCTAATTGCAGGATACAGCTTTGTTTGCACCAAATATCAGAAAACCAACGTTGTAACCCGCCTTCGCAACTACCGTGTACGCACAAGCTCTGATCGAGGTCCCACGATCCTTGAAGCCGCTCTCGCGACAACGGCAGCGCCGACGTACTTCGAAGGAGTTGCAATAGAGGGGAGCACATATGTCGACGGCGCTCTTGGTGCGAACAACCCGACGATTCAAGTTGAGGAGGAAGCAACTGACCTCTGGTCTGAATCGGATGGCCAGATCCAACCGCTGATTAAATGTTTCATATCCATTGGCACCGGCGAGCCAGGCTTAGGAAGTGTATCAGACAAAGGGTTCAGAAAGCTCATCGAAACCCTGAAGAAGGAGGCCACGGAGACCGAAAAGACAACAGAGCAATGGTTAGGCAGATGGCGACAACACGTTGAAAGGAACCGATGCTTCCGATTCAACGTGATCCATGGGCTTGAAAACGTGAGGCTCGAGGAGTACAAGGAGCGGGATGTGATTCAGTCAACTACGGACACGTATCTGCAAAGTCGTGGGACCCAAACCAATGTGAGGAAGTGCGTGGAGAACTTGCGAATGAAGGAGTGTACGTATAGCGCCTAGATCTAGGAATTGAGTCTTGTTCAAATGCACTAACTGATGATGCACTGTACATAGATGAGCCAACTGCAGGCTTCATGCGGCGATTGTTGGAAGAAGCAACGGGGAATGCAAGCCAACGCCCTTCACAGTCTCAGGGAAGAGCAACCCCACAAGAAATTTGTAAGATTGATTCCCGAAGTAGGTTTAATTTACTCTGTATCTTATGAAGCAATCAGTGGAGCTTATCCAAAACGGAAAAGAGCTACTTAAAAAGAGTTCCGATCAAGTCACTCGGAAAGAACTCCTGCAGGCCCGCCACTACCTCTCGAAGGCCCTCTTCCACATGAAAAACGAACCCAACACATCAGTCAAACAATTTGCACGCGTATGCCAACAGCTCATGGAGGCAGAAATGAAATTAAGCAGGACCACGTCCAATCCCGTCGAGCGTCAAGCTCATGTCGACCAAGCGCACAACTATGGGCAGGCAGCGTTAGACAACGCATACAACTGTCAAGATGAATTTATGGTCGCGCAATTCGACTTCTTGCTTGCGACTGCTACGGCATGGAGGATATATGTGGAGGCTAGGTCGAAGGGAATGACACCCAGAGATCATGAAGGGAGTTGGGGTATCTACGCACTTCTGGATGAAAAGCTGGGGGAATTGAAGAAATTCCAACATCCTAATATTAGGCACTTTGAAGCACAGGCGAAGAAGTATCAAGGCTATGTTACGAAGACTATTTGATGGCGGAAGTAATTTTCAATGACTTTATTGCGTCATAGTTTTCCCTAATGTGGACCCGATCATTCCCATAGTCTTCTCACTAAAATACATAGAACCTGTCCTAGAAACTCCCATGTACACCAGTCATGTTCTCCATTAGACATATATAGGAAATTTAATATTGATGTTGGAAGCGCTGGGGCTGGAAGCCGGAGAGAACCGTATTGTGTTCCACCGTCCCAGAAAGCATCGACCTGGAGTCCTCTGGTGTGACTTCTGGCATATGTGCGATAGTGGATGGTGGAGAATGATACGGCCCGGGGAACTGAGTGATAGGGTGTACTGGAGGCGGGTTATAGGGCTGTAGAGGTGGCGGTTTGGGTGTTGGTGTGCACCATCGAATCATGTATCTGATGAAGAAGGCAAGCAGTATGAGCCCGACTATGCTTCCAATGACGATTCCGATAATGGTTGTAATTGACAGTTTGTTTGAAGACGACGAAGACCCTGACGAGGACGACGATGAGCCAGTCGGCCCTAGACCAAGAGTACCAGTTGTTCGAGTTGCGAAGCCAGCTCCTGTGGTTGACGCACGGTTTGCATTTGGTGTTGCCGGAGGCACATAGGGATATCCCTTCTGAGAGCAGTAATTGGCGTAGATACTTCCAGCGCTGGCAGCATCAATAGCGACATCGCCGATGTTGCACTTAGTCGAGACACAACTCGACAAGATGTCTTGAGCGGGCTTTTGTAGATCTTGTCTGCAGTAGCAATCGTTCTTCGCCTGCCAGTTCATAGAGTTGCAGTCAGTGTGCTCAGCACAACTAATTGCACTTCCTAGAATATCGTTGGGACAGAATCCAGTGTTCACGAAACAGGATCGTGCACAAGCTTTTTGCGACGGAAACGCAGGCATGTTCGTGACGTCTTGGGTTATCGATCCAACTTCAACCTGAGCAATCGCCATAGTTTGAAACAATAGGAATGATAGGTGCAAGCACCAATATCGAGTATGAGAATTATGGCGTGCCATCTTTCGTTGGTGGTGGTAACAGTATTTCTTGGGTTATGGATCAGGAGCAGGTGAGGAACTTGAAGGGCTGGTTACTGAACGCTACAAAGCCATTATTGCTGGCTTAAAGGTCTTCTGCAGTGACTCAAATACCAATGCAGGGGTGTATTCAGCTTGTCCTCCACAGCGAGAACCAAACGCCAAAATCACAATCTGCTGTGTATGCGTGATAACAAAAGCAGGGGTGGAACGACGATCACCCGCTTAATTCTTCTGTTCCTGGCCTCAAGAACAGGCCCCAAACGCATCGTGCCGCCCGGCATATTGGTTACCAAATGTTGGCGAATGGAGGCCTCGAGTTTGTGGTACTTGGAGTGCGCCACATGTTGGTGGTCCACCAGTCGCGTGCTTGTGTTCTCTCCAAATATATCTTTTGTCAATGCCAACTCCCTAATTGTGCTACTGATGAGGAGCGAGAGGATGATATACAATTATAGATGTGAGATCGAGCGGAAAGGTCCGCTAGACCGTCTTTATAGGCCGGTGATTAGTGGGACCCATTCACCTTTGCTTTTCCTCATACAAGTCTCCGTCAATCCTGGGGGCTGATTATTTGAACTAGCGCTCTGTGTACGGCGACTTGACAGTGGGCGGATATTATGATGCTGGGTAACAGACCGATTACGAGCAAGTGCTATCAACTGGTTCTGCCGATGAAATCTCAACATATGGTCTTCTAAACTACGGAGCAGTTGAAAGAATAAGCTGGTTGCAGCTAATGAGAGTGTTGCAAATTGTGGGCTAGAATCATGCAGTGCGACTACACGTGTGTACGAGTGGCTTCAAGTAATTTACTTTTTGTGTTCAGGCAAAGCTAGGCATTTTCCACAAAGAGCGGAGAATGTGCTGACGGCATGTTAACCAGCAGCCGCACTGTCAAGAAATTAATTGCAGCCTACTAGAGCTTTAATTCATGCTGGGAAAGAGGCTGGGGAATTTGATAAATCAGACTGAGGCACATGTCGATTCTTGAGAACGAAAAGAAAAGTGCTATGCATTATTCTCGTAAGCGCCATCGCAGAAGAAAGAAGGCGGCAGAACATTTGAAATTCAATGGAAATGCAAGTTCGATAACCTGCCTGATTTAGGTAGAGATCTATGGAGTGAAGATCTACTTTCACATTGTAATGAGCGATCTCAGATCTGGCTCACCGTACGCTCCGAAATCCAATATACTGAACGGATCTGCAATATCCATCTGAGTTCCATACAGGCCTGTAACAAAGCTCTCGGGTATCATGCTTATTCCTCTAGAGCCATAGTGGCTATGATTGCTATTGTACTGTTGAGCTAAGTATCCTGGATCGATGAATGACGGGTCAGGCGCATTATCTTGTTGGGCTACTTCCATCGGTACTGACCCTTCCTGATTAGGCTCAATACCTCCATGGACTGCTGATTGGGCGGGTTGTTCATTGGTACCAGCCTCCTTTTCGAGCCACAATGTTGAGAGTAACGAGCTATGTCTTGCGGCGATATGCTTCTCACAGGACGCTGCTGCACCAAGATTGTTGGTATACCGCTTAATGATTTCGGCGCATTCTTTGTGCTCTTCTGCATTAAGAGCACCATAAGACGATGCCTTGTAAAGAAAAACAGCGCAATGAATTGCGTATAGGTAGAAACGAGGCCCGAGGAAACGTAAGTGCTTGGTGGGATTTATGCGATCACCAAGCATTCTAAGAACAGATTTAGCTGCGCTTATCGATAGATGTATATGCCTTCCATCTGGAGTTGCGAGAATTCCATGCGGAAACTTCGAAACCGGCTTCTCTTGAGAAGAGTTAGGCGGCGTCCCAGGTGCACGACTAATGGCAGCTTGAAAAGCGAAGCCATGAATGTACAATCGTGTATACTCATACTGGAGATCCAGTATGAGCTTCAGATGCTGTCCAACATCCAAATGAACCCAGGCTTGTTTCCATGCAGCTAGGCCTTGCATGCTGTCGTCAAGATACTTTGTGTAATCACCCATGACCATCAAACTGATACTTCGAGCTTTACTGGCATACAGTAGATCGTGTATGTTTCCAAACAAAACCGTCAGTTCCATCTGAGCTTGCAGTACGCTAGCGTAATCGTCTTCGTATGCAGTATGCGGCGCAAGAGTAGGGAAATCGCTGGCTGTAAATTTGGCAGATAGACTAGGACCACGGCACCAGAAGGCTTGGCCCATACGAATTGAGATCTGTCGGTCGGCGATGTATGTGTAGGTCCAGGCTAGACGTTTTCGATGAAGCGTTGCGTTGCACTCATCCGCCGACTCGCTGCGAAAAGCGTACTTATCTAGGTGTAGGAGATATGCTTGTCTGACTGCAAGGCCAATCAAGGTCCACGCTGCTGTATCTTCAGTCCCTGCAAGGCCTCCAGTACCTTTCTCGGACACGTTCATGTGGCTCGAAGTTGCATGGGGAACCCATTCTGCAAGAACAAGAAGACCTTCAACGCATCCAACTGTCCGGGCTTCCATGGATCCCAATACAATTTGCAATAGCATACGTTGCATTGAGTCCCACAAACGATCGTGTAATGCCGCATATTCTGGTTTATCTTTGGTGGCAATAAGAAGAACAGCGGTGAGAATGAAAGGTTCTTCTGCCGCCGTCTTATCAATACTCCTGATCGAGAGAATATGGCGAGGTACAATAGGCATGAATGCGTGGTAGGTGTCGTGATAACGCTCTAGCAGTGGTCCCAGGGCTCTGGGATCCAAGAACTCGAGGCCTGTTGCTTTAGGCGTAGACCCTGCCTGACTCCCTCCATGAACGGTAGTATCTTGAGAATCAGTGCCTGATTTTTCACCAATCTGCGTCTCGTTGGGGGAGGTTTTGTTGGTGTTTAGGTCACGCTGCTCTTCATTGTCTTTGGATGCAACCTTGGCGAGTAATTCGAGCGCTTCAAGAGGGTTCTGGAGACCCGACGAAGACGTGTTACTTTGTGATGGAGGGACATTGCTGTTTTCAACTCGAGGCGTGCCCTGGCCAGTGAGTCTGTTGGCTTCTGGGACCTTCTTTCGAGTCCGTGGTTTCGGTGTGCCGCCTGCCCTTGCTGTCCGGTAATGCGTATAATCACCCCCTCGTCGGGACCCTGCGAGTACGCATTCAAGGCCCTCGTTGTAGCATTTTACACATGGCGGCTTGCCATTCTCCCCAATGCTCTTTCTACAAAGTATCAACATGTCTTCGAAACATGTGGAGCTCGTCGGATGTACTGTACTTACAGATCACACTTGACCTTACGGCTTCTGCATCGACTGCATGCCCGATAGATACGTTCACCAGTACTCAATGTCATCCTTGCGGTCTACCAGGGTGAAAGAAGACTGGGGAATTGGTGAACTGGCATAAGCGAAATCATCCTAGATTTGTTTGGCGGCGTGGGCCTGAAAATGGATAGATAATGGACACTCTGGGGTCGGATGCATTCTCCACACCTTTTGCCGTGCGCTAACCCACTCGGAGTCGGTCCGATTACCAGCCCCCCGCAGATTCGGTTTTAGATGATTGACCATGGCAACGGCTATAGATGGTTGCATGTTTTCGCCCTTTTACGGCATCTGCATCGAGTGGAGCAATTGTAAGCTGCAGAATTGGCCACAGAATATCACGCGATGATTGACAAGTCAGATATAAATGTGGACTTGTATCGTAACGGAAGACCATTCAACCGACTTCTGATTCAATATCGCTTTCATACAATCTTATGCTCCATCATTGTATATTTTATCACTATTCAACATGGCTCCAGGAGTATTGACTGAGACTCCACCAACCAATTTGGAACACAGTGGGACGAAAAAAAGTCACACTGCTCAGGACAACTATGGAAACTACTTTCCTGTGGAGCCCGAGAAACTCAGCCTCGAGTCGAATTATGGGCCCATGAAGCCTGGTACTGTTGGCTATCTTCAACCAACGTCTGCCGATACTCCAATCGATGTGATGCATGAGCGCTTTAAGCGAGATGGGTATCTTCATGTTTGTTTCCCTACTTAAGGAACGTCTCCCCACTCTTCATTTGGCTAACAAGTCCTCAAGATCAAGGACCTTCTTCCCAAGGACAAGGTCCTACAATGTCGAAGAGCATACTTCGAACACATGTCACCATCTGGGCTCCTTAAACCAGGCTCGGACCCGGTCACAGGAACGTACTGTGGTGCTGACTCTCGAAAGTATATGCCACCTGGTAACCTTCGTCGTCTCTTTGGCTTGAAGGACGATCCTGAATCGGACAAATACGTGGAGCTTATGATAAGCGCACACGAAGCGGAGTTTTACACCAATTTCTGTGAGATAAGCGAGCTTCGAGACTTTGTCAGAAAGTTTACAGGGTGGGAGAAGGAAATCATGCTTCAGCGAACTATGTTGCGGGCATTCGTTCCCAATTCAGAGTTGACGCCAGTACACTACGATCAGATGTACTTGCGTGGTGGGCCTCCCACTAGCCTCACCGCTTGGGTTCCCATTGGTGATGTCTCGCTCGAAGGTGGAGGTCTGATGTATCTTCAGAACTCCGACGACATTGGCCGAGCAACAGAGGAGGAATTTGCTCGAAATGCTGGAAACTTGACTGAAGAAGAACGCGTTTCCGCTTTCAATAAGAACATGAATGATGGCGGGTTTTTGAGTAGGGATACAGTTGAATTTGGTCAGAAAGTACAGCGGAAATGGCTGATCACAGAGTATGAGACTGGGGATGTTATTTTCCATAACCCATTTATGGTCCACGCAAGTTGCAAGAACAAGGATCCCAATAGTTACATTAGATTGGCGACAGATCTGAGATTTGTGAACCCGGAACAGCCTTACGATACGAGGTGGATGAAGGTTTATAGGCCTTTGGATGGTCTATAGCCAGCTTTCTTTTTGCTGCATTCCCGCGAATACATGTATACATTGGCATAATGCAATCACGATCATTCAATCTTTTCACCATTCTTTCCAACACGTATGAGACACTATATGCCACTGGATTTTACGAGACTGATATTCTCCGTGATACTTCCAGGAGTGGAACTACGTTCCTATGGCGAAAATGTCCAAGCACATGTTGCAAAACTCGTCTTCAAATTTGTGTTTTATTTATAACCATCCTCTTCAAGCTGCCTTTCTACCAGTAACAATGCGCGGTAGGAGTACGAATGGTGAAGGGTTGGGAGAACTGAGCCTGTCGGTAACGATCTTGAGGCATTCAAGGTCGATGCAAAACCAACACGAGCATCTCGCCTCGGCTACGTATTCAGCCTGATGAATTATAAGACATTCTCATGAATGTGTTGAATATTGCTATCCATAGTGTAGCTTGGCTATCAAAGGAAATCGCGCGAATGATTGTTCATGGATGCACAGGTCTACTGTGCCTAACTCTGCTGGACTCACATGTTCACCAGTGAGCATGAACTGGATAGTGTCCGAATTAGCTATCATTCTAAGTAGTCTCTCTTACTCTCGTATTCTGGCGAATGAATATCAAATGAAAGTAACCTTCCCCAGAATTCCAATAAAGTGACGTAGAAGGCCCACAAGCATGTGCACAAGTTGTGTCCATTCCGATGCTAGTTGAGAGGAATCGTGCCGAAAGCCAGTATTTTGCAACCATCTACAGCCGGATTGATCTTTTGCCAGCGCCACGTCAAGTGTGGACTAAGGATTAGCTCAAATTCCAAGTGTCTAACAAGCCGACACCCTCAATAATCAAAGCCACTAAAGGGCAACCCCAGGATTTCGCACCTCCACATTTTCCCCCATACCCCATACCAAGGGAGATACTCCAGCTTGGACGTTTCTCCACCATATCGAACCATCTACAACCGAACAGCACGCTTTGGGCAACTGAGCCATGGTACCGTGCATCTGAGGAGGCGGTCTAGAAGACAAAATTGTTGTTATAACTGCCAGTGTGCTCCAAATTGAAATGATGCTCCATCATCGATTGTACCCACACATCAGTCGAACAAAATGGGTTTTCTTCAACGTATCGTCAAGAATGATGCAACCAAGTCGGATCCTCCGGAGATCTACAATGTGCGAGTCTTTCTCGTGAGCCTTGTGGTATGTAGAATTCATGAGACATACATTGAGATTTGTGCTGACTAGGATTGAAGGCCTGCGCAGGTGCCTTGCTATTTGGCATGGACATGGGCATCATGGGAGGTGTCCTGACTATGAAGACCTTCAAACAGTGAGTGAGCATTTGACGATAAATGTACGTTGGCTAACGACACCGTAGGCAATATGGACTTATCGGCAAGTCTGATAAACAGATTGCGAATCTGTCCTCCAACATTGTGTCTGTTATTCAAGCTGGTGCATTTGCCGGTGCCCTTGTCGCATCATGGCTTTCTAATAGGATCGGTCGTCGATGGTCCTTGATCATTGCTGCAATTCTGGTCTGTATTGGCGTTGCTTTCCAAGCTGCTGCTAATGGGATCATTGAATTGCTCTATGTTGGACGGCGAGTAATCTCATTTTTGGCCACTTCGCAATTCACTAACAGGCCTCCAGACTATTCGCAGGTATTGCTGTCGGCATTGCCTCCACTGTCAATCCCCTATATGTCTCTGAAAACGCACCTAGAGGCATTCGTGGTCTTCTCACGGGTCTATACCAGCTGACACTTGTATCTGGACTCACTGTAAGCGCCAAAGGACTCTCCTAGTGACTAGTTGCACACTCTAACACCTCGATAGCTTGCATTCTGGATCAATTACGGCAGTAATCTCCATATCACAGGACACGCGCAATATGTGATCCCACTCGCATTGCAAGCGTTCCCTGCTGTGATTCTCGGAGTTGGCATGTTCTTCGCCAATGAATCCCCTCGATATCTCGCTCAAAGAAACCCTGCAGCTGCCCTGGCTGTGCTTTCGAAGCTACGCCACCTCCCTCCCACACACCCATACGTTGTCGATGAGATGGCACTCATTGAATTACAATTAGAGGAGGAACGCGCCTTGATGGCTGGTTCTTCGGCACTTAGCATGTTCAAGGAAGCTTGGACAGTCAAATCCTACCGCAGGCGATCGATCCTCTGTGTCACTCTCATGATGTGGAGCAATCTAACTGGCACCAATGCTATGACATACTATTCTCCTACAATTTTCGCCAGTGTCGGTCTATCTGGGTCTTCGGTTGGCCTCTTCGCTACTGGAATTTATGGTATAGTGAAGATGATCTCATGCGCTATCTTCATCTTCTTCGTTACAGACACCCTCGGCCGACGAAAGTCTCTCATCTGGACGGGTATCGTGCAGGTACGTCTATTCTGCCCCTATATCCCATTAACACTAACGTTAATCTCAGGGTTGTGCCCTCTTCTACTGTGGCTTCTATATTCGCTTCGATCCTCCCATCAAAGGGCAACCGGTCACTGCACCCGGATACGTAGCTCTGGTAGCTATCTATATTTTCGCAGCTGTATATCAATTCGGTTGGGGTCCAGTTGTTTGGACGTATTGTTCAGAGTGCCCGCCTGCTCGCCTGAGGGCCCTGATGATGGGTATGGCCGTTGCGAGCCAATGGCTCTGGAATTTTGTGAGTCTACCCTCCCTTTCCCTACGCTGAGGAACAATACGCTAATCATATTATCAGGTTGTCGCAAAGTCTACACCGAGTATGTTCGCAACTCTCGGCAAGGGCGGTTTTGGAACATACTTTGTTTATGGTAGCTTCTGTTTCGTCATGGTCATTTATGCCTGGGTACTTGTTCCAGAGACCAAGGGTATGTCAACTCACTCGCACGTAACGATAGGCCCACTAGACTAACTGACTACAAAGGACTTTCATTGGAACACATGGATGAACTGTTTGAACAGAAGAATATTCGCGCTAAGTTCGTGCCTTCCCGTGGAGTAGCGATGAATGGTCATGGAAACTTGGGCAAAGGTGACGACGACGATAAGGAGCCAAGTGAGCACATTGAGAAGGTATAGATGACAGTGTCGCCGATTGGGATAATTTGGCAAGATAGGATCGGCTTCCTTGATGAATCACCATGTAGATAGCATCTCAGCAATATAATGCCGACACTGCATGTAGATGATACCATTTTACGGCCTTCATCGTGCAGTAGTTCACTACATGAAATGTGTCCCCTGTACCTCCAACTTCACAATGGCTAGCTACGGCTGAGACCCATCTTGTATACCAAGGCTTCCGCAATATCCTTTGCAAACCCCGCATCATTGATAGCGCGTTTGTCGGTGATAACGTCGATCTTACTATCGTCTAGTCCTGACATGACTGCACTGAATAACGCATCGTTTGCTTTTTGATCATCGAAAGGCCCTCCAGGTATCGATATGACACTCACTCCTCCTTCTGGTAGCCACACTTGCACTTTGTTTGGTGCCTTCGTATATCTCTTCAACTTGTCAGCAATAAACTCTCCGACCTTCCTTGATTCCTCCTCAGACGATCTCATCAATGTGACAACAGCGTTATGTTCGTATAATTTTCGATCCTTGTACTTCTCTGGAACTGTACTCCTTGGCCCAAAATTTGACATATCTGTTGCACCAACAGACACAATGTATGGCATCCCCGTTTCGGCGGCGGCCTCGAGTCTTTTCGGACCTGCACTCATCACGCCCCCGGTCAACAGATCACATATCTCTGTCGTCGTGAGATCCAGAACTGCATCTAAACCGCCTTCGCGAACAAGTCTTTCCATAGCTTTTCCACCATGGCCGGTGGCATGAAAAACGTATACTTCGATGTCGTAATTTTGCTCCAAGTGTGATCTGATGACATCGACAGCTGGTGTTGTGACGCCGAACATTGTAATCCCAACGCGTTTCTTTGTTCGTGACTCTGAAATCTTACTATTTGATGCATATGACTTCGCCATTCCTGTTATAGCAGCAGCTGCATTGCGCAATACGGTCCGGAGTAATTGATTCAGACCGGAAATGTCGACAACGGAATACATGAGAGTGATATCTGTCTCCCCAACAATGGGACCCGTATCGCCACTTGCCACCGTCGAGACGATAAATTTTGGAATTCCGATCGGCAATGCCTCTCGCATGACTGTAGCTGCTATGGACGTACCTCCAGAACCACCGGCGGCGATTATGCCGTGGATCGAGCCTTCATTGAAAAGTTTCTGGACAAGTTTTTTGGCATTTGCGCTAATTTCCGAGAGAACTTCGCCTCTTGTATTGGTCTCTTTCCGTGCTGAAGCATCGCTAGTGCTTGTAAAGTAATTGACATGATGGTTGATTGAATTGTGTTTGGTAGTGCGTGCTCCAACATCGATCAGTGTGACATTGATGTCTGAGCTGCCCTTGATGATTTCTTCCCGTAAGAATAACACCTCTTCAAGTTTCGTATCACATGTTCCAATAAGCGCGATAGTTGCCATAATGCATTTGTTGTAAATACCACATTGTTCCAACGTGTAAGTGTGGTTGTATTTAAAGACAAGTTAGTCCTGCATACCCCGCGACATGATGTCAGCACACATTTGTACCTCGTATCTCGGAGCTCCCTCATTATTGCTTGTATCTATGATAGACCCCTTTGTGATACCCCAGGTCACGACACGACAAAAATGCCTCCGCAAAACAACCGCAAGAGGATTCTCGAGGATCTCCGTTCCTCAATCGACAATGGCCGTGTCATTGTTGGTGCAGGTGCCGGAATCGGTCTCTCGGCCAAGTTCATCGAACAAGGCGGCGGAGATCTGATCATCATATACAACAGTGGTCGCTTTCGGATGGCGGGAAGAGGGTCGCTGGCAGGCCTCATGCCGTATGGAAATGCCAATGAAGTTGTTCTTGAAATGGCAAGCATTCGCACGTCTACATTAATGTTGAGGATATTTCCAAGCTAATAAGCAAGTAGGCAAACGAGGTACTTCCGATCGTCAAAAAGACGCCTGTTCTTGCTGGTGTCTGTGCAACCGATCCCTTCCGCAATATGGACTACTTCCTCAAACAGCTTAAAGATCTCGGATTTGCGGGAATCCAGAATTTTCCCACCGTTGGGCTGATCGATGGCCAATTCAGGCAGAATCTCGAAGAGACGGGAATGGGGTATGATGCTGAAGTCGAACTTGTGCGAAAGGCTAAAGAGATGGATCTGCTGACTACGCCTTATGTTTTCAATGTTGAAGAATCTAGAAAGATGGCTTATGCTGGCGCGGATATTATCGTTGCGCATATGGGATTGACGACATCGGGGTCCATTGGCGCTACGAGTGGTAAGACACTAGATGAGAGTGTGGAATTGGTGCAGGCGATCAGAGATGAAGCGGTCAAGATCAAGTCGGACATAATTATTCTGTGTCATGGTGGTCCAATTGCTGCACCGGATGATGCCGAGTACGTACTTTCGAGAACGAAGGGTGTGCATGGTTTCTATGGTGCAAGTTCCATGGAGAGACTGCCAGTTGAAGAGGCCATAACAAACATTACGAAGACGTTCAAAAGCTTGAAGCCAAGTTCTTGACGAGGGAGATCTCAAATGTGGACATGGCCACAGATTCAAAGTGCGTAAAGAATGTGTTCAGAGAATCAATAGCTTGTAATTTAATGCTCTCGAAGCAGCTACTGAATCTTATCATACCGTGGCTCCAGTTAACTGTATGGAATAGCTCAATCCTCTATTCAGGTCCGCCGGAATCTTGAACGGATCATACAATACCAATGGTGGCGTGTTCGCAATGACAAACATTACCTCCTCTCCACTCGCGACACTCACATTCGCCTTGCCATTGACGACATCCGTATATCTAACCTTCCCATCCTGCCCCTTGACCACCAAAGTCGCAGTATACGCGCCACCACTACCAGTAACACTCACATCAACATTCCCACCCGTAACCTTCAGCGGAACAATATTCGCCCCCATATAACGGGGTGCCCGCGCGCTCTTGACAGTATACTTCCCATTCCCATTCGAGTCCACATTTGCATAATTCAATGAATTGCGCTGTGCATTGAACATCGACTGCGCCTTCGCATGTCCGATATCGACAAATGCCATATGCGCCCAATACCTGCCAACCACCTTTTGCACTGTGACTCCACTAAGAAGCCTCTCTAGCGAATGCAAAGGCGTCTCGTCGCTATTGAGCCTGTACTTCCTGATCATGTTCAAAAGCGTTGCGTCTCCAAGCCCAGAGTAAGAATCAGGGTTACTTTGGAGATAGGATAGGAAAGGCCATGATTGGTAGTAGTTTCCTGAGCCGGATGTCCCGTCCACGAGGACTTGAAAGGAGTCGCCGATGACCTTTTTCAGCTCGATGAGGGAGTCACCGTCGGGGAGGTTGTAAGCACGTTTCGCGGAGGCGCACGTTGGAGTAGCGATGTAGAGGTCGGCAATGAAGTTTGCAATTGGTTCCCACCATGCTCCTGTCCTGTGTAGGCATTAGTCGCGTTGAGCCAAATTAAGACTAGGAAATTCGGGATATCCGAACTGACCTTGTCTGATCGATCCAGTTCTTCTCTGAATAGTGCATTGCATGTCCGAATTCGTGTACAATGACACCGGGGGTAGTCATGTATTGCCCAACAATCTTGAGATACGCAAGACCAGCACTGGCATCTGTCCACGTCTGTGCCGCTGCTCCAGGCATAGCGTTTGCGTCTACTTTGTAGAGGTTTGTCTTGTAGTATGGGCCGTCATTACTACTCATTGAGTTTGTAGTTAGTGAGTTGGCGACGTGCTATCCGGCCAGATCTGCAACGACTCACGACCCTTTATAAGACAGACCGGGCGTCCGCCATCCAAGCTGCTCTACAAAGCAAACGTGCGCCGCCTCCATGATCTTAAGTGTCGTATCAGCTGTTGAAGAGTCCACCCCGTACACTCGGAAGTGTGCACTGTCTTTGTACGTCCCCGATCCAGAGCCTATCGAGGGGTTCGCTGTGTAGACTGCGGGAGGTGCTGCTGCAACTGGTGCAGGATGCGCAAGTACTTGTTGAAGGAAGACATTATCCAAGATCAAAAGCGATAGCAGTCCAATGAAGTTCAACATGATGGGTGGACAGCAACGGCAAAGTCATGTAGAATGTAGGCACGTACATGTTACATGTTACATATAAAAGCACGAATGGTGTAATGTGGGGCGGAGAATTATACACGGATAATTATTGTCGATTTTCTGTACCCCGGATTAATTATATAAATTGAGGTAGGTTGGAGCTGGCACAGAAGAGCACGAGATATCTCCTTCTGGGGTCAGAGTATATGATGGCCAGATGCGATTGGCTGAGGGCATACATTAGAGATACTAGGATCTAGGGTTGAGGCACAACTGGATATTCTGATATTGAACAAACCAGGATAGCACTAATTTGCCTCGAGGTAGACCGCGGATAATGTACGGCTCTGGCCACGAAGCTGTTCTGTAGTAGGCTCGAGACCGTGGAGAGAACAGATTTTGGTGTTCACCACTATCAATCTGCCTCCGATTCCGATGTGTCGACCGGTCTATCTTCTTCTTGCCCCTGGAACACTACCTGTACTCCAACTTCCTGTAGTCGATCTCTCACAGTTTGCACCCTGGCTGTGTTTCGTCGGAATTCTTGGATCGTCGTTCCTGCTTGTTCTAGTGCCCGCAAGAAGTCTTCTTGTGTATTATTCTCATTCGTCAGATCAATGCGACTGCCCAGGTCTACTCGTTGGAAGTAGTCACGCAGCTGTTCCATCTCAGTGAGTAGCTGAGCTTGGTTACGTTGCCGATCTGCTGTCAAATTGTAGGAAGTGATGTTATCGTCCGGGGGAAGAGGGTCTGAGACAGATGTGTATTTGTGTTTGAATCGCACGTCTAGAAGGCTAAGTAGATCGCGATCATCGGATAGGATGACATGACGAGCTAGGTTAGTCTCATCGATTTGACTCAGCCAATATGGATTGGCTCCCGCATCCAACGGTTCCTCGAATGAATACGCAACCTCTACCAAGAGAGATGTGGCAGCCGTCGTGTTCCAGAGATCCTTCACCTTTGGCACGTACAGTTGGCACAGTAGTTCTTGATAATCGTTGTTTGGCTCCTTGCCCCAGATCGTCTTGGGAATTGGGTTGATTTCTAGCTCTCTGCACAACCGGGATGCTATCCACGGATATTCTTTGATGGCTAGACGCAGCGAGGAACGTGCTTTTTGTGGATTTTGTAGTCCGTCGTGCGCAAGGGCGACAGAGAAAGCGAGATTAGGTGGAATTTTCCACTCTCGTTGTAGATGATCTGAATCAACCAGATCCACCAGAGCTTGCAGGTCTCGACCCCGTAAAGCCAGCTGGTCGACAACTAAACGGAGGCAGTAAGGGTCATCCTCAGGAGACAAGCTTAACAGAAGTTTGGACCATTCAAATGCGGTGCGCCAGGTTGCTCGAACGCCCAAAGTGCTAATATATCTCCAGCCTGCGAGCCAGAATTCGCGGTTCTCTGGTCGACGAAAGTCCAAGCGCGCCTTGCCTTGCGACAAATTTGTTGAGAATGTTGAATGCACTGCTCTGCCCATTGAAAACAATGCTCGTTCCAACAAATCACCTGCGGTTGCGTTGTCTCTTTGTTGCTTCGCAATCTCAGACACTTGGAGAAGAGTAGAAATGTGGTAAGGGTTGAAGTGAAGATGTCGCACCATCCGGTCAGGGTCCATGGAGGCTACACATGATTCAAATTCTTTCTGTACCGACTGATAGGTGGTATTATGGACAAATCGGTACTCGACCGAGCCGTCGTTACGTCTCTCGACGACCTCCATTGCCAACCCTCCAGAAGTAGCCCGCGGCCATTCTTCCTTGCCTTGAATGAAAATGTTTCGGCGAAGACCCAAGGATGCGAGGTTTCTGCCCCCGGTATTTCTACCTGCAGCAGCAGCTGTGGCGGCAGCGATTCCGTGTTGCTGTCCACGCCCGCGTTGTCTTGCAGCTTGATCGTCGTCGTTGGTCTGTACAGCTGCACGGCCAAACAGTTTCCGCATTTCATTTGAGGCATTCAAGTATTGTGTGTCAACAGCTAAGGTGGAATAAAGTTGTTGCATCTCTTCACTGATGGTAGATGATGCGAAGTCACCTTCCTTTCCTGAGTTCTGGGTTGATAATTTTAGGGCTAGCAGAGCGCGATCAATTTCGTCCATTCCGTCGATAGATGCAGAGGAAGCATGAGCTTTATGCGATTCCTTCTCTTTCGCCTTCCCCTTCCCCTTCTTTTTCTTTTTCTTGCTCTTTTTGGACGATTTTGCTACGGCTGCAACAGGTTTCACGTCCTCAGAATCTCCAGCTCTTGAGTTTGTTTCGCTCTGGTCGTTGTCTTCATCATCTTCTTCATCTTCGTTCGCATCCCCCAGCATGGCAAACAAACTGGCCTTTGCCTGTGACGGTGGTGGGGCATCCTCTTCTGACTCATCTTCCTCTTCCTCCTCCTCTTTACGGAGCAGTTCGAGCTGCTGTTTTTCCTCTAATTCCTTCTGAGCCCGCCGCAGTGCCCGAGAAGACATGTTTGGAAGCGGGAATGTTGTTGTCGATATTTGATGTTAGGTGCAATGTACTGTGTACGGCGTAGACAGCATCAGTTTATTTAGCAATTTCCAAGACAGATTTGGACTCTTTCGTCATTCGGACATTAGCGTGAACTGTTCGGTTAGAACTTAGAAGTGCACGGACCAACTATATCGACCCCAACACCCATCACCACTCTGTGTATCCTCACGATTCACTGTTACTGATAACCGTCCGATCTGCCCTGAACCGAGCTGGTTCCCCGCAGCCTACAAGTCTGCCTCTCCATCCCTCAAGCTACATCGCCTGCCTGGAGGCCACTTGCAAATGCGTCGGGCCGCCCTCCAACTTTTTCGTCCTGCCCGTCGCCCATGCCTGCGTAAACTCACTCGAAGTCGAACCTCTGCCTTCTGCCTCAGCACGCATGGCCTAGCGTACAGGACGGTTTCCAGTCGCTCACGAGCATCGGTAGCCACTGTGCTCAAATCGTCCATGCAGCTTCGATCATTCACGGGAGCTTTGGTAGCTGCTGCTGTAGCGTCAGGTGCTTTTTACGCCTACAGAGGGAACGCAACATCAGGTGTTGCTTCACCATTCGTAGATCAGACCAGGGAAGCAAGTACCAAGGCGGAGCCAACACGACGAGCGCTTGTAGTTGGACAAGGCTCTCTCTATACTGGAACTATCACGGGTGACGGTCCTCTATCTAAGGAAACAGACGATTACGGCAGGAAGGTTTTGGAAATGTTGACACCAGAGCAAGCGACACAGAAGTTACGCAAGAACGAAGAGTCATGGCTAGTTGGACGGGGACAGGGTGTAGTACGCTACGATGTTGTGCAGATTCCTAGCAACGACCCCATCGAGGATGATCATGCCGAGAAAATCATTGAAGTACCTCAGAACATTGCAGCCACAGAGAATGGTGCAGCTGCCAGCGACTGGATGTTTTGGGGAGTTTTCGATGGTCACAGGTAATTTTCCACGCATCCTCTGCTGTCTTTACTTGTATTAACGAAACGCAGCGGCTGGGTGACATCCGCAAAGCTTCGACAGACTTTGATTTCTTTCGTCGCGCGCGAGCTCAATACTACCTACAAATCTGCCACCGAGGACTCCTCCCTTCGCCTACCTACCCCCGAGTCTATTGACAAGGCTATTAAAACTGGCTTCCTTCGCCTTGACAATGAAATTGTACACGAGTCGGTTGCGAAGGTGAAGAAGGCTCAATCCAAGCTCGCCGCTGCCGAGCTGCTTGCGCCAGCGCTCTCTGGATCTTGCGCTTTGCTTTCGTTCTACGACAGTAGATCGAAGCTTCTCAGAGTTGCTTGCACAGGTGATTCTAGAGCTGTGCTTGGCCGTCGTGGATCGAATGGCAAATGGACAGCAACACCACTCTCAGAGGATTTAACTGGTGGTACACCAAGCGAAGAAGCCCGATTGCGAAGAGAACACCCAGGGGAGCCTAATGTTGTTAGAAACGGACGTATCCTCGGTGGACTCGAGCCTAGTCGTGCATTCGGCGATGCCTACTACAAGTGGTCGCTCAAAACTAACGAGGAGTTGAAGAAGTCTTACTTTGCTCGGTCTCCTTCCTCGCTGCTCAAGACTCCCCCCTATGTCACTGCTGAACCGGTGGTCACTACCACCAAAATGGAGCCTGAGAAGGGCGACTTCGTCGTCATGGCTACAGATGGGTTGTGGGAGATGTTGACTAACGAGGAAGTCGTAGGGCTCGTTGGTCAATGGCTCGATGCCCAGGGTGGAGCCAATGGACAAAACGCGCAATCCCAGTCTTGGCTCAAGAGCTGGTTTTCCTCACAGAAAACCTTACCTGTGGAACAGAAAGGAGGCAGTGGTGATACTTCCGGCCAGCGTGCTCCCATTCGCCAACAACAATGGGGCACAAAGACCTCTCTGAATGAGCGTTTTGTTACAGAAGATAAAAACGCTGCTACCCACCTTGTCAGGAACGCTCTGGGTGGAAACGATCAAGATCAGCTCTCGGCTCTGCTGACCCTCCCCAGTCCATTCTCTCGGCGCTACAGGTTTGTACTCCATAGTAATCCTCTTCAGTATATCAAAACTAATATTGAGTACAGAGATGACTTGACTGTGGAAGTCATTTTCTTCGGCGACAGCCCTAACACTGGCAACGTAACTCTTAACAAGGAAGCTAGTGCATCCGTCCCCGAAGTCAAGTCCAAGCTATGAAGAGTAGATACATACCCTGCCTTTCTGATCAGCATCGCATCGTTTCCAGCATGGCGTTTCGGGCTAGGCACCTGAGGAGGTTTCCGGAACCTTGGGATAAAGACGCCTTTTGAGCATGGCGTTATCTTCAATCTGATTGTTCAGGCGAATTACATTGTAGGGCCACCCCATTCTATGATGAGCGGTCTGAGTGGAAGTGAAACAAGAACATTACGATGCTTCGGTGCCCATGTGACAGCCACATTAATGTTATCACCTGCCGCTTACAGGCCACCCACCCAGGGCTGACCTGAACTTCGATAAGCCAGGTCACATTGATTCTGATGACTAGGAGTCTACTGATGAGTTGTTATGAGCATTCGAATGATTAGACCCGAAAGGCTATGATAAGGACTGAATTAGTGTTTGTGTATTACTCATGAACTATCCAATGTTGCTATCTTACCACTGAATGAAAGAAACGATGTCCTTGAGCATGTCTTCCGAGTACCAATGACCCAAACCCTTATATTCGTGGAAGGTCACATCCAAGTCCATCTCCTGAAGACACCGAGCTGCCAATCGCCCCAATTGGAAAGGTACTTTTTCATCCTCCACTCCATGCCCCAAAAAGAAGGGGGTCTTTCTGATAGACGACGATCCGATATTGACGTCCTTTTCGTTGATTTTCAACTCCAACTCCTCCCTCAACCACTCAACACCCCTTTCAAAACCACTTTTATCTTCCTCGCCTTCGTTCTTCTCACCTCTATCAAATAAGCCATCACCATCTTCCTCATCCTCGCCCGCACTCATGGCTCCGTTGACCCCTTCCCGAAGAGGCAACCAACCACAGAACCCCACAATCGCACCCAACGCTTCCCCTTCCCATAACAACGCCGACAACAACGCAGTCGCACACCCCTGGCTTAATCCCATAAGCACGATGTTTCTCGCTCCTACCTCCCGCACCGCCTCGCTGATCAGTCCATGGATGTACGTCACCGATTCTTTCAACCCAACCAATTGTATATGTGATTTGTGTTCTGGCGCATATTCATCTAGGGGGTACTGATCAAACCATTGATGTGTAAGGGAGCGATTGTATGCCACAGCGCGGCGGAGAGACGCCGTTGGGAAAACGAATTGCGCTGTGGGGAAATGGTCGTAGAATTGCCTTGCAGCCTCCTCTTCCCCTTGTGCCGTTATTCGTGGCGAGACGAGGTGGTCGAGGAGAGGTTTTGCGAAGATGTCGGCGGTTGAGCCCCGGCCGTGCAGGATTATCAAGATTGTCCTGGGGGTTGTACCCGATTTGGGGGGAATCTTTAGCGGGGTGGGATAGTGTTGTGGTTTTGGCATGGCTGATTGTTGGTTCTTTCTTTCGTTGAAGTAAAACTGAGCATTCGATATTTAAGTGGCTTTTGTTTGATACAAACTTGGGGTTTCCGTGCTGAGGCGCAAAAGTATTGATGTTCTACAATCGATGAGTCAAACATTAGGCAACAAGGCCCATTTAGGAGGTGGAAATAATTGCATATGCGGCGCAGAAAATGAAAGTACATGAAAAGCAAAAACGTCCTTGGTATATTTGTCGACACGCTCCTGATTTAGATATCGATTATCCCGTAAGCAAAATAATGCCTATTAGCGATGTGAAAGCGTCCTATGCCCTTTGCAAAGAATTTAGATGTATTCCTAGTTATGTTAGAGTTTCTACGGTCCATAAAAATCGATCCTGTGAGCAATGTCATCTTGTAGTATATTTCCAGATCGAATCTACTTGGAGACTATGTGAAAATAGCTGTCTACCAGTAGTTCTGGGCGTATTGAGTCCAAAGTTCAATCTGATTACAACGGACAATTATCTGATTGTATGCTACCAATGACATGGTGGCAATATCCAACAAAGAGGGTACACGTAAGAAACGCCTGCGAGACCTGTTTCGTTAGCTTCGGATGCAATCATATCCGGAGTGCGCGTTCAAACTTCAATGGTCTAATATGTCTAATGTTGCGTAATCGATGATAAAAGTGAATCTAGAGTGACGACAGCAATGACTATATAGATATCGACTATCAAGGCATGTTGAATGAAATTCAGCATAGTGAAAAGATTATACAAACATCGGTACCTCGTATGTTTTCGCCCTCTCAAGAGATATGCGTGAGCACTAAATTCGTTCCAGAAAACATGTGTCGCAAAAGCAAAGAGTATCCTGAAAAGTCACTTTTTGGACATCTTTGGTCTCTCCGAAACCAATCTCACAAAGCAACAATCCCTCCTCCCCGAGTTTATGCAGTCGAAGAAGAGTCGACGTCGGATTCCTCAGTCGCCTCTCCTGCACCAGGTATCTTCCCCAAAGTTTTCCAATGGCAGTGCTGACCATACAAGTAGCACCTGAGCCAAGCTCCAGATGCGCAACGAGCGCGGTGAATGCAATTGATTCCAGCTCACTTAGTCTCAGTGCAGAAGAGGACAACGCTCACGCTACACAAGAAGTGGTTGAGCAATGGTTGGAATCCAGGCGACAGAGGTCCGTGTGTTGATAACGAACCACTGCCCTTATCCTAATTATGAATTTCATGTGAAGTATGGCTACATTGGACGACTATTGTGGAACTACTTTCGAAGGCCCCGCTAGGAATGGTGGCAATTATACAGGAAAGCGCACGGCGTCCCTTACTGAATTTTCGTCTACTGGTACTGGTCATCGTAGTCAATTGCTTTAATGCGCTATCTTATTGGAGGATATGGTTATCAACCGATGGGTGACACAAAGTTTGTTGTATTTAGTCAGAGGTTCTAGAGTGTACAACGCGGCTCTTCCCCGCATTCTACCGTAGAAGCAACATGTGCGTCACCTCTGAGCTCTTTGAGGCACTAGTCATAAGTGGACTTCCATGTGTTAGAAATGGTCGCTAGCGACGCCATGGGGGTGGACGCGTCAGCTTGAAGTGGTAAATGAACTAGATTAAGCATTGGTGTTGGAGCTTAAATCCGAATTACCACCAACCTCCAAACTTTACCCCAAACTTCACGTCCTCGCAAACGGTCATGTTCATTGAGGAATGCAGAATTCAACGCTATCATGGCTAGAAGTAGTTCAGATCTAGAACTAATGCCCTTTGACGACACGGAGAGTTTGGAAGGTAGCAGTCCGAAAGGCAGAAAGAAATCTTGGATACCAAAACGGCGCGCAAGAGCAATAAGACGCCATAGAAAAGTTGAAGAAGATGTTTTACCGTCTAGTTGGCGACAGCGACTTTGCTCGAGACGAGCTACCCGGTATGCGATTCGATCCTTCTGGATACTGGCGGCGTGCATCTTGACTTCGCTCCTCACTTTGTAGGTAAACCATTCCACCCCTCATGAAACACAATACTGAACCTGATAGATCCATCACAAATCCCGCTCGGTTGTCGAGCTTCGACATGGCGTTTTCGGCTTTCGTTCATCCAGATGGGGTACCTCTGGATGTCGACTCCGTTCATTATCCTGAGACTTTTCTGCGCTCAGTGATGCCAATTCCATGTCAATCACACAATGATGAGCAACGTCATACACCTCTACATGCTGCACTCGGTACTGGCTGTGTTAGCATAGAGGCTGACATCTGGGCAAGTGATGACCCGGATTCCAACGACATTTTCGTAGGCCATACAACAGGCGACCTTGATCCCAACAAATCATTGAAACGAATGTATATTGATCCACTTGTCCGACTGCTGGAGATCCGCAACGGACCTCATGCAAAACAACCACAAGCAAACGGCGTCTTCAGCCTCGCTCCATCCACATCTCTGACACTAGTCCTAGACTTCAAGTCCACTTCTGCCGAACTATGGGAAGCCCTTGAGGTGAATTTAGACCCACTAGCATCTCGAGACTGGCTCACTTTCTGGGATGCTTCGGCTCAAGCGCGCGTCCAAAGGCCCATCACCATTGCCGTTACCGGCACAGACGACTTTGATACCATCCTACGAGGCAAGTTGAAAACCACTGCCACATCTTCGCCAACCGTAAAAGGACTCAACGATACATTCGATCCCCTGTCTATAGACCGATACATCTTCTTCGACGCTCCGCTGCACGATCTCATCCAACCAGGAGACCCAGACTCGAGCGAAGCGCCCTTTACCCCCTCTGATCCTTCCAACCCTGATCGTTCCCTATCTTACAAATACAATCCCTCAAACTCACACCTAGCTTCGACCTCGCTTTATAAAGCTATTGGCCCCATTTCACCTTCCTTGCTCACGTCGGCTTCCGATCCAGATCACTTCCAGCGACGAATCCTGAGGCAGCAGATCCGCGCCGCGAGAGATAGAGGTTTGGTAAGCAGGTACTGGGGACTGCCGCGGTGGCCGAGGGGCTTGAGAGATGGAGTTTGGGAGGTGCTAGAAAGGGAGGGTGTGGGGTTGTTGAATGTTGATGATCTGAGGGGAGTGAGAAAGGGCGAATGGGGTGGGGGGCTATGGGGACGATGGTGGGGAAAGGAGAAGCACAAGAATTGGGGATGGCCGGGCGTTGAAGAGAAGAGACGATGACGAGAGAGGAATTGAGCTGTTGAGGACGGAGACGTTATATCAAGGACAGGAAATTTCAACCTCAGATAGCTACTATAAAAGCTCTAAATAATAAATTCGCATTACGTCCATTCCTTAAACTTTAATAAAAAGAATATGTTGATGTCGAAACTGTTAACCTGGTATAACTAATGATAAAAATAAAGTTAAGAATTATAGAACTTTGTAAGAATTCTTTAAAAATGCAAGACAGAAGAATGACCGTAATTGTTCTACATTTGATCCCGTTATGTGAAAATTCGACCATTTCCGTCCCTGGCTTCCACGAAGGCTTTTTCGAGCACAATACGTCACACCTAGACGCTTTGATCATCATGGACTTCATCGACGGCAAGTCTACATGTGGTGAGTTAACAGAAGAGACCGACTCCGACCCAAAGAGCTTCAAATCCGACTTCGTTATGAAGTCTCTATTGGCAAATCGCCGAGTTTTATCTATAATTATGCTAGAGAAGATTTTCTTGTATTATCAAGCGATTGACAGGACACGGCAGAAATAATGCTGAGCAATAGTTCATTGATCCCCAAGACATAGGCCCATGGCTATTACGTGCATTAGAGAAACCAGCCGGCCAACAACCCGACAGGATTAGCAGAAAGATTGTTGTTATAATTGACTGGGAATGGGGAAACAGTTACATAGTAAGGATGCCAGCTGCAATCCTGAGCAGTTCGATCAATAACATCACCTGCTCAATCTTTACCTAGATGGGATAGGAAAAGTAGAACTAAAGACGCAGAAGAATACGGAAGACAGCCTGTCCTACTTCATGCGTCGATCGATGTCAGACGGAAGGCTTTAGTTCCATGTATTTATCGAGTCATGCTACTCCCCTCCTTGGCAAGTCCTTCGAAAACTGATCCTAGATGTAGATACGCGTGACGGCTTCCCTGAATCGTACCTGCGGGCTTTGGTTGCTAAGAAGCTTGAAGGTGTAGCTACCACACACTAAATGCAGGCCAAGAGAGGGACTGAGAACAAGCGGAAGGAGCAAGAGTTCTAGAGTCTTAGCAGAGGACCTCGACAACATTCCCGCTTCGATTAGAGGGGTATTATCAGATATGTACTGACCCAAGCTAAAGGCAAATGGAGTTAGGTACCGGTTTCATTGAGTTGAATGAAGAATCCAGACGTGATCCAAGAATATGCTATTATAAACACCCACCAAGAGGACAATGTCGGAGGAGTTCTGGAAAGAAGAGTGTAAGAGCAGGTACTACACTACAACTTGCTAGATAGTAGTGTAATTGTGTAGATCTCAGGATACTGGCAACTTTAGCATGTAGACGGTTGAAACGCCTCCCCTAGATGGAAGGAGACAAGAGATCTCGCAATATTGTCGACCGACAACGTGTGGCTGAGATCAAGTGGTGACTTGCATTTGCAGTCACGCCGACGGCGTCAACTATGGCGACAACGGCGCCGGATAGAGGCATCATGCCGGGCAGATCCAGCGGCATTGTTTCAGGCGGCGGCTACTACAAGTACGCTCGCGCAATGCTCAGAGGGGAATGGCATGCTTGACTTAGTCCTCCGTGGACCGGGCCATGGCATCTCGGAGCTTTATCATTGAGTACGGGGATCGACAGGTCCGGACGCCATCTTCCTCGTATAGTTTGGTGTCCACCTTTAGGGCAGTGAATTATATTATATGCACGACTAAGCTACGGAAATGTGGAAGGAGACAAGAATTCGGATGGGTTGTCTCAAGTTTCGCGCAGGGATGAGGCAATCTTTCCCTGAATGCAGTCTCGATATAGTCTGCGTTTTGGTTGCGCGCAAGATGTATCGATACTTCCATCATCATATCTCATTGATCGAAAATGAATGTTGCTCCGATAACAACAGGCTCGGGCCAAGCCTGGCAGAAGGGTTGCTCCACTGCTGCACCGTTGCGCATACATACCAGCAATGGATGTTTACCAAAGAGTAAATCCGTCAGATCCATAATCCTAATGATTCAGATAATTGATTACAGGGTCAGTGAGGCGACCACTCAGATTGTTTCTCATAGAGTTCGCGCGCAGTCTTGAGGTCAATCGGGTTAGCAAGTGTAATAGCCACCACGTTTGGTAAAACAACCTGCCTATTGCAGCCTAGATACCTCTATGGAGTCATTGATCGACATTTACGATGCCAAGCACCAGTATGATACCATTGTGTCGACTACTACCAACACAGTAATGTAATCCGTTTACTTTTGATTTTAACAATTATGTACATGCGTCGACAAGAAACAACATTTCAATTCTGGACAACTGATTATTGCGAAATTGCTCTTTGCCGCCTAATGCGAAGGTCAATTTTGTTTAGAATCAGATAGGGGAACTTGGCATAGAAAGAGGAAACTAAGCTTTTCGCTTCCGGTGGACGGACGGACGATTTCCTTCCTTGAATTTATTGCCCGACGCTTACTGACATTATCACAATGGAAGCGCCCTGCCTTATTATCAAACCCCACACTATAATGGTCGGCGCCGAGGGACGAAATCGGTGGCGAGGGATCGTTAAGCTTATGGTAGAAGCCGTCCGAGATCCACGTTGTTCTCATGAATCAAACAGACATCTTTATGAATCATAGATCGTTTAGAGTACAAAAATCTCAAATATACATGGCCAAACAGGTCTGGAAGAGCTATTACCTGATATCGCATGGAATTGATGTAAGGATGGCGATATCTCTACTATGTCGCGTAGAACTCTCAACATGCTCTGATTGACCCCTGTATCACTTCGTAGCCCTGGCAGGCGGAATCTTCTTGGCCATGCATCCACACCGGGCATATCCTATTGTTTAGCACTCCATTTAGGGCAGGTGTTGGGTGAATGCTTTACTCTGTTAGTGAATTGCCATACTGCCAGCGGCAAGACACTTTACAATGCGGAGAAACGGCCATTTTGTTGCTTCGGGGTGTTCACGATAGCAGTGGGAAAATCCGGTTATCCATCTGGACCTTCTAGTTCGAGGTAGCGAGGACCTCAAGGTGCATTTGCATAGTCTGAATGGCATCATTCTCCATTTATATGGTGATAGGAGGTGCGCAGCACTTCGGTACTCTGGAAGAAGTATATATACTCCCTCTGTCACCTATGATTCTAGCATCACTCAAGCGGTTCCAATCTTTCTCTCTTGACTCCATTCGTTCCAGGCAGTCTCAATTGTCAAAATGATTCACGCTCGTCGCATTGCACTCTTCCTTGGAGCGTTGCTCCCCGCCGTTCTTGCTGCTCCTACGCCAAAGAGCAACGACATCATCCCCGGGAAGTACATCATTACTCTCAAGCCAGGAGCCGATGCCGATGCCGTAGAGACCCACTTGAACTGGGTCACCGATGTCCACAAGCGCAGCTTGACCAAGCGTAACACTGCTGGTATCGAGCAGACTTATGGCATCAGCGACTGGAAGGCGTACGCTGGAGAGTTCGATGATGCTACCATCGCTGAGATCGAGGCCAACCCTGATGTGAGCTTAACAGCCTCAGCAATTAGCTTTGAAATTGAGTGTTAACAAAAGAGTTCTTAGGTTGCTCTCGTTGAGCCCGATACTGTCTCATGGCTCCCATTCACTGTCGATAAGGACACAAAGGAAACCAAGCTCGAGGATCGTGCCTTGACCACCCAGACCGGAGCTACCTGGGGTCTTGGTGCCATTTCCCACAGGTCTGGCTCCTCCAGCAGCTACATCTACGACACCACTGCTGGTGAGGGTACATATGCCTACGTTGTTGACAGTGGTGTTCTCACCACCCACAACCAGTTTGGCGGCCGTGCCACTCTTGGTTACAACGCTGTTGGCGGAGCTCACACTGACACTCTCGGTCACGGAACTCATGTTGCTGGTACCATTGGTGGAAGCACTTACGGTGTTGCTAAGAAGGTGCGTGGAAACATCCAAGATGTGAACGACATTACCGTCAAGAACTATGCTAACGATCATTAACAGACCAACTTGATCTCCGTCAAGGTCTTCGCTGGTCGCGAGGGTACTACCTCCACCATCCTGGCTGGCTTCAACTGGGCTGTCAACGACATTGTCTCCAAGAGCCGAACTACCAAATCAGTGATCAACCTCAGTCTCGGTGGTCCCGCTTCCACCACATGGACAAACGCCATTGCCGCCAGTTACTCTCAGGGTGTTCTCTCTGTTGTTGCCGCCGGAAACGGTGACACCAACGGCAACCCTCTTCCCGTCTCTTCTCAGTCTCCAGCAAACGCGCCCAACGCCCTCACCATCGCTGCTGCTGATTCCAGCTTCCGCCCCGCCACCTTCACCAACTATGGTATGTACATTCAATCAATGTGATATTGATAGTAAGCGATTCTAACGTACAAAAACAGGCGCTGGCGTTGATCTCTTCGGCCCAGGTGTTGGCGTCCTCTCCTCTTACATTGGTAGCAACACCGCCACTGCCAGCCTCAGCGGCACTTCCATGGCCACCCCTCACCTTGTCGGCCTTGCGGTCTACCTCCAGGCTCTCGAGAACCCCGGCTCTGCCGCCGCTCTTACCAGCCGTATCAAGTCTTTGGCCGTTTCTGGTCGCATCACTGGTACCCTCAGCGGTAGCCCTAACCTCTTTGCCTACAACGGCAACGGTGCTTAGATGACTTTCCGAGACCTATAAATAGTGGAAACGGTGATCAATGATTATTGGGAATTCGAAAAGATATGTAGCTCAGGGGACAATTGACATAGCAATATCAAAATGTTGGATTATATGCTAGTGTTTGCGGTGTATTCGCGTTTTCAATCATTGTTGCCCAAGGCTTACATTGCTAACAGAGCGTGAAGAACAATTCGTTTGTATTCCTTTTGGATTCCCGTAAGTGATGCACAGCCTGACACGTGCCCAGTTGGCTGCATACTTACATCAGTACCTTGTAGGCGAATAGGAGATTAGCGATCCAATGCCCTAGAGAAGCAGTTCCTTGATTCTGTGCCATTACTCGATACGACCACAATGTATGTCTCTCTCCTTTAGGAATTCATCTATGATAACTCAGGCTAAAATAGATTGTTGATTTCCTACCTGATGCTTATCCTTTATTTCGCTGCTAGAATGACAACGGACTTCACATGGTGACATTCTTCGAAGAGGATGACCACATCCCGAACAACACTAGTCAAGTCCATCAGTTATCAAGATTGGAAGCATCACTTTTGACTTCGACATTTTAAGGCGCCCAATCGTTGCGTGACATTCGCCACGGTTACGCCTGCCACAGCCTCTATCTCTGCCCCCAAGGCTTAAATTGCCTTACCAGCAAAGGACAGGGCTGAGTCTCCGCCTGTCTGCTGGGCACAACCCCGCATCTTCCCGGTCGTCATATTGGGGCCTCGAATGTTTCCCTCCCATCTTAACAACATCTCGAGGGGATTAAAATGAGTTGTCTGATTTGCATTTTCATGATTTCAAAGCATTTGTACTCCAACTTGAATCGTTGAAAGGGTGAAAGCTGAGCGAATGGATCACATCTGCAGGCGTATCCTTTCCCCGCATCCTGTCGCCTTGTAGCACCGAAGGCACCCTGGAGACATTGTTCGTGAGACGCCACCACAATGGAGGTTGTTGGTTTGTGCGCCAGCATAATAACGATACTCGAAGTTTCGGCAGGCGGCATCAAGGTAGCACAAACCTTCAAAGGAGCCAGAGAAGACTTACAAGCACTAGAAACAGAGATCGAAAACATCCAGAATCTCGTGAAATATGTGCAAGATCTTCCATTGAAAGTTGTGAGCCATAAAGCAATAGTACCCGCACTGGAACAATGTAAGAAGGCAGGGGAAGCAACTCGCTATTTGAAAGAGTACGAGCTTACAACACCGGATGCTAATCTGAGACGGTTCGCATGGGTTCGCAAACAACCTCAAGTTCAGAGGGTGAGAAACCAGATGAAGGAAGCGAGGGACAATCTCACCGCTGCTATTTCGATCGCGATATCGTATGTTGTAGTACCCCGTCTACTAGACGAGAAGCGCTGATAAAGTGTAGATCATCTACGAGTCAAATTGAGGCAGAAATACTATTCCTTCGACAAGATGTTACCTTACTACACGGAAATCATTCCAGCCTGTCGTCGAATGTGGCACAACTGAGCTTAGACTTGAAGGATAACGGCAGCCAACTCATTGCAGGCACACAGGCCGCGGAGACAAGATGGAAGCGCCTCGAATCACAGACTCAAAGAAATGAACGCATGTTCTCAGCTGCGCTTGATTGGCTCTCTCAACTCCCGCTCCTCTTAATCAGCGGTCCGAACAACACTGGTCCCAGGAAACTCATATTGAACCCCTCTCAAGTTACTGCCCAATCTTCGGATTGGCAAACCATGCTTATGGATTATTCCAACAAGGAGGATGATGATGACGACGACGAGTTCTTTGATTGTGTTTCCGTAATGTCTGCAGTGGAAAAAGCGCTTACGCCTACTGTGAGTGGATTAGAGTCATCTTCGAGGTTTTATCCAGAGCAGTACACGATCAATACAGCAACGCTCCAGAGGATTCACGTGATAGCAATGGTACCTCAGCGAGAGACTGCCTTAGGCCGGATCGACTCATTCTACTTCTGGTACAACGAAGGGCCGCGGAAATGGCGAAGAATTATCGCGAATGTCCATGTGAGTCGTGATTCGCGACATTTCGCGGCCACGGTTGTTGCTAGTCCGGACGATTTCTTCAAGAACCTCGATTTGTTACCAGCGCCTTTGCAATTTGCGTTCACCAAGCTGCTCGACAATACTACATTGAAACATGCGGTTACTCGGCTGGACCTCAGCCTCGAGGATCGGCCGTCCGAACAGAATATGTGTGACATTCGCCCGCAAGGGGGTGAAGTTCAGCCCCTGGAGCCGGAGGCAACAAAGTATTTAGACATGTGCTCAGACATCGGCACTCCCATATATACCGAAGATGATGTCGTCACGTATAGCTCGGCAACTTCAACTCTGTATGTCGTTTCTCTCGGTACCAAACTTTGCATTGAGCGAAGGCTACCTTTTGATAGCAATGCTATGGCAATTTTCTGGCAGAATCTTAAGCTATTGCATTGCATGGCAGAGTCCACTGCCGTCATATCATTGGTTGGTGTTGTGGTCCATGAGAACCGTAGTCAACCTCGTGGGTTTTTGTACGAATATCTGAGATACCAGTCAATAGGCACTTATCTGGAAGATGCTGACCTTGATGGCGAAACAATACCATGGGCTCGCCGAGAAAAGTGGGCGAGACAGATCGTCCAAAGTATCGCCGATTGTCACGCCAGAGGATTTACGATCGGAGACACAGGTTGTCTGCGGGTTTTTGGACTAGATCCATACGACGATGCAAAACTGGTCCGCATTTTTGGACTGACTCCTTCTCAACATACGTGCGACTCTATACCGCCAGAATTACGGTCCAACAGCCAAAGCAAAGTGCCATACAAGACAGCCGAATGGACCACCCGGTGCGATCTCTTCCGTCTTGGACAGTGTTTGTGGATGCTTGCTCAGCGAAAAGTGAAAGTTTGCAGCCAGCTTTGCCCATCGCTTACTTGTTCCTGCGACTCATGCTGCACTCTGCCTAGCGACAATAGTGACGCTACAATGGGTCAAAGTCTACAGGACGCACCTTCCTACTACAAGCACTTAATAAGGGTCAGCTTATCATCTAATCCAAACGAACGACTTCCAGCCTCGACTCTCCTGAATCTTTTCCCGCCAGTTCATTCACCCTTCGGAGCGATGACCAAGCAGTCAACACCCGCGCCTGCCAAAGTCTGGCCAGCATTCTCAAATCCCTCGTTCTGGTGCGACATTTGCGACATGAAAGTCAGCGGCGACCTGTATCATTGCGGGATCTGCAACGACGGGAACTATGACATCTGCGCTCCCTGCATCAGCGATGGGCTTCATTGCAAAGACACTGAACACCCGTTGGTCAGACGAGCCGTCTCGAATGGCGTTCTTGTCAGTCTTTCTGATTACGAACTGCAAGTGCGGGACAAGAGCAGCAATGCCATCGTTGAGCCTGTTCTTATGCAGATGAAATGATGTCATTTACGTTTTACGTTGTTTAATATTTGTTATTCTCTTCATACCTGTATCATGTTCTCGTATCCCGGCGACGATCTTCGATTTTCTTTCTACTATGTGTAACGATCATTATATCTTGTTCTAATCGTATTCCTTTTTTAGTATGAGTATTGCGCAGGGGAAATCACCCCATTCCTTGGGCCGCCTACACAATATATTGACTTTCCGTATTACGTTGGCGATCTTCATCTTTCTCTATCACCTCGCGTTGTACACGACTTCGTATTTCGGGGAAGTGTATCCAGAGAAGCCGGGTAAAATGGGCGGCCGCAACGCAAAAATTTTAAAGCCCGGATTTTGCTTCCAGGAAAGCGAGAAAAGCGAGACGAAAATCTATGAATTACGGATTGGTTTTCTTTGTAAGAATGGGAAATTATATAAATTGAGTGTTATCTGGACCTTTTTCGGCCATGCCTGTATGATACCAAACACTTCAATTCCATTGACCTCAGTTTCATTCGCCTCTACCCCCAATTCTCTTTTTTGAAGGCTTCAAGAACCAAAACACAATACACGAATACATATACATAACATCCATCCCAAGCAAGGAAAAAACCAAACCGAATTCCAACAATGAAATTTCCAACCCTCACTATCGTCACCATCGCCCTCTTCGTCACCAATACCCTAGCATCACCCCTCGCTAATCCGGATCCACGACCCCAATTGGAGTTCGGGACCTGCCGCGGTGGCGATCGAGACGGAAAGCAGTGCTATCGATGGGGCGGAGCGGCAGCGTGCCCCGGTGGGGGATTTTGCAGTTTGGGTTGATATCATGGGAAACGTTTGTGTGGTGCAGGATATGCCTTGGAGAGACAAGAAATGAGATGGATGCGGGCGAAATTCGTATTTAGAAGGGTTTTGATGTGCACATTTCCAAGGGGATCGTAGAAGCTTACGACAATGTATTGGAATGCGATACCATTTGTAGCGTCAACTTTTGAGTACCTGATATATGCTTATAATGCTACCTTGACTCGATGTGAAAGTCGTGAAAACCGAGTCAGATTTATTAAACTGACCTAGGTGGTAGCATAGATGATATGAATGTAGAATTATGTTTAAAAGGTACGGAGTACTCTATACAGAGAGAGTGTGTGTGTACTGTTACTATGCAGACGTCTAGTTAAGGGACGGACAAGGGACGGGCACTAAAACGCCGACCCACGCTTTACCAGATCATGGACTTGCACATGCATTGCACCCTTCCCACGACGCATAGAGACATCGTCATACATGCCACCACACGAATATGCCACTTTACTGTCCATTTTTATTTCTCCTATCTACCCCGTATCTTCTGAGCTAATGGGCTGCGAGGATGAACCTCGCCAGCGTTGCTGGGCCGTTTCCTCTCGTGGCGCCAGCTCATCAATGACCAGCCCCGCCAATTTCCTGCCTCATGTCCGAGCTTTACCACCATAATATACCTACCTAGGTACTCCAACCACCCACCGCAAGTTCGTCCATAGGGTAAACCCCCGGAATACTGCGGCTCTTCTTTCGACAAGCAACTCAACCTCTCCTCAGTCTCAAGTCACAATCCGCGAACCTGTACATATTCCCATACGACGAGCTGCGCAGAGCTGGCTAGCAATAACGATGCTACTACCAGACTCTCTCATCGCCCTTATCCTACTGTCTATATCGCCTTCCGCCGCAGAGCCGCAATGGCCACACAACCTTCCGAAGCATGTGAAATACTTTCCCGAAGATGAAGTGCATGTCAAGAGAGGCATTAGCATACAGGAGCGATTGCAAAGGGAGAAGCCGATCGGCTTGAAAAAGATGACAGCGGACGAGGGCGAAATGTTCTTTTTGGACAATTGGATATTTGCTAGCGATTTGGAAAACAACAAAAAGCGCAGTGAAACGGAACAATTTCTGAACGGTAGCATGAATGCTTTCTCGCCCCTACGACCACACGCCGAAAAGAACATCTTTGATTCTGTGAGGAGGTTCAATCCGCGATCATCCCTGTTCGCGAGGGATTTCCAGTGTCCCTCTGGAACGACCAGCTGTTCTTCCATAGGAGAGCCTAACAGCTGCTGCGGAACTGACGACACATGCATGAGGGTTGACGACACTGGGTTCGGATCGGTGGGATGCTGCCCTAAGGGACAGACTTGTGCTGGAAGTATATCCTGCGATGAGAAAAACGGGTACAGCAGCTGTCCGGATAGCCCGAATGGAGGATGCTGTCTTCCAGGATACAGTTGCCAGGACGTTGGATGTAAGTATAATATAAGTGGACATCGAGCATTGTCACGTCGTGCTAATCATCCCAGGTGTTGCCGCAGGAACCTCGATTACCTTCGTCCAACCTTCTACCTCTACGCCTAGACCAACCTCAACAGCCGTCGTGGTTGTTCCCACGACCCCTTCCCCCACGCCTACTCCTTCTTCGACGTCATCCTACACATGCAGCTCCGGTTGGTTCTCTTGTCCTGTTAGCCTTGGAGGTGGTTGCTGCCAAAACGGCCGGGAGTGTGCAACGGGGGCTTCATGCCCTGCGCCATCTTCCTCCTCAGCAGAATCTACCGGTACACCCAATGCGCCTGTCCGACCTACTTCTGGAAGCGCCGAACCCACGACTGAAGCTCAGAGTAGCCTTGGGCCAACCGAATCACTCTGCCCAACGGGCTTCTACGTCTGCAGCGCATACTATCCTAGCGGATGCTGTAGAGTAGGGAGAGACTGCCAGACCTCCGGGTCGTGTGCTCCTACTGCAAGTGAGACAATTGTGAATAGCAACGGAGTCGTAGTGGTCGCTCCTACTGGAGCTAGCTTCTCCCGTCCCATTGGCAGTTGTGCTACTGGATGGTCAAGCTGTGCCCCTAGCCAAGGTGGCAATTGCTGTCCCAAGTAAGTCAATCAACCGTAGGCGTTCAGTTCTTCAATATCTAACATATTATAGTGGTTATGCCTGCGGCGAGCAATGCACAGCAACCTCGGGAGGTAACACAGACATCACCAACAAAATGCCGCCAAGTACAGCATCTTCTTTCTCGTACATGTCCATATGTGGAATGATCTCTGGTGCATTAGCCATTGGCATCAGTATGATAATTTTCTAGTACATATTACGACTTTCCAATACATATCTCGACCGCTTCGCCTATGCGGACCCGGCTCTGAACTTGCTATCCAACTCCCTCTCCCGTGTCCAAATGTTCATCCCCAGTTTACTTCCTCTTTGCACTGGCAAGCCAGCATGCAAAGTCCTCCTGTCGCCAACCATTCCCTTGGCCCCCTTCTTCAGATTCTTCCAAAACACCGCATTCCTCGCGATCGGTCGGAACGTCACGCCTTCGTCCCACCCAGCATCACAATTGACAACATCGCACCACTTCTCATTATTCGGCGCATCGAGGAGCGGAAACTGCGTACCCCCACCCACGATATCCTCCGACGTCGCCACGTACACAAAAAACGACGTAGCTCTATTCCCACCATACTCGGCCGTCGTCTGCGTCGCCGAAGTAAACCAATCGGTGTGCGGCGCATAGTTCTGATTCAGCGAGTACGAGACGGCCTGCAGCGGCTCCAACTGCTCCATCTTGACATCGTAGCCCTGGAACTGCAGCGCGCGCTCCTCGATGCAGCGGACGACGCGGTCGGACTCTAAGGACGTCGATTGCGAGTTCCGCGTCTTCGCGAGCTGTTGCTGGCCGCTGCTGTCGGCGACCTGGGAGGCGGAGAAGCGCCCGTCGGATATCGATTGTAGGTGCTCTGCCTCCTCCGCTGTGATGAATGATGGGATGTAGATTATGAGTGGATCTTCAGAGAAGATTTGGACGTTGTAGAGATGTTCGGGACATGTGTAGTTTTGTTGTGGTTGTTGTGGTGGTGATGACGAGGATGTGGATGTGGATGCGGAGCATAAAGCTGACAGCGCGAGGAGTGAGGCTGGCAGGAGTGCTGATTTGGTGACCATTGTGACGATGTTCTGCGACCAATCGCTCGAGATCACGACGTACAACGATTATGAATGTATCAAAATTTGAAGAATCAAAACTTTCGGAAAACCTGAGGCCCCTCCCAATGTTTTATCTCCCACAGCTTATACCCCGAGATCAGCATGTGGGGTTCGTAGGAATCGCCCCTGTCGCAGCTTTCGTTTCACAATTGTTGCGAAACAGTCTAGGATGTGTCTGGTGGTCTACCCCGTCGAGTGGTTTAGTGGGGGCAATAGTGTGACGTCTTTCTTCAAATAAACCATAACTGTTCCCAACGGAATTATCTCAGAGTTATTCTTCAGTTTTTTTTTTTCCGATTGCCGCGATGAGGGTTTTGGTTGGGCTGTTTGCTGCCTTTTCGGCGGTCACATATGCGAAATTGGTTCGCGACGTATCGCATACGGCTTTCGACCAATTGCTGAAGGACAATGACCTTGTTCTCACTGCTTTCACATCGAAAACACTCGAGTCGTTACAGTCGTTCCAATTGATGTTCGAGCAAGCGTCAAAGGATTCATACACGCCATTCACGATCGTAAATTGCGACGAAGAAGTGGAACTTTGTAGGAAATACGACGTAAATGCTTACCCAGCAATTCGATTGTTCAAGAAAAGCGCAGAACCGGGGGGTGGAGAAGAATCAAATACAGGGGAGCCAGAAGTTGTGCGATTCCGAGGGAAGAAGACGAAGAGCGCGTGAGTAGTGGACCCATAAGACCAGTTAGTAGTTGTAGTATTAACAAAATATAGCATCGATTCATTCCTGACAAAACATGAACTCCCCGCTCTGGCACACGTGGGTCCAAAAGAATTCACAGACTTCAAAAAGATAGACGACGTTGTTATCGTCGGTTACCTTCGACCGGACCAAGACTCGCTGCTCGAAACACTGCGTAGTGTTGCCGAGCGATATCAGTTTAAATATGTATTTGGATACGTAACGGACACTGCGTCTGCAGATGCAGAGGGTCTCGCGATGCCGGCTGTAGTCGCGTACAAGAATCTCGATGGCGACAGCAGGGTAATGCAAGGTCACTTTAAGGAGCAAGATCTCGAAACATTCCTCGACGGTGTCAGCGATCTGACTATCGGAGAGTTCAGTGAGCGGGAGATTGAGAATTACATGGTGGTACGTTCGGTCATTCATCGACCGTCTCATTTTATGACGGAAGAAGCTAACGAACGTCTCGAATTGCAGAAAGGAAAACTGACCGTCTACCTATTCATTCAAGACGACGATTCAGCAAGGCAGCTGCGTATAGAGCTCACGCCCCTCGCGAAGAAGTATGCCCAATATGCCAACTTCGCAATTACAGACGCGATCGAGTTCGCACCCATGGCGGTGAACTATGGCCTCACGGAGAATGTGTATCCATCGCTCGTTGTGCACGCTCCCATGAACGATCATGTATTCCGATACCGGCAAGGGAAGAGGATCGAGACATTGCGGGTCGAGGACATGTTGACGACTATTTTGAGATCGAAGGCAGCGAACGGTCAAGTGTTTGGTGGAGATGCGCCAGATTTGTATGCGGAGGAGGAAGAGGAGCATGTTTCTGAGGGGGACGGACGCCATGATGAGTTGTAGATATTCCAATACGAACAAATCGGATATGAAGGAAACAATGCCGTAAAGTTATTCTCAGCTCATTTTCCAGTCGTAAATGTGGTTCTTTATTACTCCGTATAAGGGTTCATTTTTTGCAAAGAAGACCACATCGGGGTTTAATAAACGGGGTACTAGGCGAAGCCCCGAAGTGATTGTTTAATAGTGTGTGTGAATGTACAATGTATATAATGTGGAAATGTCATCTTTGTTCACGTCCCTACCAGTCTTTATTCCAAAGTACAAAGAAGAGCGTTGTATACGTACCTATTCATATCCGTAGTTCATACATAAGAACACTGACATCGCCAACTCTGACCCAAACACCCACTTTATAATCAACAAATATCATTTCCCCGACAACAATTCCGGCGATAACACTGAACACCCAATCACCATTCAGATTAGACAAAGGAATAATGTATCTTCTCCAACTGCCTCCCGAGCTTATAATGGAGATCTTCAGTTATGTTGGATCGGGGTACTTCCGCTGGAACATGTCACGTCTTTCGGTCTGCAGGCAGTGGTATTATTTTGCACGCCTTGCTTGCTTCCAGGATCTCTACATTTCACAATATATACTGGATCGATTGGCCCGCTCGCCATATTTGCAGGAAAACCTATGCTCAATTGAGGAGAGTGTGGAGCACCTGGATCTGCTATTACCCAGCTACGAAGAAGAACGTAATAGAATTGCGAGACAGCGTGGTCATTGGTGCATTGCTTCATCTTCGCCTGATGCCACAGGCTGGGCATCTGAGCAGAATGCCAATCTCGCACGGCTCGCCGCTGCCATCAAACATTCGAATAGACTGCGATCCCTGCGTATCTGCTCTCTCCCTGTTCGCCCTGTCAAGGGAGTGTTCGATCAATTGCTAAATAGTGCCGACCTATTCCGAAATGAGTTGCTCCCGTTTTTGACAGCCGGCAATCTGACGTGTCTTGACTTGGATCTTTGGAGAGACAGGGACATATTGAGAAAGACTGAACGCGAATATGGACATGGTCATCACCTCTGTACGATGATTTCCAAGCATCTTAGTACGCTTCGGCGTTTGCGAGTACGCATGCAACCCATCTGTCCAGATGTCTTGAAAATCAAAGAAGAAAACAACAAGCTGCGCCTTAGTGACGTTGTTATCAACATAATAGGGACAGATCGGTCCCCGTTCGAAGATGGAGTAGTATGTTGTGAGTCGATGTCGTATCCATACAGCGGGGCTACTACTTTGGAACGATTGAAGCAGCAGGCAAAAATTCTAGTGACCCAGATGGCAGCCCCGAAAATGGTGAGGATCCTGACAGATCATCATTCGAGGAACCGCGTACTTGCGCTGGACATTTTGACCGGCAAAAGGATCGCGGTGCGTGAGTATGGGGGCTGGGATGAAGAAGGTGAAGTCCTTGGGTTTTTCGATTGACATGCTCTTAGACATCTTGAGTACATTCCAAGGTTACTTTTCACGACGAATATTGGAATTGGAAGGTATCCTGTCACAGGCATATCTTTTAGGAATCCTTAGTTGGGACTAGCTGGCTGCTTGGGAATGGTAATTGATAAAATCGGATTGTGTGAATATAAACAGAAAACAAGGTCGTTCACAGTAAGAAGGAATAATTAGTTTAGAATGGGAAGCGGCGATTTGTATTACTCTCTTAAGGCAACCTGACAATGATTATTATTGTTACCCCCAAGATGACGATGATCTCGTCGAATGAAGAGAATCGCGACGTACATATATATAATGAATTAAATTCAATACAGAAGAAAATACGACGTGGATTTAGGAGTAGAAATAGAGCTTGGAGGAAAAAGAGTGAATGGAGGTTTGACCAATGGCAGGAATTCATAAAAATAATGTGGGGCCTTCGAGTGCACGGATCCACCGGACCACCGAAATCTTGGCTTGGTCCAAAACTTTCTTCACGACTTTTGATTCTTGCGACAATCGATTTTCTGTGTCGTTGGCGCAAAGCCATATCTTTTTTTCTCTTTCTTATGTCAACGAGCCACAGAAATAAGTATGGCACCAGTATCGCTGTCATCTGACGCATCCATCTCCTCCCACACCTTATCTGCCGGCTCCAACGCAATGGATACATCGAACATGAACTCGACCGCCCAGCTCGCATCGCTCCTCAAAAACCCTACACAATTTCTCCTTCCAACGTTACAACTTCAAGGGTCATGCGTTACGACCACTAAAGGGTTGCTCGATCCAATCGCCGCTGGTATCAGTGAACTACAAAAACAACGACAACAAGCTTTGCGCAAGAGGAAGCGGGGGGACTATGACGCCGTCGACCCTCTTAAGATTAAGAAGATACACACAGAAGGATTTGGTACATCGGCAATTTTCGAGCAAGCACGGAAGGTGCTAGACGCTGCTCTTGACGAGATAGAGCTCGCACTTCCGGTTGAAGAGAGCTCTGACGGGGAGGATGCTGAGCTTGACGAAGAATTGAGTGATTCCCTAGGCCATTTGGAATACGATGAGGACGACGAGATCTTGGATGATGGCGAATCAGTGGACTTCGATGATGACGACGATGACGACGAAGAAGGCGAGTCAGGGGACGACGATGATATGGACGAAGTTCTCGAGGTGGAAGATGATTATGACGAAATAGATGGCAGCGACATTGAAGAGGACGAGGACAAAGACGAAGATCAATCTGATGATGAACAAGCTGCGACATATCAGCCAGATCCCAACGGACTCAATGACGGCTTCTTCTCTATCGATGATTTGTAGGCGTCACCTATTCCTATAAGTGTATCGGTTTCGTTACTAACAATAAGTGCAGCAATCGCGTGTCCGAGTTCCTTGAGCAACAGGATCAACGTGGAGAGCCCGTAGACGAAGATGTACGTGTAGACTGATCGCTCGCAAATCGTTTCACAACTAACCTTAATCTCCAGGACGAAGAAGTCAACTACGATGCAGACCCATTTGCTGCTGGAATCGGAAAACCCCTTGGCGATGATGACTCTGATGAGTCCGAAGAAGGCGGACCAACGTTCGGCAACGTCGACCTTAACGCACCAGAAGGCGATAGTGAAGATGATGAGGAGCTCGACGAGGGTGATATGGATGGCATGGGCGATACAACAAACGCCAACGATATCATGTACGCAGATTTCTTTGCGCCTCCAGCACAGAAGGCGAATCGGAAGAAGAAGGGTCGGCCTCACCCACACAACTTCCCGACCGCGAAAAAGGATGAAGAGAAGGAGAGCATTGATGATGAAGACGTCGAGCGAGCAATGTCTCGTGTCCAGCGCGATCTATTTGAGGATGAAGATTCCGCGGGATCGCAGTCGGAAGGTGATCTAAGCGACCTGGATCCATCAGACCCCAAATCTCGGAAGTCAAATCACGAGCGTAGACAGGCTAAATTGCGGGAGGAAATCCGGAGATTAGAAGCAGCGAATGTTGCGAAACGGGAATGGCAATTGCAAGGTGAGGTTAGCAGTCGTGATCGACCAGAGAATGCCCTTCTCGAGGAGGACCTCGAGTTCGAGACGATTGGTAAACCTGTGCCTGTTATTACGGCGGAAGTCTCCGAGTCGATTGAAGCGCTGATCAAGCGTCGTATTCTTGCAAACGAATTCGATGAGCTCAAGCGTAGAAGACCAGACGATCTTGCTGTGGCAAATGTGCGCAGGGGCAAATTGGAATTGGATGATGCCAAGCCATCAAAGGGTCTGGCTGACCTATACGAGGAAGATATCTTACGCCAGACGGATCCTAACTTCGTTGATGCACGAGATGAGAAGCTGAAGAAGGAACATGCCGAAATCGAGGCCCTCTGGAAGAGCGTATCGGGCAAACTCGACTCTCTTAGCTCATGGCATTACAAGCCTAAGCCAGCTGCACCGAACCTGGAAATTCGGGTCGATGCTCCAGCTATTGAGATGGAAGATGCACGGCCAACAGCTGGTGGGGAAGTTTCCGGAGCAAGCATGCTCGCGCCTCAAGAGGTTTACAAGCCCGGTGATGAGAAGAACAAACTGGAGATCGTCACGAAGGGAGGAATGCCCGTTGCCCGAGAGGAACTGTCAAGAGAACAGAAGACTCGCCGTCGCAGAAGGGAGAAAGAGAGGATCAAGAAGGCCAATGACAACTCCAAGCCAAGTACGAAGAATAAGAAGGCAGAACAGAACAAGGAATTGCTTGGCACTCTCAAGAAAGGAGGTGTCCAGATCATCGGAAAGAAGGGACAACTTACTGACGTCGAAGGCAAAGATGTCAAGGAGAAAGCAAAAACCAGCGCAGGTGGTTACAAGCTCTAAAAGGTTGATAGATACATTTCCAAAGCATTGCATCCGGACTGTCACCCCATTACGACACCGGCATTTTACAAAATTTTACCACGAATATTTCTTTCTCTCTATTGTCATGTCGGCACACATTACCTCGGCCGTCCTTGGTTGTTTCAATCCAAGTGCACATCTCCCTCCCTATCTGCAAAAGGATAATACTTCTGCGTCTCTGTCCACAGTGTCTCCTCGTCTAATTGGCTTGCGTCCAATCCAGAAATAATGTCCTTGTCCTCGGCCAATACCTCGAAGCCCGGCACACAGTCAATCAGCGCATAAATCACGTAGCTACCGACGAAGCTCCACACAAAACCCACCAATGCCTCAACAATCTGAACGCCGAGTTGTCGAATGTTGCCATCAAAGAATACGCCCCCAACAATTTCCGTGACACCGTCATAGCCAGCAACCTCTTTGCGTGCGAAGCATCCAGTTGCAATTGTTGCAAGAATTCCACCAATACAATGCGTAGCAAACGTATCACCGTTATCGACCCATCGCCAGCGTCGCGCAAAGTCTGTGAACTTGATTCTCAACGCCTGCCTACATACAACAGCACCAAGTATGCCAAAGAAGAATGCAGTTGGTGTATCAATGAACCCAGCTGAGGGGGTGATCATGATCAAACCACTGATCGCACCCATAAAGCAGGAATCCAGACTCCATCTCCCCACCTCCGCGTACGTGATCAGCATCCACGTCAGCGCACCACTGGCCGCGCAGAGATTGGTGACGCAAAGAGCCATCACGCTCTTGAAATTGAATGCCAGGACCGTACCAGCGTCGAACGCGAGCCAGGAGCCCCAGATACTAATCATGGCGAGAAGCTGGCATATTGAGTTCACGGGCCGGTGGATTACGAGATGGGAAGGTGTTCGAGTACTGGATCTTCGCGATCGAAAGAGCGGGTAGGACAGGTAGATCGACATTGCGGTCGCGGTGGCTCCGGAATTGATGTGCACGGGTGTGCCCCCAGCGAAGTCGAGGACTCCGAGATCTTGCAAGAAACCACCGCCCCAGACCATGTGGGCGAGAGGGTCGTAAACAAATGTTGACCAGAGCTTCGGTGAATTAGTTAGTACCTGACCGAAGGGGACACTTGTAAGCAGGGCACCTTACCGCAATGAATGGAACCAGTGGAACAAGCCGTCCTCTTTCGCATGCTCCACCTACTGCGATTGCGCAGACTGTAGCTTGGAAAACAAGCTGGAAGAAGCTGAAAAGCACAGCTGGTATCGTTCCAACGGGTTCGGCAAGTACGCCTCGATGGAAAGCGTAGGTAAAGTCTCCAAACACAGCACCTCCTTCGCCGTATGCGAGAGTGTAACCAACTACAAACCACTGGATCGTGCAGACTGTTACGGCGAGAATGGAGGGCATGACAGCTGCAAGGGCGTTTGAACGTGTGCAGTAGCCGCTGTATGCAATGCCTACTGCTGGAATGATTCCCCAGCCTGGTCATATTAGCAATTGGACAGGATGAGGCGGCTTAAGCTCATGATCATGCTCAACATTGGTAGAAACAAAATATTTGGTTCTTACAGAAGACTGAGCACACAAGGACGAAGAGCGTATCTGTCCGATCGCAAGCTTCCCAAGCTTCCAACACCTTCTCTGGTAACACCATTGTGAGAGTGTTACAATCCTTGTCGCAGTACAGAAGCGGAAAGGAATTCAATCGCTATCCTCAAACACTTGTGAAAGGACGCAATTAGTGATCGCAATATCGAGCTTGCGGAAGATGAGATGAGAAGCTATAGCTGCTGCTATATCAGCTCAGGCACGATGATGTATGCAACAAACGCCGAGCAATATGGCGCTTGATACGTTCGGATATTGCCAAATTAGGCAACACGTGGAGGGATGATATGCAGGCATAGGAGAGATAAGAGATAAGGAGTTGGATAAGCGGCATTGATGCAACCAGAAGCTATGAGTCGTTGTGCGCCTATATTATCTTAAAAGAAAATAGTCCCATAAAATAAATCGAAACTTCAGAATTGCAAAATCCCATATGTTGCTTTAGATGGTTCGATTGGAGACTTTGGTCCAGATAATCACGTAGTACCAAGTCGGGATTAGCGTAACACTGTATCCATATATGGTTAGCGTACCGCCCGAATCTAGACTTACAAACCTTCATCGGTCACAATAATTATGCGTAGCGAAGTCAATCTCACAAATTTCACAAATTTCCCATATCCCGCCATGTCAGACTCAGAGGAAAACAGCAGCATGTTCGACGTGAGCGCAGATCTAGTCGCACCGGCATATATAAAGCCCGCCGGCCTCTCAGAAGTGACATTCGACGGTCTATTGGCCACCCCGCTAAAGCTTCATGAGGATCTGAAGAATGGATGTGGAGGGCAATTGTGGCCGGCTGGCATGGTGTTGAGCAAGTACATATTAAGGAGCCACAGGAACGATCTGGTGGATAAGACTATGTAGGTTCAAAGGCACCAGTCATGATTGCAGTAGCTAACCTTGGGCAGTGTGGAACTAGGCGCCGGAGGTGGACTGGTAGGGCAAGTATATCAGACTCAACGACATATATGGGACTCAGCCTTCTATTAGAACTGATCTTTGTATACAAAGAGATTATTACTGACCATCATTATGCAGGCTTGCGGTAGCTCTTGGGTGTCAACTGACAACAAAAGTCCACATAACGGACCAAATACCAATGTTCGACCTAATGAAGAAGAACATAGCGCTGAACAACCTTTCTTCCAAAGCTGTTGCAAGTGTCTATGACTGGGGGACACCAGTACCAGCATCCGTCCCTTCTCATCCAGACATCATTCTCGCTGCTGATTGTGTATACTTCGAGCCCGCATTTCCGCTGCTGCAACAGACGTTGAAAGATCTGATCGGCGAAAACACGGTGTGTTACTTCTGCTTTAAGAGGAGAAGAAGAGCGGATCTACAGTTTATGAAGGTTGCGAAGAAGATGTTTGATGTCAGTGAGGTGGACGATGACGTTGACAAAGAGATTTACAGTAGGGAAAAGCTGTTCTTGTACAGGATAACGAAGAAGAGGAATTGAGTGGTGCCAAAGAGAATGAATTCAACAATTTCGTAATAGACAAGCCTTTTGGCCTTACCCCATACAAACTAAAATGACAAAGCCACCCCAGGGTATCAAATTGCCCACGAAACAAATAGCCGACCCAGACGCAATAATGACAACAGACATCCTATCTCTGGAGATTTCGATAACCAGATCGATGAATCACGCTGCAGGAACCCACCGACTTCCTTTTGTAGAGGACCTACGATCCTTGTCCCCTGTCTCTGAATCCTCTCAATCCCCAAGATCAACTCTTACTGTATGAGATTCTGGTCTCTGACTTCACCCATATCTGGTTTGTCGCTTTCGTCCCAGAGTGCCGTTTAGCCTCTTCTGGGTAGGTTGCGTGGCACACGGATGAGCTTCGGCGACCAGTGTTGCCCGCCAGAGTCGAATGGTGAGGCGACATGGCATGCTCACTTTCCCACAACCTCGCTTCGTCATCGACACCCTGAATGGGAAGTTTCATTCTGTCCGACAATTCGGACGCATCGTCCCTCGACTCCAGCTCATACACTTCTCGCCCACGATGACGTGGGATCTTACGCCCCTCTGAATTGTGCTCGAAGGGAGCACTGCCTCCTTGATAATACTTTCCTTCTGCATAGCTTCGGTAACGAGAGCTGATGAGACCGGGAATATATTTCCAGAAGAAAGGTTTAAGAGCTGAAACGGAGGCGCATACGATGGATGCGTTTACTTCCGCGAAGCACCAATGGAATTGCTCGACGGCGGCCCAGGTATAGTCGGTCGACGTCATGAGAGGCTCTAAGAGAATCGTTCGGCGAACGGCTACGGCGCATACACTATAGAACGTGAGTTACGTGTAAAGTAAGTAAGTAATGGTAGATTGATCAACTCACAATGCTCCTGTCGCGAAAAGTAGACAGACGGTGATCTTCTGCTTCAGTCCCATATGTAGCGGTGCTATTACAGGGATAGGAAGGACCAGGGTAAACACATCGATGATGATGTTCAAGATCGATAACGCCACGTACTTAGTTAGTGGATCAATGCATTTTGCTGTTGGCATGAGCGTGGCGTCCCATGTTGCGGCGAGAGGCCAACAGGCGAAGATACTAAGAAGATTATAGACGACTGCGTACGTGGTCACAATACCGATCAGTGTCCAGACCAGCCATCGAAACCATGCTTGCGGAGAAAGTCGGAGGTAGAAACAAAGGATGGAAATCTTGGTAAATGCGAGGCTGGTAGCGTAGAAGATTGTTCCGACGAGGGTCATCTATCCCCTTATATCAATTGAGGTCCAATATGGAACAGGAACTGTTTGCTACTTACCACTTGAAATGGCACCGTGAAATCGCTTAGGGGCACATCCCAGATATGATACCCAAGGCCGACTTCCAGATCTGGTTAAAATGAGCCCTTCCGTTTTGTGAATATGGGCTGCTCTGGTTTGACTTACGTTTGAAATTTATGCCAAGCAGTAAAACACTGAACAGTAGTCCAACCATCACCATATCTAGATCCGATTAGTTGTCTAGATTCCCTCATGAAGATTGCCGTAAACCCACAGTCATCTGTATGTAGACCACCCTGGACCAGGCGAGTACGAGTGAAGATCCGCAAGCCCACGGCGAGCAACGCGACAAAAGTCGTTGAGAGTGCTGTTGCTTTGAGCTCTCCATGTAAATTAGGGCGATGTGTTGTGTGCCTTGTATGCGGAGCAATCGGCTCCGTTGTATAGAGAATTCCAGTTGAATTATCCACCGCTTGTCTTCCCGCCAGCATGGTGAGCAGCACAATATAAATCAAAAGTTAAATTCAAGTGCTCACACGCGGTTAAACTCCCGATGAGCGGGTTTGAGGAATCAGTGTCTATTTCAAAGATGCCACATTCGACTTCAGGGGCGTGACATCGCATGGCTTGTGCCAGTATCGGCCAGGCTGCGCCGTAGCAACCCGGTGACACCGCACAAGATGTGCCGTATCAGAAAAGATCTACTAGACTCCACTGTGCCTCAATCCTGATGTTGGAATAAGCGTTTGTGACAGTTGACAACCTCCCCTGCAATCTTACGCCCCGTCCAATATGCGGACAAAGCATGATGCACATCAACAGACTCGTCGTCGTAGTCTTGACACGATACAATTAGATGGGAGTGTGACGCATAGTAATGTATGTTTTCTTTTTTTCGCCAATGTGATATGTAGAGTCTTAATAATGGTGAAAGTTGACGGTGAAATGATGTTTGAAACGAAAACTGGTGCTAAGGAATCATCAACCAGACTGAGCAGTTCTGATGAACAGAATAGATCATGAATTTCAACGTACTTCTATTATATCATCGATGTGTAGACCTCAAGATATTTTAATTGAGAACGGAGCAACCGTCTAGTAAAGCATATTTCATACTACGAAATAGACGTTTACCAAATAGAGTACTACTCTGTACCGTCCCCCAAGAAAGGCTTCGTAACTGTCAGGAACGGACCAGACAAAGGGCACTTGACATCAGGAACAAAGAAACATCCACTATCTGCATATCTCATACGACAATACCAGGATTAAAAAATGAAGGAATACCAACAGATGCATTCGCGGAAGGAAAAAAGTGGGACACTTCACCGATCACATGCCTAACTGCGAGGCGTCGCAGGACCACCCTACCCATATGTTGAGATTGAACTTGGTGTACGAGTAGAATGGTTCCAATTATTTCTTCATTTTTGTATCCCGTACTGCAGGGTTGGATGGGCATTTCCCGATTCACCATTCTTTGCGACCCCGCAATCACTGATCAACAAACCTCAACCACCCACTTAGGTCAATTATAAAAATCGAAGAGGATCCAGCCCCCCCATCAATGTGACTACCTTCCCTTTGTCCTCGGCAGCAAAAGAAATATTGTTGCATCACTTTACCCGTCCCGTTCAAGTGGTTCGGGCTGTGGCACCGCACAAGTTGAGATGATTCCGCCTTCGTTTAATGCGGCACAGTACAGCTTTGACCCATCTATCTTTCGGCCGCAAACCCGACCCGTTGCTGCATGGATCGATTACGAGTATTTGGTAATATATCGGTGGGACCAGGTCTTCGGTTTTCCTAACTTTTCCTGCGGTGGTAGTAAGGGGGTTTGGTGGTTCTGCGAAGTTTTTGTGCAGTGCATATGTTGTGCTCGTCGTGCCATGTCCTACTTTGAAGCGGCACATTGTCTGGCCAATGAGTGTATCGTTTATCTTCTTGTTCATGTGGGTGTTGCAGGGTCTGAGATTACAACCAGTGTAACCTGCCGTGGCAGTCTAGGTTGCGATTTCTTCGTATGCATTGCAGGATCAAATTAATGTTGTGGGACACCACATTACAGAATCCAGTTGCTCGAATGCTGAGTAGATAATTCCTTTGTACATAAAGACATGCTGCGTCTATGCCTGTTGCACTCATTTCCAAGACAAATCAGTTGCAATCATCCTGATATCGAACCACTGTTGTCAGACTGAACCAAGATGTCTAGTCCTTACGCCGTGAACACGAAGCCCTTCGCGGACAAAGTTATTTGTGTGACTGGCGCCAGTAGAGGTACTGGGCTCGCATTATCGAAGTACCTTCTGGCTAGAGGAGCTACGGTGTCAATGTGTGCGACGTCCGCTGATAATCTGGCCAAAGCTGCGAAAGAAATTGAAGAAGAGTTTCCAGAGGCAAAGGATAAATACTGGACATTTGTTGCGGATATCGCAAATTTGGCCGCAGTCAAGGAATGGATCAAACAGACAGTTGCCAAATTTGGTCCATTGGATGGTTGTGCGAACGTGGCAGGTGAGTAGAGACGAGTTGACGTTAATAACGCAAAAGACCATCTAGTTAATGATGCAAACAGCGGTAGAACAGCGCGAGATCTTCCCAATCACGGACCTTGATCCTGGTTACTTCTCAAAACTTTTGAACGTCAATGTAGTTGGTACTTTCAATTGCCTGAAGGAGGAGATGAAGGTCATCAAAGACGGCGGGTCAATAGTCAATGTCGGCAGCATCGCCAGCCAATATGCATCGTTCGGAACGTCTGCGTACATAGCGAGTAAGCATGCTCTGCTCGGCTTGACGAAAGTTGCCGCAATCGAAGCAGCTCCACGCCGGATTCGTGTCAACGCTCTTTGTCCGTAAGTTTCAATAGGTATTCTTTTAGTTTAGCGACATGACTGACAAGTGGATAACTGAAAGTGGCTGCATTAATACCGAAATGATGGAGAAACCGTTCAATTCCGCCGTAGGAGAATTCTACCTCACAAAGGATAACATTCCTTGCATTCTAAAACGAGATCTCGCGGAACCGTGGGAGATTGCAGCCTCCATTGCATTTCTACTTGGCCCAGAGAGCAGTTACGTTACAAAAGCGACTTGGTTTCATGACGGTGGATGGGCCGAGGGTAACTATAGCTCTGGTTAGTGGTCTTTGTCATTCCATCTTTCTAAACCTCGAGGCCAATGGCTACGAGCACATTAGTGGCTTCAATGGCGTATATCAATCACCAGTACTGTATATACGTTCGAATCACTTGCCACAGATTTGTCCTGAACTCCTTGGTGACGACATGAAACACGCCTGTCCTGGGGCTCAGAGAATGTTCTCAATGAATTGGACAGATGCAGTATTATCTCTTCGACTGTCGATGTGAATTTCTAATGTCATCGAAGCCTTGACATGGGAATTGTTGGTAGCAATGCAATTCATCAAGTTACTGGTAAGAATAACTAGAGATTGCCTTACATAAGACATGGACAATCTGTTCCTGAGCTAATACCAAAGGGGAAGCTGCGGCTCGGCGAAAGATTGATCCCCCGATGGATCAGCCAACCATGGCCCATCCATGAACCCACGTCCACGCCACGCCGCGGGACAGGACAAGACAGGACAAGACAGGACACGCAAGGGTCCAGATGTTTTCGATACTCTTCTGGTACGAGTCCTAAGGTGGGTGGGTTTCCTGACGATCTTCAAAGGAGAAAATAACAACCCCCCCGCTTCTCAATCCTTCTTACTCTCTTCACTCTCCTCCATTTTCAATTCCGCCCTCTCTCCCCATATCCACGACTGGACTGCGATCATGCGGTCTTCTGTCGCTACAGCCACCGTCCCTCCACGGAAGCCCGCCGTGGAGAGGGTGACGGTCAAGGCACAGGAGAAACAGACCTCTGTAGGCTCCAATGCTCAAGGAGAAAACGACCATGATCATTTCTTCTGGACTTACACCGAAGAGCCGCATCGGACACGACGAATGGCCATCATCAAGGACCACCCAGAGGCAAGCTGATCCTCCTAATGTTCTGGCCTCAATTTCTGACTCCTGGATCTAGGTGACCAAGCTCTGCGGCCCCGAACCGTTAACAAAATGGGTCGTCCTCTTCGTTGTCTCCCTACAGGTGCTCTGCGCATACCTCCTCCGTGATAAGCCATTCATTTCATGGCCAACGTTCCTCACCGCATACATAATCGGAGCAACCGCCAATCAAAACCTGTTCCTCGCTATCCACGAGATATCTCACAATTTGGCATTCAAGAGTGCTCAGGCAAACAGGCTCTTCGCCATCTTCGCAAACCTGCCCATTGGCATACCATACAGTGCTTCGTTCAGGGTTCGTAGCTGCCAGACAACACGGCAAGCAAAAGTTCTAGCTAACAGTGTTGCAGCCCTACCATCTCACTCATCACAAATCCCTCGGCGTGGACGGCCTGGATACCGATCTCCCCACGCCACTTGAAGCTCTCTTCCTCGATTCCGTCCTCGGCAAGGCCTTCTTTTGCACCTTCCAGATTTTGTTCTATGCTCTGCGTCCCATGTTCGTTTATCAGCTACCTTTGACGAAAATACACTTTCTCAACATCGCTGTACAATTCGCATTCGATTTTGCGCTCATCAAATTCATCGGTGGCCGTGCTTTGGGCTACATGATTCTCAGCTCTTTCTTGGCTGGGTCACTCCATCCCTGCGCCGGACATTTCATTGCGGAGCACTATGTCTTCGACAAGCAACCTGAGGAGGCTCGCGATCCAGCAAACAAGATTCCTCTACCCGAAACATATTCTTACTACGGTCCGCTAAACATTCTTACCTACAACGTTGGCCTGCACAACGAGCATCACGATTTCCCTGCAGTACCTTGGACACGCTTGCCGGCTTTGAATAGAATGGCCCACGAATACTACGACGAGTTACCTCAGTGCAAGAGCTGGGTGAATGTCATCTGGCAATTCATTTGGGATAAGGACATCTCACTTTGGTGCCGTGTAAAGAGGAAAGAAGGTGGACGCAAAGTTGGCGCAGGAAACGGCTGGAGCGAGGAGGAACTCGGTGCGAACGAGAAGAAAGGACCAATCCCTGGAGTACGATAAAATCTTGTAAATGAAAATGCATCGGAGTGGCGTTACTTGGCTATTAATCATCATCTTGCATTTTGTTAGGGCCTATATCTCGACGGATGTAAAGGAATGGAATGATTCCTGGAGTCTGTGTTGTTTCCAGATCCTTGCATACAGGATCACGTGTCTAGCATCGCCTCAGCTCTTCGAGTACAGTCTCACAAGGCTGAGACAAGGTGATCCAATCTCTGACAGAACAGTCTTCATCCCATCCATTTTCTCCTCCGCATCATCGTGCTCATGGCCCGCTATATTTACTCGTCTTTGCCGACTGCTAGCTCTCACATCCGACTATTGTGTTTGCTGCCTAACACCGATCGCCGTGCCCAGATACGATGTCGGATTGTGGACTACGATCTCTCCAATTTACAAAGTTCGCATGTGTACGAAGCTCTGTCGTATGTCTGGGGTGATCCAACAGATACGCGCAACATTAATGTTGACGACGCCGAACTCCCAGTCACCTCGAATCTAGAGAAGGCGATGCATCACCTTCGAGATGGGTTCTTCCAGCGTGTTTTTTGGATCGACGCAATCTGCATCAACCAGGAAGATCTGAAAGAACGGGCTGCGCAAGTCAAGATGATGGCTGAAATCTATCATAACGCAAGTCGAGTCGTGGTGTGGTTGGGCGAAGAGCACGATGGCAGTTTCGAGGCAATGCAGATGCTGCGTGTGATCGCAAATGTACAGTCTGATAAGCTGAGAGGCGATAACGTGGGAGAGATCCTGGACATATCTGGCAAGAAACGTGAACAACTGCTCGCTCTTTTCCAACGCCCATGGTTTCGACGCATTTGGGTATGGCCCTACGATAAACATTTCGGCATCGAGCTAATGAGTATGTTTAGATCCTCCAGGAAGTGGCCGCTGCAGAGGTAGTTGTAATCAAATGTGGCGATGTTGAACTTAGTGGGCAGGCCTTTAGTAGTGCCCTCACCTCGATAGGTACATTAAGCCGGGGATGGGATTGCTCCGAACTCATTTCGCAAGTGCTGTCTGTAGCCCGATTATTGAGTTTCACGGCCCTGGTCTCCGATGCCCCAAGTGGAATAACCCTCAACTATCACACGTTGGTAAAGCTCGTCGACATCTTCCACAATCACCTGGCCACAGATCCGCGCGACAAAATCTATGCATTGATTGGGATGGCTACTTGGAGCGACTCGACCATGGATGTTATGCCTGATTACGAGCTGTCCTGGTCCCAAGTGTTCCGAAACTTCATTACCTCCATAATATCCGCCGACGAAGATGCAGTAGTTAATACGTGGGATGATGCACAGGTTGCGACATTACAGACCAAAGGAGGCTTACTTGGTAAAATAATCCGTACTCATCAAGGAAAAGACATACAGACAATCAACATTGCTACACGTTCCATCTTCTGGCGTGACCTTTACTGGTCCATTCTCCCCAGAACATTAACGTACCACGTAACTCAAGGAATTAAGACGATTCGGGAGGGCGACCTATTGTGTATCCCTAGGGGTGCCAGCACACCAATCATTGTCAGAGTATCTGACTCTCACCTCTCCATAATCGCTGCTGGTGTACCAGATCCGGACTTTTCTCTCATCATAGAGAATAGCATGGCCAGTGAGCATGGATTCGGCAAGGAGGACTACGCAGAATGGCTAGCAAGCATAGAAAAAGAGGACAAAAAGCTCTTCCTGATATGGGACTGGCACGAAACTTCTCCCGAATTCAAACCTCCAGAACGCATATGTAAGCTCCTAGACGATGAACGAAAGAGCCTCCCCACCCGCAAGGAACGCTATCATAGCCTCCTCCGTCTTTTGCAGAACCAGACATCCTTTCCGATGATCGTTGCACACTTTGAGGAAGCACGTAGAAAAAAGCGAGATGATGCTGGCTTGGACCCACAATTTTTAAAACAAGTACTCGACAGAGTATCATCAGATTGAGCGAGTGGTAGTTGATTGTTGAGACTGCTTGTTGCAGGCGTTTATACTGAGATAGGAAACGCGAGTAATTCCGCTATCATAATTAGATTTCTCAGTCGGCGTAAGGATCAATGTTGTCGATAAAGGGATAAGAATATATCCCTTCTGTTCAATAAACGTAACAAGTTCTATACTCTATGCCTCATGACACACTAACATCATTTATCGACGTCTCCCAATCCATCTCTACAAGCATAGGCAAGAGATTCCGGAATTTCGTGACGAACTCCTCGACCTCCTCCTTCTCCAAGCTACTCGTGTTATACTCCGCCACCAGGTCCAACCCACCTTCTGCCACCCAGCACTCAAACAACAAGGGCATCCGACCCATCTCCTCTTGATAACTCAGCTTCTTTCCGAACACCTCCTCGTCCATCTCCAACCCCTTCGGATGCACCGCGAACAATGCGCGGAAGTCCACCGCATTCGCGGCGTCGGGCGTCGAACGCACGATGGCAGGCAATCCAATGTGACCGTACTCGGCGACCGTGAGGATCGTCTGACGAATTGAATCCAGCAACGTGAAGATGGACTCCTTCCTACTGATCTTCGTGCGGAATGGCACCGTGAAGAGAGTCGGACCCGCGGTGTCGAGGATCGCCGGGATCTCGACCTCGCGGCCCGAGAACGACATGCAGAAGATGATGTCGTCCGCGGAAGACTTGGCGCTGTAGAGGAGGGAGAAGGCGGCTTGAGCAAAGATGGCGAGCGTGAATTCGTGGGGCCGCGTGCGGATGGGAAGGTGCTCGCGGATCGTGTCGGACGTGAGGTGGCCTGGGGTGACGCGTTTGGGCCAGAAGGGCGCGGGACTGTTGGCGAGTGCGGAAGTCCAGTAGGAGAGACATTTCTGGAGGGGGAGACGGGAGATGTAGCGTACGTAGTTCTTGAATGGGGCGAGCGGGGTTGGTTTTCCCTATTGTCGGATGTTAGTGGGTATTGTATGAGACGAGATGGATGTCTGATCTTACTGTTGTGTATAACTTTGATACTTCAGCGAAGATGATGTTGAGCGAGAAAGCATCATAAAGGGCGTGATGCATTGTGAACACAAACACCGGCGTTCCTCCTGGGCTATTCTTTACGACCCCAAGTCTCGTTAACGGCGTACCGAAGTCCATGCGAGGAAACTCCTCTGCCTCAAATTCTTTAAGATCATTGTAATGATCCCACTGGAACCCCTTCGTCACGACTTGTACCGCACCCGCATCCTCATCTTTGACGAGCCTTGTGCGGACGATTTCCGCGGACTGGGTCATTGTATCCCAGGCTGATATGAACTTGTCCAAAGAAACGGATGTAGGGAGTTGGAAAGTCACACGTAGCACGTATGTTCCTGGCTTAGACATGAGTGCCGCGCCCAGGAGCATTGCCTGGGGCGAAGTGCTGGGGTAGACGTCGCTGATTTGGTCGACGTCTATTTTGCAGACGGTGGCACAGCGAGCCTTGAGACTTGGGACGTCTACTGTCTGTTTGATCAGAGAGAAATTATCGGGCACTGCGTCTTGAGATGAAGTATCTAGAGTGCCCATCTTCAAGGCCATGTCCGATAGTCGAGGCTGCGAGATTATGATGGAAACGGGCAGATGGATGTTATTCCTAGCTGCTGCGGTGACTAGTTGCATGGAAGTCAGGGAGTCGCCACCTTCCTGGATGAAGTCGCTGTCTGGAGTTATATCTGCTGGGTTTGTGGATAGGACTTCGACCCATAGGTCTCTCAATTGTTCTTCTTGGGAAGTCAAAGGTCGTGTCGTTGACTGCGTTGATGCTTCCGTTAAGGAGAAGGCGAGTAACTCTTCTTGTGTAAGGTTTTGCGCAATTTGTCTTAGGGTTGCGACGTCCTTCTTTCCGTTCATTGAGAATGGTATGGCGGGAATTGGTATGAAGAGTGTGGGGATCATGTATGATGGTATCACCTTTAACAGGTTCTCTTTGGATTGATGCAGCACATCTTTTCCCTCAGCGGTCAATTGCAGGGTGGGACGGCTCTGGGCCTCTTTGACGGCTGCAGAGTCTTTTGCGAAAGATAGAAACGAGATGAGGGGATACTTCTTAGAATGCTGTGAAGCTGTGTTGAGGAGAACTACAGCAGTGTCTGAACCGGGTATTGCAGCTTCTAGGTGGTGCTCAATCTCATCTAGTTCTACGCGCTGGCCATGGATTTTGACCTGGTTATCTTTCCGGGCAATAAAGGAGAACGTTCCGTCGTTGGCGTGGAATCTTACGAGATCTCCAGACTTGTAAAGTCGTTTGACCGATGGCAAGAATTGAGATGCTTCGGTGGGCAATGGTGGTTGCCATGGTGCACCATCGAGGAAGACACGATTCGTCTTTTCTGGGTCCCTGAGATAGCCTCTTGCTACATTGCGACCCTCGACAATCATTTCTCCAGGACATCCTATAGGTGCAAGCTTGGTGTGGTCATTGGGATCTACAGCCCACATGCGACAGCCAGCCGGACGGCCAAGGTTGGCGGCATTGTCACGGCCAGCTACAAATGCATTCGTTACAGAGCAGTAAATGGCACATTCGGCTGGTCCCATGATAAGGTGAACCGATACCGTCGGATCTGAGGCCCATAGGTCAATATGCTTCTGCGAGGGTGATTCTCCTCCAACGAGAAGCGTTCGCAATGTCGGTACGTCTTTGGGCTCCAACAAAGAGAGCACAGAGGGCGTGAAAAATGCCCAGTTAGCCTCCAATCGTGTCACTGTTGCAGCGAGGTCGCTAATTCGTTCTTGTTCTGACGGTGAGCACACACAGCCACCTCGGGTAAGAGCGTAGAAAACGTCGCCTACGCTCACATCAAACGTATAGGCTGAGAACTGGAACGTGCGTGTGTGTGGACCGACATTCACACGGTCTGGTGCGCACATGCCCTCACTGGTTGTTGCGATAGAACCATGTTCGACGACAATCCCTTTAGGCGTGCCAGTTGATCCCGATGTGAACGTGATCGCAGCGGCATGGGAGGGTGTAGGCTCTGGCAGTGCGTCCGATAAATCAGGAAGGGCGCGAATGAAGGTTTCGTCTACTACAAAGCCCTCAACCAATGATTTATGATCCGTGAGACGCTCAATATTGCTCTTATCCACGATCAGGAATTTGGCCTTGCAAGTTGTGAGAAACTGGGCCTGGCGTTGGATAGGGTTCGTTATGCCGAGATGTGCAAAGCAAGAGCCGGCTCGCAAAATGGCCAACATGGTTATTATTGTGACCGCTGACTTGTCCAAGCACAGTGCGATTATATCTTGGTTTGCTGCATCTTCCCCAACAACCCCTCGGCGAACCAATTCGCCCGCAAGGTTCTTCGATAAGACATCCAGCTCTGCATAGCTAAGGTTCATATCCCAGGAGCAAATGGCAGGCGCATTCGGTCGAATTTGTACTTGTTGTGCGAAAAGGCTGCAAAGTGTCTCGTTCACGCTTGGTGGAGGTGTTGAATTCCATTGAAGTATACACTGCTCATCTGCAGCGCTGAATATCTGAACATCTCGAACCAGGGTTGAGGCGTCCAACGTGCTAAGTTGAGACACTGTCTGTTCGAGTTGGCCGATGAGAACGCGAGATTCGATGTCGGAGCCATCGCGTTGGTGGCTGCTCGTGATTTCGATATTCACTTCTGGGATGTCGGCAATTATTATCGAGGTGGCACAAGTCGCATTTTTGAGATTGCTATTTGGCCATGTTGATTTTGCAAGATCTCCCAGCTTTTGCTTTGTGTTACGCACGAAATCACCCACTCGAGTTTCCGGATCAAATCCTAGTCGTAGTGGCGGTAGAGGCTGCGCGTCTTGCCGCGCTCCAATTGCGCATTGGAAACTGACATCGCTGGCTTCCAAATCCCCGGCACGGCGTGCCAGAATAATTGCCCAGGCAGAACCGTACAATTCAAGCTCCTGCTCCTTGAGCAGGGGTAACTGGACCTCGATTTCTACTGTCGCAACCATTCTGTATGATGAGAAGAGGTGTAGACGAAATGCTCTGCCTCTATTGTCGTATGATGTTCAAAGCCCTACTTGTACGAGCGGAGTAATGTCAGAAATCTTATCTATGTCAACCGTCGGTAGCCTTTGCCCGAGTACGGCTCCAGGTCTAACATCGTAATAATCGAAGCTAGTAATGTCATTATTCACCTGCCCGATTGAGACATCGTCCAAAACGCGGCATTCCAAGGCTTACAGCGTGAGACACAAAAATTGATCACGCAAGATTACTATATAAACGAATAATGAGTTTATAGTCTATAGAAGCCATTATTTGCAATACAATCCCGTTGTGGGATGCTTCGAATACAATGTATTCCATAGTAGATCTAATGTCCCAGTAGACAGGTTACTGGAGAGAAACCTGGGGATTCCATTCAGTCTAGAGCTGGCCCGGTAACATGAATATTCCCGATATGTGGGTCTTGGGACAATACAAGTACGAGGGTCTCGCCAACAATACGAAGAGCACATTTGTTTGGAGCATCCCAGCATCCGTATTCGGATGGCTACGTAAAGTGGTCAAAAAGCAACTGCGGAACGCATGAACCTAGGGGATGAACTGAGAGGGGCAGTAAATGATAACACCACTGCATTATTTCACTATGGGATAGAAGGACATCGCTTCTGATACGGTCATAATAAGCCTGTCCGCCAAGGGTAACTAAGAAACGAGGTCCTCGTATTACATTGTTAGTGAGGACGAACGGACGGAAACCCCACCTCGTGCATTATGTTTCCGCTTATTTCCCTTTTTCATTTTTTTGGAGAATTGTGCCGTTCCATAGTGGCGAGAAATAATCAGCTCATCGCGAAATGTTGATAGGAAGAAAGCCGAGCTTGTCGCCCATTCGTATTAGTACACGATATACATGATTGATCATTGTAACATAGCTAGCATTTTCCTCTATCGTATCTTCGTCATTATGCCACGAGGCAAAGCATGCGTCACCACTCCGCAACGACTTTTCACCGCTTTACGGGCCGCAAAGACACCATTAGCGGCGGTTTGTCCCAAAGTGTGAAGACCTTCATCCTAGACATCCAATCATAACTTTCTGGTTGTAGTTCCAGGTCAAAATTGAAGAGAACTTTGGCCATGATCAGGCGCATTTCGGCATATGCAAGGCTGTGATCCACGAGTCAGCATATTAATGTTTTGAAGACAAAAGGAGTGCAAAGTTTGGAGGGGCATTGAGAGCTTACTTTTTGCCGAGACAGGCACGGGGACCAAAGGAAAACGTATTGACGACGGACTGTTTGTCATTCTTGTACTTGGCGTCGGGGTTCTTGAGCCATCGTTCTGGCACGAACGCTTCTGGATCCGCAAAATTGCGATCGGAATGGTTCGTCGCATGCTGGGAAACATAAACAGAAGTGCCTTCAGGGATATAGAAACCAGAGATTCTGTCGCCGCCAGGAGGGACTATGCGAGGGAAACCTGTAGGAACGGGGGGGTAGTATCGGAACGCTTCTTGAAACATGACGATGAGGTATTCCAATTTATTGACTTCCTCCATGGTGATCTGGTCTTGGCTTGTGAAGCGCGATCGCACTTCAGCAACAACTTTCTTGTAGACCTCTGGGTTCTTGAGCATAAGCCATGTTGCACCGCTCAATGTCGTGGCGGTTGTTTCGCTGCCAGCAACTAGCAACAGCGCGCTGTTAGCCACTATCTCAGGTCTGGTCAAAGCCTTTTCCCCAATGCCATTGTTCTTCAGTATGTGAGTCATGAAATCTGGCCGGTCGGTTTGCTTGGCTATTCTCTCTTCTACTTTGGTGGTCACAAGCTTGAAGAACGCGATACGCTGGCTAACAGTCTTGGAGTTATCGGAGAAGAACGCCGTGAATCTGTCATAATAGTCGAAGATTGGGTACTTGCGGCGGGTAGCAAGAGTTCCAATGGCTTTGGGGGCGCTGAAAACCATATCAATCCATGGGTTAGTACCTCTATCTCTTAGACAATGCAAAGATTCGCCGAAAGTGAGGTCTGTCACGATGTCGAAAGTCGTGTAATTGTACCAACGCGTGATATCCAAGACGGGGTTCTTTTCTTCAACTTTCTCGTGGAGTCTCTGAATGAGTTGATCGATCAACTCCTGTACGAGGTATTCTTGCTCTCTCAGGGCCTTGTCACTGAAGGCATGGCTCATAGTCTTTCGCATTCGAGAGTGCGTCTCCTCATCTGCACCGACCAGGGAATAGCTTCCGTTGTGCGGCTTGGGGAACCATTGAAGATCTTTGGAGTACGCGCCAGTCTTTGCATGCTTCCCGATGCGGAATCCGTAGATATCTTGCCATGCCGTTTCGCCAGAGATGAACGAAACTTCGGTGGGTGTCACTCTAACCGCATCACCATAAGTACGGTGCAGCTTCTGGATCCAGGGTGCGATGCTGCCATTGCGCAAGCGCAGCGTATACGGGATACCAGAGGCACGAGAGAGAAAAGGGCCGGGAATGTGAGATAGAGGATGAAAGTAGATATTGTAAATGCATCCATAGAAAGCATAGATTGCGGCCTGCAAGATTCGTTAGTCAAGAATTTCCATGCTGATGCTCTTCACATATCTATGTTCGCAAGGCAACAGCCATTCGATTGGTTTTCACTCACACAAGCAATTAGCGAGCCCAATGCAAGGCCAATGTTCGCCGGGCTAGCATAGCCGCGAACGTCCTGCAGCAATTGTAAAATCGACTCCATCACGACTTGTAACCACAGAGCGAAAGTGCAATGAATTCCAAATGGAAGAAAACAATGCTGCTTATTATTGTCAGCTTAAACTATGACGGCAACCCGGTCATACCACTTCGCATAGCGGGGCTGGCCTCGGTTGGCCTGCTATTTGTCAACTGCGCCTATCGCACAATTCGTCTATCTTCGGTTGTTCTGTCAGAGTCGTAATTATTTAACCTCCTTCCTCATTCGCTAAGCCAGTTCAACCGCCAAAAACATTAGTAGACAAGTGCAACATAAGACTTTCGTATTATGTGCCTAGCGTACGGCCTGCTACAGTCCAATGCTGACTAGCGAGCGTAATCGTATCGTCTGAACAATAGAGCCTGGAAAAACACGAAATTCTAGAAGCTTGAGGAATTGTGAAAAGTCGTAAGATATAGATATTGTGAGACATTAGTTCGCGAGGATGCATCATCGAGTCCTTTCATTATCGTCTCCCAACAGTCTGCTCTCCTCATCAGGGATCTGTGTCTTCTGATCGACAATTGGTGCATTCTTCTGGAGGCTGACCCAGATTGCCGCACCGATAATGAGCATTGCACCAACAAGACTCTCGACTGGCGGTGTTGTTCCCCAAATGACACGCTCTATCACCAGTGCAAATACTAGTTGAAGATAAGTCAGGTTTGTTGCGCGGCCCGCCTTTTCTCGTTGCAGTCCTTCAGTTAAGAGAAACTGGAGCAAGAAGCCAGTAAGGCCAATGATAGTGACCAACCCCCATTGACCCAGAGTGCGAGGGATCACAAAGTGGAGATCTGGGTGAGCAAGAATGATAGTGGCGGAACCAACCGTCGCGATGGCAGCGAAGTAATTCACACTTATGAGCGCGTGTGAGCGTTTCCCAATGACACGGATTGTGGCATATGCCATTGATGCCCCCAATGTTCCCACAATAGCCAACATGATAGCTATCGTATGTTGGCTCACAGATATGGCACCAGTTACCCTGATTTCTTGTGATGCATGTTCGCTGATCATAGTGAAAGCATCTACAATTGCTTCACCATGCGGCTCTGGCTTGCCGGATATGGGATCCGCAGGAGGATGGGGGAATAGCCATCGCGGCCGAGCAACAAATAAAACGCCGCAAAACGCGATGAAACCTGCAAAAGCTTCTTTATACGTGAAGGGTTCTCGAAGCCAAACGAAACAGACAATGGCTGTCATGGTGGGAATCAAGAACGTTATGACGGTTGCATCGGAAAATTCAAGCCATGTGAGTGAATCTAGATTGTACGTTAACATATGTTGCTCCAATGATCTCGGGAACACAACGAGAACTTACAGTAGAGTCCGAACAATCCTATGAATCCTGCAAAGCCTCGCAAGACCAGCAATTTCCTAACTCCGCGTCTCCCCAACGGAAAGTCGGGAGTCTTATTATACCACATGTATAAACAGCCGATGATAGTCGTGCATGACATCCGGACAAAGATGATCTGCAAGCTATGGAATTTTTCTTCATATCCCGTGGCGAGCAGCTTTGCTGCTGTGTTCATCTGAACGTCACCGTGTTAGCGTGGTATAATACAGTGGGAAGGTAAGATAACTCACTATAGAACCGCATGTTTGGGCTAGAAATACTAGAAACAGGCCAAAATTCCGGTAGTAGAAAGACTTCAATCGTTGCCATACTTTGACCCTTGTTGGTAGTTCAGATTCGTGTTCCTCGGCATCTCGGCTTGTGGATGGTGTGGGTATTGATTCTGAGGGAGGAGTATCAAGGGTTGCAGTAGACTGCGTGGTCCCATACGCCATTTTGTGTGTGCTGATGCCCTATTCAAGCGCTGTTCTGAACAGTAGCAGTGACTGAAGACTTAAAGTCCTAGACCATTACAGATGCAGGCGAGGAGGTGCACGGAAAAGGCACGTGAGGGGGAAAATTCTAGCTTTTTCCTTCTTGTGTTAGCGTATTTACAATGGTTGCAAATCTTGGCGCATGTTGCGCTTCAAACATCTGGCTTGATGCAATTTTGTGGCATGCAAAGGAGTCATGCGTAACCGTAATACACTATGAACCATCCATCTACGTAATTGATAGGCACGCCATATTCTCCTAGGAGTGCATAGCACTAGCAATTATCGCTTCCACACCGTGCTTGCAATGATACATTTGCGGAGATGTAACGCTGGACAGTTGCACCAGAAGAGTATCCTACCATAATTTGCAGCTGCCTTATTGGCCTAGTCATAGAATCAGTAGGGTAAAGTCATGTTCCTGTTGCTGTTCAACATGCACTTCAGCGATCGCAGCATTGAGGGGAGGATGAGTGTACTCTCCAGCGGTGTAAGCCTTAACGGCCGAATGAGGAGATTTCAATTGCAAGTAGGGGATGTTGACTGGTGCTTGCATCTTTGCTCCTTGGTTGTGGAAGTGTACTTACTTATCATACAAATTAGTGTTGATACCTGGTCCGCTATGCCATCTCGTACTGTGGTGAGCCTCCAAACTTCCTTCTAAGGAATTACATCTCAACTTGTGGATTGGCTCTGATGCTTCGTTTCGTCATGCCTCAATGATTTCATTCTTTCTTCTCTTGATAACGACAGTTAGTAGCTCACTTGTCACTGTCTCCCGCTAGATGAGTGCGAAGAACAAAGAGGGTGGCTGCTTGCCGATATTACCATGGCGCAATGATCCCTTTCTCCGTTCAAGGAAGAGTCCGTCAAGAACCAAGAGAGACTAGACGATATTTCTTGGTTAGGCTTCCTTGACCTATAAGATCTCATTATCTAGAAAGAAATAGCTTCTTTGTTGAGCCCACCGCCACAAAACGCTATGGGCCTTTGACGCCTTTCAAGAGCGGCACGCATTGCAGGAGAACGGTTCAACCGCCTGAGTTTCAGTTGACGCTTATTAGGATGGCTTCTAGAGAACACAGCCAACGCTTTTAAGTCCTTTTACTCATATCCAAGGGTTTTGGCAGAGTTATTCAACATTTAAAAGCCAAGCGTTGGACCAGGACAAAAGGCAGACCTCAATAGTTGCGTACGCTTTTGACCAACGACATTCTTCGATGAACAACCTCTCCTTTCGCATCTGCCATGGATACTCGACAGGTCGACAATTACTCTATCTCTGAAAGCGCACCTTCTGAAACGATTGGCGAATGCTCTGTCTCTGAAAGCATACGTGCTCGGGAGGTTGAGGACGGCTCTAGCTCTGAAAGCACACATTCTCAAGAGATTGCTAGAAAAATTGACGACTGCCCTGGCTCTGAAAGCATGCACACCCGAGACATTGACGATGACTCTAGCCCAGGTAGCATGCTAGATTCTGACGATGATCCTAGCTCAGATAGCACGCTCGATTCTGACGATAGTGCTAAGGACCAAAGAAACTGGCGTCATCGTTCTGGTTACAGTGCTGCTGTCCCGGCTGAATCGCTAGATTATTACGGTCCGGACTTGTTTCATCCTGTCTATATTGGCGATTTGTACAAGGAAGGGCGGTACCGGATCGAGCAAAAGCTTGGATGGGGATGTTCCTCTACTGTTTGGAGAGCAAGAGACATCTAGTGCGATAGGTTCTGTGCAACTTTATCTCAAGTTCAAATAATTAACGTGTGACAGTGACAACAAATTCGTTGCTATTAAGGTATTAGCAGCAAGGATATCCCAAAGCGACAATAAGGAATTGCGAATCTTGCAGCGATTCCGCGACAGCTCGCTGGAACATCTAGGGCGAAAGCATGTTCTTCATCTTCTTGATCACTTCTACCATAAGGGAATCAACGGTAACCACCTATGCATTGTCACGGAACCACTGGGGGAAACTTTGGACGACTATACCTTTCGTCAAAAACCTATACGCCGGCTATGTGAATCTGAGTGTCGCCAATTTAGTCGGCAATTACTACTTGCACTGGACTTTATGCATAAGTGCCATGTTGTTCACGGAGGTTAGTAAATCAGTGCAATAATACGGTTCCCCTACTAAGGATTGCATTCCCCTAGATTTGAGCAGTACAAATATCATGTTTCCCCTACCTGAGTACTATTCATACGATAAGCCTTGGATTGGCAAGGTTACGAGACACAACGGGAAATCACTAGAATGTGGTGTTCCAACGCATTTAGTTGCGAATGCTACGACATTTATTGAGCATGAAAAGAAAAGGGAGGCTCTAGATTCTTTGTTTGTAAAGGTTGTGGACTTCTCTTCCTGTAAGTCATTGTAACTGCTCCCTTATATTACGAGCTGGCCTAATACATGTCTAGCGTTCTTTGACGACGAGTATCCCCATTCTGTGGCTGTTGCGGAACCCCTTACACCGCCCGAAATGGTTTTTAAAAGACCCCTGTCCAAGGCAATAGATGTGTGGCAGCTTGCTTGCATTGTAAGGGGGCGATGTTCAGAAACCTTGCTTTTTAGCTGACGAGTTCTAGACGTATTGGGCTGCCACACGCCAGGATATTTTTGAACTTCTTAATGAAGATAAGCGTGCTCTTATTCCACAGATTTTCGAATACATCGGCCAGTCTACTGCTGAGTGGCTCCTTGGTGCTATGATCGAGGCCATAGGGAACGGCATGTGGAAAGCTATCCCAAAGCCTTGTGGTATGTTGTCCTGGTCAACAACTTTTATAGGCTTCTTATTAACCTTATGCAGTGTTTAGTTTTGGGAAGAATACTTTGGAGGATATTGTGAGACGTGTGGTGTATTGGCCCGACAAGCTACCTAACATCAAAGTGAAAGAGGCAGAGGAAATCCTAAGGAAGAATAGTGGTAGGTGTAGTGAGGAACATGAGAAGTTTCTAAGAGAGAGGGTTGAAATCAGAAAAAATGACGCATCCCAATACATGCCTTTAGAAGGGAGGCCTGAGGTAGAAAGGTACATAGTGATGCTTGGGAAGTATCTTCGGAGGATGCTAGTGGCTGATCCCAATCAGCGTCCAACAGCTGAGGAACTTCTTACAACGGAGGAGTTTATTCAGGACTCTGGGTGGATGGATCAAGCATGATCGAATCATATCATTTCAGAACATTCTGGGGCTTGGTATATTGTCGCTTTGGTATGCGTTCATTTTGAACTGTCTCTTTGCTAGCTATTTGGCGCCTAAGCCCATCTGATCACCATGATCTCTAATTAATTCCTTTGTCCAATTACTCTCGACATGACCAGGCGTTTCAAAGGACATTGTGCATACACCCAAAATAAAGTGCCTCATGTATCTCCGTTCAGACGATATGATATAAAAGTCTCTGGATTGTAACTCTTCCGACTATAGGCTTACTAGCACTCATTTCGCAAATACAACTTCCAAAAAACCCTTTCCGAGAAAGCTGCTCCCCAGAAAAACGTGCCCCCACAAAAAAGGTGTTGCTAAAGCTAGTATTCCCAATCTGCTATGGCTAATATAGAGCGCACTCACGTTGGCTGGGTTGATGAAGAATCCCCTACAAATGCCGCAGTGAAACATGAAAATGTCACAAAACTTTGCGAACATCTGGCGCGCAGAAAAGAGTTCGAAGGTTTTGCTAACCTTTACATCCGTAATTACCCTCATAGGAGTAGGAGAGAAAAACGGCTGCATATCACAATCCATCTCCAAACACCCGAGCAAGAAAGGAACGGTCTTTACATAGTTGGACATATTATAGTCAAGAAGGTTGGCGATGCCTCTTTCAAACTACGACCGCGTACCAAGGGCGGAGCCATACAGATCTTCCCAGACCCAGTGTTCCCTTATTAGCGCGTTGAAACGAAGTAACTTTTGTAACACTCTGATTCTCAATCTTTCTTTTTTTTGATGTGTTCCATCTACAGATCAGAGATAAGAATATATTATCAGGCCAACTGTCTGGTTACTACATCGAAAGTGTTGGCATCAAAGAGTAAATAGGCAAAGCGATAGAGACATGTACGTAAATCTCAATCGAGTAGTAACTGACACACATGATGATAAGATCATCTCTACCACAAAGAGAATGTTTTCCTAATATGCAAGATGCTGATTTAAAATTGTGAGAATCTGTATATGGGCCTGCTTTGATTTCATAGATGATCTATGATTAAAAAACGCTTCAGTACTCTGGATCTATTACATAGAAGGACTAACTTGGGCGCAGTTGATTTCACTCCTGGTGAGATGATTCCCCAAACTTTACTAAAAGATTTAACAATGCATTCGTACTCGATGATGCTGCTGTACTGAGCTAAAGGTCTTCTACTAACCACTGCATTGATCGTCATCATTTCAGCGTAGATGGAGTTTCGACAACCCTGGTTATCCTACCTTGGATAGGTAAAGAGCATTGATTAAGAGTGAATGTGCATGTCCCGTATCCTTTACAATCGCCTAATATACAAACAAGCATCTTAGATACATACTACAGCATATTGGCTGCCTTATATGCTTGCCTTCTCCTATCCTGATGACTGCCATCTCTCGAGTGACAGTCATAGCCTCCCAACGGGAAGTATTCGACTTACATACACTATTTAGGGTGGAAATTACCACTGTTTCATAGAAGACCACTCAATAGAGGGTTGCCGTGCATTACGAACATGACGCACCTCGATAACCGATCGTTATGCGTTATATCTATTGGAGTTAAAGAGTTGCTGGAGAATTTTGCCCTGAGCATTATCAACTCTGTGTTTTTCGGCGCGATTGACTTTGAATGGAAAACATTCGAGACACTGAGTGCCGCCTCTCCAGCATGCTCCGAACTGCCCGTATTTAGTCCTTCGGTGGCACAATGTGCCGGGGACTCTGATCCAAATTGAGTTGATCCTTCGTCACATCAGTTTCAGTCCGGCCGGATGAAAGAAGTATAGATTCTTTGGAATTCTTGTCATATATTGTCAAAAAGGGTGGAGACAGCCAACACCGATGGTGATGGGGCCGTAGTTCTTCCTAGTGAAGAAGAAATTTCGAATAATGTGATGAAGTCATTCTGCATGGCATAGTTAGTGATAAGATAGGCATTTAAAATAACGGTGTTGGTTCAATGGGTCAGTTAGCTTTATCGAGAGAGTAGGGGTCAAATTACATTCCTATTTTGCTATGTAGGGTTTAGAGAATAAACGTATGGTTAGAGGCGAGTCATCAATATGATCCAAATTTTGAAGAGAAACGAAATTGTCTATTATCTCTAGCGAATGTCGCAACGGTTGCTACTCAGTCAATTCTCATCAAGAGGCGTCGACCTTGTAACTCTATCTGTAACTACATATCCGCGCCTACAAGCCTTGCGACTGTTCAGAGTAGAATCAAAGATCTAGTTACGAACAATCTCCATGCGCTTCTTGAGACGGTAAGCAATAGCCCTCTTCCTGGCGTTGGCGCTCTGGGTGAAAGCGACAGATCCACCGAAGGGACCAGCAGCAGCACCGTTGCGGACACGAGCAATGCACACGTTGCTGGCACCACCAACATTGGCGTCACAAGTCATACCAGCAGGCATCTTGACTTGCATGTCAAACTCGGTGGAGGTGGCAAGAGAGATACCCTGGACACCAAGTCCTGGAACATCCTTGGTGACCTCAGCGTCCTGGAAGGCAGCCGGGTCGGTTCCACCAGAGGTGCCGTCAACAGAGGCCTCGAATGGACCAGCACCATCTTGGTTGATCTGGTCACCGTTAGTCAAAATGTTTTCGGATGTCTATGGTGGAAGCCAATGCTTACCTGACGGAAAGTCATATCAATGGTGCCATCATCGTTGGCAGTGGGCAATCCGCTGGTAGCACCTGTGCCTGCAGCAGCAGCAACACGGCTCTCTGGTGGGCCCTCAGCCTTGTTGCCACCTCCTCCGAGAAGGCCCTGAATGCCAGTGGCACCTCCACCGTTGCCACCGCCGCCACCGAGAAGTCCACCGAGCAACTGGCGCCTCTGACCGCGGCCGCCCTGGTTGCCCTGCCCGGCCTGTCCACCCTGGTTCTGGATGTTATCCTCAACACCGACACTGCCGGAAGCACCGTTGTTGGTAGGAACATTGCCGTTGCCAGTACCCATGAAAGATGCGATCATGACGGCAGCGTCGACTGGGCCGTTACCCTGGGTACGGCCTAGAGGGCCGCATTTGCCGCTCTGGATGTCGCGGTCACGGATGATGGCGGTGTCCGCCTGGGAACCGCATCCGTTAGAAGAGCAATCGCGAGGAGTGCCGTCAGCGACGGTCAATCCGGGCATGTTGACACCGTTGGCACCCTTCACCTCCACGACCATACCGTGGGCAGAAACATAGGCGATGAGGCCAGCGGCCACTGCGAGCTGTTGTGTGAAATGCATGTTGGATGTTGATGAAACGGCCTGAGGAACGATGAAGAATTAAGTATGAAATCGAAGGAACGTTTGAGACTGCAGCACCGGGCTGTTTGATGTCGATATTAAAGAAGAAAAGAAATGAAGAATAGAAGTGAAGTTGTTGTTGTGGTGGTAGTTGGATGATGACAGCAAGTAGTTGGAATGAATTCAAGGCTTCTTATACTTAGAACGATGGCAATTGAGTATCTTCCGAATGCCACCCATTTTGATATCTTCATGGAATATGCTTCATATTCCACACCCATCTCCAACGCAAGATTTGCTTGGCTGTGAATTGGTGTTTCCGTAAGATCTTGGCTTCCACAGGAATATCACCAATCTGGATGCCTAGAATGCCCTGATGGGAAAGAAAGTTCGGTTTCAAAGCTTCTTTTTTTTGGTTGCGAGTGTATCGGGACTCTTGGCGGCCGGTGTATCGTAGCCTGGGTCCATTTTGCTTACCTTTTGACAAAACTTAAAACAACCCTAGCATGATTCGGAACGAAACTTAATTCAGACCAACAATATGGGGCGCAAGTTGCTTGATTTCGATTAGACGGAGCAATTCCATGGGCATTTTGTCTTTAGTTAACTGTCGCCGACTTTGTGAGCACATCTGTTCAAGAATGTGGAACTCAATGAATCATAGTCATTGTTATCGTATCGAGGTTTCCATTGCGAAGGCATTGCTGTGATGAGTGTGTGGAGTTACAGGTAGGGATTCTCAGTCGGCAATCGGATCAATCCTCGTCGAAAATCCGTCCAACCAGAAACAATCAAGCCCAGCGAAACGTCTCCGTGCACTCCAAGTTTCTGCGTGTGCATTATTGTTGTGTGCAGCATGATCTACAACAAGCAATTGTTTGAAACGTTGGGGTCTTGCCAAAAGCGCGACCAGCCCCAGCATCAGCGCATGAGCCTCGGCCCGAAGAAACGCTAAACACACGATCGAAACTCGAGATGATACTCACCAAGTATGAGATATGGGATCGTTTTGTTTTTGTTGCGTTTGAATAATTAAAAATAGACCGTTCGAAAACAAAAAGGTGTGGAGGTTTGCAAGGCCAGGTAGTGTATTGTGTTCAGACTCCAAAATTATAGCTACAACCTCTTACAACCTATCAGGATGGAATTTCATACTCATTAGCAGCACCAGCAGCTCTGACAAACTAAAAATGGAATGACACGCTAATCGCACTCGACAACACTATCATTTGTAGGGCCTTGCTCAGATCAGAGAGGAGTATCATGAAATTTTCTGGGTTATGATGGGTGTTTGTTCGGCTCATTGATTTTGTTACTTGCTTTTTATGTATCTTGACATTCTGCTGAGAATTGCGCAATCTACTAGGCAATGTGTCGTGATCTTGCGCGAACCTGATGCAATGCAGTACTTCTGTGCAATATATAAATGATAATAAGTCTGACTTCGATGGGAAGTAGAATCTCGATCATTAATTGCACAGCTCCCAATATTCTTAACTGCATCCCCATTTAAATGACGGTATCAAAGCATCACGACGCGCTGGTGGTTGGCACAGGTTTCGGGGGCTTGTATGAGCTTTATCTCCTCAAACAATTGGGGTTGGACGTAGTAGCTATTGACTCAGCCACGGATGTTGGAGGAACATGGCACTGGAATCGATACCCGGGAGCTAGGAGTGACGTAGACAGCCAAACATACCGATACTCATGGGATAAGGAACTACTCCAGACCTCCAAATGGTCACACAATTACCTTACTCAGCCGGAGCTTGAAGAATACTTCCAGGGAATTGCACGGAAGCACGACTTATACCCGCATATACGCTTTGAGACGGAGCTCAAGCATGCAAATTGGAATGATCAGAAGAATGTTTGGGAAGTCGGTACCAGTGCAGGTGACGAATTTACGGTCCGCTATCTGGTCACAGCCATAGGAATTCTGCATCGGAAGAACATACCTCAAGTCCCGGGACTGGAGACGTTCAAAGGTCGTGTTGTACACAGCTCGTCATGGAAACCAGACGTGGAATGGGAAGGCAAACGCATCGGTGTCATTGGCAGCGGGGCGTCCGGTGTTCAACTAGTCGGCGCTCTCGCGGAACATGCAAAGTCACTAGAGCATTTCATTCGACATCCGCAGTATGTCTTACCCGCTGCTCTACGGCCTGTATCTCCTGAGGAGCGGAAGGCCATCAATGAAAACTATGATAAGCTTTGGCACAGTGTGTTCGCGTCTTCTCTCGGATTCGGATTCCCGGAACCCAACAGGCCTGTATTTTCCGTATCTGCCAAAGACCGCGAGCATATCTTCCAAGACCTTTGGGACGAAGGGAGCGGTTTCCGTTTCATGTTTGGTGGGTTTTCGGATCTCGCCACTGATGAAGCGGCGAATAAGGAGGCGATCAATTTCATCCATCGAAAGATCAAAGAAATCGTTAAAGACCCCGAGACTGCTGAAGTGCTTCTATCGAAGGATTGGTTTGCGCGACGACCACTCACAGACGATAAATATTATTACCGTTTCAATCAAGAGAACGTTAGTGCTGTGGACTTGAAGAAGACTCCGATTACCAGTATTGAGTCCGGAGGTATCAAAACATCCGACGGGAAATTGCATGAGCTCGACCTCATTGTGTTTGCGACTGGCTTCAATGCAACGGATGGATCGTATTTTGCTATCGATATAAAAGGGCGTGATGGATTGAGTCTGAGGGACCATTGGTCGGAAGCACCTCGAACCCATCTCGGAGCTGCAACATCGAAGTTCCCGAATCTGTTCTTTGTCAATGGCCCTGGCGCAGCATTTGCGAACAACGCGCCTGTGACCGAGACTGGAGCTTCATTCGCCGCGGACCTGATTGCCCGTGCAGAAGAATATCGCAAGGAAGGCAAGGGCAATGGCGTTATCGAGAGTACAAAGGAGGCAGACGAGCAATGGTTTGAGACTATAACAACTGTTGCTAATCAGACATTGTTTTCGAAGACACCGAGCTGGTTCTTTGGAGAAAATGTCGAAGGGGGAGCCGTAGCGCCGCGATTCTTTTTTGGTGGCATCGGTCGATTGAGAGCCGCAATTGCTCATGAACAGGAACAGGGATATCCAGGCTTCCAGTTTTCCTGATATTCTTTTTCGTAATTCCAGATATGATTATGATTTCTTCACTGGTTTCGAATTTGGAACGTCTTCTAGTTTGCCGATCCGTGACCTGGAGAGCTCTTGGATGACAGTAGGACGACAGTGCGCTAAGTGATCGTACTTGAGACATGAATTCACTTCATTCTTTATGAATTCTTTCGGTCACTCTTAATCTCATGCAATCACCTTCTATTTGGCTTCCTCAATTGACTTCATCTGTGCCTAGGTAGACACGAAACCTCGCGCTTCTAGTCCGATTTTCATCCGAGTTTCGACTAACGCAACTGGCACTAACTCAGCTTCTCAGCTTGCATCCTCACCTCACTAGGAAATGCACATGTCAAAACGGGCACACATGACCTCCCGCCCTTCTGCTCATGTTTTTGCTCAATGTCATCGTCCAATCGAAAATATATGAGCAAGCGACAACGACCATGTGACTTCTGTCGTTCACGCAAGACAGCCTGTCGCATCGAAGGTGGCTTGCCCTGCCGCCTTTGTGCGCTTCACGAAAGGCAATGTACTTTTGTCGAAGCCGCGCAGCCTAGGAAACGACCAAACCACCTTACGGACAACGATGTTTCTTCGAACGCTCCGTTGATGGAAGGTCAGATGAGCCCACCAAGCCCGCAGCCTGTCCCTCTAGCCATGGCCGGTCCCGACCAATCTGCGGCGGCAGAACCATCTGCGAATGGCCTTCAATCGGCCTCGTTGCAAGCATTCTCTGGACTGCAGCATGGAAGCCCCATGAGCAGCACATCCAACTATGATCACTTATTCGACAACATGGATGATCCCTTTTCACATGTTTTCGAGACTATCGATTTTGACCATCAATTTCCGATCCGCGGTTCGATGCAAGACGGGATTAGTCCGCAAGAAGTTCAGACTCTTTTTGGGACTCAAGATTCAGCAGACTGCACGGAAAACCTACATGAACCAAATCTAGATAGGATTGACGCCGCAAACCCCCAGGCTCTAGGTTTTAGCGGCGACATGGATCCTTATGTATTACAGAACTATCAATATGACTCCAATGGCTCATTTGGATTCAAACAACTATCGATACAATCGGTGCTGCGCGGGAACTTCCCTGTTCAATTTTTAATCTCCCAGCCCAGCTTGTTCTCTTCCTCCAGGAAAGAAAATGGCGTGCAAGAGATATCGCCTCTTGTGGCCAGAGGTGAGCTTGAGAAGATGGTCTCGAGTGACACTGGTCGACGACTGATATCACTATTCCGCACCTTTGTACTTCCGCTGTATCCAATTTTCTCCGAGACTCGTTTCCCTGACCCTGATACAAGTCCCGCGTATCTTTTGGCTGCAATATACCTGGTCGGCCAATTGTTTGCACGGTTCGACGAAGCTTTATCGATTGAGCTGGCCTACGAGACCTTGGACAGTCAAGCTCTGTTCCGGTTAATACATGAAGCCTTGCAGTACGAATCGCACGCACCAGGGCTGGAAACTGTACAGACTTTGCTTCTGCTTGTGATCCGCCCTTCGACTAATCCTTTAGTCCTAGAATCTTCTGTCAAGTGGTCGTTGCACGGGTTACTTGTATCGACTGCTCAGAGCTTGGGGTTGCATTATGATCCGACGTCTTGGAAACTGCCGCGTTGGCAAATATCCCTTCGCCGACGGATTGCGTTTTCGATATTCTCTGTAGACAAGTGGTTGGCTTGTAGCTTGGGCCGCCCACCACTGGTCTCGACGGACAACTGGCTTGTGATTCGCTTGGAAAAAGAAGATGTGCATGCATCGACAATAGAATCGGATACATGGTCCCATTTCCTATATTACACTCAACTAGGGATCTATATGGACGAAGCTCTCACTCGCCTTTAGTAAGTTACTCGTTCTTCTGGATAATCAGAGGTCACGCTAACCCCGTCAAAGCTCCATGCGAGCAATTCAAGAGCTGAGTTCAGATCCTACCAAAACGCTGAGCATCGCCCGCGAGATCCTAGAAAAGACATCTCAATGGCACCGGGAGTTCTCACAGCAGTCGCACAATAGCGAGGAACCTAATCCCCTTTCCACCATCAGTCTTCTCGGGTATCACTACGTACAGATGACCATCTTCCGCGCGATCATGCGGCCATTCCTCGCAAAACCCGGTGCTGCTAGTGGCGCACAACACTCGCTGAACGGGAACAGCTCAACAGATATCCAAAGCGTCCTCGGGCTTGCTAGGACGGGATTCCGCTCCGCAACCACGGCTGCATTAACGTTTGTCAAAGAATTGAAGGAAGAGCATTCTCGGATCTTCTGGCCGCACTGGAGCCAAGTTGCGTTCTCGTCGATTTGCTTCATCGACCTGATGATGGCGACCTCGTCGCCTGATACGGATGAGGCAGTGTGCTGGTTCCAAGACCTGCACGTCGCGCGTAGGGAGATGCGACTCAAGTCAACCATGTTGCCAGTGCTGCGTCTGGGGTTACTGAGGATCGATGCGGTGTTTTGGAAGGGGTTGAGTCGGGTTATGCATCTGGAACCTCATGTCGAAAAAGCGCTTCAAGAAAGCCTGAAACCAACATCGACTTGACCTTGAGGCGCAAGCAGAATATTTGCGCATTCCTAGTAATTAACGACGGAGGCAACACAATCAGGCCATTGCATGTTTGGCATTAACATCAGAGGAAGATGCTATATTATGATACTAAAAGGAACCAGAGCTCCTTCCACCAGATCCATTATAGACGACTCTTTTCCCGCGGCAGACTCGACACTAAGTCCTCCACGGTGCCCACCGCCTCACTCGCCATTCCAAGACCAGCCTGGAACCCAGTACCACCAGCACCGTAATTGTGCACCAGCACTCCCTCCTTCCCGCCATCGAGCTTGATGCTCGTCCTCTGTACACGTGCACCACCCTCACGAGACGGCCTCAGCCCGGAGAATGCAGCCAAAACCTCCATGTCGCCTTGCAGAAGCTCAGGCAACAAGCCTGTAGTTCTCTTCAATATCGATTCAGATTCGCTGGCAAATGTGTCACCAGTGCTAATAACTATGTCAGTTCAATGATCAAGAAGGGGGGAAGATGATGCACATACCCAACACCCTTCTGCATGAATCCACCCAGGATGATGTTTCCGTTCGACCGCGGCCTCGGAATGATATATGTCTCATAGTCCTTACCGTGGCGCATGACGTTCTTCGCGATGTGCGGAGCTCGAGTCAAGAGAATTTGCCCGCGAGTCGGATAGCACTTTTCGTCCTCGACGCCTTTCAGCGTTCTCGCGCCGTTGCCGGTGCAGTTGAAGACAATCTTTGTTGAAGGATCTCTGAACGCCGATTCGATGTCGGCCAGCCTTTTCTGGACGAACTTCACGCCGTATGTTACTTTGAGAAGTTGGTAGAGATATTGGATGTACCGCGGGGCGTTGACTGTGATGGTTGTGAACGATACTCCAAATTGGCATCCTTCTGGTAGATCTGCCTTTGGGAGGATTTTGAACTATTCTATATCAGCATGACTTCTTCCAGATTGCGCATGTGGCAGCCATGTTTAGGAGATACCCAAGGAACAAAAACTTACATCTTGGAGATACTCGGCCATTGAATCGATCTTTCCAGAGGCCGGCATTTCATCCCAATACTCAAAGGACGGTGTCTTCGATATGCATGCTTCAGTGCCCCGGTCCTCTGCCAATCTCATCATGTGCTGATACCCAATCTTGTCCCAGCGAAGCGCATTCGGATCGCCACCAGAAATGGCCGAGAAGTTCGCTCCAGCCCTATATATTTCCATACAGATTAACAATGAACCCTTTGGCTTCTTTCGTGGATGAAACTTGTTTACTTACCACGGGGATGTGTAATTTATTGAGGTGTCGCCAGGGAGATGCTCCGCAACGATCTCAATATGTCGACCATAGCCGCGTTCCGCGAGCAGAAGAGCTACATCGAGTCCTATGACACCTGCACTGTTCGGTTGTATATGATATCAGCTCTCTTCGTTCTTGTCTATAAATCTCTCAGTTTGGAGGTGATTTCTTACCCAACAATGACGATTGGTCTGCTCATTTTCCTTGCTGTGGTTACTTGACCGCAAGTTGTTTAATTCCTTTGCTTTCACGACTCAATTGATACTTCTACTTGCACAATGAATACCATATATCTATTCTAATAGCACAGTCATCGTCCTTTGCAATAATATCCGCGTGATCTTTTCGCACACTGGCCAGCCAAGCTTATGACGCGCCGTCGGGAAAGTCACGAGCGTGGAAAAGGCATAGCGGAAGGGTTTTATGGGTCCGACTCGACGGCGTTCGATTTGATTGGTGGCGTTCGGCAGCACGACCTATCTGTGATGCCTATCTCGGCCATCGCTGTTAGTATGCGTTGGGAAGATAGACACCTCGTAATAATTAGGTAGGAATCGTGGCCATAGGTAGTAGTGGTGAGGGTTCCTCTGGTTTCGGGGTCTGTGACACAATTCAATGCTAGTTTATTTCCTGCAGCCAGTTCGTGAGTTTTTGATTACTTTGCCTGCAAAAACATTGTGTAGCTGTCATACAATTTAAGCTTTAAATTATGTCTCTTTACCTGAATCTAAAATGTCCGAAAATGCAAAGACAAAGATGCATTCCGGTTGGCCCGCATGAGATAACGGACAAAATACAAATATTGATTCTACTAGACGCCGTAGTGAACATCACGCAGCAGTTTGCTAGTATCTTCTATATACTCGAAACTTTTCTTCAATCCTCTCTCAGGATGGTTGTAATGCCCGAACGCATGAGGTACTCCCGTATACCGCTTCACTGTTACCTTGTTACCGCCTTTTCGTAGAAGTTCACCGTAGAACTCTCCTTCATCTCGCTCTAAGTCAAACTCTGCAGTGATGATGTGCGCAGGTGCAAGATTTCGAAAGTTGGGCGCCAACACCGGCGTACATCTCCAGTCGGCCAGCGCTGCTTCCTGCTCCTCTGTGACCACACTTCTCAGCAATGATTTCATGAGGGGAAATTTGAGGAAGTAGCTTACCTATGGAATCGCCCAACCAATACTTCAAAAACCATTGCTCACGACCAAGTGGTCCCCACACTGCATCATGGAACAAATGCACGCTCTGGTACGGACAATTCGACTTGTCGAGCTGGAGTCCTTTCCGACAGTATCGCATGTCTGTTGCAGGTACAATCATCATGTGGAGCTTGAGCTTGATATCTTCATCGCGCGCGAAGTGTGCAAGAACGGCAGACATTTGACCTCCAGCAGAAAGCCCGCCAATTGAAACACTGCTATGGTCAATGTTCATTGAGTCGCCGTTGGTTATTATCCACTTGACGACATCCCAACAATCGTAGATACTGGTTGGAAAGGGAAATTCTGGCGCCATCCTGTAATCGACATCGACGACTTTGATGTTTGCTTTGTTGCACATGTGTCTGCACCATGCGGCCTCGCTCTTGAGTCCACCGAGCACCCAACCCCCTATTGGCAGTGTTAATAATAAAATCAAACACGACTGTTACCGCCAAAGCAGCTTTACATACCTCCATGGAAATTTACATGAACAGGGAAGGGGCCCTTCCCCTTCGGCGAATATATCCTCACTGCAACCTCGCCTGTCGGTTTTGTAACGGGGACATTCATATCCTCCACATGGAAAACGTCAGGCCCTATATTTTTAGTTCAGTAATTTGAATAGATCTTGCATGTTGCATGTGTGCAGATTCATACCTGCACATGTAGGGTAAGTGAAGCTATATTTCGCAGGGTCCTTGCGGAACTCTTCAATGGAGACCTCATCAGCTCTGATCATATCGGCGCCATATGTATTCCATAGGGAAATCCATTCAGGATCGAGTCCAGCAAGATGTTCCTGTTTGATTGCTAGTCGTGACTTCTTGGAGGGTGTTTCCGTGATTGTCTGAGTAACACTTGTTGTCGTCATTTTTCTCTCTACTCTGGTATTTTATGATAGACAATATGTGGCGCAAAGTGGAATGTTTGTCGAAAGATATGTTTTCATCGATGATTGAGATGGAATAGAAAGATTGAACATTGTTATGCACATAAGCCTTTCACTAGGAGGGTATCCCAATGCACCGATTGGTGGCGTTGGTGAATGTGGGCCTTGATTCTCCTTGGCGTTGCGACGGCCGATCTCCAACTCTCGAGACCCTATCTGGCTTCCCCACCAATTCAAGATCCCCTGCACGATAAGACCTGGGGTAACGTGCGCCGTTGGAGTGGGAGAGACCCGCATTTAAAGACTCTGGGTCGTGCAGTTGTTCGCGACATGTCCCCATCGTCAGTTGTTCATGACCTGATCCTTGGTTGATCTGCCGTAATTTTCTTTTCCTCATCATGGCTGTTACGGACATCGAGATGCATAACGATACTGTTAGTCACCCAGAATCGATGGCGGATCAGAAACCTACGGAGAACTCTGAATGGGCAAATTTACGACGGGTCCCTGACAAGTTGCCCATGGTCGCTCTTCTGATCCTTGTCGTTGAGGTATGAACTTCTGACATTGCTTCATTCCTTGCATGATGAATTTAGCTAACAAAAATACTTAGCTTGGGGAGCGTTTTACATACTTCGGTCTTAGTGGGCCTATCCAAAATTACATCAAGTATGTCTGGACTTTTTGAATCACCGCACGTGTGGGAACGAACTTGCGGAGACTGACGCTTTGCAGTAACCCCTATGCGCCAGGTTCAGATCTTCCAGGTGCACTCGGAAAGGGCCAGGCCACGGCAACAGCCTTGGGCAATTTCTTCAAATTCTGGGCTTATGCGTCGACGATTATTGGAGCCATTGTCGCAGATCAATATCTCGGCAAGTTCAAAGCCATTGTTGCAGCTTGCGGCGTCTACATCATTGGCCTTGTTATCCTCGTCGCAACAGCTACGCCCTCTTCCATCCAGAGTGGCGCAGGCCTTGGTGGTCTTGTTGCAGCCATGATTACTATCGGCCTTGGTACTGGAGGTATCAAAGCGAACGTATCTCCGATGTGCGCAGAACAGTACCAGAACGCACGCCCCGTGTTGAAGACCTTGAAGACTGGCGAGAAGGTTATCGTCGACCCTGAGCTAACCATAGGTCGACTCTTCATGTGGTTCTATTGGGTCGTGAATGTAGGAGCTCTGTCGCCATTGATAACTGTCAATGTTGAGGCCAAACATTCGTTCTGGCTAGCCTACCTGATCCCACTCATGTACGAGACTCAAATATCTACTATGCGGAAATAGTGCATGCTGACAATATCTCAGAGCTATCATTATCTCCCTTTGTATCTTCCTCATTGGCCAGAAGCGATATGTCAAAGTTCCTCCGCAAAGCTCCGCCATTGTCGACGCCATCAAAGTCGCCACGATTGCATGCCGTGAGAAGGGTTTCGAGAACGCAAAAGCTTCATCTCTCGCTCAAAGTGGCAAGGACCGAAAATACAAGTTAGCCCAGGAGGAGAGGTACACAGATCAGTATGTCGATGATGTTCGGAGAGGAGTAAGGAGCTGCAAGGTGAGTAATAGAGCGGTCTTGTCACTATATTGATATCTATCGGTATTAAGAACCCTGAACTAATGAACGCGTAGATCTTCCTTTTTCTCCCATTCTACTTCGTATGCTGGATTCAGATCTGGAACAATCTAATCTCACAGGCTGGCGAGATGGCGCTTCACGGGACACCCAACGATCTTCTCCAGAACTTAGATCCCATTGCCCTTATCATCTTCATTCCAGTGCTTGATTGTGAGTACTGAATGCCCCCGCGAGCCTCTCCATACTAACCCAACCATCAGTGGTCATCTATCCCGGCCTTCGCAAGATGAAGATCAACTTCGATCCCATCTCCCGTATTTTTGCAGGTTTCCTCCTTGCGTCCTTCTCTATGGTTTACGCCAGTGTACTCCAACACTACATCTACAATTCCGCCCCAAAGAGCATCCACGTCTGGATTCAAGCTCCTGCATATGTTCTTGTCGCATTATCAGAAGCTTTCATTATTATCACTGGGTTGGAACTGGCTTTCACTCAAGCCCCCAAAAGGTAAGTCAAATGAACCGCCCACAATTCTCTCAACGCAGGACGGAAAATCTGACGTTCTTTTCAAGCCTACGATCCTTCATCTCCGCCCTTTTCTGGATTACAATCGGCATCGCTGCCGCTATTTGCATTGCGCTCAGCCCTGTTTCACAAGACCCCTACTTGGTCTGGATGTACGCCTCTCTGGCGATTGTCGGATTCGTCGCGGGAGTCATTTTCTTCATTTGCTTCCGCAAGAGTGCGAATTGGACACCTGAGAATGTTATTCTGGAGGCGGTTGCAGTGGAGCGGAATAGTATCAATCTTCCCGGCCAGGAGTACAAGCAAGACACCAGCAAAGCTTAGTGAATGCAGTGTCATGTCACTACTGTCAACGTAATTCATACTTTATAGTAATTCCATATGCAAACAATCTAACATGATTAAATTATATACTTCTGTAATCCATATTCGACACTGATGCCATTATGGTCATCTTCACCCATAGAGTCCGCCATGTTCGCTCTCCATATGCTCATATATCTCATCCCTATTGAACTCCTTCCCGCAACCCCAACACCAATGAGTACCGCAGCCCCCGATAGTGCAAGTAATATGATTACACCCCGAAACCTTCAGTGTCCGAGTCTTGCACCCCGGACACTTCTTAACTGGAATGCGAAACTCTTCCTGCAGCCTCTTCGCTTCCTCGAGCGCTTGCTCCGCATTCCTCCTTCCCTCTGCATCAATACGTTCTACCAACGCCAGCGCATCTCGCGCCTCCTGTTCAGCGATGCGAGCGCGCTCCTGCGCTTCGGCGATACAACCTTCGCAGCGCCAATTCTGCACTGCGTCGGGAGTCCCACGCGCACACTCCCGTTCCAGGTACCGCCGTGCGTTGCCGCAGTCACTGCACCATGCGTGGATCCATTCTCCCCTTTCCTGTACGGCATTTCGAAGGTCGCCGACTGCGTGGATGCCCATGCCGTATGCAGCCAATGTACGTGCCGCGGGGAGTCGTCTGCAGAATGGGCAGAACAGTGCTGCGGTGTTAATGATGCTGCCGGATTGGTTCGATCCGTACCAGCTGTTGAGACAACCTTCGCAGATGCGCTGATTGCAGCCCCGACGTCGACAGGCGGGGAGGAGGCGTGCGTTGGGGAAGTCGGAGAAGCACAGGGCGCATGGGGTCCGTTCGAATGTGCGCTGTTTGATCCATGACATTAGAGTTGCCTTCATTGCTTCTTTGTTGCGGATCAGTTTGCCGTGCATTGTCAGTGCTGGATCAGGGTCGAGTTCTGGGAGGATGCGGACATTCGCCATAAATTTATCGGTGCCCGCTTTTGAAATCGTATGAAATAGGCTTCGCTGGAAGGGTTCTGCCACAGTTTTATCTGTATTCTGAAGTAGCCAACCTTGTCCATTCTCCTTGCAAATCCTTTCTGCATTTGTCTCCGTACTCTCGACCGTCTTTCGATTATTGACACATGCTGTACACTTGAAAGGATGCTGGATATCTTTCCGAAACTCGTGAGGCCATATTATCCTACTCAGACACTGTTCACATTCTAGAGTAGGTGCCGTTGGCTTCCCCTGAGTGTCCGAGGCGACTCGCTTCTGGGTCCGGCAGAAGTGGCATTTTGGGCGAACGTTCAAGTCTTCGGGATTGTAGCACACGTACTGTGCCCGGCATGCTTGAACGCTACATTCAACCCAAGTGGCTGTTGCGGTTGCGTCATCGTGCTTGTTAACGTGAGCATTGAGAGCGCGGGATTTGTGATTTGCATCTTGAAAATCATTTGTAATGCAGAGGCCGCATTTCCCACCCGACTTCTCAACCATGATTGTCACTGATCGAGGATATTCGCAGCCGCGACATTGAACCGTGGGGCCGACTGGCATGGCTGTCTTGTCTGGCGTCCACCCAATATCGACATGCAACGTTGTGAGTAGGTTTGCGCGTGCATGCTGATAGTGTACCAATTGTGTGAAAAGCTCCCTATCACTGTCACCCAACAATCCGGAAGCAACCTCTGCGTGGTTGTCGGCTTCTTGAACTTGTTTCCGATACTCGGCGTCGGCGTCAAGCAATAGCCCTAGACAGCTGGAGTTCCACGTCTCGGGGACCTCAAGATTGTTCCATCTGCTCTTCCACGACAACAATGCGGCTGAGGCATTAGAGAACAGCGGTGTCAGTCCGATCCTAATTGAGAGTGCTGCAAGTAGCATTGCAGGTCGTGCTGCGAGCATTGTCCCTGGCAAGACAGTATGAAGCAAGATCCTCCAAAGCTTCCATCCATTGTCCTTAGACCCCAGAGATAGGGGAATTCTAGGAACCTCTTTGTTTGTTGTCACTGCAATGTGCGCCGGAAGATCAGCAGCAGAATGGGCGAAAGACAGCTGTGTAAGTATTTTCCCCAGCCTCCGCAGGATTCTCCCATCACAAGAACGACCTATTTCAAGGAGCTCATCGCGACGGAATTCCGTGATGGGGCGAACGTCAACCTCATCGCTGTTCCCGGCACTCTCGTTTTCTTGTGCTTTTTTGCCTGCTGTGAAGGCGATAGTAGGGTCGAGGAACACACAAGGATAGCGTTCATCTTCGGGCACGGAATCAAGGATCTCTAGAATCTCCGCAGCGTAGTCGTAAGACTCCTCGAGCCAAAGTTTCATACGCGCTTTCTCTTCTGCATCCTTTATGGTCTCAATCTGCAGTCCAAATGCTGTGATAAGACTCTCCCGCTCCGGATTCTCACGATCGTTGCAGATCGCGCGCCAGAGGGTCCCGAATACTGGGTTTAGAGACATAGATGCAACATCTCGCTCGATTACATCCATCAACTGGGTAGCGACAAGACGTCTGTAGATTTCGTCTGTACGATATCGCAGTGCAAAATCCTGCACTGGCGTTTTTCTCTTCGGCAAGTATTGCCTAAGTGTGTTAGAATCGAGCGCGGTCTCCGCTACGTTATCTTCCATCTCTTTCTCTAACTTATTTCTTGCATGTTGGTGGCCCACAGCAGCTGGCAAATGACCATGCTTGCTGTCAGGATTTGGCGTGCTTGCCCAGAAGTATTGATTTGCGACATCATCACGCTCGTTCTTGATCTGCTTAATTGTCGCACCGTTCTTGTACCGCATCAATTTGGCAGGGAGTTGCACGTTCTCTGACCCATCTTTACCCGTGCCCATCCACGCCAAAAGGACGTCTACCGTTACTTTTGCAATGTTGTGTGGTCGCGCATCCGTAAGATACAGGCAGGCTCCCCGGGTGATGGTACTGAGATAATTGTAGTAACCGGCGTTGAGTGCGCTTGTGCCTAGATTTCTGTCTAGGAAGCTAAACACATGTGCCTTGCGAGGGCCCTGGTGTAATTGTTTTGCGGCTGAAACCCAATCGATAAAGTATTGTCCAAATCCATCATAAGTATCCTTCTTGCTTAACGCCGCTTGTTCGGCGTGGTAGTTGCTGCCTTTGTCCCTGTCAGCCACCATCCAGCAATGAGGCGGAGCATCTGTGTATAGCAAGACAATGGTGGTGGCATCCTCGCGCATCAGAGTGCAGGCATAGGCAAGCCCTGTCTTGGTTGCTTCTGGATAGTCGCCGCCGCCAATGGGTTCGAGATTCGCCGCCATTCTCATAACGCTCTCTGCAGTCACACTGGGCACCTTTTTAGACTTCGATGCAGCGCTGGTTTCGGCCCCTTCGCGGCCGGAACCTTCTCCATGTTGAAGCCAACCACTCCACTCGAGCATGCCATCATTTGCGCGCGAGAATTCGCTGTAATCTCGATACGCAAGCAAGCCGACGCGTTCGAAACTGTCGGTTAGGTTAGATATTGATATGACTTTCGGCAATGATATCTTTAGGGACTCGAGGTAATTAAACATCGAATAGGTAGCATCAACAAGAATCAGGAGGTCGTAGACCTCATCTGAGTTTCCGGTTGCCATGGCGAGGGAATGTGCAATGAGGATTTCGCTACCTTACTTCGTCGATGACTCTCGTGAAGATTATATACCAGCTGAAATCATGTTGGGCGCCCTGCAGCTCAGCCGCCCTTTCGCTTGAATCTATGTCGCCCTTTTGCTCATACAGTCATTGCAATTCTTGGCAAGGCAACAGTGTCGCATTGCGAAGGATTCTCTGACTCTTTTATGAATCATTTATTATTATCTCTTTTGGGAGCTATAGACCGAGAGGCCGCCTTTTGAGATGAAATACACAGCCAGATGATTGTGAATCTCCCGCACAGATGCACTAGCTAAAACCCCATCGTCCGCCAACGTACCTTGTAGGGTTATTTTACGATAAGGTGGGAATGTACAAAGCCTACGTGAAAGTTTCATCAATCATGAGTCACAAGGATCTTGAGCTACCTTCCTGGGATTGCGATTATCCGCTGAAGTATACTTCGTAAAATAATTGCACCCAGCTTGAACAATAGTAGTTGTTCGTGGTAGTCCTTATGTCCTGCCATAACATTGTTTAACTGATTTGATGTAACAATGTCTTTGAACAATGATGCTGATTCATCAACACAGGTGATGACATTTGGGTAGCTCTTGACGATCACTATGTACCTAGGTATGAATATTAAATATATACAAAAGGCCTACTTTTTCGTCAGCTTTTGTGGCCATCTCTTCATGTACACAGGAACAACACACAACCAGCAAGTTTACAGCTCCGTAGTACCGTTCAGCTACTCTACAAAACGCAACCCGAAAAAGAAAAGCCTTTCGACTTACCAGTAATGTCCGCTGAGTCAGCATATCTGGAAGCAAAAAAGCTTTGCCATGAGGTTTACGGCACAGATGACGAACAAGAATGTTCAGACCGCCTCACCCGCGCAGCTGACGCAGAGGAGTGGTCCTTACAAGTCACAGACAAGACGTGTGACACATCTATTTTTCCATATCAGGCCCAGGGTCCATTAGAAACGCCCATTCCGACCGTCGAACAGATTAAACAGGCACGACAGGACATGCCAAGATCGAGGACGGAATGGCGTGTTGGGCCATACATGGTCAAAGCATGCATCAGTGCGGCAGTATTTCAGGTGAGTTACATTCTATGCAACGATTGATCTGCAAATTTAACATATATTTAGGAAGCTGAGAATCTTCTATATCTCGAGAAGAACTCGACAGTCAGATACCCTAGATTGTATGCAGCCTTCCAGAGCGAAGGACAATGGCAGTGGGATTGGTCGCCGGAAGTTGAGCAACGAACTATTTACTACATTGTCATGGAGTACGTTGAAGGACAGAGCCTAAAAGAGCTGGAAGACGAGTTTCTCACAAGGCCGTTCGATAGATCTATGATTAGTGAGAAGATTGGCAATCTTCTCGGCGAGCAATTGCGTAAACTACGCAGTGTACCTCCTGAAGACCCTAACCATTTTGGACGTATTAATGGCAGAGCATACACGCGTATGTTGTCAAGGTATGGTGGCACAGAGCCAGACTTGACGCACAACGGCCCGTTTAATTATGAAGAGCTGGTAAAACATTTCATCATGGCCGGAAGGGTTCGGTGCGCTGTGGATCATTATTGTTGGGGTAATTATGACCCAGAGGAAGATATATTGCAGCAGCGAGCGACGTCTGTACTTATCGACATGGCGGATGCTAAGGATCGTGTCCCTGTGCTCTCCCGTACGTCGCCAGGTTATTTTCTTGTAAAGCTTATTCGGGATGAGACAGGGCGTCCTATCGATGTAGAGGAAGTGGTTTTGACTAATTGGGCATGCATGGCATGGGTGCCTTCCTGGTACGAACATAGCCAAGGGTGTTTCCATAGTATGGACCATGCAATTAAGTTAAGACATCGCCGCCTCGAACCAAGTTGGGGCAATCCACATTTGTTCACCAGCGTCTATAGACATGCCAGGATATCTATGGGCGAAGTGAATCTGAAATTGTCAGATTTCTACTCTCGCGCTGTTTTATATGGTGCGTTACCCAGGTATATATAGTTATCCGCTTTCATCACATCTTCCGACTTCGCTATCCATTCTCTCATGAGAATGGTCTTCCACCAGATTCCCATGTCTGGAACGCCAATCACTCCTGTTACATTAGATTAGACAATACCATGACAATATAACGCATGAACGCACATGACCAGACTTACAATCGATTAGTTGGGACACTGCTTCACAAGTCAAATGAAAATGGGGGTTGTCTTTGGATGAAATAACGTGTCATAAACAGTATTGAGAGGTGAGGCATTAAGATTTAATGCCCTGGTATCATATATACAACCTTTTTTTTATCACAGTCGCACTAATTTCTGCGACTCGATAGAATTAGATACTTTTGCTCGGAACCCAGGAGTGTCTAGTTTACTTTTTTGTCCTTCAAGAACTCCCTGACATTGGAAAGGCCGGTAACGCCGAGCTGCATCCAACATTAGCACAGTGAACATGGATCTTAACGGAGTTGCGGGCTTACATCTTGTGGGGTGATCAAGTTCAATTCCTTGACAGCCTCTTCGCCTCCAAAATAGCCAGGGTCGTTGATGTATGCCATCATCTCGCCCAGCTCACGACCATGGCCTCCAGGCATTGCCTTGTCCACGTCCTCAACCGTGTTCGGCACAAACTTGACGGGTTCGCCGATGCTCTTGCTCCAGATTTGTGCGATCTCGTTGAAGCTGATCTGGCTGCTGAAACCCATGAGGTTCTTCCCGGGCGAGGATGTGATGAGTGCCTTTACTAATGGTCCAGTGTCCTGGCGAGGATGATACATGGGGATTTGCTTGTTGCCATCGATGGGCTGTCTCATGACATACTCTCCGTCAGGCCCCTAATCAAATCAGCACGATGTCCAAATATTGACCTAAGAGCTACGTGGATGCTCACCTTTCGCGGACCCATGCCACCCTCGAGGTTTGTCATGAAAAATGCGGGCTGGAAGAAGGAAGTCTTCTTGTACAGCTCAGGATATGTTGCTTGGAGATATTCCACGATCCTCCACTTTCCCTCGAAATGGTAGTTCCAGGTGATTTTTCCGTGGCTCCATTTCTTGGAGTCGCCAAGTACTGAAAGAACCAAAAGATCCAGGGTGTCTGCTGTGGCCTGCGCAGCATTCACGATGTTCTTTCCCTGTTCGATCTCGCCATCAAATGCGACCTCGTTGAGCACTCGGCCCGTCTCTTGCGCCTTCTTGATGTTGGCGGGAACTTTCATTTGCTGCCAGAAATCTGTGACACCGAAGATGGCATTTGATCCCTTGAATGCTGTCTTCAATGCCTCGGCATCGTCGAGGTCAGCACCAACCATCTCTACTCCTCGGTCACTCCACACTTTGCTAGAAGGCTTGCTGGGATCACGGCTGATGCCGCGGATTTTCCATCCTGGCTCGTTGATGAAAGCCTCAGCGACTGATGCGCCCTGATTGCAACATTAGTACACTTGCATATTCTAAACTGTCTAACCAAAATCCATAGCCTTACCTGGTTACCGGTAATACCGATGATTGTGACAAGTTTGCTGGCCATGGTGAAGTGTGCAGGAGGTGTCGTAGCAAAGGATCGAGTTTGAATTCGGAAGCGGGCGAAGGTTCGTGATGGAATGGTTCTGGTATGAAGAGTGAAGGCCATTTGAGTTCTGACATTGACATAATATACCCTCGAGGCTGCTTCTTAAGCCGCTTTCATTCGGCTCTCGCCAAATGCTCGACAAGGCTGGTCGCGCCTAGCTATGATTCAACGCTTAGTGAATCCCCGCTCCACTTAGTAAGCATTATACATCGACAAATGAATCTCCCCAAATAGATGACCTATGGGACATTCACATGCATGCTAATGGATTTCCAATCGTCAAGGCTGCTAGAGTATTACTTCCTCGCCCGCATAAAGCTAGTTCACGTCTATTCCAGACTGCTCGTCCATGACCTTGCATCAACCCCGCATATCTTACTTTTCTCCAAGGAGGCAGCTATCCTCTGATAGGAATGTTTCTAGTAATTTCTGCTGAACCTGAAGATCATGGACACAAGTACTAGCACGTTCCTGAGCTAGGCAATCATTGAATAAATTGTGAAGAAGAATTGGCATCTTAGTAAGACCCTTTTATGAGGCATATATCCACGATTGCGGGGCTGTAGGTAGACGCCCGCTGAAGAAGGCCACGACAGTTAAGTAGGAATGACGAAGTGGCTTGGAAAGTTGTAACTCTAGTGTCATGCGGAAAGCTTAGCAATCAAAGGGTCAAACACTTAACTCACAATTGAAAGTCAGCGCAGCAGCTGAAGCATCTCTTTCGTAACAATAAAACATTGACGTCATAAACTTCATAGCGAGGAATTGGACGTACGAGGTCTGTAAATACACACTTGGATTCCAGAAATCCAGTTGTGATCGAACAATGAAGGGTTCCACATTGCCCACGCCCAGAGCGGTTTGCCCCGCAAGTGTATCCTTCAGCTAATCTGCCCTGCAATGCCTGCAATGCCTGCGCAGCACAATTGCAGACTTCATTGGAGAATCTACCTGCATTACATTAGATAAATCATACTAACATGCTGGTAGACATTATTTACATAAAACTGGTCATTGATTCAACCCTTGGAGAAATTCCGCGGTCTAGCCAATGCGATCAAATCCGATTGTGCATCGCACGCAAGATTCAGATCAATCGAATGAGTACAGATGCACTGAACGGCTACGCACTGGACTGATATCGATACTACCATCGAAGCATATTTGCAATATCACACAAGCTAATGACAACGCACGTATCCTTCAATTGCGCACTCCGGCAATTACTATATCGTCTTTGAAACCCGATTGCTTTCCTCTTGTCCTCAATTACAATTAAAGACCCCAAGAAGAGCCGACTACCGCCGTTGACAATATGACCCACGTCCAGAAATTCGAGGCCAAGCTCGGCAGATGTGGCAGCGGATGACAGTCCAATCGAACCCTCTTCGTTGCTGTTTATGGGGTAGATGTTGTAGGGTATATGGCGCGACATAGGCGACAAATCGTATATATTCATTATGGGTAAAATGGTTGCTGGGAACAGAATGCCTGCCAGAAGGACCCCCATCAATCAATTCTTCGGAATTATCTATGCCACTATATCGGTTATGGCCCCACCACGAAACGTGCATCAATTGTAGAGATATAGGGATCATATGTCCTCGATCAGAAGAAGCCGGCTTCACAGTTGTCAAAACGGTACAATCATGAATCGCGCCACGCTCCTTTCGGTCGCAAGCATCATTGTGCACGCATTCGCAGCCTGTGATCGGGCGGCGCTGGAACAATTGACGTCCACCTATGTTCGAGCGCAAACTTCCGGAAAGCCCGATCTGCTCCCGTTAGCTACCAACGCGAGTTATATCGAGAACGATGCTCCCGTCGCCATCACGAAGGGCGTGTTGAGCCAAGCCATCGTTGTTGATTTCAGTCGCAGCATCCACGACACTGTGCAATGCGCCACGTACACGGAGATCACAGCAGCAACCGACAAGCATCCATATGTCATCAGCACGAAACTCGTCCTGGCCAATGACAAAGTCACTAATGTTCTGTCGGTAATTTCTGATGCTGGAGATTGGTTGTTCAATGCCACCGTTTGGCTCGATTGGACGAAGAAGGAGAAATGGGACGCGATTCCGGAGAGCAAGCACGACAAGCGCGAAGTCATACAGGCTGCTGGGGATGCTTATCTCGACAGCTGGGCGGACGGCAAGGTCCCGGTGCCATATGGAACGCCATGCCAGCGCCTCGAGGGCGGCATATACACTGGCAGCAGGAACCAAACGTCCAACTCCTGCGTTATGCCGGAGTTCCCTAAGCCTTTTAAGGGCGCCTTGAACCGTCGCTATGTCATCGACCAACAGTATGGAGCCGTTGCGATTTTCAACGACTTCCCTTTCATTGACGTGGATAAGCCTGATGGTACTGCAAGCACGAACTTCGTACGTGTTGAGGGAGGGAAAATTCGCTACATTCATGAGAACACTGTGTGCACGAGAAAGAACTGTGGAAGATGATTAAATAATCTATGGGAATCATCGTGGCGTCTATGCAGCACAAGTCGTCAAATAGTACAATTTAGTTTACATATTACTGACAGTCTTAACTGTCGTTTCCATGATTTCATTATCAGATCATCTATGTCTAGTCTTATGTCTAAAAAGATTTATGTCTACTTCTTCTCGAAGTCCGCCAGTCTGGCTTTCATGCTTGGCTCGTAAGAGCTCACAATCATCCTCTTCATCGGATGCTCCTGCTGACAATTCAATTCCGCCCAGCGCAACCATCCCGCATAAGTACCCTCCTTACAATCGCTACCGTCGTTTTTCCTCCACAGTATGCCCAGAGTATCACCGCCAAAGAGCTTTGCGGCGAAGCCATGGCCTAACTTCAGCGCCCAGCTATCGGCAACCATCTCTTCGACAATCTTCCGCGCCAATGCCTGGTCTGCAGACTCAGTTGCTCCATCTTCTGGCAGAGATTGATTCAACAAGTCCCAACACCTTTTTCCGTTCCAGCTAGTCGCTTGCTCATGAACGTACACAGCATCGATCATGGAAAGTAACCAACATTTCTCTCGTACGTATTTAGGTCCATCCCACCCCTCGTCTTCATCGAGCCAGCGTTGAGCGGAGCCCATGCACTGGATTTGGATAGCATAGTCGGTCATGACTTTGTCGTCAATGACCATCTTTCCCTCCTCGCCATCGTCAATCGTGACCTCTTGGGGCACTCGCATCAGCGGAACATGCGAGACCAATGGATTCTCGTGGGCATTGGTCGTTGTATTCTTGCCCTCCCATAATTTCAATAGGATGCGATGTGCACGTTCTATGAGGGGGTTGTTCGCGCCCGCCATGAGCGCGAAATTAACGATTTGCAGATCAGGTGCCTCTCCCATGGTGAAACCGAAAAAGTCGAAGGGTGATTCGGGATTGGATATTTGTTCCGTCCAGATTGAGTTGATGTCGCCAAAGAGTAGGACCCCGACGTCGAGATAGACGCCGCCATAGCGGAGGAGCAAGGGGAATCGGACGAGATCAGAAGTGTGCTGTGCGGCGTATTTTCCAACAATTGAGTTGTTGATGAAGGCCTCAGGGACTATTGATCGCGATGTCGTGTCGATGAAGTTTGAGACATTAAGAGCTGAACCTGGAACAGTGTCCAACACATAGATAGTCCAGCCCAGTGGAGAGAATCGGCGATGCCAATTGATCACATTTCGGAGAAGATAGGGCGGCAGGCTGCTAATTCCCGTGTTCCAGAATGCAAAGATCGATTTTCCTCCTGTTTTTGGTAGTCCAGGGGCGGTCAATGATTCCGGAAGGTTATCGAGGGAGATGGATGGTTCGATCTTATAAGGTAGACGAATCGTCCTGGGGATTTCGGGATACGTCATATTTGTAGTATTTCCAGAGGTATGCAATGCTGAAGCTGGCATAAAAGAGACGTGATTTTCTCTTTTCCAATGGATAATGAATTGTGAAGCGGCTTTCTAGTAATTACGATGGTCGCGAGTTGTTATTGTATACTCTTTCATTTACCGCTAGTCATTTCGACTCATAATTAGTCGCTCCCAATCGGGACAGGCGTCGGTCGGTGCTCCTACCACTACCTACATCCATCGTAGACTGGATGGCTGTGCATCGGCCGCAGACGTAAGTTTTGCATACACTTTGTAAATATGCCATTCAAAATATTTATGAAAGCTTTCAGGCTTGCATAACCTAGTCATACTGGAGAAAAACACTGTTCTCTTCACTTGCAACAGCGAGCGCAGCTCTCTAATGTTGGAAGCCTTACCTCGTACCTGGAGCGATTGCGGGGTTGTTACGCAGGATGTGCCTCAATCGGCAGGTCACACCATCTCCGTGCTGCATATTCTTTCCAATTCAAGGCTTTTACGAGTAGAACGAGTCCTCAGCTCATGCAATGACCTCTTCAACCCCTTCCCACATTGGACGGATAAATCGGACGTTCCAAAATGGAGACATTGGCATGGAGTTGCAGCTCCAATGACGTATAGTGACAGCCATCATACAACCTCAACAGCATGCGAGTACTTGTATATGAGATCCTGAAAATTCTGTTCTCTGCACAGTCTATTGTATTTGAATTGTTGATAATGATGCTCGAGTTCACCACTACGACTGTTTGGACCGTCGCTCTAGGACTTTTCTCCGCCCAGAGCGCGTCTGCAGTCCGATCCACGCAGGCACAAGCTCGAGAGATATTGCGAACGACGCCCCTTATAGGTATATGAAACTTCAGTCTATTCCAATTGTTGTAGATTGTTAACTAATGCTCTTCTAGACGGTCACAGTATGGGTTTCTCTTAGTGTCTTTTTTCTTATCTACAACCAGGTCATTAATCTCTACTCACAGATGACTTGGCATATTTCCTCCGATGGGCGCACAGCAACCATATATACCTCGACAATTTCACTATCCCGTGGGAAAGTGGCCATCTTGGCGGTGAAGTGGACCTATACCGTCTGCGTGAAGGACAGGTCGGTGGCACTTTCTGGTCAATCTATGCGGATTGTCCAAAGGGAGCATACAGCAAAGAATACTTTGCAGACGGCAAGTCTTCCATGGCAGGTTGGAACCAATACTAATAGTGACGTTAGCTCTGGATGAAACTGACAATGCAATCGATGTCATTCTAAGGATCCAAGAGGCGTACCTCCATGCTTTCGGTCGTGCCAGAACTAGCGCCGAAGCGCTCGAAATCTTTTCCTCAGGCCGCATCATCTCACCTCTGGGCCTCGAAGGCCTTCACATGTTGGGTGAATCCTTTGCTAAGTTGCGTGACTACTATGAGCGTGGCATCAGGTACGCAACGTTGACTCACAACTGCCACAACATTTACGCCGATTCCGCCATGACGGACACCCCCAACGGAACGATCCAAGCTACGCCGAGATGGGGAGGAGTCAGCGCACTGGGCCAGAAACTTGTGAGAGAGATGAACCGACTGGGTATACTTGTTGACTTGAGCCATACCTCCGCCGACACGATGCGTAGTGTCCTCGGTGCCCATTCCAATCACAATCGAACCGTGAGCAATGGCACTACTCCACAATGGGAAGGCAGTTTAGCTCCACCCATCTTCAGCCATAGCAGCGCTTTCGGTCTATGCCCACATCCTCGGAACGTTCCAGACGACGTTCTACATCTTGTCAAGGCTCGTGGCGGCGTTGTTATGGTCACGTTCTGGGCTGGCTTCATTAGCTGCCAATGGGCAAACGGAGCACCAGCTCCGGGAGAACTACCAGTCACTTATCCTGCGAACGTTACAGTTCCTCAAGTGGTTCGCCATATGCGCTATATTGGGGAGAAGATAGGATACGATCACGTCGGAATCGGAAGCGATTTCGATGGGACGCCATCAGCCATCATGGGATTAGATGATGTGTCGAAATACCCTAATCTCGTGGAGGAAATGTTGGTGCAGGGGATCAGTGAGGGTGATGTTCGAAAGATCATAGGTGGTAACGTTCTCCGCGTGTGGGCGGAGGTCGATCGGGTTGCTGCTGATTTGAAAGCGAACAAGACCCTGCCTGCTGAGGATGATCCTGCTTGGCTTCCGAATCCGTGGGAGGGATTTTGATAGAACAGTTGCTGGCGCGAGAGGGTGCCGTCGAATGGCTTGCCATGATAAGTAGTGCTATTGGCACTCAGAGCTGTTCTGTCCTTCATAGCTAGTATATACCACTTAGACTGTAGCATGGGAGTTCTTAGTAGGTAGTCACGCTTTGTGAACCCCATTGGAAATGCTAGTTATGAACTGGATTTCAACCTATCAAAGAGGATCCTTGATTTCCATCCCTACTTCCAGCAGTGAGAGATGTAACGAATCGGTTCATTCCGCAAATAACTCGGAATGACCAGTTCGACTCCCCTCTCTTGTGAAATCTAAGATACGATAAAGATCTAGTCTGCTACCAGTACAAGAAAGCAGCAATGGCACCTCTTAAATGCTTAATCTATTTCCAATAGATCGAAATCTGGGACAAACTTCAGCGTCTGAATGAAAATGGTGGAGAAATGAGACATAATCTGAACCGTTTCGCTTACAATACCGTTATAGGCTGTTTTGATGCATACGCCCCGTTGACGGAGAGCCCAAAGAGATGGCCTCCGCCATCTAGATATATGAGATCCAAATTACCTACTTCTCAAAGTTACACTAAAGCGTTAGAGCATTCGTACGAGTAGTTATTTGCAGCAACATGCACGTGGTACATGGCAGGCATGAGTGATATATCAACCTAGAATGAACGACAACTCAATATACATGTTCTAAATGCCATTAGGTTGCAGAGACGTTGATCTATAAAGCACGATGCATCTGTACGCAGAAACCATCCGTACCCAAGCATACAACTCGAATTACTCAGTTCATTATGATGTCCTCTTCCGCCATACCTCTGGTCCTGCTCTTAGCAACCATCGTGAAAGGCCATGGGGGCGGAATGCACTACATCATTGACGGCGTAATTCACGACGGGTCCGCATCTCTCTTCCCCACCACCAACGACATCGGAAGCTAACCTCACCACAGCTACGACAGCCGCGTCCGGAACAACGAAAAAGGCACCATCCAGCGCTCCTGGACCTGGGACTCCATCCCCTGGGAGGAAAACGAATGGTGGTCCAACATCCCAGCCTTGACCTGCGGCGCCAACGGCACCGCCTGGGAGAAATCCTACCATGCACCGCACCGCGCCGGTAGCATCGTGAGCATTAACTATACCCACCCTGAGCTCCCGGACTACCGCTTCGGCCACCAGCACGGCCCCATGTGCGCATACCTTGCCGCGTGTCCGGACGAAGGGTGCGAGAAAGTCGACATCCACGCGCCGATTTGGTTCAAGATCTTCGAGAAGGGGTTGAAGAACGGGACGTGGCTTGATGGGTACTGGTACATGAAAGATGTGGAGAGTGGTGCGAATCTCGATGTCCAGACGCCGAAGTCGCTGAGGCCGGGCAAGTATCTTCTAAAGCATGACATGCATAATCTCGAAACGGGATTTAATCAGTACTTCACGAATTGCGTTCAGCTTGATATCAGTGGTGAGGGAGACAAGCTTCCTGCGAAGGAGAAGCTTGTTTCATTCCCGCAGGCGTATGATAAGGACTGGGGTAAGTGAAAACATGTGATTGGTGTATTGGCGAAAGGTGCATGGCTAATATAGTGATGACCTAGGTGTCAGTTTTCCACCCAAAGGCTCTGGAGCTGAGTGGTTTTATACAAAGAAGAACAATGAGGTCGTAAGTGTCGATCACTGAGAGCTGATTTGTTGTTTCATTGCTAAACTCTTTCTAGGTATATCCGCTTCCTGGGCCACCAATCTGGGAAGGTTAAGACGGGAGAGCATACATTAGAGACGGACTTCCAGCTACGTACGTAGCAGAGTCAAACACGGCGACTTGAAGGATAAGATGAACATGTCGCAGGGATAGCGCAGGTTCATACCTTTTGCGAACATCAAACACGAAGTTTTATTTGTACATATGATGATCCCTGCTTTTTATATGTTGAATTACAGTCTGTTTCATTTTAGTGCTAAATGTGTGGGTTGATTGTGTTAATCCCAGAGAGCATATTGCATTCAAGGCTATCTTGATCATTTGTTCACTATGACTGAGTAAGCTCAATACATAAGACTATAGACTGTTCCATTTTCATTTCATTGCATTCATATAAATAACAATTCCTCAATTTAAGCCATGTCTACCAAGGATAATCTCCAGTATTATGCAAGAACCTCCCCGCCTCATCATCCCTCTTCCCCTCCAAAACATCCACGAGCGGCCTCACGCTCTCCTCTGCGCTCCTCGCCCCCTTCTCCTTCGTGTTATAGGGTCCCAGATTAGAAACCGTGAACCCCGGATCATACGCAAACACCTTGATTCCAAACTCCCCAAACTCGACGAACTGGCACGCGGTGACCATGTTGAGTGCAGCCTTGCTAGCACGATACTGAACCTCTTGCATCTTGTAGATTGGCGACGAGGAATCGAGACGCCTGTTGATGGAGCCCGCGCCACTTGATATGTTGATCACGCGGCGGGAAGGGGACGTGGAGTTCTTGAGTAGAGGCAGGAATGTCTCGCCGATTACCCACGGGCCGGTGGCATTCGTGTCGAAAGATGTGTTTAGCTGCTGCCTAGAGGAGCCGGGTACGACAGCGACAGCAGCGTTATTTACGAGAATGTCGAGCTTTCCATGGCTGTCTTTCACGGACGAGGCTGCGTTGGAGATTGTCTTGTCATCTGTTGCGTCGATGTGGATGAACTCGGCAGATCCTGGGAGATTTCGAGATTGGAGATCCTTGAGAGCGGCATTGCCTTTTTCTGGGGATCGAGCTCCGAGGAAGACGTGGTAAGTTCCCTTGGACATGAGTTGGGCAGCAAGCTCAAATCCAATCCCGCTGTTGGCTGGGGCATGTTAGATGTGAGACCTTTGCTGGAGATGTTTGCTTACCGCCTGTGATCAGAACGAGTTTCTTTGCTGCTGCTGCCATGATGTCTATTTGTTTAACAAGACGTTGATGTTGAAGTGAAGTAGATGCAATGGCAGATGCATCACCATTCCTTTATACCTTGATTGAGGACTGTCTTACCCGATAACTCCGATTGCAAAGTGCAAAAGCCAACGTTCAAAATTCTTGCCATAATAGCGCAAGTATCGGATAAAATGAAGTTGCGGGACACCTTCAGTAGATTTTGCCTTATTTATTTCATATCCATTTCTTGGATTAATTCGTTGAGTCCCTACTGTGAAGTCTTCGAACCATATCGCGTGAGAGGGTAGAGAACAGCAGCAGTTTTGCACTTTCATATCCTTCTAACCATATTTGGCAATGTAAGATTCCGGCGGGCGGCGTTAAGGCGAGGTATGTACGACATGCACTACCGCCGAAGCTGCATCTGTACTGAAAGATGACGCGTATGAATAGACCGAGAGTGAGATGATCGATAGCCTAATGCATAGTTCACTTGCCTTTTTTTTTTATTCTTGTCATATTATGAGCTTTATGATACCTACCTATAGGTAGGTACCTAGGGAGGTAGATGGGCGGCATGAGCGACTATTGAAGCTGAATTGGTCGAGGAAGATCTTGATGTACTCCATCTTCAAGCACTGCTTTGATACAATGATTGTAAGTTTGCTGACAAGAACCTTCAAGATTAACTGGAACTTCTACTAAAGTTTATCATTTGAAAATATAGTTACCGCCACACTGTCATGACTGCGTGAATGGCAACTACAAGTAGTGGTGAATTGACCTAGACGTTCTTATCGACAACGATCCGTGCCACCACCAGGTTCCTTCCTCCTCTCCTCTTTCTCTCATAGCTATCCCAACCCCTTCACATCTACCCACGTTAATCACTACTCCATCATATATCACCTCTTAAAACTTGTTCATCCTGAGTCGCGCAACCTTCATCTTTCAGGTATATGCGAAAATAATATCCTCATAATCATTATATCCTACAATGGCTCGCCGATCAACGGTGCGCGGACGCGCGCCCAAGGACACTGTTGCTCCAGCTTCACCCATAACTGCCGTAGCTCCTACACCTAAGAAGCGCGGTCGCCCGACAAAATCAGAGCAAATCGCAAAAGAACCATTGAAAACAAAAGTCTCAAAACCGCGCGGCCGACCCAGCAAAGCGAAGAGTACGCCAGTAGTTGCAGTACAGAGCAATGAGGCAGCACAGGAAGCTGCACCCAAGAGGCGAGGTCGACCGCCCAAGGTTGCATCAGAAGCCCCCGCGAAGCCTTCTGGTCGACCTGCTAAGGTAGCTCCGCAGGACAAAGTGCAATCACCAACGAAGCGTCGCGGCCGTCCTCTAAAAGCTGCGACGTCTGCGGTTGCCGGCCCCGCACGCGTCACAAAGCGCGGTCGTCCTGCCAAAGCTACCCCGGTTGCTCCTCGGATTCCTCCTCATTTACGCTCCAAGCTTCGAACACGAGTTCCTAAGAAGGAAGCGCCTGTCGTAGTCGAAGAGAAACCAAAAAAGACAACAGGAAGAGGAAGAGGCCGCCCCAAGGCTGGAACAAAAGCTGGGACTGGGGCGCAGGCAAAGAAGACAGCACGGGCAGCTGGTGTCACAAAACCTGCACCTCGACGTCGGCGCGGCTATATCCCGTTCGACGTACCAAAGAAATTCGCCGCCCAGGTCCAGCTACTACTCCTCGATCTGGAGGCCGCTGAGCTTGCCTCTGACGAAGCTCGGGTTGATCAAGCTACGGACATGAATGGAGAAGAGGAGCAAGAACAGACTGCTGAGGTCGAGGAACAAGAAACTTCGGCTTCAAACGCGTTGAGCGGTCCAACCGAGAAGGACGAGGTAGTTTTGGAAATCGAGGAGATACGCGAAGTCGTCGTAGAAGGCCCGCCAGCTGAAACGTTCTCTCCCAGTGTCGACAGTAACTCCATTCCTGACATTGACGGGGCTGCTGAAGGGCATTTGCGTCAACAGATTGAAGTGGAGATGATCACACGAAGCAATGAAATCCCGACCCCGGATGGATCACTCACACCTCTTGATGATCTTGAAGCAGGCTTCGACCACGAATTGGTCACCCCCACCTTGCTCGCTTAGCCTGGTTCCCGAGAGCTCATATCGAAAGTGAACGAGTCTATGTATAACAATGAGAAGAACGAGAGCGATCTATGGCAGGCTTCGGCATTCTCCTTATTGTGCTGGCGTTTTGCTAGTTAGTTTCCCTTTACAGCTTCATGAAAAGATACCCGGCGTTGGTGGCTAGCATGATCCCTTGAGGCATACTCCCAATGATAGTAATTATCTTCAATGATTCTCATATGCTACGGTATAAAACGGGTCGTCGAATTTGATTGTGTGTTGTGAACTACGATACCGTCTTCGCTAGTCAATCTATTCGTAGATGGGTGGTTAATGGACTTCACGATTTCCTTCGTGCCCAAATTTTGCCTGCACTCGCCCCTCCTTTTTCGCTAACCTGGCAGATGCAACCCCAGAATCTTCCAGCATAGCCACTGAAGATACTTTACGTAAAGACTCATAACACTCAGAGCTGAAAAATATCAATGCGAGAGAACTTACATGCCTGAATGCCAAGTCCACTAGCGCTCACTTCTCCATCTGATCGTACTATTTGAGTCACAGACATCAAATAACCATGGCACAGCCATAACTCGGCCCCGCCTTGATAGTTCTAATAAGATCGTAGGATCTTTTTCTATCGGTTCCATTATATAGAATATCACAAAAATGGATTCCACATATGTTATGGACGTCGACATGGACGCTCCAACCACATCTACAGCATCAAACACAATGACTTCACAGCCCTTTCCACATCATTCGGCAACATCTGATTACATCCCACTTGGTGTCTCTGAACCGCAAAGCACACATCCACCAAAACACAACATCTCATCAGCAATGGAAGCCGGTCCCCTGGGAGAATCCATCCCACCACAAGCAACCTCCAAAGAATCCCTCAAAGCCGCCCGCGACGCTGAGCGCAAGCGCAACCGGCAGGCGGCGCTCCTCAAAAAAGGCATGCCATCCGATCCCGCCCTCCAGGAAGAATGGCACCGCACGCGCAAGGAGCAAGGCCTCGCCTCAATGACGCCCTCGCAGCGGGACTTCCTAGCCCGGAAACAGGAAGACAAGGCGTGGCGCGAGGAGCACAAGACGGAGATCCGGCGTGCGAGGCGCGAGAGGAAGAAGTTGAGGGTCAGGGCGGAGGCGGCGGGCAAGGTCGAGGCGAGGTGTTGTATTTTCTTTCATACGATGGATCAGTGGGATCCGTCGATGTTTGAGCCGGGGAAGGTTTACGTGAGGTTGCATTCTGGGTTTGATGTTGATGAGTGAGTTGTTCTCTTCCCCCCCTTTCTTGGTTCTCATTGGGAAGCTGTGGGGAATCGTAAAGTGGAACTGGATCCTTTTTAACGTTTAATCTAGTTCCCATCTCTTCGCCATCGCGGACGCCCATCCCGTCTTCTGTGCAGAGCTCGAGAAAGTCGAAGTCGGTTCCGTGCAAGTCAAGTTGGGGTCGAAAGTCACTGACGCAGGCGCCCTCGCGGTTGCGAGATCATGTCCCAACCTCGTGAGCCTGACGTTCAACTTCGGGGTCCAGGTCAGCGACCAAGCTTGCATAGAGATCCTGCGAACGTGCGAGGACCTCGACACGTTGACTGTCACAGGTCACGATTCGCAGCACGGTGTTATCACGGATGCGCTGATTAAAGCGCTTCTTGAGGACCCAGGGCTTGGAGAGAATCTGGAGACGTTGGTGCTGGTCCATCAGGATGTTACGAGGGCGCTGGTGGAGCAATTAAGCAAGGCGAGGCCGGAACTTGAGATTATTGAGGGGAATAGGCAAGTCCAAATTGTCACGTGGGAGAATGGCGCGATTGTGAGGATACATCTTCTCTCTAAGGGGTGTGCGGTGTTTGCGGATTATGGGAGGATTACTCCGGTGGATTCGGAGATGATGATCGATGATTGATTTAGCGGTTGCACGGGATGAGGAAGGAGTAGTATACGATACCCGTGGGAGTTAGAAGGCTGGGTTAAAGGATATTTACACACGCAGACCACGCAGACCAAAAGATACACAGCACAAGCAATGTCACGAATTGCATCAAATCCATTCATACGAACTACAAAATAGCGAACTTCCTCAAACCAAATCTAACACCATAGAACAACGAAGCACCAATACATCCCAGGAGTGGTAGTCCATAAACCCCCAAACCAATGAAGATACCCTGTTCGAAGAACCCCAACGCAATCCATTCTGCCCTTTTAGCTTCTTGGATAGGTTGCGTCGCAGCATCCAGTAGAGCCTGCCCAGACTTGACATCTCCATTCAGTGCCCTTCTGACCTGTTCGGAGGCTTTATTGGTGGATTGCGAAGCAAAGGCCGGAGCTGCTCGCGTGAAATGCTCGACTGTGTATCTCTTCTCCAGATCGAATGGATGGAAGAGCGGCGCTATTGGACCGAGGAGCAATTGCGCGGGTACGTGGTTGACGAACGAGACTTCAGACGCCACATATTGATCTAAGTATTTCGCATGCGCAGCTTCAGCGAAGAAGTACGCCGCGCTCAGGCGGCCAGATGCTGTGGCTAGGTCTATAGCGTGTTCTAGCGACGTGAACGTCGATACGGCGAGAACCGGTGCGGAGATCTTGTCTGGTATGGAGACGATTTTGTTGGTTTTGCTGGTCAAGTCGACGATCGCACCGAGTTGGCCGCTGGTTATGACATTAGAGTGCCAGTTTGCATTGCTCTTGAGGGACTCTAGCTGCGCAGCGACGTGGTCTTTCGGCTTTGAAGCAGAACCATTTGCTTGATTGGACTGCGTTGTGATATAGGGGATGGCACTGCGAATCAAGGCCTCCAAGAATTCTTTCTTCACGAATTCATTAACGAGGACAATGTCGGGTGCGTAACGGGAGGTTCCTCGAAGAGCAAATCTTGCAGCGGCTAAGTGTTCGGCTGCTGCAATTAGGTCTGCACTCCTATCGACAACCGCAACTACACTGGCGTTCGCCGAAACAAGATGAGTATTTTGAGGTTGAATGTCATTGCTCGGTGTTTGGACGACTTCAAGGCACTCTTGTAAAACATTCTGGTTTGGTGTAGATGTTATGGCAGCGAATGAGTTCTGACTTAGTGCCGGAGGAAGAATAGTTCGTAAAAGCGCGGGTATTTGTCGCAAACTGCTTTCGAGCTGACCCCCAAAGTTAGTCATGAATTTTACTTGAAATCATCGAATTATGTATCTTACTTTCAAGAGTACACAATTTCCGGCCGCTATCGCCGCACTCAATGGAGCGATGACGGATAAAAATGGCGTGTGTCTCAAGTCAGGCTCGATGTAAACCAGTCCCCACGGTTCCCGACGATCCAATGTATCGATGCCCTTCGAAGTTCGATACTCGTATTCCAATTCTTTCTTCGGGTCCAGTGATTGGTAATGGTCTTTCACTATCGACAAAGCAACTGCGACTTCAGTTCTTGCCTCGGAACTAGATACAGATGTATCTTTCTGGATAGCCTCTTTGATTTGCGAAGCATTGCTTCTAAGCGCATCATGTAGAGCTTTCAGCTCGGACTGTTTAAAAAAGACGTTACGGCATTGATCTGTTCGTGCTGTCGCTTGCAGTTGTGCAACAATTACATCGGAATTTGTCATTTTGATTTTGGGTGTCTGTCGCTCCCGTGCGATGTTGTTTGATGGCACGATACTGCGAGGAGAGAAGGTGGAATGAAGATGACGGGACGCAGCGGGCCCGACTCTGTATATTTCGATAGAAATATCGAACAATCGTACAACATACGCGTACTGACGAGGACAACTCGGTCTCACGTGAGTATTTGGAGGGTTGCGCTCGGGAACGGGAGGAGTGGACGCGGGTGTATGTCCTCCCCCACATTACGAGGACTCCACCAATGCACCCCAAATGCCCTAGACAAGCCTGCAGCGGGTAAACCCCAGGCCTGGAGCTGCTGTCTGGTTCGATGTTAACTACGCGACTTCACATCTGAGGATTTTCAACATTCTTATCACTTTGACAATCCCTTCTTCTTACTACACGATATCCTACAGGCACCATGTCCGTCACAACGACTGCAAATCCGGCGACGTATCAAATCCGCACTGTGCTGGCCGACTATGATCTCCACCACTCTGGATCAACGGACACATTGCTCAACGATCATCCGGCTCCTTCGAACATAAATAACAGCGGAAATCCACCACACTGGACGACCGACCACCGTCGGGTTCCTGCGTATCGACCCGTCAACACCGAGTTAGATCAGAGTCAGCGAAGAGTGTACTCGAGCGGAATTGAGAGGGCATTTATCACAGTCATGTTCTCTGGTGTATTCTTAGAGGCGGTGAGTTAACTTTGCACGGATAACGTGGATTATAGACCCTGATGGTGATTGTTGCAGAGCGCGGCGAAACTTTGGAGGTATACTTTAGGAAGGGCTTGGGATGTTCGCTACAATATTGGAGGCGAATGGTAGATTAGAATGCGGCAATATACATCTATATGCAAAACGAGCAATAAACATTTGAATTTAATACCATGAATTTGGACGATATGAACTATTCGTCGAAGCTACATGACCTCACTGCTACCTTAGATTCGTTGTGCAGACTTCACATCACTGACACCCGTTCCTTCTACCACCGTAGCTTCCACAACTCCAAATACTGGTATCTCTGCCAGCCTCTCCACAACATGATGTAAAGTTGGCAATGCTTTCTCGTCCAGCTTCGTAAAGCTGAACGACCCGCTACCTCTCCATGTTTTCTCTATCTTCTTCTCCACTTTACTTTCCTCCACGTTAGGTAGGAACACCGCGTAGGAAGAATCAACTGCTCGGGACGACTTCGCCGATGGTGGACCAGTCGATGGAATGCTCTTATACCACAAAAGTCCCTCATTCTCAGATGATGCGGGCGGTTGCACTTGGTCCGCGCCCATCACCTCTGCCAGCCCATTGATCTTAAAGTCAAAGAACTTTGAGCCTAGCCAGGACGCGGTTGCATCAAACGACGCGCCTGCGGTATTTTGTTCAATTCCCAGCTCGCTCCAGACCTTAGGCATGCCAAGTTCTTCCCTTCCGCTGAGGATAGGGTCGGCAAGGTCTTCGAAAAGTACGGGAAGGTAGCTTCCAGTACGGACCGTACCGTCTTCTGCCTTGTGCAGGACACCATGGATGTACAGACCCAGCATAGAGTATCCCCTTCCCCCGAGCCACTCCAGATTGCCGAGAGTCGTCACTGAAAGAGTAGCAAGGACGCGGGTAGCGGGTGATGGGAAGCGGAAGTTTGCGGAAGGGAACAGCCCCTGAAGAACGGTGCGAGAAGTCGCGAATTTGATGGATGCAGTTCGGAACTTGCTATTTCTCCCATCTCGAGGATTGCCAATATGGTCTTGACGAGGGCCGGGCGCGGGTCCAAACGATACCGGGGCTCTCCAGTATAGATTAGGCTTGCGCGCCCAGAGGTGTTCTCGAAGCTTCTGGGTAGAGAAGTCCCATTCATCGTGGCCGAAGTTGTAGCCAGTGTACTCGGTAGCTGAGATGGTCAGAGGAAATCTTGAAGGACTTTCATGGGGGTGAAAACATACTGTCTAGTGGCGGGCCTGTTCCGAGGTCTCTTCCAGCCAAACGAGAGTACTCTTGGATCTTCGATGCTCGCTCATATCGACATTTTTCGTACAGCTTCAAGCGCTCTGGTATTTCTTCGAGAGGGGTTCCAAGGGGAAGAACGACTCCGAGAGAGGCAGCATCTTCTATAGCCTGAGCTGCACCTTGTCCTTGATCTGGAATTTGTTAGCTTATTCAATACATTTTTTCGAAAGTATGATAATACTTACGCGGAGTGAAGGGGTGAGCAGCGTCTCCAATCAGCACCAATTTACCGTCAGTCCATGTCGGTAAATTCTCCATGTCTAGAAGTTCCCAGACTTTCAGCGTGTCTTCATCAGCCAAGCTCAATAATTTCACAAGGGCTGGGTCGAAATCTTTGTAGACCTCCAGTAGCTTAGACTTGTGACCTTGCTGACTCCATTCACCATCACCGCTTCGATCAATTTCTGACTCCGCTGTTGGATGAATACACACAAAGTTCAGCAACGTGTTGTTGGTCGTGGGATAGATGATCACCCTTCGGTCTTGTGCAAAGAACATCCCAAGATGACCTTCCTTCTCCGCAAATCTCTTCGTCTCAGGGTCTGCCAGGGCCTTCTCGCGTGGCATCAGGAATCTGAATGCACTCTTCCCCGAGCCGAAATTTTTTATTCCTTCAGCGCCGGGGAGCTTCGCTCGAGTTTTTGAGTGCACACCATCCGCTCCCACGACAACGTCGGCCTGAATCTCTTCGCCGCTTTCGCATATCACTCTTCCATCGTTGCTGACATCCAGAACTCGTGAGGAAGTCTTCAACACTGCCGGCCTGCCTTTCCCTTCCTCAGCTGTAGCTACCCGTTTCAGCTCCGAATGCAAGTGCACCCTGTGAGCAAAATACCAGGTATCCTGCCACATCCCACTCATTTTCGTCACATCTACGTGGAACATCGTCTCGCCATTTGGCTTGTACTGTGCGAGCGACAATGTCGGATTGGCGCCCTGGTCCTCCGGATTTATCCCGACACGTCGAAGCAGGCTGGATGCATTGGGAGCCAGGTGGACGGCAGCGCCTAACTCGTTGGCGAATCTGGATTGCTCGTACAGTGTCACGTAGTGACCTTGCTGGCGGAGGAAGATTGCGGCGCTGAGACCACCGATGCCTGCGCCGACTATGGCTATGTTGAGGGGTGTAGGATGAGTGCCATTCTGCACGTTGTTTGTGCCGTTTGTTTGTGGCATGTCTGGTGCTATTGAGCCCATGGTTCCTTGCAGGTATGTTGGAACTAGAGAAAGGGGGTGAAAAGGTAAAGGATGGGGAATGCTACTCGTCGATGGAGAAAAAATATCGATGTCATGATACTTATGCCCCTCCTCCTCCAACCGCATGTAACACTCCACAATTCTAGCGAACTACATCAATCTGCCTTCATTTCGCTTCCGTACATCAGTTGTGCATGTCTCTGATCGGTACGCGTGCATGGGGGGTGAGATGGGGCGTCATGCTCGACATTCCGGATCGACTTCGCCGGGTGCCCTCCACTTTACGAGGGTCTGGGAGCCCCAGACTGGCCTTAGTCCCCACGATTGTGGCTCACTATGGGGAAGCCGGGAAGCGGCGGAAAAGCTTGTTAACATATGACAGCACTTCCCGCGGCTCGGTATCTATCGATGATATAGTGCGCCGGGTTTTGGGCGTGTGCTGCCGAGGGTCTTTGTTGTAGTGCCTTAGCCAAAATGACATTGATTGGAAAGGGAAGCATATCCAACCCCCAAAGTATATAAGAATTGATATTTTTTGTCCGCTTTCATTAGACTGTGGGAGCTCGGCCGAAGAAAAATTCATCTCCGACATAGAAATCCGTGGGGGCAACATGAGCATGATTGATCAGATTCAAGACAACAAGAGTTGTACCAGCTAAGAGCTAAACTAATTACTCATGGTAGATATAGTCCAACAGATATACCCAGTGGATTGCAACATTCTGAATGTCCGTATTCATACACTACAAAGCAGTTCCACTAGGAACCCAATCCGCAGTCGCGATCCTAAGCCTCTTTCCCCAGATCAAGATGGGGATAGTCGCCAAACCAAACAATCCCATGAGCATACCAAAGATACCGAAAGGCTGAGCCGCGCCGCTGTGCTCAATCCATGTAGCCGTGAAGAAAGTCCAAGCGAAAGCGATGATAGCCCTGGCGCAGGTGACAGCTACGAGGCAGTCTCCCGAGATCGATGGGTACGATTCGATCAAGTAGTTGAACCCAACAGATGGCGCTTGCATCAAGCCAAATGCATTCATGCCGATGCCAAAGTTGAGTCCTACCCAGCCTTTTGGTGACGGGTTTTGGGCTACGAATCCAAAGGTGATGATGCCCGCCGTGGCGATGAACAGACTAGGAAGGGCTGTACCGAGACGACCTTCGGGCTCGCTAAAGCCGTGGGTGTCCTTTTTGGCAAGGCGTTTAGTCGTCCAGTCAGCGATGAAGTATGCGTAGATGCATCCCAGAGCTGTGCCGATGAGGCCTCCGGTGTTGACCAAGCCGGCTTCAGATCCCCAGAGATACGGCGGCATGGACACCAGCTGGGGCGCAACTCCACTCATAGCGACGGTTGCACCGACAAGGCCGGCATACCAAAGAGATACGAGCCATACTCCAGGAAGACGAAGGGTTTTGAAGGGCGCGGCAAATTTTGCTGCTATGCCAGGACGATACATTCCGATCTTGAGGGACCTGGCGAATGTGTATGGTTGATATGAGGCAGCCTCGACCGGGACGACCTCTGTTGTTTGAGCGTTGGCTTTCTTCTCATCGATAATAGCATCTGAAACAGCGATCGTTTCGCGTTCATAGAGTGTCTCCGGCTGAAAAAGCAGGCATAGCACAAAGGAGACTGCAGAGAGTATGACGTTTGTCCAGTGCAGCCAATTCAACCCATGATGAGCGATGTATCCTCCTGTCATCGATCCGATGATGGATCCACTAGCAAGAAAGACAGTGTAGATTGCCTTTGAGGAGTTGTTAGTCGCAGACGAGTGCTAATTGAAAGGCTTCACTGACCATGGCCCTTCCGCGTTGATGCACGAAGAAGATCTCTCCGACAACGTCGGGCGCAACAGCGTCTGCTGACCCACCACCAATGCCCATGAAAACCCTTGCCGCCAGGAGACTTTCGAAAGTCTTTGCCAAACCCGCCCACATCGATGAGAGCGTGAGTAACAGCAAGCTGGCAAGAATCACAGGACGTCGCCCAAAAGTGTTTGCCAACGGAACCCACCATAAGTTAGACGCTCCCAGCATCAGAATATTGACCTAGAACCTGTCAGCTGAGACATCCAATGAAACTCTTTAGGGTCATAACGTACAGCGAGAAGATGGAGCAATTTTGGGAAAGGCTTTGGAGGAAACCCGAACACAGGTGTCGAAGCGTATATGGGAAATGCGCTTGAAATCGAGGCACTTGTGAAGTTGACGACAAAAGGGAAGATTGACATGCATGCCAATATCCCAGCCTTCCGAAGCCATCCAAAGTTCAACGGATCCGCAGGGTCCGATGAAGGCGTAGGCACGAGACGGATCTCATCGTGTGAAGACTGTGAAGCCGTCCATTCGAGATGCTCTGTCCCAGTAAATGTCAATAAGGGGTCATATTGGGCACAAGTGAGAGAGATCTCCTACCAACTAGCGTGACAGTGCCCGGAGGTGTTGCGTTGGCAACCTCTGATTTGGAAAGAGAGAAAGCGTGTTTGAACCCCGACATATCGGATCGATCAAGACGATTGATGAGCGGCGTGATTGTGGTGTGATTTGGAGATGAAAGAGGTTCCACGCGATATTAATGTTTCGGTCGCGCCAATACATCTACACACAACCCCGTACGCTTTGTCACTGTTCCCCATGGGGTGGCTTTTGGGTCGGGATGTGGAGAACAGTTCGCTCCACCAAGAACAGACTAGGTACTACCCCAGCCAATTAAATGATTTCAAATACAGGTAAAAATCTAGATTACTATCGCTAACTTTTCTTATGACTCGGTTGCAAACCTGAGCCCCTCAATCAGCTGAACTAAGTTATCGACAAGAGGAGGGGAAGACCCGGCAGTGTCATGGTTTGCTTGGAACAACTTGACGAGACTGCTCATGACACCATCAATATCCGTTATCGCAATCGGGTTGCCCCGGGTTTGCAAAGACCTTATTGCGGGAGAGCCGCGGTCTAGAGTGATGAACCTCCGGACATCAAGTGTGTAGTCCTCGTCGAGCAAGACCATCTGCGTGTCCTCCACAGACGTGCCTGATGTCATGTGCGCGGCAGATCGATTCACAAAGCTATAACCCCATATAATCAAACCAGCATGATAGACAGAGATCGCGTTGAAGTTGCAAAGACCACCTTTGGGAAGGGCCCGGGCTGCTCGAAGTATTTGACCAGCGTGCCACAATGCCTGTCTCGCTGGGGGAGACGAGACCCACTCTCGAAGGCACGGATAGGCATTGCGTGCCTCACCCTGTCCTTCGATGCCTGCAAATAATATGATGTCTTCCAACGGTGCGTTTAGATGTATGAACATCAATTCAAGGATGATACTGCCCTCTCTGGTAGGGCAACTGATCCTATAGTCCTCCAGTGACTTGTTCAGATCTTGATACCGAGAAGGGAGGATGAGACCGTTTCTATGACTGGATCCGGTTTTGGCATTGATAGTCGCCATCTGTCTGAATTCCCAAATCATGCCCCAGATCATGTAAAGATAGGTACGATTCGCCACCTCGTGGTTATTTAGGCAGTTCAAATCAAGTAGACATTCCAAAGGCGATGGGCGTTTCAAGAGCTCTGGTGCCATGTCCAAGTACGCTTGCTTCCAGGCTATTGCAGTATTCGCACGCCATAGTCGCTCTGCACTTGGAATTGGTAATTGCATCTCGGAATAGGAGATGAGTGGGGGCTTAAGTAACGCCATTGAAGACTGTCGGTCGTGTTCGAATACATGGTAGACAAGACGCAAGAGGGACTCTTGGGCCACCCAGCTTTTCCACTTGTCGTCCAGTTCCTGGCCGTCGTCCTCCGGTCTGGGTTCAATCATTGGATACATAGAATTGCGAAAACTGCCACGGCGCCTGATCATCGTTACTAGCGGTTGAAGAAAGCTCTCCGCGATTTCCATTTTCCTGCTCATGCCACTCCAGAGGCCGATGTCCAGTTGCAGCATAAGATTTCGGAGGCTTTGAAGATCCCGAATTGAAGAGTTATCCTCTTCAAATATCTTCGCCTGGCAGGCTCTGCCCGCCTCGTGCAAAGCAAATCCCAGCTTACGCAGAGGAACATCAGGAGTTGAAACAGCGCCTGCCGCTATTATGAGTGACAGCAGTATTGGGCTTATCTCGGAAGGAGAAAATGTGGGAAGATGAAACCAGAATTTCGAATCAAGAGAAGGTGACGTAAGAAAGTATTGAATAAGGCCATCCAGAAGTTCTGTTGAAGGGAAAGCCGAAGATATGCGCCCTCTATTCGAGGAAGTGCAGGTGCCCAGTACCAGAGCGAAGAGCTTGTCTCGTGCAGTACGACTGAGACGTTCCTGAATTGCACGCCGCGATGAAAGTTGGGCTCGCCTCTCAGCATTGCCCTCCCCGTCTGCCAATGCCAGATTTTGCTCTTCAGCCGTACCGAAGTCTCGGTCACTCCTTGGTAAGTAGCGCCATATACTCCGTTTGAAGGCTTCATGGCGGACATCTACACCCTCGTGTGGATGTGTAGATGCACGCCGGTCAGTACTGGAAGGATCCGTGACTGGAGTCTCCACATTGAACGGAATGTCCATATTGTACTGATCTAGGAAAGCAACATCTAAGTCGTTCAGGCTGAGGTCCCAATTGAAACTTGTGTCCATGATTCCTCGAGGAGTCGCTATACCAGAAAGACCATTGCCAAAAGGCGGCAAAGAACGGAGATGGTCCGGAAGCTCTTCATCAAGCACTGTCATGTCGTCAAAAGAGGGCAAATGTTCCTGGGGAAACATGTCCTGAGCCATTGGTTCGACATGGTATTGCTGGAAATTTACATCTGAGGATCTAGGTCCACCTCTCGTTGTGGTCTGTAGGCCCTCGGGTGTTGCGTATGTGCTCTGTCTTTGCATTGTGGTAGAAGCAGCAGAATTAGCATCATCAAGGATTTCGGGATCATTTGTTTGCCGCTGAGACCCGAGATGCATGCTAGCAGAGGTGTTGGAGAAGTCGAGCAGATCTTGTGCGGCGTGGACATCATCCATGGCTTTGTCACATACTGCTGAGGTCTTGCAATGTATGTTCTTCTTGCGGCATCTACTACAGGGTTTTTCGTCCTCACATCGGAGATGATGTTGGGAACAAGCCTCGCAAGCCTGAACTACCCGACTCTGGCGAGCACTTTCTCTACGCTTACGTACGCCGTCGGGAGGGTTGTCATGGGCGGCAGCATGTCTTTTGAGTAAATCTCTACAAGCTCATTTAGCTCAAGCGTCAATACATATGAATTGAATGATGTACATTCTTGAAAAGCCCTTGGAGCAGGTAGGGCAGATATATGGCTTATGTCTGGTATCTGGTCCGGGATAAGTCTCTGAGCACAAACATCTTGGGATACACTTCAATGATAAGGACTTACGCGCCCGGACGTGACGTGTTAGATGGTCTGCACGAGTAAATGATCGTGAACACGTGCTGCATTGAAAAAGACGAGGCGCCAGTTCGGCTTCAGGTGTGCTCATGATGGTGGGCAGGTTGGGATCGGTCTTCGGAATGCGTGGGCGGCGTCGTCCCGATGAGTGCTGTTACAAACGGCTGTCCGTATATTGGATGGATTTCGTGTGGAGGAGGAAATCTGGGGAAGCAAACAATACGGGGGGATGAGACACGGGGAAGGATGTGGGGAGGCGAAGTCGCGCTAATGTTTGCCTAACTTTGCCACTCCTGGACCACCTCGGCTCCGCTTTTGTCCCTCCACTTCCCGATGTATTGGATGAGCGGCAGTTGGAATAGGGATATCTTGAGCGCCTCTGGATCTGGTTAATTGATTTCATATGCCGGCAAACTTAGGTAGATTTGGAGACTGACCATTATTGAGTACATGTGTGTGAAAAGAACAATTCGGAGCTCACGTGACCAGCCTATTCACACCTCCTCCTTACTTCCGTTCCATTGTAACCAAACTTATCAGTTCACGGCACAGTTTGCTTGATTTTCTGAGAAGAAAGAAACATGGTTCCAACGCCCGTCCACTTCTTCTCGCATGGCTCAACCATGATGTTGGGCGAGGAGTCCAAATCCGCGACTTACTGGAAGCAATGCGGCGACGAAGCCCTAGCCAACGGCATCAAAGGCATCGTCATGATGGGAGCCCACTGGGACGCAAGAGGCCACAACCGCATCGACATATCGATGAACCCCACACCATCCAAATCCCCCGTTGCCTACGTCCACCCCTCGAAATACGCCTCCTACGAGCTGAACCCCGACCTACCCACCGGCAAGCGCTGCGTCCAGATGCTGCAGGACGCCGGGATCAACGCGAAGCCCAATGAGACATTCGATTGGATCCACGACACCTATCTGATCCTCATCAGGATGTTTCCCGAGAAGTGTCCCCCGACGACGATTGTAAGCATGAACGGCCGCTTCGATCCCCATCTACACGCTCGCGTCGGATCGATTCTCGCACCACTGCGACAGGAAGGATACTTGTTGATCGGAACGGGCGGCTCGGTGCATAATCTCTACCGCAACCACTGGCTACAGATGCTGCGGTATTCGGACAACTTCGCGCAGCCTGTGCCCCCAGACGCACCGATGCTACTATTCCGACAAGGTGTGGAAGATGCGTTTGTGAGGAATTGCGGTGCTGGAAGGGAGAAGGGGTCGTTGACTAGAGCGGTGTGCAGAATGATGAAGCATCCGCAGTATCGGATTGCGCATGGCACTGATGACCACTTCATGCCTGCATGCTTTGTAGCTGGGGTTGTGGATGGGTTGGACAGTGATGGGAGTGATGATGGGGAGTGTGTTCTCGGGGCTGAGGATTGGGAGTTGGTCAATATGTGCAATAGTCAGTTTACGATTGGCAAATGGGTGAAGGCGTAATTATCGTCTTTTCTATCTTGTATTCAATTGTTTCATTCAAATCTCAATGTAAATCGTTCAAGATATCACGCATGATTGCTCAAATGTTCATTGTACTGGGTTGGACTCCTTAGATTACTAAACTCTATTTAATTTCTGAAGCTCAACGCATGACCTATGCCACATTCTGTGCCACAAATCTCTACTTAGGAGGAATAACCGGCAGCGTCACCGAATTGACAAACTGCGGCCCAAAATGAACATGGTTCAACCCCGCAAACCTCTCCTCTGATCGATCTTCCGGATGGTTATGCTGGAAGATACCACTGCCCTGCGTATCACCACTCGCAATCTCGAAGACCAACTTCCCACCCTTCTCCACGACAACGTTCGTGGGCCATACTTCCACGTCAACGCCATACACGTCACCCGGGATGACCGGCTGCACATCCGTGCTGAAGTAGTCCCGCCACGGAAGATACGGCCTGTGTTTCGGGTGATTGGGATTCGTCTTGCGGAGCGAGACGCGAAGCCAGCCTTTTGTTAGCGGGACGGGGTCACCTGCAGTGCCGGTGTAGAAGACTTCCTTGCCCTCTGGGGAGATATAGCGGAGGGTGAGGAAGAGATCGATGTCTGACGGGATTGAGCCTGTGACGTGGGGTGATAGAGAGACGTTCAGGTGTGCGACGATGTGGCCGGTTATTTCTGTCTCCTGCTCGAATAGTGCGGTGGCAAATTGCAAGACTTGCGGGTCGTCTAGGGTGCCCAGGGCTTTGTATGAGAGTTTTCGTACGGACTCGATGGATGGGGTGGTGGTTGAGAGCTCTTGAGTTGGTGTGAGATAGTACTGGGTGTATTGCGTGCGGGCGATTGGCCACTCGCTCTCAGTGCGTCGGGCATATGTCTTCTCCTTCTCGGCGTCGTTGAAGCCAACATCGCCTTTACGGAGCACGAGATCGACGGCCGGAAGTTTGCCTTTGACGCTCCATCCAGTCTTGTCTTCTCCCTTGAGGAAGGCGTCTAAGAAACTCTTCTGTATCTCAACCTCCTCGCTGTAGTAGAAAGGGAGATCGTGGCGACCGGTGATCATGCGAAGGTACTTGAACTCTGACCCAGCGTGGAGAAACCCTTCAATATTTCCTCTCAGATGGAGGAGAATTCCACCCCAGTTGCCCACAGAGAGGAGCGGTACCTCAATATCAGCCATATCGTACTCTTTGCTCGCATAGTACTGCTCCTCACGGAACTTGTACTTAGCGGTATCAATAGTCTGATCCTGACGATTCTTCTCGCGCTCCTCGTCAGGCAAGTCACCCTCGATAGTATCTGGTCCCCAGTTCGCCGCACTGCGTCCAGGACGACCGTACTGATTCGTAATGACCTGGCGATTCCACCAAAACTTAACAAACGCATTCGACAGAATACCACCATGGCGACAGCGATCGCGATAGTAATCCGACATGCCCTCCCAGGGAACGATGCAGGCAAGTCCCTTCGGCTTCCTGGCGGCCACGCGCCACTGCGAGCCGGCGTAGTAGCTGATGCCGAGGAGTCCGACTTTGCCAGATGACCACGGCTGCTCCGCCGCCCATTCGACGACGTCGAAGAAGGCCTCAGATGTACCGCGCGACATGGTGTCGAGGAGTCCTGGGGATTGTCCAAGGCCGCGCTCGTCGGCGCGAACGACAGCGTAGCCGTGTTGCGTCCAGAAGCCCGGATCAGGTGTCTCCCATGCTGAGTGCTCAGAATGGTGCTCTTTGTTTACTTCTGAGAAGGATTTTGGATGGAAGCTGGTGGTTTTTGGTTAGACATGGTGGATTGATGGAAGGGGAATTTGGAAACTCACTCTTTGTAGTGGATGTCTTTGCCGTAAGGGCCGTATGTCACGATGACGGGAAACTTCGCATTGGCGTCTGAAGACTTGGGTCTGTACACATTGCAGCGTACGAGTCCCTCGCTGGTCTTCAATTGCACTGTTGCGTTTTGTTCGAAGACATAGGGGAAGCTGGTCTCGTCGACCTTGTGGAGGTCTTGGATGGTGTTCGGCATGATTGCTGTGAGTTGATAATATCTGTCCAATTCGAGCTCATGTCCGAGAGGAAGTAAAGATAGCAATTCATATGATATGACGATTATTTGTTTTCTACACTATTCTTTAGCCTGAGAATTGCGTTGTCCGAAGTCGTCGTAACGGGTAATGCGGGCAGATTGTCTCCCATCGGGATGTGGAGGCGGGACAATTTCTGGTTGTCCGAATGCAACACAAACAATTGATGGATGCCATTGTACAACCACATGAATCCACCGTAGAAATAATTTGGTTGCAAGATTATTAAACAGTTCAAATAAACCCGAGCAACAAAAATTTCACGTGTTTCAAATGAATTTGGTTGACTTATGCGGATCCAAACAATAGCACTCAAGAGTCAAAATGTAGTTACAAGCAACTCAATTCAATTGAACTTCTTAGACCATCTACGTAGATTTCGGCACGCCCTCCATAGTCCCATAATCCTCCTTCAGCTCCGTCTCCCCAACGACGACCGGCTTGCACGGCTGAAGCACATACATCATCCTCGCCCACTCGGTCGCGCTCTTATTCCTCCAAGCATGCATCGTGCCCCTCTGAATCGCCACGTCCCCCCTACTCATCTGCCTCGTCTCCCCACTGTCGAGAACCAACTCGATCTCCCCCTCGATCACGACGCCGTAGTCCAGCGACACGGTCCTGTGCATGGGGGACAGGTGCCCAGGCGCGATGTCGACGAAGCGGAGGACCGTGCCGTCGGAGACGACGAGGCCGGGCGCTGCGTCTAGTTTGGGGGCGTAGGCCTCGATGTCTTTGTCGTTGTTGAGGTCAACGGGGAAGCCTTGGGTGGTGTAGGCCAGGCCGAAGAGGGCGTTGGGGATGGGCTTGAAGTTGTTTTCCGAGGGGATGGCGGACGAGAATATGGCTTTGCCGGCTTCGTCGTGCGTTGTGATGAAGCGTTTTAGGGGTGGGAGGTTGTTTGGTGCAGTCATTTTGGTTTGGTTTGACTTGAATTATCTAGATGATTGTGTCTCTATTCGAAGCTTCTGGTTTTGGAGATGAGTGTAAATGTAAATTGATAGATGTTTTACAATTTTAGTTAACTATTGGTCTGTTATGGGAGTACTAGTTATTGCTATGGTTGTTGTATCCGTTTTGCGGAGCATCCGATGTGGAGGTGGGACATTTCACTGCCCCGAAATATGGATTACCTATTTGGGAACCTCGTACATCAAATACGAAACAATTGTACCGGAGTTAACGTTCTGCAGATTCAATTGTCATTCTGTGACTATTGGGTTCCGTTCCAGAGTCAGGGCTCAGTCGCAATGGCCGTTTGCCCTAATAGAGTAGTCAGGTACGTCTGGGCCGGTTACATAGATATCTCATCTTCACTCCCGATGTGGAGAGACACCTGCTTCACCTCAACAACAAAACAGAACAACAACGACAACAGCCAGGACCTAAGCAGTCATTGCAGAGAATCTATCGCGAAGATATCCAAGGTTCTCTAATATCCGCCAAAATGCCTTCCAAGGAAGCTTCCCAGTTCGGAATCAACAACATCCCCTATGGCATCGCCAGCTCCGCAAAACACTCGTCACCGCAATGCGTGACACGCATCGGCGACAACGTCATATTCCTTGCCTCACTATCCGCCTCCAGTACCTTCAAAGACATAAGTGCGGACCTGCCTACCATCTTCCAGAACTCCACCCTCAATGCCTTCGCCTCTCTCCCCAAGCAGGTCCACTCCCAAGTGCGCGCCGCCATCCAAGCCGCCTACAAAGACGGTAGCGACATCTCCCACTCAGAAGACATCAAAGACGTGACCCTCCACGTCCCCGTCCAGATTGGAGATTTCACCGACTTCTCCGCGTCGCGGGACCACGTCCTCAATGCCGGAGAAGCCATCCTCGGCGAGAGATCGTATCCGCCCTCATTCCACAAGTACCCCATTGGCTACGCCGGACGCTGTTCGTCCATCGTACCTTCCGGAACCGCCATCCAGCGCCCTCTGGGCCAGTTCATCGAGAACTACGCAGCGGCGGAGAAGAACATCATCTTCGGTCCGTGCCGTGCGCTCGACTACGAACTGGAAGTCGGCGCGGTGGTCGGACGCCCGTTGGCAGGCGGGAAGGGACTACATGCGAAAGACGCAGAGGAGCATATCTTCGGATTGATACTTGTGAACGACTGGAGTGCGCGAGACATTCAGGGTTTGGAGATGAATCCGCTCGGCCCGTTCAACGGGAAGAACTTTGCGACCACGGTGTCGAGCTGGGTCGTCACGTCTGAGGCGCTGGAGGCGCACAAGGTCGCCGCGCCGGAGAGGATGTCACCTGTGGCGGGGTTCTTGGATGCGGAGAATGCGGTGAATTACAGAATTGATCTGGCGGCTGAGATCACGCGGAACGGTGCGGTGTCGAACACTTGCAAGGTTGGGTTCGACACAATGTACTGGACGTTCGCGCACATGCTAGCTCATCACACGGTTGGCGGGTGTGGACTCAGGACGGGTGACTTGATTGCGAGTGGAACGGTTTCCGGGCAGGGCGACGAGGAACACGGTTGTCTGTTGGAGATGACGAAGAATGGGAAGGTGCCGTGGAAGTTGAGCGATGGTGATGAGTTGAGGTATCTGGAAGATGGCGACGAGGTGCGGTTCACGGGTATTGTGGGCGACGAGAAGGATGGGATTGGGTTTGGTGAGTGCATTGGAACGGTGCTACCAGCACGCCAGGCATAGGGATGTTCTTGCGTTCCAAATCCACACAAATTATGCAGGCTTTCGGTGGAGATGTCATGGCAGTCACATTATCAAGCGGGAGGTATATATAGTATGACTACCAGTAGTCATTCCTCTGTAACCTCGACCAGCGAAACCAATGATAAACTTACTTAACAAACTCCAATCTTCTTGCGTGAATGAAATTATGCCAACTATCCATATAACCTACCTTGTAAACCAGGTATATATATACTACGAGTGGTAAGAGTATGTATATACTAAGATTCTTGTACATACACCTCCAACGCGACAGACGCGTCAGCGGCATACACGAAGTCATGTGCTCTCGCCCCAACCCTCGAATTCCCCGATTCGGCAATTCCGCCCATCCCACTCTCTCCCCATCGCCCACTCACGCACTCTCGAGGTGTCAAAAGGCAAGAGATGAGGGCATGGGAGAATTCGAAAAATGCGATGGATGCGATGGATGCGATGGATGATGCGAAATGCCATCCATTCATTCATGGAAATATACTTAATGCCGTTGTTTGTTACTTTCTTGCAGCGACAAGTGGACGGAGATACCGGAGCATCTAGGGGGTATCTATGGAGATTTAAAAATAAGAAACAAATAGATAGGTTAACTAGCGGGGAGAAGGCGGGAAAGGGTGAAGAATGAGGAGGGGAAGATGGTGTTGGTGGCGGTGATGGCGGGCCGGTGGCCGGAGTCGCTTCAAGACTGTCTTCCGGTGGAAGTTTGGCTTGGTGGTGGTTTTCAAGGGCATGCGCGGCAAATCGTGCCGAAAGCGTGGGGACGAACCCTGAGAAGAGAAAGGTGCTTATACATCGGTGGGTGTCCTTGTGACTTGACTGACATTTTGTCTGATATGGATTACAGATGGTCGTACTCGTAGTGTACATGTCTAGATACGATGGTTACGATGGAACGAATATGTTGAGTGGGTAATGTTGGTTGTTGGTTGCACGCGCATATAGGTAAACTGTAAAAAGCACGTATTCGCTTGGAGACCTGTTGGAACAATGCATGCTGTGCGACATTTAACGGATGCGGGGAAGAGAGAATGGGAGCTCTCTATCTGTGCTACTTGATCCGGTTTCCCAATAGGTGGGGTCACGACGTGATGCAAGCAGGCAAGAGAAGCAATATAGTTAGTTAGTTAGTTCCCATCCATCATTGAGCGGTGAGGCAAGATATGGGATGGGGATGTAGGGAGTACTCCGTACATGATGGGATGATTGCGTGATGGATGTTGTCTCGCGTTACACCAAAGAGGCAGACTCGGCAATTGGGGGATATGTAGGTGAGATTCCTGAAAGCTTGAAAGATGTTGAGGGAGGGGGGGAGACGGAGGAATTATCTGTAGATGGTGGTTTGATACAACTATCGAGTGGTGATGGGATGCAATTAGATATAGTCACTCCCCTACATCTCGTTCTTGAGGATTTGGTGAACTGTGATTGGCCAATCTGGCCGAGCTTTAGGCGTTTGAGCTTTTCGAGAGGGACACAGGCTATACCAGAAGAGGAAAGGTGGACGTGGGATGCAAGTGAGCGGCACGTGTGGAGTCCCCGACTATTACCCGTTCACCATACCTATTACCTACCATGTCTGCATGTCCACCATGACGGAGACTGTACAACCTCCAACTACCTCGTATCAAACAATCATCAAGAAAGAAGCATTTCACGACCAGGTGGTCATGTTACCCTATTTACTAAATGTAGCACTAGATGAGAGGGATTCTAGACCCATGGAAACCAATTCAATCCAGTAATTATATCAGTACACACATAGTTCACGAGTGATGGACCCTGTCAACTGATCCTGCAGTCCTTAACCTCTAGCGTGCCACTGCTACCAAGGTGACGTCGAGCCGCCTCTCGCGCCTAACAACTACTGCGATGCTACTACCCTAATCCTACTTCTCCTCCTACGCCTTTCCTTTCCTCAAGAAAAAGAATTGATACCCCCCTTTGCTCCTCCTCCTCCTCCCCTTCTCTTCTTCCTTCCCTCTCTTCCTTCAACCTCTCGTCAACTCCCCGTCAGTTTCCTCTCGCCTGCGTATCATGCCTACTGGGAACGCCGTACGCGACAAGGATGCCTTCCCCACCAAACAGCTCATCGTCCTCGGTATGAACACTCTCCCTCCTCCTCGACATTGTGATTCACGCCTCTCAATCCCACGTACCAAATACTGACCGCGCCCAACAGGAATATGCCGCTTCTCCGAGCCGATAGCTTTCAATTCCATCCTCGCATACTCCTCTGTAATGGTACAGGACTTGGGAATACCTGAAAAAGAGGCCGCCTTCTACGCCGGTCTCCTCGTCTCCGCCTATGCCGTCGCCGAAGCTCTCACCGCCCTTGGCTGGGGTGCCATATCCGATGTCTACGGTCGAAAACCTGTCGCCTTGATCGGTCTGGGAGGTGTCGCCCTGTCGAGTTTGCTTTTTGGTCTCGCGCCCACCTACTGGGTCGCATTGCTCGCCAGGTTTATCGGTGGAGCGCTCAATGGCAATGTAGCCGTCATGCAGACAATGGTAGCCGAGATGGTGACCAATCCCGAGCATGAGCGTGAGTGACATCCAATCAATCCCATTGTACCCTGTACATCGATCGAGCCTCAGCACTAACCAACACTCTGCAGCTCGAGCATATGCGACGCAGCCGTTCGTCTGGACACTGGGTGGCATCATAGGATCTGCGATGGGTGGTTTCCTGGCGCAGCCTGCCAAGTACTACCCTAATGTGTTCTCCCAAGACGGGATATTTGGTCGATTTCCATACTTGCTACCGAACCTCTTCGCCGTCGTTTCTATTGTTCTGGCCATTATCCAAGGCATAATCTTCCTCGAGGAAACTAACCCTAATGCTCGTCAGAATGCAGCCGCAGCAGCTACACCAGCAGCCGCTGATCACGACGACGACGACGTTGACGAAAGGACCCCTCTCAACCGAGAACACCTGCGCGTACGCGATTCTGTTTCTCGCCATTCGCGATCCTCCCACCACAGCTTCCGCGAGCGTTCCGGTTCGGTTATCGAGGCCATTCGGGAAATCAGGAAGAAGCCCTCGTTCATGGAAGACAGCATGCCCCTGCCGATTGACCAGCGATTCGACATCAGGAGGACTTCTTTCGGCACCATGCATTCCGTCAAGATTCCCCACGAGATTCTCCCGGACATCGCATCGACCCCTTCCACCCCCTCGACCGCCAGCAAGAAGCCGTTCAACTTCACAGTCATAATGCTCACCATCTCCCTCAGTATCATCGCCTGGCACCAAATGGCCTACATTACCAACCTCCCCATCTACATCCTCGACGAACCCGTCAAAGCGGGCTTGGATTTCACGGGCGGTCTCGGCTACGACATTCACGACGTGGGAACCTACCTGGCGGTCAACGGTGTAATTGCTCTCTTCATCCAGGCCGTGATTTTCCCTGTCTTCGTCCGAAATGTGGGAGTCTGGTACTCCTTCATCATCCCCATCATCCTCTACCCGACCACCTACATCCTCGGCCCCTTCATCAGCAGCTTCCCCGAGAAGTTGATCTCCCCGGGCATCTACCTCACCCTCATCCTCCAGGCCTTCTTCGGAATCGTCTCCTTCCCTTGCGCCCTCATCCTCCTCAAGAACGCGACGCCCTCTCCCCTCGTCCTTGGTCGCGTGAACGGCCTAGCAATGAGCGCCTGCTGCCTCGCACGTACCATCTCTCCCCCGCTCGTCGGCCTCATCTACTCCCTCGGCGGCAGCGCCGCCGCATGGTGGAGTCTCGCCGCAGCCGCGGGCGTCGGAATCCTGCAGCTGATCTGGATGCCTCGGGAAAAGGTCGAGAGGGTGGAGGTGGACAACGGCTTCAAGGCCGCCCTGGCGAACGGAGACTTCGACGAGGCGATCGAAGATGGTAGCATCATCGACGGTCACGACGGGAGGGTGTAATGAAAAAAATGAGTTCGACAATCAGACATAATTAGCCTCTGTAATCTGTTTTCCCCTTTCTCTCGCAAATAAAATATCAATCGGGTATTTTTTTTTGGTCATGTTCTAGACTTGCGTTGAATGCTTCGGTCGTCTGTTCGTTTGTCTGTGATTGTTCAGCGCGGAAAGTCGAGTAGATGCGATGCAGCATATCTGGCGTTCCTTACTCTGGCGTTTTTGTTCCACCTTACTGGTGGTCATCAATTGCATAGCTTGCCAGGCAGCCAGTCGGTCACCTATTCATTACTCGAATTGTAAGTTGGCCATTTTGTGCGCATTATAAGAGATACATGAACGCATAGTAACATCAGTCCGCGTCAATCTACATCATACCATTATCAATTCGTATCCTTAGGTATATTAGCATACGTTGGGCATAAATACCTGTCTTGTCTATGGAATCTTGAATGACTGGCATTGTTGAGTGGTTGGGTTGTTGGGTTGTTGCTTGGAATGGGAGGGGAGGCGTGTGGAGAGAAGCAAGTGACGGATTGATTTGATCTATTGTCACTATTGATGGAGAGGGTCACAGATAGATGTTTTCTTGCTTTATCTCTGTTTAATTTTAAGTTGTTAGACATGATTCTATTTCTTTTTTACGGAGTGCTTCGATGCTGTGCGTTTTGTTACAAAGTTTACATATCCATTCGTCACCCCGACTTTCCCTCCACGGGACGACATAAAATACAATCCACACCCCCTCAATCTACTCTACACCTCCCTCGCAGCCTTAAGCTCGCTCGTAAACTGATCCAAAGTAATCACAAATCCCTTCTTCTCCTCGCCGAGCAGCTTCTTCTCCGCGTCGGTGAAGGTGTCCAGCAGCGTCTTCGCGAGCGTCTGGGCCTCGCGCGCGAGCGGCATGTCGGCGCCGAGGACCTGGCTGGCGGTCTTGATGCCGATGTAGAGGGGGATGAGGGAGATGATCTCTGATTTCAGGGCGTTGAGGGTGCTGGCTTTGACGTGGTTGGATTTGAATTTGTTGAGGGCGATGGAGGCGCGGGCGCGGCTGAGGTGGGTTTCCTGGGTGGTGGGTTAGTAAAAAGGAAGGATATGGGGTATGAGGGGATGTATGCGTACCATGATGGAAGGATCCTGCGTGTGAGCCGACATGATTCTGTGAGCGTACTTCTTGACCTTGCCGTCGACGTCCTTGCCCTCCGTATGCTTCTTCGCCCGCACGGCAGCGAGCTCCAGTAGCGCGCCAATCACCACGGGATTCGACCTCAAATCGCCAGGCCCGACAGGCTTCCCCCCGAGATGCGTCTTCTCCTCCATCAAATCGATGACCTGCTCCGCATAGCCCAACGCCTTCTTCGTCTCCGCGGCACCCCACTCGGCATCCAGCGCCTTCTCGTGGAAGCCCGTGAACACCCTCAGCACGATCTCCTCATCGCGTAACCGCAGACCGGTTTTGTCCGCCCTCTGTAGCGCCTTCAGCACGAGATGCTGCATGCCCGCGTTGTTCAGCGACCGAATGATCATGCACTTCCTCGCGGGGCTCAGGTGCAGCGAAGCATCTTCAAACCCCTCCAGCATGCGGAGCACGTTCTCCCAGTCCTCGGGCGTCTCGCTGGAGTCCACGATCGTCTTGATGGTACCCCATCTGGAGGGCGTGTCCGTCCGCTGGTTGATGTGCTCGAGCGGCAGCGTCACGTCGCCCAGTGTGATTTCCACGGATTCGGCCTCCAGGCGCGCCGTGTTGGACGGCCGGAAGACGAGCTTGCGCTGGTCTGGGGACAGCTGTGCGGGGAGGAGGACCTTGGAGTTGAGTTTTGCGAGGGCGGCTCCGAGGTCTTCAGAGGAAGGTTCGAGGAAGGAGGGTAGGGAGCCTGGTGGTGGTTGTTAGTAATTGCGGGTTTTGGGGAGAAATTGGGGTGTTGCTCGCCTTTTCGTAGCGGACTGCATTGCGAGAATGCTCTGTGGGGGCAATTGAGTGCGTAGGCTGGCCTGGAGGTGGTTTTGAGCGCTGCCGAGCAGCCTCGCCGTATTGAATGCATGATGTGATGTGGGCGAACTTTTTGTGAGGTTCTGCGGAGTTTGATACGGAGGTTTACTGGGCTAACGCAAATGGGACAAACACGCCAAGAGCTTGGAGTGACATCTCCACTATGGGCTGGGGTTGCCCATCATTTTACGCACATTTCATGATTGTACGATTAGACAAAATCATTCGATAATTTCTTCGCGAGTATCTCTGAGATCACAAAAAACTGTATGAACAGCCATGGACAAGACTGAGGCCAGCGTGTACCTATCACAATTCATCGGAAAGAATCTCCGAATTCATACCTCTGACAACCGTATATTCGGCGGACAAATGAAATGCACAGACAAAGTAAGTTGAAACTTTGGGTCCTATGGGAATACTATGATGGAGTCATACTTCTTACGACGGCCCTCTCCACAGGCTTTCAGATTTCAATCTCCCAACCCCTTCATCTTCCATGGTTTTCGACTAACACGACCCAGGACCGTAATATCATACTGGCACTTACGTATGAGTATCGAGCACCGCCTCCCGAGACCATCAAGAAGGCTGTTGAGGAGAGTGGAAATCCATCGACGCCTGTGAGCTGGAACAGCCGCTATGTGGGTCTCGTCGTCGTCCCCGGTGCTCATGTCAAGAAGATTGAGTTCGAAGAGAGTGGCTATGGGAAGAGCAACGTCGTGCTATGAAGACGTATCAGATACGCTGGAAGTATCTTATCGACACCCGCTGTACCCATGCATGAGAAGGGAGGCGGCTCCCCTGGATGAGAACGATTCCTCACGTGATGCTGCTGGGGCATCAGAAGCGGCCCCCTCTGTAGGAAGAACATTGACTTGCATCGGTCGCCATGTCTGGGAAAGAAGTTCTTCGCAACACAAAGAACTCGATCGTTTTCTGGCTTTGCAGAAATGGTTGGGATCAGTCACATGCAATCTGGCTTCGGCATGTGAGCAGCGTTCTGCCAAAGACGTTCCGTACTTTTGGATCCCAATCATCGCATGAGACCAAGGTTGGCTACATTCTAGACAATATCGCGGCTTACTGGCTCACAGAATATTGAAATTCAGTAGTCAAATATTGAGCTAGGTACTATACAGTCATACATGAACCACAAGACGCTTGCAATGTTGAGGTTCAACAATCAATACTTCTGTGTATATAAAACCTGCATTTCCCTTGTATCGACTCCCTTGATCCCCATACCATTCTCAGTGAAAGAAAGCATCAACTCAGATCATCCTACTGCAACTCTTTACAGGCCCACGAAAATGTTGTCTACACCTCAACACTCCAATGAGTCGGCCCAGCCACTCCCCCCTACGCCATACCTGAGGCCTTGCCGGTACCACCCCAAGAAACCATGCAAAGTCCGACCAGTGCAGACATTGAGATTGCTTTCGATACCCACAGAGCTGCGCTTTAAGATCTGGGCCGAAGTCGCCCTCCCCCAGGCCGATAACCAGTCATCGCCTGTGTACCAATGGTACGACAACAAGGACCGAGCCGACCAAAGATTCCTCGACAGAGCCATAACAGCACAATGGAAATTATCCCTCACCACGGTCTGCGTGCAAATGAAAAACGAAATACTGGATCTGCATCGTCAACTCAACACAATCACGCTTATCGCTATGAGCGACATCCAACTGTTCTCAAAACTCTTGAAGTTTTCAGACGCCAACTCAGACGACATCTCCGACATTCCGTTCATGCAGCTCAATAAAAATAATTTACAAATGCTGCATTTGGTACTAGAAATCCGCGATGGGATGAATCCGCCACGAGTTTTGGCCCAGCGATACTTCCCTATTATGCTTAGTCACCGCTATTGGACAACGACGACCCTAGCCTGGAAGGTGTGTGACTCGACACCAGTCATACAATCCCAACCAAACGACAATCGGATTCTTCATTCTTTCAACACAACGGCCACTTCCGAAAATCACCAAAAAGAAAATTCGGACAAGAATTCAAAGTAATCATGCCAACATCAATGCAAAAGAATCTTCACGGGAAAACCGTCCTCATAACCGGCGCGTCCTCCGGCATTGGGCGAAGCACTGCATTCGAATTCGCCCGCACCAGTCCTTCCGACCTCAAACTTGTCCTGACAGCACGGCGGATCGACCGTTTACATCAGATTGCGGAAGAAATTCAGAAAGAAGTGGGCGCCGGCGTCAAGATTCACAGCGTAAAATTGGATGTCAGCAAGCCCGACGAAGTTAATTCTTTGATAGAAAGTCTTCCCGCAGAATTTAGAGGAATCGATGTTTTGGTTAATAATGCGTGAGTATGGTCCACCTCTTTGTTGCTCTTCGAGTGTCGCTGACGTTGCGTGACTTGCAGTGGGTTCATGTCTGGCGTTGAACGGCCTCCGGATGTCCCTCATCAAGTGATTCAAGATGTATATGCGACGAATGTCACGGGTGTTATCAACATGACGCAAGCTGTTCTTTCTGTATTCAAAGCTAGGCCAGATGGTGGGAGAGGCGATATCATAATGTTGGGGAGTATCGCTGGGCGAGAACCTTACCCTGGTGGGACAGTAAGTCGCTCTTCAGCTAACGACCTATACATGTACTGACAGCATTACAGATTTACTGCTCGAGCAAAGCTGCCGTTAGATCTTTCACGGATGCTTTGCGGAAGGAACTCATCAACACTCGCATTCGTGTCATGACGGTTGATCTTGGACAGGTCCTTACTGTACGTTCATGTTTGCATACCTTGCGTCATTCTGCTCATTGATTGATACAGGAATTTAATGATATTCGTTATCGCGGAGACAAGGAAAAGGCAGATGCTGTTTATGCGTAAGCATATATTCATTCAGATTAAAAGTTACTTGCAGACTGACCAAACCACAGCGGATGCGATCCTTTGACTGCAGATGATATTGCCGAAATTATTGTTTTCGCAGCTGGTAGACGCGAGAATGTTGTTGTGGCAGACACATTGGTGTTTCCAAGTCACCAGGTAAGGTGTCTCCTTCAGGTTAGGGATATGAAACTGACGTTGCCAGGCTTCACCTTTCCATGTTCATCGTAAATAGTAAGAGGAACGATGTGCCCTTGTTCAATGATTAGACATACATTTTAGATACTGCTATTGTCAATTTGGGTTCAAGTTTCTTGTTGAAAACAGATGTAAATGAAATCCACCGTTTAATGATTACTTTCTGCCTTCTGGAGATAACTTGAAGCGACCACGAACTACTCATCCCGGATGAACCCAACAGCACGTAGTGCTATCTTCTTATTCGCTTCCTAGCATCTCCATGTCTACCCCAGCGCCTCCTTGAACCCAATGCACATCGAAATTTCACTCCACAACCTCTGGGATCCCCTCGACTCTTCCTGCCGGCGCCAGCTTAACTTCCAGATCTGAGGCCACAAACAACACTGGTGGCAATTATCAAGCTTCAGACACGTCTATCGTGGTGACGTACAGCCCTGGACTCGAGGACTGGAAGGAACGCGCGATTCAAGAGGGTGAAGGATTGATGGTTTTGTTCACATGCGGGGTTTTCAGTAGCAGCGATCTTGAAAATACCATGAAGAGGTGGACTTCATTGAGGGCGAGTGCAAGGCGCACTCAGCTACTACCATAAACTGCTACGCCCTACGCATCTCAAGGTACAATCCGGCAAAAGCTTTTGTGTAAGTCGATTTCACCTTATTCTTACCTACTATCTTCCCTAATTTTACACACAAAGAAATGTAGCAAGCACTGCAAAATTAGGGGAAGCGGTCGGCATTTAGCCCGTATGATCATGAAAGAAAGAATCGATGTCGAGCCCTTCTATTAAACAACTGAAACCGCTATTACAGCATGTCAAAGCACTGAGTAGAATTTTTCATATTCGCCTTTTTCGAATTATTTGGTGCCTGATAATGGTTTGAAGTCAGTGAGTTCTATGCCCCAGTCGTCCATCTTCAGGCTCTCCACCACTTTCTCCAATGCGCACTTGAAATCCCATCGACCCCCTTCTGACATTGTGAATTGGCCATGGCCGCAATTACGAGCGTCAACCCAGACGCCTTTCGTATATCGAACAGATTTGATAAGGCTTGTGACCATCCGTATTGAACTCCCAAAATGATCAGTTGCGGCAAAATCACCAAGCTTTAAATCCCGAGCAAGAAATGTAGCGTGCCCAAGAACCAAGGATCTTAGCATTACGTACTCGAGACTTTTATCTGCCTCTGTGCCATTGTCTTCGATCAATGCTTTCTTGAATGCCACGAACTTTTTCTCAATAATCTGGAAACCAGCTTCGCGCTGGTTGTTGATGGCGTCTTCACAGAAGCGTTAGCTACATATTCTTCTCTCGAGTAGATTACCACTTACCAATAACCATATACGGAAGCAAGATCTTCTTGTCCGCAGGATCAATGGATTTTGTGGCACATTGCTGGGCAAGCCTGGAAAGTTTTTTGAAACTGTCTTGGATCTCAAACACCCATGCAATCCACATCCACATGAATAGTGTTTCGTCAAAGCTATCGGGAAGCCCTTGGGAGCCCTGCAGCCGTTCGAACCACGAGACTGCTCGAGGAGCCACTGATTCATGCCAGAAATATTTGTCAACAAGTTTAGCGATGTCATACAGGGTCTGGAGGTCAATATCATCAGGTACTTGAACATCGCTGCTGTACAGTATACCAAGTATGATTTGCATCGCCGATGGATCATCTTCTGGGTCTAAGAGCTGAACTGCAGCGAAGCCATGTTCTTTTAAGTCTTGGGCCTCTCTGAAACGGATACCATCAAACATGGCCCGAAAGTAACTGGAGGACGACATGAGCTTCTCCGAGGATGCCCTCAAACGGAACTCTTTGACCCTGACTTTGGTATTTCCATAGGTGAAATTGGGCGGGACTTCCAGATCTAGTGGGGTGGTTGCGATGTTTGCGGGGAGGACAAGCTCGACGTCCGAGTTGGAACCGTAATCGATGGTTATAGTTGCCATCTTGAATGACAGGCTCTGGTTTCTTGCAAAGTTGTGGCTGAGCAAGTTGCAACTAGGTAATTATGTTAGGTAGATAGAGATTCGTAGGTCGAAGTGAACACTCTCCCCCCGTAAACCTGACAACACCCAAAGAAGAACCTCGGCCTAAACGGGGTAGGCGTGACTAGATCTTCGGCCCGTCTGTAGGACAAAAATGTGAATTCATCATCTCCATTGACCAAAGAGCTTTGAGCGATTCTCAGTGATTTGCTCTGATAGTGAGGAATCCCTCGATTTATGCAATACCAATTATCTGTGCGCTCTAGATAGTTCTGGTGCCAAGTCCTTTTCTAAGGTTCTATACAGCAACCTCTAGGTACAGCAATACTACCGCTACGCAGTAAATACAGTTCAACCATATTAAACAATGGGCAGAAGACTACATTGAAACCCAAAAGCGCGCTGCATCTTTGTTTTCTACTTACGAAAAGGCGACCACACACCAGGCTCGCTTTTTACATCAGATGCCACTCGAACTGAAGACAATTATCAAAAGCTTCAGAGGTGGGCCGAATCCCAGTCAACGGCACTGTGTACAAACACAAGCCCAATCCACACTAAAGAAACTTGACCGATAAAGCACCTATAACAAGCACGGTCCGTCAAATGACAAGCAGCATTAACAACGATGAGCTGGCTATTAACAGGCCCGAAGTGACGACTATCAATATTTGTACGGAGCTTCAGAGCTACAGTGTCTCATTTTTCGAATGTCATCCTTTTAGTGCGTCGTGATAACTCAACCATGGGCAATGTTATGTAGCAGTGACATAATGAAGATGCATTTATATCTTACTTGATAAGAACGATTGCATAATTATCATTTACACGGTATCCATTTGTACGAAAAAGTTCTTTTAATTCTAAGCAGGTCATACGCTCACACCGGGGCCTCGTGCAAATCGTCTGTTCTGGTTCGAGCAAGGTGGGAACCAAATTGTTCAGATAGAACACGGTATAGTGCGAACAACTTTCGCTCTGCTCTGCCCTTCAGACTTCGCGGCCGAGTATTTACATAAAGCGATGACTCCTTTACTACATATGCTGACATTCCTAGTCTGGGACTTGCACAACAAAAGGATTGGCAGTCTCATTCCCAATGCGCATGTCTTTGTTTTAAGGTACGTATAGGCTTTATACTTCTTTGTGTCACTTGCAATTCACATTGTCATTTGTTATCCTAGCCGTTAAACAACCATGATATTATTTTCTGAGCTAACTACTTGCATTAACTTAGGCAAGCCCTCCAGATAGGCGTATAGGACCAATGATCCTAATCGACATAATCGGGATCATTAGGATCATCGCCATCGTCAGTATCATCGGTATCGTCGGGGAAATAGCTTTCATCTATATCCTCCATATCCTCATCGACATCTCCCTCAGCATCCTCATCGACATCTCCCTCAGCATCCTCATCGACATCTCCCTCAGCATCCTCATCGACATCCCCCTCAGCATCCTCATCGGTATCCCCCTCAGCATCCTCATCGGTATCCCCCTCAGCATCCTCATCGGTATCC